AAAGCTGGAGGGGTATAAAAGAGCAACTTAAGGTGGATTGCTCAGCATCTCTAAATTTGGACCAGATACAGTAAACAATCGCGATTGACTTATAGTCATCTCATCAATGTCATCAGCGTGACGGCTCGTTGGTATAAACATGTAAGACATACATATACGTCAGTAGGTATCTTTTGCATCTGTACACACGTGTGCCGTAATATCTCACGCGGTAGTGTACAATGTGAGTGACACTATCGGCTTGGGGCCCTAGAGATAAGGTCAGCGCTGAGCAGGGTGAGCTTCCGCGGTCGGCTAATAAGTTGCTGCATAGAGTAATGAGGTAAGTGTAGCTAGGTAGCTTACTCTGTACCTGACCAGGGAGCTATGAGATCTACCAAATTCTAGCTCGGACCAAGCTGGTGGAAATATGATCGAGATTCTAACTGGTCAATCGTTTGGTAATTACAACCAACTCCACAAGAATCCTTGAAAACGACAAGGGAAAATTTTTTCTTCTTCGAAAGTTTTTCTTTTCACAAGGTGCTCAGATCGTGCCCCCGGACGGCGGATACCCTTTTTGACGGAGCTAACATTGCCTAAAGGCGGGTTTTCCAGTTGGGAATACTGTGTAAAGGAGGTCCTTCGGGGAAATGAGAACATTATGGTGTGCTAATCTCGATATTCGCTGGGTTCGTCAAATAGACATGTGGCATGGCCCTACATTTAACCAGGCTAATGCAAGGTACGAGCAATTAACAGGTTGCGTATCTTGCACGGCAGGCTGTACAATAGCATAGGCGATCGGTAGAAGCATAGTAATTCGAAAAAAGGTGGATTATTATGGTCTAGACTAAAGGATTGATGTGCGATTCTTGACCTAGGCATGTTGAGACCCAGTACCTATGGTTCCTTCTGATGACCAAGTAGTTCAATTCTGCTCTCCTGGGCTATGTACGGCCCTAGGGTTTATGGAGGGCGTTGTTCATTTATCTGAAGCAAATCGTGGCACCTTGGACAAACTTGTAGTCTTGGAGACTGCGGCTCTGAACCTCAGCGGATAGTAACTTAGTTAAGATAGGATATAATATGTGATACCTCTATAAGTCCGTTCCACCAATCATACTTGCTACTAAAATACCATTCCTATCAGGTTAAACATAGCGGGTCTATGCGACGTTTCTAAGTACATACTTGAACGTGTCTTGGCTAACGATTCAAGGTATTATGATTAAACAGTTTACACGCGAACTTCAATAGTCGCCCAAGAGACTTCTAGTTCACACTATGTCAGTGAGCCTAGATGTGGTAAGTGACTTATCGTGTTGTAGGAGATCTTATTGGTGGCACGCGCCTTAGAAAGTAAGCCTTGGCATTAGGATCCGCTGTGAGTAATACGACCAATGGATATGGGCAAAAAGTTTGCTATGCTTTAGTAGAATAAACGACAAGCAAAATCTACGGCAATGTCGCAAATAGATGCAGTGATAAGATGCTCTACCTTGACTTGCCAATGACAAGAGGAACCCTTCTTTGGGTGACGACGAAGCGGGAGGGTATCGACAGGTAACGGGACGGGACGTTGAAGGATATGTGCTTGAGGAGCAGCGCATAGCCGTTGGAGGTAAAGCTGCAAAGCTACTGAGCTTTGACTATCTGACCGAGGCAGGGCGCATACCCTTATGCAAGGAGCCAGTCAGAGAAAACTTCTACGACATCTGAGAACCCTTCTTACGCTGGGATGGTCTGATGTCAAAGCCTACGTTCGGAATTAAGGGTGGACTCAACTGTTGACAATACAGTTGATACATCAGCATTGTCAAGAGTTAAGTAGGTGAGTGTGTTTGCGTTGTACAACTGAGAAAGAGGTTGATGTAAGCCAACGACATTTTGATGTCAGTCAATCAACTTACCTACTTCAGAGGTTACGTAACCGGACGTAATGAGATGCTATATCCATGCTGAAATGTACCTACTGCATGTGTGGTCAATCGTCGGTTAAAAGGCGGAATGGAGAAAAAGTCGATTCTGCTCTCGCATGCACGTTGTCACGGAATCACCACTAACCGGTTGGGCGGCTTCAGAATTTACCCAACCAGCTCTGTCATTTTCAACGCGATGATACTGAATGTATGTACCTACATGAAAGGAAAGGGAGCTCGGACGTATGTATTTACCTAGATATGTACTTAAACTTGTTCTTATCACATCGCGTCTCGTTCGTTTACGAAAACAACGCGACAGTTTACTCCAATCAAGCGCGTCCTTGCTCGGCAATTGAGGATCTTGGTAATAGTTCCGTCACCGGGCAATCGATGTTACCTGGAATTACTAACGAAACTGGCCCTTGGACGAAACAACAGCTACTAGGTAGCGGTGTTGTAAATGGCATGGTACTTTTTTCACCGATTCTGTTACTCGCTGTAACTGTCGGAGTGCAGACCGCTGAGACTGGACGCTCAAGAACATATTCGATGCCTTCAAGACTCCTCTTACTACCCTGCCCAGCCCTGCCCTGTCTGCCCAGGCACCTAGTATGGTGACGCGACTCGCGTTTTGTACACATCATTATCCCAATGGCTGGTAAATTGCACCAGGGCGCAATGGTGTCTCCCTTGAATTGCCAGATTGCTGGGCTGTGTGCATATCTAGGTACACTAGCCTTCAGGATACAAATGCTTGGGTACCAGATCATCGGGAAGGAGATTTTAATGATCGTCTTGAGAAGCGGATAACTATCTGAGACCTCATCACGTTATATCTGCTGTCGACGTGGCTGCGTGGTTAGTTAGTGGTCTTTCGCCTAAAACCGAGATAGCTGGAGATCGCTTTTTAAAAAATTCCAATGACTCGGTCAAGCTGGGCTGTGTTATGTACGATATCTTGACCCGAGCGATGGATTGCTTGTACAGTATTAATCTTACGTAGTACTTTAATACTCTTCGCGGTTGCTAGCGTCTTATTTGTATCATACTCTCGTTACCGACAGCAAACGCACTGTGCCATCGCTGTCTTCTTCTCATAGGTCTACTTAGCTAGTGACCCACTGTCAGCAGCCAGCGCGCTTTGAGCCCAATTCGACGGCTCGCGAGGGTGGTAATCCGACGAAAGTCGAGCTATACCCCTGCCCTAGCTTAAATACTATGGTACATATGTAGCGCATTTTGCAGCCACCAGGAACCGAAGCCGGGACCGTTAGGACCCAAGAAGGGGAAGGTCGGAAGATGGATCTAAAGAGGCGGTTTTTAAACCATGTTGTAAGTGGGCCATAACATTTTCATAGCAGCATAATACTATCCTCATTCTGTACAGATGCTACTGTACATATTTGGATATGTGATTCATAAATTGAAGACGTATCGTGGCACTACTCTCTTATGTATTACCGGCCTGTATGATGTGTGGATAGGTAGTTCTTCGAGTTTGTGTAATACCCAATCACCAGCCGCATCTACTCACAGCAAAATGTACCATGACACGAGATTGAGATTCAAACAAAACGCTGGTTACGTACCGGTGGCTTAATCATAGGAATTATACATACCAGAACCCCGCTTCCCCAGCCTCTCTCTCCTCGCTCTACTATTGCGGCTACATCAAGATTCAACACAGCTATGTCTCCTGCTATTTGTTTGTTTTGCTTTGTTTCGTCTTAGGTTGCTAGGGATTGGATTCTGGAATATCTAGGTAGCAGCGGTGACCCAGCATAATTCTTATTGGTGGAGAAGACTAAAGTGTAGACTTCCGATTAAGAGGCGTCAAGGCGTTAAGACTCAAAGAAATCCGCTCCTCAGGAATCAGTTGGCTGTGGATCTCCCATACCTACCGCCTACCTACACTATGCATGGCCGCGGTCATTCACTTCCAGCCATTACCTACCACCTCTACATAGATACAAGATATGTACTATCTATGGGCAGATATCATAGTACATGCATGCGTGCATACATACATACTACATACATACATACCTACATATGGATATGTAAAATACTTTGTACTGACACAGCAGCCAAAAGGGTCCCTTCTTCAGTAGCTTTCTGGGAGCTCTCCCCGGACCCCCTGCTACTTGTTAGCTTAGCCCCGTAAGCCCAAGCGGTCGAGGTGTCATCCCAGTTGGTCGGGCTCCTAAGCAAGCTAAGACGAACAAGGGTTAGAAAAGGGAAAAGTCGACGAACTTTTAAGAGAAAAAAAAAAGTCAGAGAGTCCAGGGCGGCAGGGCGGTAGGGCCGGTCCCCAGTCATGGAGTCAGTGGAGCAAATCCACAACAGCCAAGTCGAAGCGGAACCAGGTCTAGCAGGTCTAGTCAAGCCACCCCGTCCACATTCCGTTTTTTTTCACCAGCCAGCTAGTGTACCCTGCAAGTCTTCACCTCCAACCCTTCAACCAAGAAAAAAGGCTTATACCTCTCTCACATGTGCACTTTTTTCTGTTTTTCTACTCCTACCCACCCTCGCGCAATACAACCGTGACCTCTGGAGGACAACCGATAAACAAGCAACCTGTGTCGAACCTGAGTTCTTGGGATCTTGGAAATACCTCCTGGGCTTGAGCTCAACACGATATATGACTGCAAATCTTCGTCTGAACCATTGGAACTGGGCCTATGTCGTACGGTCCTCGCGAATAACTATCGATTTCGTTAAGGTGCAGAGAGGACAACCTTTTGGAAGGCCGGTGATTGTGTGTCAGGACTGGCAGACTGGCATCGATACCGCTAGATTGATTGGAGAAGCGGTATAGCTCTCAAGAGACAGCACAGGAGCCTGACTACGACCCCACGAAATTCAACTACCCCAAGCTACAGCGCCCAGAACACGTGGACCAGTGTGACCACTTAAAGTTGATAGGGCAAAAAGAGGTTACTGGTACACGTATATACCTCTGAGCTAACCATTGGACATTGTTCATAAAGATACCTGTCACGAGGTTTGGATACCAGCATATCTATCAGCATTTCTCAGGCCTCCCTCTTGCTGTTGTCATCGTGAGGTCTTGATCTATAAGACTTCGGAAGCGGTTTACTAGAACCAAAAAGCGCAACGCGAACTATTTTTTCCTATCCCAGTTTTTGGACGACAATCTATTCCCCAACGTAGCGGTGCCGCGGATCCTGGATGCATTTACCCTGACGTACCATCACATCACATCACCCCACCAAACACAGGCCCCGTGAAGTGACTTATACCAACAACAATCACAACGCGATCGAAAAAAAAACTACACGACAAGTTTGATTTAACCTGACAGAAAGTAAAAGGACGGCGTTCTCGCCACTATTGAGCTACTATCAGCGACATGTCTCCTAGATTACGACCTCTGCAACTACCGCTGTTGGTGGAAGAAAGAAGGAAGAAAGAGGAGGAAGAGGCAGCGCAACGCGAAGTGGACGTTGACGTTCCCTACAACTTCTACATGACGGATTCCTACTCGTCGGACGCGACGTCACCAGTCACACCAACATTTTCAGCGCGTGGACATCTGCGCTGCTCTAGCTCGATGTCTTCTTTTGACCTCGCAACAGTAGCTAGCTCCGATAGCCCTTCGTCTCCCACGCAAACAGCACAGAACTCGGGCAAACGCGTGCTACCTAACGTAGAGGAGGAGCCAATTGAGTACGAAGACGAATTCGAAGACTCCGAAGTTGACTACGACGATGCATCTGAACTATATCAATGTCTATGTATGTCATACCTATCCTATTTTGCTGCCCTGTACTAACAAGCTTCGACATAGGCGACGAGCCTTGCATCCATCGAGATTCCGACTTGGTGCAAAGCACTTCTAACTTCTACACAGAGGCCCGAGGTGCCGAATACGACGCCGGTTTCTTTAGCGATGGCGACTTCAGCTTCAGCCTACGCTCGTCATTAAAGCGACGCAGAGACGGCTCGGAGTCACCATTCGCAGGTATCTCGCAACGATTAGGGTCACGATTCCCGTCTTTCACCAGATGGAAGTCATCGAAGCCATCTAGCATCAGCTCACCGGTGTCCGACTTCGGATTTGACCAGCAGCCGATGATGTCTAGGACCTCTTCGAGTCGCTCCTCTTCTAGATCGGCGCCTAGTCGACAACATCGGGATCGTTCGAGCGAGCCTCCCGTGCCACCTACTCCTGCCTTGTCGCGCAACGGAAGCAATGAAAGGGTGCCACTAGACGTCACAGTGGACGCCAGAAAAGCTACTGAGCTTCTTTTCGCCATTCAGCACGAGCGCAAGCAAACCCTAACGCCGCTTCTCCCACCGATGATGACTGCTTCGTCCGAGTACATTCTAGCGCAGTCTTCCCCGCTAGAGTCGCCGAGAGTTGCCTGTGCTCCCTCTATATTCGAAGAGGAAATGTACTCGACGGGCATGATCTCGCCGCCGCTCAGCGCGAAAGGGTCGCACTCTTCACTCCGCCTCATGCCGGACTCGGTGGAGCTATCTCAGCTTCCCGCGCCGGACGCCTGGTCCGACCGTCTGGGACATGCGAACTACACTATAACCCCGAAGCCGTATAAGCCCGAGACGGTGGACCTATGCTCTCTACGCCAATTCCGATCGGACTGGGAAACCGCGCGGATTAACTACACGAAGCACCTTGCGCGCACAGGAGAGCACTACGGGCAAACTTCCAAGACCTACTCGCTCACAGAAGCCAAGTGGGCCGAGACCCAGCGGGATTGGAGGAACCTTCACGATGAGATAGCAGAAGCGGTTGTTGCTAGCGGCGAGGCGACCGACTGCGACAAGTTCGACGAAGCCATGTTAACCACAGTCCCGAGAATGGACGCTGAGGGCAAGTTTCCCGAGCGCGGTGACGAGGATATTGTGGGACCGATGGTGCGCGAGGCGACGATGATGTCCCTCGACAACGCGGACCGGAAAGGGCCCGGTTTCTGGCGCCATTTGGCGGGAAAGGTCGGCTTGAGGAAGTAGATCTCTTACCACCTTACCATACCATACCTACCTAACTATTGACGCGGCCGGCGAAAAATTCGAACGACCCGCGAATTATTACGACTACCTAACGACGATCACGACCCTAACGTCACTTACGCTCGTTTTCGGAATCATCTTTTTTTCTTCCGTTTTACGTCTTGCAGCATAGAGAGATACCATTTGTCGTTTACTTGGATACCACATTTTACCATTTAGAGGAACGATTTCAAGACACACACCCCCCCAGTACACAAGTCCGCCACAGCGGCATGAGCTGCATAGCACCGGCGCGTTTGGCGTTGCAATCGGAATTGTTTATTTGTTTGAAAATCGTCTGGACCATAATCTACGTGAGGCTGCTTCGGTCCGAGACCGAAAAAGCCTCCAATGCACATACTTCCCTGTCTTTTGGCCGCCTTTCCCTAGCGTCGTTCCCGGCCTTGGTGTTCTTCCGGCATGTCGGCGACCTACCTCATGCATCTGCACCATATATGGCTAGGATCGGCAGAAAAAATGGCAGCTCGGCACCATACATAGACCCTCTCCTTTTTTACTCCCTCCCTCTTTTCTGTACCCCCCATCCTACTCTTGGTACATACAGCGTTCAATACCCAGCGCCTTCGAAACGCGGATAACGTACTAGTCTGCATATCAGAAAAAAGAACCTTTTCGGAATCGTACAGCATGGGAATTGGAGAAATAAGGGGAATGAGTTGAATGCCACCTTTTTTTTTATCGGGTTTTCTTTTGCTTTGTCTGTTTGCTTTGCTCATTTGTTCATCAATTGCGAAAACCTGGGTGTGTTTTATCGGCATGGCATCGCATCGGCGCCTGGGGAAAATTTTTACAACCAAAGAAAGCGAACGGAAGAGGGCTACCTCCTGTAACGCCTCCGTGTGTGCAAATACTGTACTTGACTGTACATCACTTTGTCTATCTGATGAGAATCGACGAAGAGGGAGAGGAGGATTGACAATGTCACTAAGCAATAGCAAGTTTGTCTGGTGCGCGGATGAGGGGACGATCTAAGATTGCTGGGTCCGCCCCATTAGCGATGACCGCAGCCTCCGGCTCCTGAGGGATGGCTTCGACTCAGCTTAGCAACGGGTCTAGTTGTCGCTACCTAAGGAGTGTCGAGGAGATCTTGTAAAAAGAAATAAGAAACATGTACATGACTACCTTGTCGCTAGCTAGATAGGAGCAATATCTACAACTCGACCAAGGAGAAAAGAATAACTACCATGGACAAAATTTTTCCACATCTCAGCGTATCATTATACACACATGTGACTGCGTGACGTAAGAAGTTGGTTCGAGCTATTGCTGATACTATCGATAATGCTTACATCTATTAAAGGGTATGAAACATCAACCATTCCATTCTCAAAGCTCACGGCATGTTGTTGGATGGTAGGATCGCATTCTACGAACACATTTAGATCCCTAAGTACATAGGATCAACTGAAAGATACCTCGTCTACAGTATATCTGTAGTCTACAGAAGTCAAGGAATACCAAATGTTCCTAATTCGTACCTATACTTGAACATGGCAGAGGTCGAAGAATCCAGGTAATAGGTATCAAATAGTACATCCAAAATCACTGGAAACTTGCCACGCTGTTACTTTCTGTTTTACTACCCTCCTAAGGCCCTTCCAAGCTTACTTTCGATTCATGATCTGGTCTCCTAAGTGTCTAAATAGCCAAATATACTCAGAGGGCATATCTAAAACCTACGGGAGCGCCTTCGGCCTCTTCTGTGTCTCTGGGTTGTGTTGGGTTTCCGTCTGATTCAAATTCCTCGCGAAGGACTAGTTTCTTGTTCTGCCTCTGCAATTCGAGCCTTGTGATAAGGGTCAACAGCGCGACGAGGATGCAAACTCCCCCCGTAGCAGCCCCGCCAGCGAGATATCTAGGTCCGTCGACGGATGGATACCTTAAGGTGAAACCTGATTAGCATTTAAGTGTACAGTATTCGACTTCGTGAAGAGGATGGTTCAATGGATAACAACACTTACATATAGGTGCCATAAATGTTGGCGGTGTTCCCGATCATGTTAGTAAAGGAGATGCATACGCTCCGCTTGACCAAAGGCCTCGGAAAGCTGTTAGCTACCCATGCCAGAAGAATCTATAGTTTCCAGCGTTATTCGTTAGCAGCCGTAACTTCACTGTCTTGGGTGCCTGGGCACAAGACAATTCTGTCAAATCAACTCACCTGATACGCAGGTAAAGCACCTAACGGAAGCAAGAAAAGAGCGAAGAAGCGGCCTGCAGTATTGAGAGTTGCCACTGCAATAATGTTTCCCGCGCAAGAGATCATTATCAAGCACATGATGTGGATGCTCCGGTCGGTGAAGCGTCCGGACGTATACGTTACCACCAATGAGGAGAAAAACGTAAATGCCCAGACAGGCGCCGTAAGGAGAAGAGTCTCAATGTTTCCGTAGCCCAGGGTCTGTAGGATGGTCGGGAAGAAATACTGGAAAGTCTGCGTGAGTAGCGAAGCGTGCTGTAATAGCGTAAATAGGTATAGTCGGGGATCTCTCAAAGCCAGCATCACCCCTTCTTTGATGGTTGAGGCACCAGGTGCATCCGCCTCTCCTACTTCTTTGACTAGCCGCCACTGTGCATATGCACGCTCCTCCGTAGAGAGCCACCTAGTTGTTGCTGGATAGTCCGGTAGGATGAGAGTCGAGCAAATAGCACTGCCGATTGTGAGGGTGCCCTCGATTATAAATAACCAACGCCTATCCTCAAATTAGACCAACATCTTTTCGAAGTTCGTTGCCTACTTACCATCCCGCAATTCCGTGAGCACCGCTCAAATTCGCGAGGACGCCGGCGCCAAGAAGGCCACCAAACGCGTTGGCAAACGAATGGCCGCAATAAAACCACGCGATCCTGAGAGCCAGCTCGGGTCGTGTGTACCAACTTGACATCAGCAACATAGATCCCGGGAAGAAGGGTGCTTCCGCTGCAGATAAGTTAGAATTGTGATACGAAGCCAAATCCTCTCGATAAGAAAGCAGGCAAATCTTTGGCGTAGGATTCGCAAAACGTACCTAGACCGAGGAAGAATCGACATAAGACAATTGCAGTGAAACTATGCGTTGCGGCTTGAGCTGCTGATATCGTTCCCCAGATCGTCATAGCCGCGCCGAGGTAAAGCGAAGGTCGTACCCGCGTTAATAGGAGATTCGAAGGAAGCTGCATGAGGAGATATCCGACGAATAGGATGCTCGTTGCCAAGTTGAAATCCGTCCCCGTCATACCAAGATCTTTTTCAAGGGTTCCAAGACGAGCTTGTGAGAGGTTGCTAATTGCTTTGGTGAGAAAATTGATAGGACAGGGCCAGCGCAACGGCTTCTCTCAAGACTCACTTTCGATCTAGGAAGTTGAGCATAAACATCAACGCTATCATCGGCATCAGATGAAAGTCGACTTTCCGAGTAAGAGTCTTCGTCATTTTACGGTGGAACTCGGGGCTAGCCGTGATGAATTTTCTGAATAGGGCGACTTGCTCCTCGTTGATATCATGGCTTCCCAATACAGCAGGAATTTCTTCTTTCTGATTTTCGACTTCTGCGTAGGTCATCTTGACCCCCTCTTGGGATTCGTCGGTTTTCGTACTACAGGTAGCCATTTTCTCAGCTATCGTGGATCCGATCCAGGACCCAACCATCAAGAACAAACACTGATGATGCTTTCCGACGAAACGCCTACTATTTAAGTTACCTCTAGACCTGGATCTAGGTGGCGAGCCGACACCACCCGTGATGCTGCCGCACCCACATAATCCAACCTAGCTCGGTATGTGATCGAAAAAGCCCGAGTATCACTCATCAACAACAATGGATCTCCACATGGGAATTACCCCGGGTCAAGCCGTGGAGAGATTGCGGAGGAATCAGGGGCGAAGGCGGGGAAGGTGGAGGAAGCTCTGTGCGGGATGCTACTTTGTCGCTGGCGAATGCGGAGCTGTTATACACAGTTTCATTCGATAAACTGTTGATCCTTCGTCTTTACAACATTCTGTGCGACTTCAGATACTACAGCTCATTCGCTTTTCGACTAGGGGAGCACAGCGCTAATGCATCTCCGTGCGTCTGTGATCCGTGAGAGGGCGGGCGCCAGTACGAGAGCTCGGCAGTCATCTATGGCTGATCTATGTCATGCAATGTTAAGTATCACTCTATATATCAGAAGTTAGCAAGGTGGCGATTAGCTTCTAAGATATGTAATTCCGTACCCAGGCTGCTTATGAATATAGACTTTATTCGACCCAGAGAGCCTCCTGGAAAAGCCCACCCTTTTCCCTGTAAACCCCTTTCAATTATATGTAAGGTTTAAGGTTCCTAGTGAATCAGTTCTTTTTCTCGTCTTCGGACGAATCGAGATGTTGATACTCCATCTTTTCCCTAGAGAACTTTAGTAGTATGTGTTAGTTTTCCCAGAACGATGATCTTCGGCCCATAGTATCATCTCTATATTGGCTTGAACTGCTTTGAAACCTTCCGTACTATATGATAGATTTGAATCCTGTTGGAAACTTATAGGCGCTCACCTATGTAGTAGTTAGGTAATTTACCATTTTCTGTATCCCGGCCATCTTCGTCGTCCCCGATGATCTCTTCAAAAGGCCAGTTATAATTATCTACCTAGCTAGATGAAATATTGAAATATATGTTTACTTAGGTAGGTAGGTAGGTAACAAAGTCTCCTATCATCATTCCAAGTCCATTGAATTATATAATATTATACGGGAAGGGGCGACCCGGGGAGTAACAATGGACGCGGATGAACAACGGACCCGGACTTTGGTGGATCCAACGGAGGGGGTCGCAGCAGGTACCTAATCCGATCCCGACGAAATTCAACTACCGTCCCTTCAATCTCCTTAACTCTATTTTAAGCATACTCAACGCTTTCTCATCGACATTGCAATCCCCCATATTTCACTTCTACTAGATTTCCCTTCAGGCATACATCATGGCCCTTGCTGATCGCATGAAGCAATATGAAGCAGAGTTCGAATTCACGCTACCTGCTTCGTCTCCAGCCATACTACGCTTAGATGGCCGCAACTTCTCGCGCCTTGTGGCGCACTCAATTTTTTATCGACCTTTTGATCATAACATCCACGAGTCTATGGCAGCTACGTGTAGTGACTTACTCTTAAAACTCTTCCCCGAAGCCACCGTTGCCTACACGCGCTCCGACGAGATCACGTTGGTGTTCCCTCAAGGCATCCATCTCTTCAATGGAAATGTGCAGAAACTTGTTTCCCTCGCTGCCAGCTACTGTAGCGTGCGATTTAACATGCACCTTATGAATGCACTGTCCCCATTACTTCCGAGACTTTTAGGCGAAGATGGCATCCTAGGTTCGGCACATTTCGAGGCGCAGTTCTTCACCGTCCCGACCGCCGAGGAGGCCACAAACTACCTTCATTGGCGATGCGCGGGGCGTGCGATGGAAAGAAGCGTCAACGAATTTGCGAGGACTTCATTCACCCAAGACCAAAGGCAAGGAAAGACAGCCGGGGAACTAACTGAAATGATGCGGAGTATGAAGAATGCATTCAACCAAGAACTGGTGCCGAAATGGGCTATCGAGGGATGTTTGGTGAAAAGGACGTTATATCAACAGGAGGGATCGAATCCCCAAACAGGTCAACGGGAGAGGATGGGACAGATGAAGACAAATGTTGTGGAGAGAGGGGTGGAGGAATTCTCGGCGGAAGGTCTCAAGCTAGTGACCGAGAGATATTGGAACGATCTCGATTCTCCTGATGCCCCTCCACTCTCAAAGTCGATAACTCCCATCTTGGTTAATGACAGCTCTATTTCCGCAGCAAACACTACTATCTTCGGACCCAACGTCTACGTCTTCAATGCCAGCATGCCAGCAGCCGACATCCAAGCGAAGGTGACGACTATCTTCAAGCAGATGGAGGCCAATGAGTTCGGCACTGAGCGGTACGCGCTCCTATTCAAGCCAGGGACCTACAATGTGCTATTCGATGTGGGCTTCTATACGCAAGTCGCGGGTCTAGGCCAGAGCCCGGACGACGTTTTGATCGAGGGAGGTGTGAACGTGCCGGCATACTGGATGCCGAATCGCAACGCCACCTGCAACTTCTGGAGGGCATTCGAGAACTTCTCTATCAACGCCTCGGAAGCCACCAACAACACGACGACGATAGCCGTGTCGCAGGCAGCGCCGCTACGCCGTATGCACATCCGAAGCTCGGGCGGTCTCTGGCTATTTCAGGTGGACCCGAGCACGGGAGCCGGGGGTTGGGCTTCCGGAGGTTTCATGGCCGACTCGGTGGTCGATAACCAGGTGCTTCCCGGCTCGCAGCAGCAGTGGCTGTCGCGAAACAATAGATACGGCACTTGGGCTAACGCCGTATGGAACATGGTATTCGTCGGCGACTCTAACGCACCTAGCCAAGATAATTTCCCCGTTTCTGCCTACACTACAATACAACGGACCCCCATTATTCGCGAGAAACCATACCTCTATATCACAGGCCAAGGCCAATACGAAGTATTTGTCCCTGCACTGCAGACTGACACTCAAGGCCCTAGTTGGACAAATGGCTCCTCGACTCCAGGAAAGTCTATAGCTATTGACCAATTTTACATAGCTCAACCACCTTCTGCCAGCGCGGCTAGCATCAATGCAGCATTGAACTCCGGAAAGCATATTCTCTTCACGCCAGGTATCTATAAACTCGACGATGCGTTGCGCGTTTCGCGAGCCGACACCGTCATCCTCGGTTTAGGGATGCCGTCGCTTATTCCTACGAGCGGACAACCGGTCTTGTCCGTGGCCGACGTAGACGGGGTTACGCTCGCAGGCCTCATAATCGACGCGAGCGAGGTGAACTCACCTTCGCTAATCGAGGTCGGGCCCCCAAATAGCACGATCGACCACGGGTCGAACCCGACGTTCCTTTACGACTTAACGGTGCGAACTGCAGGCCGTACCAAAAACGACGTCGGCATCGTCATTAATAGCCGCAACGTGATTGGCGACCAGCTGTGGCTATGGCGCGCGGACCATGGTGACGGGGCGGCCTGGGACGCCAACCCGACGAAGAATGGCGTGGTAGTCAACGGCGACAACGTAACGATATACGGGCTATTCAACGAGCACCACCGCGAGTACCAAACGCTCTGGAACGGAAACGGCGGGCGCCTCTACTTCTACCAATCCGAGATCCCCTACGACCCGCCCAACCAGGAGTCGTGGATGAGCAATGGCGGGAGGACGAACGGGTTCGCCTCGTACAAGGTTGCGGATGGCGTGACGAGCCACGAAGCTTGGGGCTTGGGGATTTACTCGTACTTCCGCGACTCCCCCACAAAGCTGGAGAACGCGATCGAAATGCCCGAGGTGGATGGGGTCAGGCTGCACCACCTGACTACGGTATGGCTTACGGGTGTGCCTGGGAGCGAGATTACCCACATCGTGAATGGGGTCGGTGGTCGGGTCTACGCGAACAACCCGGAGTCGGCGATGCGACAGACCTTGAACGAATACTCGGGTGGTCGCAATTAATATGTCGGGGTTATGGAGACTTTGGTCTGTAGATCAAGTGCTCTCCTGTTACAAGTTTAGTGCATGCCTATTACATTCATGGTCTACGTGGCTATATGGCTGCTTTAATGGCTAGGTTGTGATGCGAGTAGCCGTATCGGCCTTCCATCAACATAAGATGGATAAAACAGGAGTAGCTCGTCCTGGGGATAGGTCGGGGTAGGTATTAGCGGGTGGCACAGGAAGTGATGTTTCTCACGGGGTGTAGTACAGCAGCAACATTTTCCCTTCCCCTCGTGCTCCTTTCGAGCGGGAGGGCGCAGCATACTTCCCTAAATCATATGATCAGTGCAGGAGTTTAGAACCTAAGGGTGATGTTTGGGAGTAGTGCTGTTCAATGAGAGCACTTGGGCTGTTATCTCCGAAAGTCCTGACGTCCGACTTAGGGCTGCTGCTGACATTCGACTCGACCTCAAACTCCCCAATATCTTTCCAATGTGGGCAGATGGCCCCGGCCCCCCGCTGCCCCGGAGTTACCCACGACGCGTGGGATGTCGCATCTGCATGCATGTGCTAGAGGCTCAACACCATTAGGCATAGTACATACATGTAACTAGTAGCGGACATCGAACGTTGCAGATTATAAACATCGCCCTATTTGTTGTTGATTTGATCTCTGGTATCAATGTTAGAAGAGGGCGAATCCACGGTTTATGTTACTGAAGGACTCTTAGTTACATCACATAGCTCCACGGACAAATTCAATATTGCCTAGACATTAAGACATGGCTGGGTATATTGAACAGGAGGGGTTCATAGATGGGATCTGTGCCATCCTAGATACCTACCAGCCTACCAGCCTACCAAGCCCTCCACTTACACAATGTCAACGACATGCTCTGATGGAATCTTGATCCCGTAGGAATGAAATCTCACATAAGTGACGTTGTTTGTAAAACAGGTATAGACCGCTATATGTCGAATCGTGTATACAGTCCGAGAACTTGGATATTGAATTCCGAAGGCCAAATAGTGAGAAGAGTAAAATAATCATGTCACGAGCGCGTGGGATATGCAGGTTGGTTGTAGTGATTGGTCGCAATAGTTAGAATATGCATGGGCGGATCTGGACCGAAGATCACCCAAAACACGAAGAAATCACGAAAGATTCAAAAGAGGAAAAAATGGCCAGAACGGCTGGTGTTCATTGGGTAGAGGTTGGCGAATATTGGCAGATTTGGTAGATTTGGCAATTGGATTTGGGCACAGAAACCACAACTCCGAACATCGCTGCTGCTGAAGTTTGGAAAGCGTTATCGGTGGATACCGATAGCTCCGGAAGTGGTACGATAGCAGGAACGACATGCAGCAAACCCTCACATCTTTTACCCAGTATTACCCAGTACCATCCAGTAATCCTAGGAAATCTTAGGAAATCTTAGGCAGTCTTAGGCAGTCACCACTGGCGTCGATTCCACCATCGGCGCAAGCGCTTCAACACCCCAGTCTTTTTCTCTTTTCCCCTAGCCATCCCCTAGTCTTTTCCCTCGCCTAGGGACTTTTAGCGTCTTTTCCCAGTCGTCCCATCCCACAATTTAAGTTGATCTTGGGAACCTTCTGATTGAGTTTTGTCAATTGTAAAATCGTGGAACCCAAGACCACTACTTCTTACTCTATTAATAATAAGGTGGGAAGAAAGAGATATCTATACATTAGTATATTCTATCTGTAAATGTCTCTTTGTTCTTAACTCTACTGCAAATACCGTTGAATCCAATTGCTCGTACATTGTGTCTAAGTTAAAATTGTATTATTTTATTGTACAGAGACATCAAAAGAACGCACGCGCTGCTTACCACCTCCCACCTTTACCACGACCACCGAAACTATCGTGTTTTTCCCCCAACCGAAAGTCCGAGCTCAGCTACTACTCACCTAAGCACCCCCGCCACTACTAATTTATATAACGCCGAGAAAGAGGGAAGATAGTGAGAAATATCTTTCAACTCTTCCACCCGCCTAAACCGTGTACAATATACTATAAAGAGTATATACAAAACAAAACACACACACATCAATCGCAATGTTCGCAACTCGAGTCCTACGCCAAGCGGCAGCTCACGCCGAGAGAACTCCGCTGATCCGATTCATCGGCAAGCGATCCATTCCTGGTACGTCCCCTCAACATATGCGACAGTTCAACCTCGGCCCGGTTCTCTCCCACACTTACACTCACTTACACTTACACCCGTACTCGTACTCTCACTTCACACAACCGTCCAATTCACATGGCAAGAACCTACCTAAGACCTAGGTAACTAACACCCGTAAAACAGAACACGTAGACCACACCCCGCACCCGCACCCAGCCTCGCCCTCAGGCGCTCTCCCAGCGGGCTTCGGCAGCGGCAGCGGCAGCAACAGCAACTCTCACCCATCCTTCTCGTCGTACCGCGACCACGCGCAGCAGCACGGCCCCCTGCGCAAGACCATCTCCGGCGCCGCCAACGGCATCGGCGCGCAGTCCGCCTCGCACCTGGGCCCCGTCGAGCCGCCCAAGGGCGTCTACTTCGACCGCAACGAGCTGCCCGAGCGCTTCCGCCGCGTCCCGCTCACCGCCGCCGAGATCGAGGCTATCGAGACTGGCGGCGCTGCGCTGTTCGGTTGATTCGTTATGCCGTTATTATATATTTAAAAAGATTTAAATTTATCGATCGATTCGCTGGGTGCCGGGGGTGCGATACGCTGCATAGGAAAGGGAATGACGAGCGGGCATAGGACGTACATATGATTTACACTGATTGTTAATGATTTTTGGTTCGTCGACGACGATGACGAGCAACTTGGACAAGATATGAAAGGCGGACGTCGAGTCCGCCGGCCGACGCCCTAGTTGGGGAAGAGGAGGGAAACACACATTGGTGATTCAACCACACCACACATCCCCGGCCATCACCTCAACGGTGGCCCCCATTCTAATACTTGCCTTGCGTGTATAGCTTTTGTGAAGAAGGGGGAAGAAAAAGAGGGAGAGGGAGGCTCAATTGCGATTCCGTTCCTAGCATTGAAGGCGCGTCTCAAAAGAAAGACATTGATTTATATGTATGGTCACCACAAAAAGGTTTAGCACAGCATGATTTTTCGGGGCGCTTTCCCGGGTCGATCGTATTCGTGGGGTACATATGGGGAGACGGAGGTGAGGGTGAGAAGAGGCCGAAGAAAGAGATGGAGATCGATGTACGATCTGATACCCCCTTAGCCGAGAGCGTGAAGCGGAGTGGATCTACTTGCTTCTTTTCCTAGACTCTGTACGATGCCGCTAGTAGATAAATAGAATTCGATGAATTCCTTCCGCTAAAATTTGTACACGTTGGATCTGGTACTACTATGTGGAAAGCTATCTTAATATCTTGCTATACGCTGTATGTGCCTGACTACTAGGTAGGGAGGTCCTTAGAATATGGTTGACTTGTATATTGAGTACTGAGTATTCAACAGTGGCCGCGATTGTATGTCCAAACACCTAGATATCTATAACACGAATATCCAACCCTAACCAGCCGTTGAAAACATGTGGGTTGTTACGGAAGGCTTGGGACTGGGGGACTTCGGACAATACCAACTTAACCTCAGCGCCAATAACGTCCCCATATGGCGTATTCTTCCTTGGTGCCGCTGAACTTGAATTCGATCTCGACTACGTCTTGGAAGCCCTCCTTAACCTTCGGCTCTTTAAAGCGGGAGAAGAACCCGTTGAACGCTAGGGCAGGGAGAGATGCGCGTGTTTCTGGGTTCATCTATGCTGTTTGTAAGTCTTCGTTTGATCATGACGTCCACCTACCTAGTCTTAACCGAAGTGATCATACATACCGACTTATTAAGGGCCCGAACGACGTCGTTATGCTCGCAGAGTGCCTTGGGCACCTTAAACCAGACACAACGGATAAGTGTGTCGTGCTTCCGCGCAAATTCAACCCACTCCTTCCTACCATCTGCATCAGGATTCGTGTTATCTGCAAGTATACGTCAGTTGGCTTGCGAAACGCCCAGGTTGTCGATGACGGAGTAAGTCGAAGGCCGAATTACTTACCGATTACTACTGAGTGCCCTACGCCTAGGAGTTCTGTTGCAGCCTTAAAACATTTGGCCCGGCTCTTGAGTGTATCCTGGTTCACGCGCTCGTAGCCCAGGGGTTTCAAGTGACGCCAGTAGAAAGTGCTCTTGCCGGCACCTGGCGGACCACAAAACAGGACGATATCCTGTTTATTGGTCTTCTCGAACGCAACCTCACTCAAATCCTTGCCGTCCTCTCCAGCATCCGTCCCGGGATACGGGTAAGAAGCTAAATCGAAGTCCCTCACAAACTCTCGAGGTGGTTCGCCAAGGAAGAATTCCTCGGGGGTCTTGTATGAGATGCCAACATTGTGCGCGAAGTTGCGGTCCGAACAACTAAAATCCTTGGTGCTGGCCGCCGCACCTGTTTCTGCATTCTTCAGCTGTGCGGTTCGACCTCCGGCATCGCCTACAAATACGCTCCCCGAGAGGTCGATCTCGTCTTCGGGAATCTCGTAGTCGCGGCAGAGTTCGGTCCACATGCCGGTTCGCGGTTTGCGGAAGACATCATGACCGGTGGCGGCGTAGACTGTGGTTGGGACATCGAGTTGCGCGAGTACAGCGCTACATTTTTGTTTGAAATTTTCGACTTTGTTTTTATTGCCGGCTTTTGGGCCCTTGGATTTGGGATCCGGATGTAATGTTAAGCCGGCTTGATTGCTGAGAACGATAACACGGTAACTATGAGAAGTTTGTGTGAGATAAATGTATGATAGTGAGAATTGTAAGGCAACGCGATTTGTGACGTGGCATCATTCCGTACTTACTCTTCTTCTGTGTATAACTTTCGCAAGCGAGACGGCACACTAGAATCCCACCATTTCCAATCACCAGGGTCATTTCCAAATTTCTTGCCGGACGCGGTCGTGATTAGAGTCGAGTCCTGGGCTTGGTTAACCACACATCTTCGACACATAGTTATTTCTCGTCATCAAGCCATAGAGCGCAAATGAAGTTTCTATTCATACCAGGTCAAACGCTGCTATCTTCCTCCTTTTCCTACGATCTAATTCGCCTATATTCTCGGGTTCATAACGGCCTACGAGTAGAGTGGGAGGTGTGTCATCGTCAGGGGCGCGTTCGGTCCAGTTGGTTCGGTCTTTGGGCTTTTGAGAGGTCGGAGTGAAGAAACTAGCTACAGCGCCTTCTGTTCGGGTTGATTAGCCATCGGCAAACCGGTTAGCACAGAGACTAGATGGCAGTACGATTGAGATTCGCGGAGGTTCAATGCTGGAGGTCACACACGAACTTGATATGGTGCTCTGAGCTTTGCGCTTGACAGGTGGGGGCGATATAGATTTCTCTGCAGCTTTCCGCTTGCTAGTGTTCGAAGATGGAGATGCCATATTGGCTTTATGGGAGAAAGGGAATAGAAGACGTGTAGGTGCAACATTGAAGTTGTTGAATTTAGATACGTACCGATTACCTTATCAGATCCAAGGATGCAATATCTGAGGACGCGACAATGCAGGGTGGGGCCATCTCCAAGCTCTTTCTTAGGGAACTAAGGAAATCGCGAAATCACGAGACTTCCTTCCAACGATGACTATTGATGCAAGAGCTTTTCTAAGTTGTATACAGCCTCTTTCAACGATGTTCTATTTTTTACCTAGTATACCTAGGTATACACCTATCTACGAAGGCAATTCTTAGATGTCAACTTCATTTACAATCACATTTACATTCTTGTCGAAGGGACTTGTCACTCGTCTCTCAAGTTATGTAATGAGTAATTACTGCCTTTCTATTCCATTGGCATCGGTGTAATCAGTATTATAGGACCACTCTTCCGATTTGATGCGCCTCTCTTCTCTCTTGCACCTTTCAGGATCTGTCTAGATACCTATTTCACTGCCAACTAGGTAATGACCTAGGTAGGTAGTCACTCCTAATATTGGGCCTATAAGAGTGGAAGTGGCTTGAAATGTCTTATACATGCCAGTGCTTAGATTAGAGGTAGCTAACGCCGCCACGCTGTCACTATGCCTTTACTGTATGTCTTTAAGTTAGGTAGGTATTACCGGCTCAATTGTTGTGGGATTTAGGGGCTACAAGCAAGAAACCCACTAGCGCTGTCACGTGTATGATGCTCATCATGAATCAATGGCGCCTGAATCTTGCAAACCTCTAATGACCCCAGCAATTATCGCGATTGGGTTATAGGAGGTATCGTTGAGTCACTTTTATTCGGTGTCATGGTGTTGATAGGAACGGGACGATGTAGCATGGATATATGGCCTCTGGCCCACGCCAGTCTAGAGAGATTATAAATACAAGTCCATCTGTTGATGAGGACGCTTATCCCTCGACAGTATCTTGAATTTTGTGCTTCCATTCGAATAACAGGAGTCGATATTCTAAAGTTGTTGGATGTTACCAATTCCATCAGTCACATCTCCCAGCGCCAACCCGCAAACTCGCTCAAACATGAACGATTCCATAGACTACCCGCTCCCACAGGGCCTCCACGTAATCCCCAAGGAGCTCCTAGACATGCGTTCAGACGCCGAGATAGACCACTCCATCCTCCACCCCCCTCCCGTCACAGACGAGAAGAACATATGGTTCTTCTGGCACACAGGCTACGCCAGCATGCACGCCTACACCAAACGCAACATCCGGGCCTGGCACCGGCGCCTCTCCAAACTCGGCTGGACAATCCGGGTCCTAGACCGCGCCCCCGGCTCCTCCTCCAACATATCCAACTTCCTCAACACCTCAGACCCGACCACCTTCCCCCGCGCCTTCACCAACTGCACCATAAGCGGCCGCTACGCAGCGCAGCACGCGTCAGACCTAGTCCGCTTCCCCCTGCTCCTGCGCTACGGCGGCGCGTACGCGGACGTCGGGCTGCTGCAGATCGGGGACCTGGACCGGCTCTGGCGGCGCACCGTCGCGGACCCGCGCTCGCCCTACGAGGTGCTCTCGTATAACCTGCACGGCGGGCTCGCGAACTACTTCATGGCCTCGCGGCCACGCAACCCGCTCTTCCGGCGGTGCCACCGCCTGCTCCTCGCGCTGTGGGCCGAGGCCGACTCCGACGGCGGCGGCAAGACGAGCACGGAGGGCATGAGCGACAGCCCTTTACTCGCCGGCGTGCCGCTGATGAGCGGATCCTTCACCATCACCGAGGAGGACGGGCGAATCGTCCAGGCCGCCGAGGTGCGCAAGATGCTGAGCGATTACATCATCCAGGGGCAGGCCATCACGCTGGTGATGGGGCTCGTCGACGAGGAAGACGGCTGGGACGGGCCGGCGTACGTCGCGGAGCGCGTGTACGGCGTCGACTGGATGGAGGGCTCGCAGCTGATCAACGAGTTCACGGGCTGGGACGGGAGGAAGGCGTTCGAGCTGATGTCGCTCGCGCTCCCGAAGCGCGGCGAGGCGGAGACCGCCGAGCAGACGCAAGCGAGGGAAATCGTGGAAGCGTGCTTGCGGAGGAGTTTCGGGTTCAAGTTGGCGCACGGGTTGATAATAAGGGTGTATGGGTGTACTTTGGGGTCGTTGTGGAGGGAGCACGAGGGCTCTGATGATGTTCCTGGGACGTATGCTCATTGGCTGAGGTATGCGACCAACTACTGGAACCAAGACGAACTACCAGCCCCTTTAGCATTTCCCGTAAAAGAACCATTAAGAAGGGGGCCATTGCTTGGTGGGAATTAGGAAATAGGGGTATATCAATGAAGATACATTTGAAGGCGAGTGGGGTCCTGCTTTAGCTTGAGAAGCCTCTAATTAGTTTCAGTCATCGTCGTCTATGTTGGTGAATGTTGTATGTCTCACGTCATATAGAGTAAACCACTAGGTAGTGGCCTGTGATAGGTAAGCAATTTTAACAATTCATGATATCGCCTCGAAAAGGATTTATTGTTATGGGAATCTCCTTCGCCTTAGCCTCTACAGTACAAATCATTTCTCACGTACCAACGCCGTTTGTAGTTAAGCACAACCCCCTATGCGACTGATATTAATCTCTCAAGGGTACGGCGGATTTCCGTACCCACCTCCCCATTGCTGGTTCCCGTAAGGCGGATATCCTCCTTGGTGAGGAGGCGGCGCTCCGTACCCCTGGCTCGGATAGCCTTGCGGCGGCTGTGATGACGCATAATACGATGAGGCCTCGCCTTGGGGAGGGGCTCCGTAGCCTTGATGTTGATACCCTTGTTGGCCGTATGATTGATACTGCGAAGGCGGCGGTCCACCGTAACCGGGATACGGTGAAACCCCGTCACCACCTTGAGGCGGGGCTTGATGCGGCGTGTAGCCATAATTAGGACTTGGTGCCGAATGTCCCTGGGAGTGATAAGATTGAGACGAAGTCGGGCGAGTCGATCCGAAGCCTGATTCTGGACGGAGCCTCTCCCCAGCTCCCATCGCGCTAAGGTCTCGAGTGGCACACTGAGACCATAGAGAGGTAGAAGGTTTGCCGTGACCTAACTGCTCCGTAAGGCCGCCGTCGAAGATACCGCCTCCGTGGGAGTGCCCTTTCTGCCCCGTCAAAATATGGTTTTTACCGTGTCGCACCGAATCTGATCCTAAAACGTGATTGATCTCATGACGTCGAGGATACTCATCAGCCCATTTGCGCACAGTGCTAAACATCTCGCGCTGAATCTCCACGTGCTCATCTCGCAGGGCTGGGTGATGGAATGCACGCAAGACGTCATTCACCACTTCGTCGACAGGGACACCAGGGTTATCCCATGCGTAAAGAACTCTTCTAGAGGCGTGTCAGCAATGCATTGGGCAATTAAGGGGGGTTATCAAAATAATAATACGTACGGCACGACATATTTAAGAATTGTCGTAGCAACTCGGCCGGCGCAAGGATTTAGGATGTTGGTAAAATGATCTTTAGAAAGCATGGAGTGAGTTGGATCAGTGCACTGAGGATTCTTCCATGGCTCCAATTGCGAATGGGCGCTTGCGTTGATTACTCCAGAAGAGCCGTCTTTCAGTGCCTTCGTAACAGCATTGATGATAGGTCTCACGAACGGAGCTAACAGACCAAGCACGAAGGCAGTTAAGGTCTCGCTGATATGCTCGAGGAGACTCTCCAAGCCTGGGATCTTAGCAATACCCCTATTGATCGCCTTCACAATTTTGTCACGGAACTCTAGTATGGGGTAAATTTGCTTTGCGACCTTGACAGGGTCGAAACTTTCACTCATACCCGGAACGATGTTTTGGTTAGTACCAGCGTTGGCTCGGGTGCCGTAGTACGATCCCTGGCGTTCGTTCTGCCTGCCCTGATCCTCAGCCATCCGCTTTAGATCACGCGCCTCGGAAGCCATGCCGCCTCCTATCCCCGGCAATTGACTGACGAGGGAGATGAAATCGCTTGCGCCGCCACCAATTCCTCCACCGAACCCGCGTGAGCCGCTCGAGGGACCCGCGCCACCCACGCCTTGCTCGGAGTTCTTCAAGGCGATGTCCAACTCGTCAACCTCTGATTGCGTGAAATGGTCGTTGGCTTCGCCTAAGACGGAGTGTAAAAAGTCGACGCCACCAAAAGTACCCGTCACGAGAGGAAAGACTCGTTTGCCGCGCAGGTTGATCTCGGAGCCCGATCCGCAGTGCGGGAAGACCTCATGATACCCGAGCTCGCGCAGAGCAAGTTCACAATAGTTGCTGTGGGCGCTAAAGTCCTCCATGCAGTGAAGTGATTGGCCAAGACATCTCAAAGCCTCGCACAGGTCATCTTCCTTTCCTTTGCCATGGGACCCATGACAGTAGAGCCTACCGAAATGTACGCTCCTGCCAATGCTGAACCTGAGATAGCCGGCACTGGTGGCCCAGTTACCATGTTCGTTGGCAATGTAGTTCTTCATACCGGTACGCATGTCGATCTCGGTCTCAACGGGTAAAACGGGACCCCGGAGTCGCTTATCGAACGTCCTCGCATCATCACCTTCGGCATATCCAAGCGGATTATCGATGTGCTCTTCGGGTCTGTAGACGCCAAGACGCTCCTCAGTCACCTCGAATTCCTCGGTAGCATATCCGTTGGCGAGGAAGGATAGGACCCAAACAAGAATGCGGATAGTGGCGGCGTTAACGCCCTTCAGGCTTCCTACGTCTATGGCTTGCGAGTAATCGCGAAGCCAGTTCCCAAAGTAAGTGCGCTGAACCATGAGAGTGGTCCATTTCTTGCCGTGGAGGAAAGCGATGGTCTTTAGCATATCCTCGATATCGCCATGACGCCAATTGTGGCCTTCGACTTGAGCAATAGAAGGAATGTTACCGGCACCAAAAGCAGCAGCTTTGCCGGGCATCGCTACCAGGACGATAGCGATGGCCAGCAGCAAGCTGCCGAAGCCGAAACGTGAGGATGGCATGACGGATGCCCAACCTTGTTGCGTCACCTCTCTCCTTCTCTTTTTTGTGCCTATTTGATTTGATTGGCGAATAAATTGTTATCTTGGGGTGTAGAGTGAAGCTGATGAGAAGAACGTTTATGCGGCTAGAGCTGGAGGAACAATAAGCACATGGAATGAGTGGCGGGGTAGCTTTTGACAGGTTTGGCGGTTTTGATTACAGCTGTGGTGGCTAATACGGAAAACGGTGCCGATGTGAGACTTTAGTGCGTCTGCCCAGGCATGATTTCAAGCCTTATGATACCTAATTAGGTAGCTCAGGTAGCCAGTGATGTAACAAAAGCTGCAAGTAGGTATCGTATAAAATTATTAATAATAAGCAGGTAGCTTGAAAAGAGTGTAACTCGGCAATGGAAAGAAACATGAGATGGGCAAGTTCGTGAAATGAAACAGTAAAGGTGAATTTGCCCCTCTATTACTCATCACCGCGCTAGACCTAGGTAGATGTACCTAGGTAAATACTATATCGTCATAGGAGGTGCGATGCAGAACCCAACCAAGCTGAAAAAAACTTTACCTCAACAGCATTTTAGCTTTGGTTACCGAGCTTCGCCATCCTTCTGAACCAATCAGGTCTCGCATACCCAGATGGTGACTACCTAGTGACCTAGCTGCGCCACTGCTGCGTTGCTGCACAGCAAGCCACGACACAGAGTCATACCGCCACGCGTTTTTAAATTGATGAACGTGCCTAGGTAGGTACCTACTTATGTGCCTCAAGACGGCTGATGGGCTATACATTCCTACATATATACCTGCACAGGTATGTAGGTAGGTAAGTAGGTGGTCAGCTCTTCGGTAGACATACACCATCTACACCTCCAGTAGCCGACGAGCGGCACGTAAGAGTGCCATCTTAGATCGTAGGGCTATGCAAATGCAGCCCTACCGCCCACAGTGCTCATGGAGGCTCTTCAGAAATACCCAACAGGTCAACGTTTAGAGACCGATCATAAGTCCGGAATAAGCCGAAGGGTGTTCCGAGACGTCTACTCAGATCCCTATCTTCCCCTATCTGACCTAAAACTCATCGCAATCTCTATCTAATTATGTAGGTTCTCTGACATTTTATCTTCCTGTCAACATAGATAGTCAATTCGATCCTTCAAGACTATGGCTGCTTTAGCTAGCCTTAGAATAAAGAAAGTGGCCTGGGTCGGGGATTCATTACCATCTAAACCCCACCAGTAGATGGCAAAGGGTTAAAATAATCTTGCCTATCTAGGTAATTGCCGATGAACGTTGTGGGGGGAATAGACTGGTTTCTGACGAGAGACGGGTCGGTTCGCTCTTCGATTTGCGCATCCCAACATCCTCTAATAGGGGTACCTAACCTCCGAATGTGAATGACCTAATATGGCTTTGCTTTATAAAGATGAGGACTCGTACATGCTTACCTAGATAGTTGCCTCTTCGCTTTACGACGCCGTGACGTAGTTGTTTACCTAGCTAAGAGGTAGATATAAATGATTTATCCGCAAACATCTTCGTAATGCATGAATACTTGGTTTCCGGTCAGATAATAGCATGATCCCCCCTTGTTTTCATAATGCTTTATCAGCAAGTGGCCTTCACCGGCTGGAGTGATGATCATGGAAATGGCGTAAACCCCCTCCTTGTCGTTTAGTATCTTGCCTATCAGAACTAGCCCTGAAACTGTCTCAGTTGGATCATCACTCTTGTAGGCTATCGTAACGCCGATAGGAGTAGAGCCCGGAGGATGGGATCTATTACCATGGCCTGACTTTCGCGCATCGATACCATATCTAGAGACCGATGTGAGATTGAGTTCGTAGCCGGTGATGTTTGCGGTCTTTTCATCGAAGATGGGGGAACTTAGTACTATTGCTTAGCAAGGTCTAGATGACGAATGATAAACCTAGGCATGAGCTTAGAAAGCGTCCATATAGATACTAGTGAGGTTGGGGTAAAAGGATGCTGAGATTTCGTAAGTTAAAATCGGATAACATTGCTTCAAATGATTTACTCCCCTCATTACTTTAACCTAAAGGATTGGTCTGAAGCCTTACGTTGGACAGTGGACAGCTGTGCCGCCCCAGCTGCAGCTTGGTTGCGACAAAATCTCCGAGTTTCAGCTTAATTCGTCAAGGAACATATTAGGGTAACATGATGAGCTGTGGAAGTGAGTACAAGGAAGACGTGAACGTGAATGTAAGAGTCGTTTAGCAAGCGGACTACGGACAATAGATATAAATCTGTCGTCGGGGCCTTCTTTTCGGCCGTGATTCACAGGTTGCTCGTTGATCAATAATACCATTGCCGCCGTTGGTTACTATCTAGGTGTTGGAGGCATCGGCGAAGCGCGACGACGAAGAAAGCCAATAAAACTTACCCCTTTAACTAGCAGTAGTCTGTATCTGGTGGGATATTATTTGCATGACTAGGTATTACTGGCCCAACGTAGAAGCTCTCGGCTAATCAGAATGCAGCTGGATTAGATGTCGGTGTGCTGTTGGCTGTGATTCGGCGTATTATACGTTTTAAACCTTGTCCGCAGACGAATTCCAAGTAAGGGGACGACTATAGTATTACATGCAGCTTGCGTGCATGTTCCTGTTATATCCCCGGTTGACCGGCTGGGTAGGGCGGTAAGCCTCCATAAAGCGGAGGTGGAGGGAATGCCACGAGGAGGCATGGCCGACAACATCCTGCCGTATGCTGTGCCACAGAACCCGCGACGAGAGAAAAGAGAGCAACTCGACCCGAAATATATCATTGATAGCCAAAAAAGTTGGAACAATGGTGAGTATTCGTGAACTAGAATTGACTAACAAGCTGTAGCTTCAACGTCTTTCCCAACCAACATTGCTTCTCAAGGTAGCAACACCTGCCTAGCAGCTCGCAGCTATCAGAAAAGGAAGGCTCTTGGAAACGTGCTATACCCCCTGATCTTAAACTGTTGGTCGTGATTTGATGCCCGAGTCTCGATAGACGAAGGTGTTGGCTTTCTCGTAGCAACAACGGTAATATAACGAACCTGCTGCGGATGATCACGCCATTGTTTTAAACGCACATTTTGTGTACCAACCGATGCTCCTCGCCGCCATTCTCCCATGGGTTCCTGATATATATCGGCGTCCAAGTTTGTTTAAGCGAGCTTCTCTGACATGCAATGCGTACCTGTCGGTACGAGTGTCCATATGTGGCGACAACGAGTACAAACTGCAAGCTGTAGAACTCCCGCCATTTCGGACTATTATGGTAGTAACGGTTGGTCGATCCTGCTGTCGTGTAAACCGCGATACACCGCCTCGACGCGACCTGCGTATGGGATGATATGTTTGTTGTGGGATGATAAGAAAGCTAGAAACAGAGGCAAGTTTACGAAAGAACCTAAATCATCGTACGAGCCAGGTACCGATGACAAAGATAGATTACTAGATAGGTGATATCATGACTTGAAAATAGAAAATTATATAATACGGAGAACAGCGGGGGAATGGGAGAGCCGGGGAAGGCTGAATAGTCGGGATCGGTGAGCAGCTCTGCTAGCAACTTCGACCGAATATCTCATGACGCTTTGTCGTCACTGTAAGCCGGTAGGAGGCAACGGCATGTTCTGTCAGCCTTGCTAAGGAAATCTGCCAAGGGAACCTAGAGACTGTCCCCGGACGTCGCGTCCTCATGCAGCATTGTACAGCGTCAGTACCTCGGACAACATTAATGATGTATTGGCTATAGTACGGAGGACGAGGCGTCATAAACGAGACTTCTCGTAGGGAGTAAAAGCATGATTGTTTCACTTGTTTTCACCGCAGGTACAGTGATACATACTAGTATATGTTTACCCCTATCGAGCAATCCACGGAAAAGAGTCCTTTTTCGGTCAAGAAGTGTGTACAACAATTCAAGGCAGAAACCAACGTTTAACGAGAAAGTACCCTAGTAACGTGAAGAGGCGGCTCAAAAGGCGGACGCATATTGCTGACCCATCAGTTCATTGATCCACACTTAAGCAGCCCTACAAGGCCAAGATGAGGCGAAGACTCACCAAGACTGCATAATCTACCACCTCACCCTAGACTATACCCTAGATCGGATGGGACGCCATACAGCGTTTGGGATTCCCGTGATGTCGACTAGGTCAGCACCTAAGTTTTCAGCGGTAGGTCCGTCCGCCTTACTGAGAAGTACCGTGTGTGTAACAACAACCAGCACAAAAATAGATTCCATCAGCATGGTTGGTAGGTCTTCTCGAAGTCTGACAGCAGATGAGTAGCTGGATATGTTCTTCGTCATACTCCGGCAGAGGCGGTACACTCGCGGAATGTATGTGGTACCATGACTGAGCACATACCGAAACAAATATTCGTATATAATGAGGATATAACACCAGGTAGTGGCAACTTCACCAGACATCCCACATCAATCACAACTCTCATAACTCATAGACACTAATCAACTCATCTTTTACTCAATCGCCCATATACTCTCAGAAGCACTGGCCTCTCGTGAGAACTACCACTTCGACAGACACTCTTCTATCCAAAATGCCGCTCACCCTCTGGAGAGACATCTCGCCTGTAGGCCAACCACTTCGAAGGCCTACTAGCAAGTCCCCACACGTACTAATAATCGGTGGTGGCGTCACTGGACTGATATCGTAAGTCGAGGTCCTGATCCTTGAACAGATCGAACACTCAAGATCTCCTCGCTTATATCAGCGAGCCTTCTGAACCAATAAAAAATTTAAGAATTAAGGAAATAAAGAAATAAAAAGTGCTAACCCCACTGTTTGCAGAGCTTGGGTCCTTCTCGATCGGGGATACCGCGTCACAGTCGTCAGCAGTGCGTGGGTCAGCGATGAGCAGCGTCTGACGTCCCAGATCGCCGGAGCGCTCTGGGAGTTCCCGCCTGCCGTTTGCGGGCAGCACACCGACAAGATCTCGCTGGCCCACTCGAAGCACTGGTCGATGACGGCGTACCACATCTGGGACGGGATCGCGTCCATTCCCCAGCTGAGTGAGGCGTCGGGCGTGCGTATGATGCCGTCAGACTTCTTCTTCCCCGAGCCCGTGGAGAGCGATAAGGCCCAGGTCGATAAGATGACCGAGATCATGGCTAGCGGTGTGAGAGGGTTCTACCGGGGCGCTGACATCATCGACGAAAGAAGGGTCGACCCATCATACGGCGCCGTGGATGCGTACGAGCTGCTGGCTCCGGTCATCGACACCGACAAAGCGATGGGCTGGCTGACGGAGCTCGTCGAGAGCAAGGGAGCTGAGCTCGTCACGGAAACCATCCACGACGACCTTGTCGAGATCGAAGACGCGCTGAGGGCTCGATTCGAAGCCGACGTCATAATTAATTGCACGGGCCTGCAAGCCCAAGAGCTCGCCGGCGACGAGACCGTCTACCCGATCAGAGGTGGACTCATCCGAGTCATCAACGACGGGGCGGACTTCCCGAAAGTAGAGGCGGCTCTGACTATTACGGCAGACGCAGCTCACTCTTCCAACGAGATCATCTTCCTCGTCCCTAGAAATGACAACATTTTGTGTAAGCATCTCGCTCTTAACTTCCCTTATTCTGTCGTCATCGTTCGAGCGATTATCCAAAAACGTCAAGAATCGACTGATTCGACGTGAAAATGAACTGAATTCTCATCCTCCTTCCTGATATGATGGGAATGAATGAATGAATGAACAATAAATAAGACGACATAAGACGAGGTACAATTCAGATTTGCTAACGTTTTGGTTCGCAGTAATCGGCGGTATAACGGAGCCTCACGAATGGAATCTAGACCTTACGCTAGATACTCCCATCATTCGCAGGATGAGAGAAAGGTGCGAGAAATTCTTACCAGGTCTAGAGAATGCGCGCCTCGACCCCGATTACCCGCTCGCGCAGGGCCTCCGCCCGTTCAGAGGTCAAAACGTAAGGGTCGAGCGCGAGCTTCGCAGGACAGGTAGCCGCATCATTCACTCTTACGGACACGGTGGTGCCGGCTGGAGTCTGTCATTCGGCTGCGCTCAAGATGTGGCGATGCTTGTAGACGAGGCTCTTGAGGGAATTCCGGCCAGACCAATGAGCGAGACGGTATTCGAACGAAAAGCAGCCGGATTCCAGCGAATTCCGGTAAAACACTGAAATGGTTGAAACGGAAATACGAAGATACGGGAGTTGAAGTTACCAAGGTATTTGATTTGTCAATTGTTTTCTCTCACTAGGTACGCTTCTATGTCAATTCTACCCATCGGTAGTGGGGTTAAGGAGAAACGGGCATCTTTCGGCGTATCCATAATAGATGGCGGGCTCGATTTTTTCTTTTTTTCCTTCTTCGCCTATAGCTACGGTATAGATGAAGTAATACGACAAGATATGACTAGAAAAGGAAAATGCGCGTCATCTAGCGGTGAAATCTGACCACCTTCGTGACCAGAGACGAACGAAAACGGACGTAATGGTAAATATCTTGCACGGGACGTGACTAATATTATATGAAGGGCTGTTAACTACCAAGGTTGGCTACGATGGCGTTATTGTTGGGATAAACAGGACGGGGTACCTTAGTAGGTAAGGCTGATAAATCCCTGTTGCCACTCCGAATCGGCAGGCGGTTGCTGTCCTGTGAATGTGAATAAGCGACCTCATACAATACGCTCTACCTATGTTAGGTACGTATATATGTAAGTAGTATCCTATAATAGTTACTCTAGCATGTCGGCGCCTTGAGATAAGTACCTGCATCACAACACCCGTGACGCATGCGAGAATGCATACCTGCTTTCGTGACGATCTAATTGATCGTCTTACTATACATGTGCAGGAAAGGGGCTAGGGGCAACACTGGAGACACGTGTCGAACGAGCCAAACGAGCATAATTTTATGTCGAACAAAATCCAAGAGAACTCATAAATTCAGCACGGATTGAGATACCCACATACTTTAACCCACGGCTCTCTTCCTGGCCTTCCTAGAGGGGAAAAGAAAGCATATGCTATGCAAATAGTTCAGGTATTGTTGAATGAGGGAAAGCGGGGATAATGAGAACAGTGGGAAGTTATGTCGATTTCGGATATGCCCAAGTAAGCCTTCTGAGTATCGATCAAGGTAGTCAGACGTTTTGACTCACTCGAAAGTAAGCTTTGCGGTGAGTGGTAATGCTTTTGCGAAATTTGCGCTCACATGAACCACTCGACAATTACTGAGCAAAGCAAAATTAGATGCGAAGATGTGTGAAGATACGCGGATTTCTCGAGCATTCTTGCGAGCTGAAACAGAATAGCCTAGAACCGCTATAGCCATCAATGCCATCCAATCGGTGCAGATGGAATGGCTTCGAAAGGCATCTTAGATTCCTGGAGTGACCCTATGAAAAGTTAGCAAAATATCTACCCACACGGGTATTGATATGTGTACACAAGTGGCGAATAGGTCGGAGGAGCTGAAGGTGTTCAACCTTTCTCAACTTCTGCAATATGGGCTGTCGAATAGTAGCCCCGGAGGACATCGACATTGCCTATATAGAACTCACGCATGTAGGCTGAAGGATAGGTGCTACTCCAAAGTTCCCCTGAGCATTCTTTGAGCAACGGGTTGTCTCATTAAGGTCGAGTAACACGACACTTTTCCATCTGTATGTCTTGTAAACGATGAGGAGATATATGCTCCTATTTGTTCTCCTAGGTAGGGTAACCCTGGAGGTATGTATGTACGTATGATTGAGAGATCATGCCATGCCTATACGAATTTGGTAAAAGAGTTGCCTTGGTAGTTGATTAGTTGATTAGTTGGTAGTTTGTTAATAGTTGACTGCCAGTTGCTATACTACGTAGTAGAGCCCCGTGACTGCTCGACTGTGGATTACCTGCCAGGCAAGTGCATCCATGTCTGGATGTACAGAGGAATGTAGTCGTTTGGAAGAGTGTTCCGTCAGAAGCAACGAGCCTTGAAAGACAGATGAGACCGGCACGGACCCCGGATGTTAGCCCCCGCCGCTAAAGCCGCTCCATAAGAGCGAGATTAAAAATAGCGAGGTTACTGCGTAGCTGCGTAGATACTTTAGTAGCGGGGTGCTTGAACATCGTAGGCCTTCACCTAAACCCAATCTGTGTTAGCACATCCCAGGTCTCCAGGACTCCAGGTAACACCGCTGCAGCACCTGCCGCCTGCGTCATTGGTTATTGACATGAATCTGCCGGAAGCTGCTTTAGGGGACTTGTCACCGCCTACTTTATACGGATGTATACATACATGTACACAGTCATACCGTCCAATCACCTCAGATAAATTGACTTTTCCCACAGGGAAAGATCCTAGATAGATACATATGTACCTACGCAAACTCTACATTAGAAATCCATGGAACGAAGATATCAGGATCTGGATTGAGACGGACTACCACTTAATTTCCTCATTACCCAGATCATTCTGCTCCATTCTGCCCCATTCCGAGTCAGGAGCAGTCGGGTATTCGAACGAAACCCCTCGTACCGCGAGTAACCTTTCACCTACATGCATGGACTTTTGGGAGGGACCCTACTCAGACGTACGTCCCTTGTATTGATTATCATAACACATACGATACTCTAACTCAATTTACTAACTAAGTTGCTACATCAAATAGAATATTTTCACTAATGCAAAGATGCAGTGACTGGCTATATAGTTTAATGTTACAAAACTCTATTCTCCATTCCAATTGTCAAAGTGAACTGTTAATAGGTCACTAATACCAGGAACCTAGTGTTAGAGTTTAGAGCTAAAGCAGCTAAAGCGCTAGAGTTACGGAGATAACTCCACTAAACCTACCCACACTGGTTAGCCCTGTTGGGGCCCTGTTCGCCTTAGAAAAGACCCTTAACTTTGACTTAGCATGATTTAAAAGGGCGACCCATCTAACACAATAGCGCGGTTACCGAACAAACCCCTTCCATATTTTCTCCAGTCTCCATTTTATTGTTCACTCAACAACCTCCATACAACAACCATCCCTTCTACTTAACTCTTTCATTATTCTCAAATACACACTGAGTGCCAAATACAGCACGCACATTCCAATACTACATCTACAACAGCCTCTCTTAAATAGACAAGATGATATCTACATTACGTCTTACCAGCATGACAGGCTCTCTCGATTCGCTTTGATCACGCGTCTCGCGGATAGGTCGACATCTTCAACTCATCCTCTGATTTCAACACGCTTTAGCACCATTCTACCTTGACATAAACATCATCACTGCCGATTCTCACCCGGCACGTTCTAATTTACAATTCTGACCATACACGAGAGATCTTGCCGGAAACACCGGAATCAATTGCAAGATTCCGTTTCATTTGCTGCATACGTCACACAGGGCTAAGCGCGTTGGAAGAGATGGGGAAGATGATATCCGGAAAGCATTCCCTTTGTGAAGGGGACCGTGCATCCGCACAAGACCGCAAAACAATGTCCCACAACGACGAAGAGAGACATCAATCACTTTACTTGATCAACATCGGAACGGAATCTCCCGAGGTGGTGCTGCGAGAGGCGTACATCTCTGCAAAGGACATCGCCGTCGACCGACCCTTGGCTCTCACCGGCGCTCCACCGGTCAACTTTGCTATGGTAGTCCCCGGCTTATACCGTAGCGGCTACCCTCAGGCACCGGATTATTCGTTCATGCGCACTCTTAAGCTTAAGACTATCGTCACCCTAGTTGGCAAAGAGCTTCCCGATGGTTACGAGCAGTTCATCAAAGGCAATCATATCAAGCACGAGATTTTCGACATGGCCGGTACTAAAAAGGCTGATATTCCGGCAAAGACCATGCAATCTATCATCGCGGTTGTCGGCAATCGAAAGAACTATCCCCTACTTGTTCACTGCAACCAAGGAAAGCACCGAACCGGGTGCGTTGTCGGCATACTCCGCAAGGCCAGCGAATGGGACACCACCAGCATCATTCGCGAGTACACCAAATTTGCCGAGCCAAAGGTTAGAGAGACAGACGTGAAGTATATCACCAACTTCAGCGTGTCCGACCTGAGGAGCGTCATGCCAAAACCAAGCCGTCTACCTCTCATCCAGAACACTTTTTACGGTATGGTGATGCTGGCCTCTTTCACCGTATCTGTCTGGATGTACTCTACTAGAATTTTACTACTTACTACGGCTTGATTCGGAATGGCATTGCCATCCTATGACGGGGTGCTATCGACATCAAGGGCCACTACCTAATTGAGGTTTACGTCTTGACATATTATCTAGATGGTAATCGAAGGAAACTGGTCTTGAGGAGATTTACAATTCAGCAAGTCTAATAGATCTGGAGCACGGAGCACAGCATAAAGCATATTCTGCGCATCAACTGCATTACATTGCATTAGAAAAGGGAGCAGATTGAAGGGACGGGGGAAGTTACGTTGCATATGGCATCAAGAACAAAATTGGACCTATTTCAAGTGGTGCACAGGATAGGGGGGTTTCATAAAGGGCGGTCGGTTTAGGGGACCATTCAAGTGCTGAGGAGTCTCCCGGCGTTTATTACGGATCGGCTTCGATGGACAAGTCCGTCGTATCTTTCTCCTTTGTCTACATCAATTTCGACCATTGACAATCATCAAGAATCAGGGGAGCAGGCAGAGGAACGGTGGCAGAACTTAATTCGAGAAGTTTGAAGATTACATTGTCTAGAGAAATCAAAGTGATGGATTAGAGGATCTTGGGATAACTCAATTCGACAATTTGATGAAGTCACTCACAAACTTGTAAATCAATAATGTGACATCTGTGAATCGTATATGCTGTATCTTTTTAATAGGTCTTGCATTATGTTATATTATGCCATATCATGCCAGTGACTTGGTCTACTCAACCCATCGAGGGTTATTCTTCCTCTCCTCCTTTTCCTTCTCACGATCGCCATTAGCATATACCCAGCCACCAGCGACCGCGTTGGCGAATCCTAGACCAACAGCGGCACCTCTTACGATACCTCTGGCGGAGAAACGACTCATGAAGGTAGTTGGTCGCCTTCTCATAGCTATCAGAGCATACGTACCGCTGGCCGCAGCTGTCATGCCGGCACTGTCTATTTTAAAGCCTTGCAAGTTCGAGTAGCTACAGAAGAGCAGAGCAGGCACGAAAAGCATAGGCCGGACTTGGAATGGACGGAAATGCAAGGCCGTCAAGAGGGTTGCGAGGCCCGTGGGCGCTAAGGAGGAATCTACCATGCGTGTTAGCTATATGGACCTCCATCTCTGAGTACCTAGAAACTCATCGGCTAGAGAGCATGGATGTGCTCATTGGATGAAGTACAAAATAATGAAAAATAAAATGTAAATATTAGTTCGAGAGAGTGGAAGAGAGTCATACATACTTCCCCATGCTTCTATTCGTTCTTGAATAGATTTTGACGGTTCTGTTTGTGCCATGCTTGAACGAGTGTGCAATCCCTAGGTGTTTGAGGCGGGATTCCCGATTCCCGTTTGCCGCTTCCCTTGTACTTTCTAGGTCACGGGAGCCAATTCTTCAGATTTACTGAATAAATTAACGAATGATAGACACTCGAAGATAGTGGTTTCGGTGGTGGAAGAGCTAATCGAGTTACGGTGCTCTCAGACTTCCCAGCTCTCGAAAGCTCTTGCGAAATCGGGTTGAAAATGAAGACCAAAATTTGAATCTTCACAGGTCAATGACGATGAGGCTCAATTCGCTAGAAAAATCCTTATTATTCTATTGGAAGAGCACAAGAACTCAAGTTCCTGGGTGGGGCGATAAATGTAGTCTAGGACCCACTCCCAGCTATCAGTTTACCTAATCGGCCTGCTGCGCGCCTACCGCTGTTGACGGGTAACACCGTATCTGCCTATCAGAAGACGCAAGCCACAAATAAGCCCCAATTCAATCTGGACTTGCCGACTTTTTGAAGCCACTTTGCAAAAGGAAACCCATGCATCTACATGACAAAATACTAGAATTTGGGAACTTACGAGATCGTCTTCTATTTTCAGCCTCACGTCGTCAATCTTGATACCATTCTAATCTCTTCCATTCTCTGATTTAATTCGACCAAAACTCTCTCATCGTGTCGTCTTTAGAGGACCTTTTCTCTTCCGTCCATTCATTTGTCGCCGTCTCCCGTTTTCACGCAGAGCCTCGTACACCTACTTAGATCCCTAGATAGATACCGTTTCCGATACCAATTCGTACCTACAATCACACGAAAAAAAAAAAAAAAACAGTATAACCTACGAAAGCGAAGTGACAAATAACCAATTCTCTCCCACCCACCAACACATATATACGCACACCCACCCATCCTCGCACGGTCTCCAACAGACCATGCCCAGCGCAACATCCTCCGGCGTCGACGGCGGCACGAGCAGCGGATCATCGGCGCCGCGGTCACGGGAGCACAACCAGGGGAACCAAGAGCGAAAATGCACTCCCGAACAAAAAGCCGCGGTGCTGCGGATCCGGCGGTGCAAGGCGACGGCCTTCTACGACATCCTCGGGCTCGAGACGGTGCGGTCGACCTGCAGCGACGCCGACATCAAGAAGGCGTACCGCAAGCAGTCCCTGCTCACGCACCCCGACAAGAACGGCCACGAGCACGCCGACGAGGCCTTCAAGATGGTCAGCCGCGCCTTCGGCGTGCTCGGCGACAAGGAGAAGCGCGACAAGTACGACCGCTTCGGCACCGACCCGGATAGCAGGTTCGAGAGCGCCAGGGCCCAGGCCGGAAACCCGTTTAGCGGCTTCGCTGGCGCGAGGCCTGGGGGCCCGGGAGCTGGGTTTGGCGGAGGGGGCATGTGGGACGACGAGATTAGCCCGGAGGAGATGTTCCAGCGGTTTTTCGGGGGCGGGTTTGGCGGTCCGTTCGGTGGTAAGTTGGAGCCCATGTCCTTTGCTCCTCTCTTCTCCCGTGTGGGAGGGGATAAAAGGGGTTTACGGCAGCTAATATGATATAGGATTTGACACGGGTCCGCAATTCGTTTTTAATATCGGCGGTAATAGAGGGTTTCGCGTACATCAGATGGGCGGCGGGGGTCCGCGGAGGAGGCCTCGAGAAGCCGAGGGCGAGCAGCGACCGCAGACGGGCTGGGACACGCTCATCAGCCTCCTTCCGATCCTCTTCCTTTTCATATTCCCACTGCTATCATCCATTTTCTCCGGCGGAGCGGATTTGTCACCGAGGATGCCTCAGATGGTGTTCGACCACCCGGTACCGCCCCAAATTCACCGCCGGATGACGCCGAGATTAAACGTCGACTACTTTATCGATCCGAACGAGATCGTAGGTTGGAATGATTACAAGCTACAGCAACTAGATAAGGAAGCCGAGACCGGGTTCGTGAGAATTCTGGGCCGTCGTTGCGAAGCAGAGATGCGTACGAGGCAGGATCTGATCGACAAGGCGTACACCTGGTGGGGCGGGACGGATCCGGAGAAGATGAAGATCGCGGAACAGTTCGAGATGTCGTCGTGCAAACGCATGGACGCTCTGGGCGTTTCGCGGTAGCCCCGGTCTGAGCTCGTTCCCACGATAATTGATTTTTTTGGTTGCTCGGTGCCTTGGTGTCTCGGTACGTCAGGCGTGGGCGTGGCGTGGCCTAGGTTTTCATCCGGAGACGAGCGTAGCTTAGATAGATGTCAGTGTAAGCGACAGTTGAGCTGGATTAGGATCATGCTCAACACCTAATGAAAAGAATTCCGACTGTTCGAAGGCGAAGAGTTTCGAAATACGTGATATGTGGTAAGCACCGAGGGGGCGAGGTTGAGAACGGCGTCGTGTGTTCGCTAGATTTAGAGAACCGAAGTAATGGGCGGCTGAAGTTAAAGTAATCCCACTGCTGTTACACGCTCATGTGTTTCTGGATTCTGGCTGTCGTATCTATATATGTACCTAGGGAAGTTTTACGCCTTTGGTTAGGAAACATTCGACGTAACCTAACTTAAGCCGATGTACGTGAAGGTTATATCTTAATACTTGTGTGGCTTGAAGCCTCTTGTAACTACAATTATTATATCAACCTTTTAGTTACCTACTCAACTTCGGTGTTGATGGAATAAGCCCGTCACCTCCTTGGGCTGCAGCAACCAGGACAATTCAACTTAACACAACATAGCATACTGGTTATTAAATAAACAATATTGTAACTCAGTAACCGGGTGGCCGATTCGTATTCTACTACTGGCTTTACGTATGTAGGTAATGCTTAAATAAACTTTAAATGACATCGTACCCCCCTGGAACCCCTTTATAAGACCAACGCCTGCGTTTAAACCATGCGGCCACGCCCGTATGCAAGTGTATATACGTCTACTAACCCACCCCCCTATCTTATATCCCGCCGTGGATCCAAAGCTTCATTGCGTCTGAAATCCCGAATCTCCTTGGTACCTAAGCTGCCTAGTCCGCCCTCGCTCCTACGCTCCCACCCGCCGAGGCGGACTACGAGACAAGTCGCGTTATCGCCATCGCTACTCACCTCGGTCGCGTACGCCACCACGTCCCTCGCGCCCTGTTCCGGCGTCTTAGCCTCCTTGACCACGTCTACGATCTCCTGGTCGCTCAGCGTCCCAGACACACCATCGGACATGAGGACGATGAAGCTGTACTGAGCGGGCCCTAACTCCGTGCGAGTGATTTCGGGTTCTGCGGAGACGCCAAGTCGCTTAGAAGCCATATCTCCGAAGGCCCGAGAATTGGCAAGACCCTGGATCCGTTCCTCGCCGAACGAGTCCGTAACGAAAGATGCCGCGAATCGGCGCAGCCGGTGGGATTCGCTTGGGGAGCTCGGACGGTGATCTGAAGTTAGGGGACGAGGGAGACCAGTAGCTGTTTCACATAGGAGGATGCGCGTGTCACCCACGTGCCCAACTAGTAACGTAGAGCTCGCTGCCGGGTGCCAGAATGGTGCGGGAGTCGGCGTCGAAATGAGAGCTACCGAAGCTGTCGAACCCCCCTTGAAACGTGTGCGCCCGCCGATACCCTGGCCAGAAGGAGGTATATGGTGCGGCTTCCCCAGCACTTCGTCGTAATTCAACGCCGTATCGGATACGTAAGGATCGTCCGGATCTGGCTTACGGGCTTGAGCTGCAACAAAGTCGAGGTCGGCGCGGAGAAAGGCATACGTGAGAACGGTTTCGATACTGACAGGAGGTTCAGGGGAGTCCGGATCTTGCCTTAAATGGAAATGCGGAGGATGAAATCGCCTAAAATATCCACCTATGGTGTTCTTATATTCTGCCACAAGATCTTTCTGCAGCTGAAGAGCTTTGGAATGCGAGGCGTTAGCTGGGACGGGCTGAACACCTTTGACAGCACTGGCATTGTCGACTTCTCGAATTGCTCCGTGCTTATCAATTTCGGGGATATCAGCTTTGGCCGCGACAGCCTCCGAACCTTTGATGTCCAACTGATCCAGCTTCTTCTGGCCGCCGGATTCGGCATCGGATAAGATCGGAGTGCTGGGTACCTCGGTAGAACCCGAATCAGGACTTCGACCTTTACGTAGAGCCCTCAGGCTGCTTTTGAGCTCGAAGTCCTGAGCGGCCTCTTCTATGTAACCGTGAAGCTCATCTCGTAGAAAGTCACTGCATTGTGTGCCGCCATGGCCGTCGAAGACTCCAAAGTAGAAAATTTGGGGGTCTCCATATGCGCTATCGGCCGATGTACCCTCTCCTGCCTTGTTCATAGAACTTCTAACCAAACTGATAGGGGCGCGCTTCGCGAATGCGGGCATATCTATGGTGCCCGCCTGATTGGTATCCTCATTGTAAGGCCGAGAGCCTCTCGAGTCGGCAACCCCAAAATGGTGCTTGGCACTGCGTAGAGGTATGCGAACAACAGTTAAGTCGCGGTTGGCCGGTAGGTGGGGTGGGGATACGGGTGCGGCGCCGGAAGCCGAGTTATGGGGCGCGGCAGCGGACCGAGGAAGCTTGTGGTGAGGACCAGCTGGAGCACGCGAATCCGGATGCAGGGAGGAGGATGGCAGGTGTGTGACGAAGTACGTGTGAAAGCCACGTTGAATATGACGCGGAGAGGGAGTAACCTGGGAGTTCGGTGGTTCGACGCGAGACGACGTCGGGTTCGCGTCATGTGCTACTGACAACGATCTAGATTGCTGTTGCCTCGCCGTCATACATCTCGAAGTGGCTCTGCGCGTGTATGTTCGCGCCTGTGCGTCGAAGAAAGTTGCGATGAAGCCTATGTTGGGAGGCGACGGGTCTTATTAGCTGAGTTCGGGACATTGATGCAAGATTAAGACATGTGCTATGCAGAGAAGTCCGAAATCTGAAGTTTGAAGTTCGTAATTCGAAATTCGACTTCGAGGTTCGAGGTGGCTCACTGACCATATGTATCGTTCAAGGACCACCTCTTCGGCGGCCCACGACTTAAACCCATGGCAAGGTAGGAAGACTCCCTAGTTTCTAGAGGACAACTAGGGTTTATTGATAGGATTCAACTTCACCATGCGCGCAGCATATCCATGAGGCCCGGGCCTAGTAAGAATGTAGGTCCTAAATCGGAAGACTCGACGTTCGTGGGTTCGCGGGTTGGCAGTAGAGAAGAGTGGGTAAGACAATGATGCAATTACCGATATGACGAAACTAAGATAGAGGCACCAATTGATGAAACTTGAATAGAGGCAAGAAGACCGAGACAGGGTATATATTATAATAGTGTCGACTCAATTTACTAATATGGGTATTCTGTATATATGTAAGAAGATAGAAAGAAAATAGGTAGAATGAAGCTTATTTGTTGGGAAGAGTGATAAGTGTGAATGTGGCTTAGGCAGCTTGGGAAAAAGCAATCGCATTGCCAGGTGAGGCTTCCTCATAGAACAGAGGAAGGTGTTGTCGCCCCCAACCCGACGATTTGGACCGATGAGGCGGAAGACCCCACCAACTTCCAGCGCTAACTCAATTGAATTTGTCCTCTCCTCAACGTTGGGTGGGGTTTCTTCGTGTATCCATGTAAGATGTACCTATTCAGTCCCTACACGTACGTCGCGTAGGTACTGCATTCAATATTCGGCAACCAACCTCATTGTCACACTCAAACTGATGAGTGTACCTGGAATCACGGGATTAAGATACTTAGCAATTGGTCAAAATATATCCTTTGTGTGATGTTGATACCTATTGACCATGGACAAAGATATACATGCAAATAGAGGGTTTATTGTACAAACATGCACTATGCCGTCATACCCGGCACTAACTCGAAGAGACTATGAGGGGCTTTCCCTGAAGTGAAACTCTCATTGGCCTTCCATCAACGATAAGATACCTACCCATGTACCCAGCCGAAGTCTACTACAGGTACAATACACAGCCCTGGTACTAAGTATAGGTAGGGACTCACCGGTTCTCTTGCTGCTATTTCCTCTTACCAACATAGACACAAAAATTAGCACGTAACGAACAACATTACCGACTCACCGTCTATCGTCACAGCCGAGAATTCTATACACTACTAGTCACAAATCTTATAGACGGTCTCATTCATTCACTCATTCGTAATCGATCCCGGCTCACAACCATAAGGACTCAGTAGTACCAGAAGCACCAAAGGTTACATTCTCTCAGAGGCCGACGACGCTGATCCGGCAAAGATCCAAGTCTTATGTAGCATCCACCCGCATCCACCATCAACACCCGGGGGCAAAGTGAAGACTAGCGTACTATACCTACTAGATTTACTAGGTACCTAGAGGTTGGAACGGGTTATTCTACCACACCTATAGAGGTGTTTAAATTCCTTTCCTCTCGGAGGTTCGCGCTCTCTCTCTGACGCAAACTCTTCTCCCGCTTCCGGTAGCATCCGAGGCCGTACTATGTCTATTTCAAACGTCGGCTCTGTCATACTTCACCTCGTGGTATTCCTGACAACCCTCGTCAACTTTCACTCGGCATTAGCTCATGTCGAACCTGTCTTACTCGTCGGCATTTACATAATATCCAGGCTATTCGCTCGGACTCCGGACGACTTCTGCATGTCAAAATGTCCAGAGCTATGAGCAGTCAGATTGATATCGAGACTGCCATCAACGGCTATGTGACACCTGGCGAAGACTACTTTAATAGAGGTGGTTCGCCCGCCTTTTCGATTTCGCATCGAGAACAGCAAGGGATGAGACCGCCTCCTGTTCCTTTCCTCGGACAACCGAATGCTGAAAGCCTGGCTAAGATGATCTCAAATGCTAGAAAGCCGAGAAGAGGAAAGAAGATTGGAATTCGTGATAGGATATGCTGTCATCAATGGACCTGGTTCACGATGGTATGCTGAGATAAATGTCATTAATTCGACAAATTTAACTATGTGTAAACGACTTAACCGCTAATTCTGATTTAGACTATGGTAAGCTGAGCTGTTAAACTTCTATCAGATTATACCGTCCCTGCTATCTTTCGAATGCTCAACAACTACCAACTCAGGCAACCGGCGGCGTTGCTAACGTCTTCTACTCCAGTGAGTATCACTTATTCTCGACTATGGCAAGGTTGCATAAATCTGATAGTCGATGGAATAGTATGGACTCCGTACCAGGCTGACTGGCTATGGTATATCGGGCTTGTCTTTTTCCTCTTTAACATATGCCTATTCATCATGAACTGTGTCTTGATCACAATGAGATTCGTCATGGTCCCTGGGAGTTTCATGCACTCGTTTTTGGACCAGATGGAATCTCTTTTCATCCCGTCTGTGGTAAGCTCGCTTCCTATCCTTGACGTACGGTAGTGCTTACGTATTTGAAAATAGGTCGTGTCGTAAGTCGTTCGCGATTTCAGAGCTATCGTTACGCCTTGGTTAACCATGGTAACAGTGCCGCAACTATCTTGATCAACACTTGCGAATATGGAATTCCCATGACTGGACCTTGGCTTCAACATACAATGGAATGGCTATTCTGGATCTACATCATCGTCAGCGTGTTAGCGAGCGCCGGCATGTATCTCATCTTATGGTCAACCCAGTGAGCAACATGTTCCGGTCTGAGTGCTTGGCCGTCTCTAACGATACCTGTTTTCTAAAGGATCTTTCCCATTCATACCATGACACCAGTCTGGGTTTTCCCAGGATACCCTCTACTCCTATCTGCGCCGTTCGCTAGTACCCTCATAGCAGCAAATCAGATAGTTTCGGGAAACCCGCCGATTAACAGGCTAGCAATAGGGATGTGCGCAATAGCGGTACAAGGCACCGGATTCTTGATCAGTTTCATGATATGTGCTGCGTTCATCTACCGTCTTATGACCCAAAAGCTACCTCGAGATGAGCAACGACCTGGTGTGGTAGGTAATAGATGAATGGAGCAAACTAAGTGGTTTTTATATGAATGACTATACTAACGCTGCTTTCTTGGTAGTTCATCTCTATTGGACCTAGCGGTTTTACAGTGGCTGGAATAGGTGAGGTTTCCAATTCACAACTTTCCAGGGCTCCTTTCTACAGCTTGGGCCATAGCGAGTCCCAGAGCTGACATATAACAGTCTCCCTCGGACAACAAGCTCAAGTGGTCATCCCAGATAGCTTCCAAGGTTCGACTCACAGCATCATCATCTTACGACTACTTTCGACGATCATAGGGATATGGCTATGGGGCCTCAGCATCTGGTTCTTCCTGGTATCAGTCGGTTCGTTATGGAAATACGTACGTCCCGAGCGTAAGATGCCTTTCCAGATGACCTGGTGGTCTTTCGTATTCCCCAACACGGCTCTCGTTACCGCAACTCTGGCATTGGCTACAGCTCTAGGTAGCAACGGGCTCCGTATCTGCGGATGCGTCATGGCTGCTATTCTAATCGTCGTTTGGGCACTTGTCCTTGCCAGGATGCTACGGTGCCTTTGGAATAGGGAACTACTATGGCCGAAGGGGCTGGAGGACGAGTAGATGAACGGGAACCGTATGGAAAACTGTTTTGCTATTTGGACTAGATCGTACGGGCTATCGTAGGATTTTGACAAAGCGATGCTGATCAGCGAGTAATGATACCCAAATGTGAATACGTTGATTTTAAGTTACAATAAAGCCTATTGCGAAACCAATATCTACCAATGCTACGTGCTATAGCGAATTCAACGTAAGTAACACTTTTTAATAACGTCTCTCGAGTGTTTCATATAAAATGTCACGCTACCTACCTAGTACCTAGACCATCAGACTATCTAGATAGGTAGGCACTCACTCCACCTCCTCAATCCTCGGCCTCACACCCGGCTCCAGCGCAGGCAAGCTCGGCCGCGCATCAACCCCGATATCCAACCCAGCCAACCGCGTAAGCGCAGCCGGGCCGTCGCCGCGGACCTCAGACGCAGCAGGGACCAGAGCACTCAGCCGCCAATTATGCAAGCTCTCAACGACATCGCGCGCGTGCTCGCGCACAAGCCCATCCGTGTCCGTCTGCGCGACATACTCAAGCGCCCTCGCAATCTCCGCACGACTCTGCTCCGCGAGCGCGAAGCCGAGACTCCTTTTACCGCTCTCCCGCGCGTCCGCGAGCGCGCGTACGACGTGCAGGATAAGCACGATAGCGGCGCGACGCAAGATCCCCGTCTCGGGACCTGACTCGAGGGCCAGCGCGTTGAGGCACAGGTCGACCGCGTTTTGGACGAGAGGGGCGCCGAGGCCGGATATGTTGGTCTCGATGCCGGCGGAGAAGAGGGATAGCGCGGAGGCGCGCATGCGGATATCTTCCGCGCCGCGCTTGCTGTCCCAGCCGGACACGATCTGCGCGATGATCTCGTTGCGCGCGCGCTCTTCTTCCGTTTGTGATTCCTCGTCGTCTGAGTCTGCGAGGGTGGGTACCTCGCCTTGCCACGCGTCGCGGGCGGCTTTGTTTTTCAGCTGTTGGAGCCGTTCTTGGCGCTCTTGCTTGGCTTTGGTTTTGGGACGGTGGGCGCGCCGGCCTGCGATGGAGAGGAGGGCTTCGCCGACTTGCTTGGCTATCTCGCCGGAGAAGGTTTCGCCTAGGCGTTGGATTACTTGGAGTAATGCTTCGCCGAAGCGGAGACGAGCGTCGGTTGTTTCTTGTTCGTTGGCGTCGACGTAATGGTCTAGAATTTCTTTCGTGGTCGAGCGAGGGTGTTTGTCGGCTAGTTGCGCAAATAGCCTCACGACCGTTAGGTTGATGTAGTCGTCATCCTCGTTTAGGAGAGACGACAAGAGCACAAGCGTGGCTTGGATGTCGAGGATAGGGCTGCTGGCTCGTATTAACCCGGATAAAAGATTTAGACCCTCGGTGCGCACTGGCGGAGGCGAGTCTGCTTGCGTGATATATGATATGGCCAAGTTGTAGGTTTTGCGGTCTTCTATTTGACGGTCTGTTGGCGCCGTCGTCTGTTCAGAGGGGTCGTCTAGAGAGTCTCGATACTTGAGAAGGAGTGAGAGGTTGCGGGCTGTCTGTGATACATCCGTGTCTTGCGATTTGCTAATCCCTTCGAGAGATTTCTCGATAGATTCAATAATATCTGTAGGAGCATTCGACTTCTGGAAACCAGGGGCGGTAACCACAAGATTCAACAGACTAAGCGCTAGAGACGTTGTATCGTCGTTTGCTGCCGTCGATGAACTTTGCGACCGATCTAGAAATTGGCTCACAAGTTCAAGTACTTGTTTCCAGCCCGTGACTAGCTTATCGGACAACGCCTCCTTCTCCATCATTTTTTGTAGCACCTTCGCCTGAGTGAGCTGGATCGTTGGGTCTTTTGTTGGTTCGGCCTCGGGAATTATTTTAATCTCGTGAACAGTCTCCGCCGGTCCAAGCGAGCTACGAAGTAGATTGAGAAACAGTGCCGATATATCTGAATCGGTTCCAACTGATTGCAGAAGTTCCACGAAATCATCGGATTTGGACTCCAAGAGACCTAGATTCGATACTAGATCTACGGCATTTGCATCCCCTCGTAATCGTTTTACCTGGAGGTTAGAGTCACCCACCAAATCATAGATCCATCTGGGTTTGGACGCATCTACACTTCCATTCGCAAGAAGATTGTCGAGAAGTGCTTGAAATTTCTCTGGAGATCCTGAAAGTTTTAAATAGATTCGTAGAAGGGTGGTGGCTGGGTAACGATATCGCTCGTCGAATTCCTTAGTTGTAGGTGGCCACGTCGATATTGTCCACAAAGATGACATTAAAGGCGAAAGAAGCCTCTTAGTCAAGCCTGGGTTCGGATGCGAGTCAAGTAGAGATGATAAGCGTTTCAGCGCAGTATATAGCTCATCTGGTCTTACCAGAACAACCTCTTTCCGTAGATCGACAACCTCATCTGGACCAGCACTAAATACGAGAGGCTCGGCTTTAGGTTCTTGAGATAAATTTGTATTTATCTTAGTGAGCAATGGTTCAGCGAATGCTTTCCATCCGGGTGTTCCTGGATTTGATGTTAGTAAATATATCGTCAAGTCTTGCCCCTTTATAATATTATTTCGTAATTCTTACCAGGAGCCCCGAATTGCTTCCTCCCCAGCACACCAAACCCGATAACGTAAGCGGCAGCCTTCACGAGGTCCGGCCCCTCCTTTCCGTCAAGGAGAGCTAGAAGTTGTGGTGCGATACCGGTGTACCATTGGTCTGGAGAAACCGTGGTAGGCGGTGCAGATAACAAGTTAGAAGCCAGCTTGAGAGCTTCCATGGTGATATTGGCTCCTCTCTTTTGAGGCGTTGCAGCCTCAGAGATCCTTACTGTGCTTGACGGATGAACAGAAAAGACGAACTCCAAAGCAGCCCGTACTCCATCAGGTCTCTGAGGAAGCAAAGTGAGGACATCCATCAGATGAATTCGAAGCCATCCAGGGACACGGTCCGGCTGGGTCAATTTAGTTAGGGAAGACATAAGTGCTACCGTTTTGGTTCTGTAAAGATGGGGTTAGAGGATATGTTGATTCTAGATACGTCCACATACCTCGATAGTAAAGCGCTGAATTCTCGTTGACCCTCTAGACGAGATGCCTCGTCGCTTGAAGGTTGAAACGCCTTCAATCCAGTTTTCTCGATGGCCGATACCAAGGATCCATGCTGTCCGTCGACTTGTTGGTTCTCCATCATGGCCTTATCTATAACGACGAGAATACAATCATACAAGAGGCAGAGAGTGTTTTAGATTAAATTAAATTCACATTTTATTCCAATATAGCCCTTTGAATGTGTTTTCATGGATGAAGTTGAATGATTTGTTAAACATGACGATTGACGTTATCGGAGTGTTGGAGTATGGGGTAGATACATATTCTGTAATATGCAACCAAGAGCTCCAGAAATGCTTTTATGCAAGGGTGCTTAGTAAGATAGATACTTAATTACTCCGTGCAACCAGCAGACCTCGGAACGCGTACTTTAAAATTCGACGCGACTTTCAATTTATTTACTTTCTTTCACTTCCACCAATCATCATACTTCGTACACCTCTACAACTTCCGCCACCAGCTTCCCAATCCCTTGCTGGAGACGAGTCCACAGTAGATGTCCAATCCGAGATACGAATCAATTCATCCCCAATCGCATCGAATCCCCTCGATATGCAGCTCTTTCACTCGCATCCTCTCGCTGGTCGGGAGGATTGAGTCCTACAAAACTCGCACGACGCCTACTCCACAGTCCTCCGATTCCCATTTTCCGAAAGGAATGACCTTGGTCCCCTAGGTCGATTCTAAAAACAGCCTCGCACGACACGTCGCTGCTCGGGATCGAAAGGGATCTGATGAGTAATGCCGCGTGTGGATCGTCGTGCGAAGGTGGCCAGCTGGATCTGGTCTACGGATCGATCTGGGGAATGGTGTTTCGGAACTTAACCCTAAGTTTCTATTTGGTTCCAAGTCTTGCGTTTATAGTTGTCTGTACTTCGCCTTATAAGCCGCTAGTTACATCTGTGATGCCTCGCCCTGCTGAAAAGTAGGTTTGGCAGATCGGGGTTTCGAGGGGTGGAAGGGCGAGGTTGGACCCCAGTCGCCTTCGTGCGTGCGAGGGCCTCTGCTATGAGTCTTGCAGGTAAGAGCTCCTGGACTGGAGCCGCTCGTCAGCTTTGTGCCGCTGGAACATATACTCTGGTCGTTTGTTACCGTGTCGGCGAAGTTTTCCAGGGCTGCATAGGGTGGAAGATGGGTTTCTCAGTGGTTTGCTGCTGTCGACTAGACATGGCGTCATCCTTCATGGTATTGCCTGTGCCATCGAGATTGATTGGGAAGAATGTAACATCGGCTACATACAGTCAGAACCTGACGGCAATTTCCTCCCAACCATCGTTGGTATAGCTCGCGGAAACCCTCGCGCTGCCGTCTTTTGACTAGGTTGCGCGAGTGACGACCATGCGGTTACAACAGAAATTCGCCTAGGGCTTCTTGACATAACTTCGCTGCCATGTTATATGTTCTCGGACCCCTCTCATCTTAGGTCACAATCTAGTTGTCAGCAGCTGTCGGTGTAAAACCCGACTTTGTCTAACCCGCGACGAACCCATCCACTCCACCCTCCAGCTTTGCTACAACTCCCGACATCGCATCTCGGCAACCGCCACCGATGCGACATATTGCATGAGGTCCGACCAGGCGCATCAACTTCCTCTCGTGGGCCCCGTCCCACGATGACGGAAGACGCCAAAACCTGTTCGTCGACCGTTTTAACGGCGATCGACGGGCATCCCTCGCCTCTACCAAGCCTGGACAGAGGAGAGATGGCAGTGCGGCTTTTACGGATGTTTTTTGGCCGTACGGAAATGCCCCCCTCGCTGCTCACCTGAGCTCGACAGGGGAGGAATCAAAAACTAGTCCACGTGGGCAGTGCGTTCAACGGAAAGAGCTTCTCCCGAGACTAGGATCGGTGCTATTGAGGTGATGCGATTCGCCGGTTTCTACCAAGGGATTCGTCGATGATGGCTTGGGATGTGGGCGGTTGGTTTGGGGGGTTGAAATAAGGCACCTGCAACTAGGCGATTCGGTTGATGTCACTCTTCGCAGGGAGCAGAGCCGGGACCCATCTCGAGTTGGAGTCAAAGTTTAGTACTTGTCCGGATCTGATTCCTGCGAATCGATCGGCATCGTCTCGATTAGCCCGCGGGTGCCGAAAGTGCAAAATGCGCTTTTAGAGATGTATGGACTATGGTTGGAAGGACAGGCCAATGGGGGTAGTCCAGGCTGCTCTCTACTCCTAGCTGAGTAGAGGCAGCCCCCTAATCGTTGGGGATAAGTCTCACTATTGCCCCTTAAATTCTGATGCATTTTACTAATTAAGGAAGCAGGTTCTTTGGCATTCGTAGGCCTTGAGTTGTTTCGCTATTATTGGCGGTAAAGATTCGAATATCGCCAGAATACTGTCGCATTGGAAATGCCTGTATTGTTGATTATCCCATGTTTCCTTCGGAGTGTCGTCCTAGCTGAATACCTATGCATGGCGTCGACCACACGACATCCGGAGTTAACATAGCTGGCCGAACATCGTTTCATTTTTTGTTGTCGTGAATTGATTAAATCCATTTGCGGATATCGATTGCTGTGTGAGCTGCAATACACATAGCCTCACATAGGTCCGCAGTTAACGGACTTTAGCCTTACCATTATTTTCCGTAGTCCGAGACTTCATATCACGTAGCTACCTTAGTTACTTGCCTAGCTAGATGATCTTGGGGATTTAATACAGCTGGTATCCTGGAAAGAAGCCTTTGGTAGAAAAGGCCATACGGCTTACTTTCTGTTCCACCTTTGTGCTAATTTAATAAAAACGCTGTTCATCCCACATCCCCTATCGTGTCTAAGATGGCTTCCGATAAGACCATAGTTCTCATTACTGGTAAGACTATCAATAGAGAGAAATATTCTATGACAAACACATTGATCTTGACTCTAGGTGCGAACAGCGGCATCGGCTATGAGACCGTTGTCGCTCTATCAAGCGCATCTGCCAATTTCCATGTCCTCCTTGGTAGTCGATCGATGGAGAAAGGTCAAAAGGCTCTGGAAAGCTTGCAATTAGCTCACGGTGATTCATTGAAAGGCTCGATATCGGTGCTCCAGATCGACGTGACCGACCAAACCTCGATTCAGGCCGCCAAAGAGCAGATAGATACCCAATTCGGAAAATTGGACGTGCTGATAAACAATGCTGGAGTCATCGTCTATCAACAGGTTGACAGGCTGGCTGCTCTCCGCCAGTCCTTCGAAACAAATGTCATCGGTCAAGTGATGGTGACGGAAACGTTGGAGCCGCTTCTCAGGAAAGCGATTAAACCATATGTCATATACGTCTCGTCCGGGCAGGGTTCCGTGACGAAACGGCTGGACGCTAACTTCGAACACCGCGCCATACGGGGCGACCCGTACCGTATGAGCAAGGCTGCCCTCAACATGTTAGCGGCTTGCCATAGGTACAACTACGCCGACTGGGGATGCAGAGTTCTTGCTTTTAATCCGGGTTGGTGCGTTACCAACTTGACTGGAGAAGCAGGTCGCGAGATGCGTCGAAAGGGCGGTGCGCGGGACCCGAAGGAGCCGGCTGTTGCTCTTGTCGATATCATTCAAGGAAAGAGAGATGTTGATATTGAGAAAAATGGCATGGTGGATGTTGACGGAGGTGTTTTGCCGTGGTAGAGCCTCGCTTCTCCTACGGCGTTGGAAATAACTTCACGCGCACCGAATATCATCAAGATACCTGTGCAATATCGTAAATCTGGGTATTTAAGTCCTAGTTACCAGACATGAATTGGAATGAACCATGGAAGGAAAGCCTGGATTATGAGACTACTAGCAAAGTGCGCCACTATCTCTACCTTCCCTATTTGGAAGACTATCTCCGAATCATTGGCTGTCGATTACTCCGCAAACTCTATTAGCGACCGAACGCTATTCTCTCTCGCTATGGTCACCGCGGAATAACAGACTTACATACGATCATTCTACGGAATATTCATGATTATGGAGATAATCATTTTTAATTCAATGAAAGATGTTCTCCGTGTTATTGTTCTTTTTATTTGCCTTTGGCTATTTGTATCGGCTAGACATCTGTTTAAGTGCTACTTAATGGATGATAGACGATCTCGCACCGCTAGGCGCTTTGCTCAGCGGTCGAGTTCCCTGAACTATAGCGGTTGTCCCACTCGACCTTAGCGTATTAATCGCTATCTCGTCTCCAGGGCTGCTTCTTCGCTTCATGGATACCGATACAGTAAGTACTGCCCATTAATTGTTGAGTGCCATGTGGGCAAGGGTCCTGAACGAAATTTGTCCCTGGGACTTTCACATGTAATTCCCTAACTCAATCTTCGTAGAACGAAACAATATCCGTGCTATTATCATAGTCGACCTGGCACCTTTGGGAAAACCTACTAAACATTCCCGCCCTTTCTTGGATAAAAGCCTCGAAGCTACTTCTCGAACAGCTGCTGCCTGGCTTATCTGTGCATCCTGGCAATGGCTGCGGTGCATGGTTCACCAGCGCACGATAATAATCACCGTCTGTAAACCCGTAACTCCCCTTACAGGCCAATTTCTCAAAAGCCAAGTTTCCCAAACAAGGCGTTATCTCAGAGGTCCTCCACGCCCGACGCGGGTTAATGCGATCCAGCGGCATCGTATCATTAATCGTCTCCGCGCTCCCTCCAAACGCGGAGTTGTTGAACAGCCCCATCGCGACGAAAGCCATGGTCGGGAGCGTGCGATGCGAAAAGCTCACGTACAAATCCTCAGCGTCGCTTTCGCGCATCAGCAGCTCGGCCGTGGCGTTGAACCACGGAAATCCGATGGTGCCGGAGAGCGGGTTTCCGTAGCCCACGTCGTAGTGGTACCGTATGTCGTCGGCGTACTCCCAGCCTAATCACTCGTTCGGCGAAAACAGTTCTAGGTTGTAGAACGGAGAGGTGCCGCGGATGACGGATTCGTAGCCGCAGAGCAGCAGCATTCCGACTACGTCGGTGGTGGTGAAGTTGTACTCGGGCGCTAGGGAGTTGAACCGCGCTTTAATAGGCTTGGTGAACAGCTCCCGGTACGTTTTGGCCTCGTCATTTCCCTCGCGGTATGCGGGACATGCTTGGTACGGCACCAAGCTATTGGCGCCGCCGTAGTTTCCCTCAGTGACGCTGATGAGATTTATGGGGTTATTGTCTGTTTGGAGTGCCCGCGCAAACGCTTGTCCGGAGATAGATGTTCGGGGCGGGGACGAAGCCCACACCCGAGAGGGTATTATTAAATTCGGATATTGTATGGTGATGTCGGTAGCGAGCTGTGCGGCTTCCAACTCGCCGATCCTTGTCGGCGTCTCCGGCTCAGCACCGAGTGCAAACGGTGAGACATAATCGACTAGGAAGTTCAAAGGCGATATCTTGGTCCAGTCGGTGCCTGTGTGGTTCTGAAACTTTGATAGGAACGGTTCGATCCAGTCCTCGTAATCGTCATCGTTTACATTGATAGCGCCATGGCGAGATAGGTAGGCAGCGCGAGCAACTGTGCAACCTTGCGGGGCATCCGGCGAAGAGGGTTGGGCATCGCGGGGTTCGAGATACGGAGATACTCGGCCCAGGTGCTCAAGAGGGTTAAAACTATAAGGCGAATAGAGAGTCGCCTAAGCGTAGGGTTTCAGACAGAAGAGACCGAGAAACCAGAAACTTGCTGAATGATCGAGCTGAGCCATGGTAGTATGTCGAGTGAGTTCTCCGGAGCTGATAGAAGGTAAATCTATATGAACGAGATTTAATATATTATATGATATATATCTACCTATGTATCTACCTACCCAGGTACATATCCAATCCACCACGGCGACTACGTCGGTGATCATTAGAGAGCCCATTCGTTAATCATTGCTAGATGTTAGAAGCATAGGAAAATATTCGCAGTTTACCATACTCCTGACACGCCTAGCTTACAAGACAGGATAGACAGCGCTTTCGGCCATTCATTGACACCTCTTGGAAGTTCTAGTCCTAAGCGGGCAGCTGAAATATATCCCACAGAAGTCAGTAGGCTCTTTTCGTAGAATGACTAGGTATGTTAGCATCCGCTTAGGACGAGAAATCGCGATTACAGAGTCCTTACAAAGATAATATTGTGAAAATACTTACCTAGGTGGCTGGAATCATTTCGACGTCGAAGAGTAAACAAATGACACTGGATACACATGGGCCAAGGAACAAGGTAACATGATAGATAACCTGGGTAACTTCAGTTACCTAGGTACTTAAGGTATCAATATTACTCGTCTCGGGCCGTCATACAGCATATTGTAATGCGACACAACGTAGCTTATCTGATTTAATACCGGAGTTTGTGAGATCTCTCCTATTTAGGATGATTACTACCGCCAGTAGCATCATTGAAACCTTGTAGATCAGATCGGTTGGACCCTTTAGGTTGCAGAGAACATTACGAAAGACCCAATCATACATATCATATTAGTTCATAGCACATTGGTTTATGCGACGCTGGGTTGAGCTACGTCGAATGGAAACACTGTCGTGTGACGATTTGCCTGATGCGGTTTGGAATACCAGCACCTACCCAAAGAGGGTAGGCGTATATAAAGTCTATTTTAGTGACGTTGCAGCGGCTAAGATATAAGCTTATCGCTAATGATTCCGGCTCTAGAAACCGCATAAGAGGCCGTGAAGCGGTCGTTACTGTCTAGGGTTTGGCCTTGATTGGAGAAGTTACTAAGCCAAACGAAGTAGAGCCCCGAATGAGCTTCCACCTGTGTATTACTACTATGCAGTAGTACAATGACATCTGCTTCAACTTTACATCGTTATCCTAGTTACCAGCAAGGATCTCAAGACATACGAGAACACTATAAGCGGGATTTTGGAAGATAGAGAGTTAGACTAAGGTGAAGTGATAGGGCAGAAAAGGGATAAAAAATACATTGGGTTAAGCGGTGACATCTGACTCGTCGGGGATAGACGCCGCATGTAGGCTAACTAGGTATCTACCTAGGTAGTCTATTCAAAACTCTCTACTTATTAGCTTAGGATCTCGGGACTTTCATGCATGTAATTCTCTGCTACCGTTTGAAGCCAATACCCCTGGTGTGTAGATCCAGCTTCAAGTTATCTACCTCGGCACTGTAGGTACATAGCATTAATAAGCTAAACAAACAAATCTGAATAGACTCCCGTCCTTATTGGTAAGTATTATCAATGCCCCTGTGGACTATATAAAACAGACGAAGGCTCCCCTTACCTAGATACAGTAAGTTGCCGTTTATAGAATAATGCCCGTATCTTTACGATCCCGCTTTAGTCTCGGTCAGTCCATGAAGTTCGAGACTCAGGATACCTAGAAGCCATGCTTAGCAGACAGAGATATCGCTTACGGAGATATACAGAGTAGACACGGCGGTATTCTAAACCAGCTTCTAGAAGAGTTTCATTATCGAGTTGCCCTCTATGTGGATTCAACCGGAGCTAGCAGGCGTACTCGGATTCACATGTACTCGAATTCAGATTACTGAATCGATGATACGTGGGAATCTGTTAGCTTACATATCTATGAATGGCCGATTCACGGACATGGGGGTATCGTATTTTATCATGGTGTTTCCAATTGGGAGTATGCGCTCAGGGCCAACTCCTGATTGAGGACGAGAGAGACAGTATAGATAAAGTATAATACCAACCCACAGGCTTCTCCTAGAGTAATGGGAGAAGGTTGCTTCGTTCATATCTTTCGAAATAAACGTGGCAACGCAAGTCAATCTCTACACGATGCTCCCACCTACCACGATAATCTCAAGACCAGACCAACATAGCAAACAGAATGGACCAAGACTCATGGACCACGATGAGGCCACTCAAAGCATGTCTTCTCTCGAAGCCGCGACAGCAACGCCGGAAAAGGGCTCCGTGATGGAGGTCCAGTGTCAAGCTGTGGGACCAACAGCGGAGCTCCAAGACCAAACGCAACGTCTGCCATTCCCACGGCTTATAACCGCATATTTATGTTTGGCTGGGATATATTTCATATCGATCCTCGATATCAACTCTGTAGCTACTGCCCTACCATCGATATCGACTTCGTTACACGCCGGCAATACTATTACATGGACCGGGACAGCTTACGTGATGGGCCAAACGGCATTTCAACCATTATACGGACGCCTATCCGATATCTTCGGCCGCAAGGTGGTCCTGATGGCCTGTATAGGATTCCTCATCGTCGGAGACATCCTCTGCGGATTTGCTCAGAACGTTATATGGCTTTATACATGTCGTGCTCTGAGCGGCATTGGCGGTGGTGGTATTAGCTCGCTAGTACAGATTACCGCTAGTGACTTGGTCAGCCTGAAGGATCGCGGAAAATATCAAGGAATACTGAGCTCTGCCATAGGCTTGGGGGCGAGTACCGGTCCTTTCATCGCGGCCGGTATCATGGCAAATTCCAGAGACGGTTGGAGATGGATCTTTTGGGTCCCTCCAATACTTGCTACTGCTGTGAGTAAACACCCAGAACATGTTGATCCTTTCAGTTTCCAGTTTCCCATTTGCCAACCCTATGATTACTAACAATAATGCAGTGTATGGCCTTGATGTGGGTATTCTTACCCCTGAAACCTGTGACGGGTAGTTGGTCAGAAAAGATACGGAAGATAGATTGGTTTGGACTATTCACGGTAGTAACCGGTGTGCTATTCCTTATAGTAAGTGCTTTAACGGATGTCCGGGTATTCTTTAAACTAATACTTGACAGATACCCATCAACTCGGGCGGAAGTACATTCCCATGGAATGACGCCGTCATCATTTCGCTGTTGGTATTAGGAGGCACATTCATCATCCTCTTCTGTGTGGTCGAAATTCGGATTGCCAAACTCCCCATGATACCAGTGCGTTTATTCAATCAGGTATCGACGAGTGTTATCTACTTGCAAAGCGCTTTGTATAATGGAGTGTGGCAAATAGACTTGTACTTCTTACCCATGTATTTTCAGGACGTCAGGGGGTATAGCCCATTGCAAAACGCGATGCTAATGCTGCCCCTACTTCTCACCCAGAGCATTGCTGGAGTAGTGGCGGGTCAAATTACGTCTAGGCTTGCTAGGTAAGCTATAAACCAGCCCCTCTGGAATTTTTAGGGAGCACCTTTACTTACTAGTTAATTGCAGGCCTGGTCCTGTGATATACGGCGGGTTGGCGTTATGGACGTTGGGCGCAGGCTTGAAAGTAATCTTTTCGCAGACGACTCCTATCGGCGTCTATGTGATAGCGTTGATAATCGAAGGTGCTGGTGTCGGATTTATTCTTCAACCAGGTAAGGATCAGTGACCATATGGTCTAGAATTTGAGATGCTGATCAATATACAGCTCTCGTCGCTTTGCAAGCTTTATCCAAATCAGAGGATCGCGCCGTAGCGACATCGACACGAAACCTAATGCGCATGCTCGGGTCGGTTTTTAGCTTGGCAATTGCAACTACGGTCCAATACCAGTTCATGAAGTCAGGATTGTCTGACACCATCCCGTCAGATATTCGGTCTCGCGTGATTGAGGGGTTATGGCGAAAGGGTGAACCTGAGTCGGAAATGTGGGAATCCCTGATACTCGACGCCAAATTTAGGGGTGTGCATGCTGTGTTCGTTATGATGGTTCCAATGATGGCAGTATGCCTCCTGGGCTGTTTATTTATCCCAAATGTACGATTAAAGGGAGATCCAAAGGTAAATGACGAGAAGGAAAAACGGGGACAAAATTGAAGTTGCATTCAGGAGTTCATGTATAATATAGAATAAGAGATTAATAGAACAATAGAGCGAACCGATTTTCAAACGGGAGTTAAATCGTTTTTTACCCGTCCGCAGAGTAGAATCATTGCCCCGCTATCCCGCCAAATTAACTTAGCACATGCAAGTAACAGGTACAAACACTCCTTGTAGATAGATATTAGGTAATAATCATGTACCTAGTCAGCGGAAACATTCATTTATAGAAAGCTTTCCCACTCGATAAACCCACTAAACTCGGCTTCACTAAAGGCAGTAAGTACCCCTAAGTCCCCTACAATAGTGGATTAGAGCTTATGGGTCTGTAGTAGCAGGATATTTTCACCAAAGGATTTCAGGAAACCATGCATTATTTTGTAAAAAAGCAACTGTATCAAGGAATAACTATCCAATCGATAGGCTTTATGAGACGAAAGAATTATATATCAGGAGCAATACTTAGGTGCCTATTAATATGGCATCTGAATACCTATTATTTGCATAAGTTCAAATGGATGATTTGGCGGGATGGCGGACGTTACAGTTATCGTCCAAAGAATTGAAGGGCCTAGCGGCACCCCACGTACCCCACATAAATTCTAATAGCTGAACTCAATCAAACTTGACTCGGTGTCCTCCTGATTTCATCACCACTCACCAAAATAAAGGGGTTTAAAGAGTCAATTAAGACCTATAAATGGTTTGAAATGTCAATTCGTACGACTTGATGCTTGCGAATAGCTTGGTTTACCACAGGCTTGTGGTGCACCCTTAACGTCGGGTCTCTTTTTTGGTTACATCATCTAATCGTCATGGCAACGGCTTCATTACCATATCACGAGCCAGGGATCGTAACTATCCTCATCCATACGTCGTTCCTACTCCTCCTCAACCTGGGCAATTTTGTACTTGACCATACCCTTTACTGTGGTCTTCTTGGACAGATATTCCTAGGCATCGCCTGGGGAACACCGGGTGCCAAATGGCTAACCGTAGAGACCGAGGAAGTTGTCGTCCAATTGGGCTACCTTGGCTTGTTACTTATCGTATATGAAGGTGAGTCCATTTTCTTGAGAGAATTATACTCAAGTCATCCAATGTGCTAATTACACTCGAAGGTGGCCTATCAACCTCTTTGAAAGCTGTTAGGGCAAATCTCTTGCTGTCTTCATGCGTTGCTGTCACCGGTATATCCTTGCCCATTGGACTCTCCTTCGCGCTCCTAAAACTATGCGGCGCTACACCTCTCCAGTCCTTCGCAGCTGGTGCAGCATTATGCTCTACAAGTTTGGGGACGACATTCACAGTTCTTGGTTCAACCGGCCTGATACAAGCTAGACTTGGCGTAGTGCTCACGAGCGCAGCGATGATGGATGATGTTGTAGGTCTCGTCATGGTCCAGGTCATCTCCAATCTAGGATCATCTGGGGCATCCATCAGCGCTGCTACCATTGTTAGGCCGCTTCTGGTTTCAGTGGCATTTGCAGTATGCGCTCCTATTGCCTGCGTGTTTATTGCCAAACCAGTCACTCTCTGGCTAAATGGTACACGCACAAAAAGTCCACTCGGACTTTTGAATCGATTTCTTATGGATGCTAGGATCGCATGGATTATTCACACATTGATATTATTGGGTTGTGTTACCGCGTCGACATACGCGGGAACGTCTAATCTCTTTGCCGCATACATCGCCGGCGCTGGAATCAGTTGGTGGGACTCAGAGGTACCTCATCCTAGATTCAATGCAGCGTCCACGGCAATATCTGCTACAATACAAGGTCAGGACCAAATTGCAGAATCATCAATTTCGAATGGAACAGAAACACCCGAATATCGCAACCAGGATCCTGAAGAGTCTGACTCCTCTGGGCTTTGCATATTCGAGAAATATTACTCGCAACCGCTTCATCGAATTTTAAGGCCCTTCTTCTTTGTGGGTTTTACTTCCTGGTGATTTATAACGCCACCATGCTAACTATCAAAGGCATCCATAGGATTTTCAATTCCAATTACCGAAATGTTCGACGGCACAATTGTTTGGAAAGGGCTTGTGTATACAGCCCTAATGATAATTGGTAAGATGACATGCGGTGCTTGGCTACTTCGCATATCGGTCACTCCTGCCATATCTGCCAAGTTTGCAGCCGCAATGAAGTTATTGAAGCCCAAGATAACTCATCTATGGACCCAAGTTCATGAAAAGTCAACTTCGTCTCATAACACGGCCCATACCCGTCGAACACAACCCCCAAATTCTTCACCATCAGATCAGGAAAGAAGTACACGGACGACAACCCAGGACTCTTCGGATCGTACCTCGGTCAAGCCACGTTCAATCTATCCAGCCTCGATTTTAGGCTGTGCGATGACTGCTCGTGGAGAGATAGGTTTCTTAATCTCATCGGTCGCGGAAAGTAACCAGATATTCTCTACAGCGCAGACTACCGCTGGGAAGAACTCGGAGATTTTCTTAGTTGTCACTTGGGCTATCATGCTATGTACAATATTAGGTCCTTTGGTAGTAGGACTTATTGTGAGGCGAGTAGAGCAGTTACAACAGGGTGTTCAAAGACAAGGCAGATCCGTACGAGGAGATGTGCTTGGAGTTTGGGGTGTATCCTGATATAATAATCAGGCCATATCGGCGCTTCCAGAGACAAGCGCAATTACCGGAAATATATTTGCTCTCCTGCCCATAACATTATTCTTTCCAAGTTCTTTGCTGGGACACGCGTTTCCCCCAAGCATATAGTTAAGTAAGTTTTTCGGTCGCGTCATTCAAGATTTCAAGGTGGCTACGTCATAGTCGAAATTGAAGTCGGTACTGCCTTCTTTGCTCAACTTCTCCTTCCACTTCTGAGAGTATTTCGGACGAACATGAAGGATCTAAACTTAAACCCCAACCTAATCAGGGAGGAAGACATCATATATATGTAGATACCTCCTACCTAGGCAACAGTCATTAATGGTTAATGCCTTCTTCAACTGCCGTTGATTAAGTTCACATATGGGTATGTCAGGAAGGCGCTTCTGATATTGTGAAACTATATAGCCTGTCTCTCCTAAGATCATTCAGCTAGAAACTTCAACAAGACAACATCTAGCACCATCTTGCACACAATACATAATCAACTAGCCACAAGATACCTAACAAACTATATCAACAACGATAACAAGAACCACCATATGCACCGCCGCCCTCGTCAATACTAGGTAGTTCAAGATGCCTTCCAACACTCAGGACCAGCGCAGCGGCTCCAACTCCAACTCGGATTCCGCTTACATAGAGTTTGTCTTACGCACCAAAGAACTCAACCACAAACTAGGTGAGTGGACGAAGATGCACGATGGTTCGACCCCGTACACTACCTTTCTCAGAACGAAGGCGATGTCAGAGGAGGCAACTAAGAAGGAAGAAGCTACCAAGGAGGATGCGGCTACTAAGAAAGACTAAGCATCGCGAAGAATCAATATATAAGGGAAAAATGAAAGATGTAAACAGCCCGAGGGCTTGTATGATATAGGTACATATACCTACCTAGCACTCTCAACTAAATGCTATTGCTACCTTGTGAACACTCTCTAGACATATGACCCTTCTTGTAGCTACGGTGCGTTCTTCTACTTCGACTTTCGTCAAGCCCACATGTTACAAAGGATCTCGCACCGTAAGGGGTCTAAAAGCCTATCAATAAGCTCTTTTCCAGCAGGTGACCTATAGACATCATGGCATAATGGCCTTTCTATGTGGGATGAGTACGCCCCTTGATATTCTTGCGGTACTTCATTATATGCACCGCAGCATCCTTCGCACTAGGGATCATGGCTTTTCCAGTCATCAGACCGAGAAAATTCTCAAGCAACTTTGAGCTTCATATTGAGTTGAAAGAAAGATGGGCGGGTTGTGGATAAGGGACTTGATCGTATCACGGCTCTAGATGCGTCTTTGACTGTGCTGTATCGGAGCTTTGCGCTGGCCAAGGTCATTGCTGTATGAATGGATGGGGACAAAATTTAAGGAAGTAAAGGTTGCCTCTCATCTTCCCGCTCAATAATTGGCTCGTATCCCTCCCTAAACCTTTATTGTATACACATGTCAGCTCTGATTAGTACCTGACTTTCGAGATATATTGACTTACATGGTATAGCCAACGAACGATGCTAACCAGAATGAGCCCAGATAGGTTAGGCACCATTCTAAGATTCCCGACGACTTAAAGTGGTCACCGTACATAAGAATCACAAATGCGAGCCCACAGCCAAATTGGCAGAGAACGAGGAAGGTATTGAAAATGCACCTTTGTCAAGTTAGCACTCTAAAAAGATCTCTCTGGAACTCGTGGTATTGCAAGACACACCATTTCCGTAGCCCTACAAATACAGCAGGGCCCCAAATCTGATCCCACCACACCGCGGTCGTAGTCACCGCACTCACGAATAGGCCCCCAAATGTTCCCATGAGAAGATGTCGATGTCGCACGTGCGCATCATCCGTGTCGAAGATACTGAGGAATATTAAACTGACAGCAGCGGTCAGACCAGCTACTAACGCAAGTAGACTTGTCGTCTGCCTCCATGGCAAGTCGTCTGTGAGCCCGTAGAATTTTGGCGAATAACGCACGTGGTGCACGCTAAAGACTGTCCCAAAGAAGGCGATCCCGGTCGCCGCGCACCCGACGATGAATACCGGCTTAAATTGATGCGCGGCGATATCGCTGATGAATGGTACGTAGGGGTTCATCTGTTTGGGGTATTGAGGTCGACCGACGGCTAGCCATCGCACTAGTAAGATGGTGAGGGTTAAGAACCAACAAAATCCGGCGAGGAGCGGGAAGAGCCACAGACGGCGGACGGAAAAGAAATCTTGAAATGCGCGGTACCATATTCTCGTCATCTTGGTATGCCTCAGATCTGGGTCTGAGGATGACAACGGGCACCGCTCAAACCAACAAGGTGACTAGTGAAAAATCACCAAAACGACTTTCTGCTCTAGGTAAATACGTTCATGATATTTATTGGTAAAACGACAACGATCGAGATACAGTCACGCGCCTATTCCCTACGTCATACTCTCGGGTCGTCCCGACACAGACGGAGGGCGGGGGACGGAGACTAGTAGACTCACCTGCATTTGAAGGATTTTGATTGGTTACCGAAATGCAGAATGACTGTGGGGCGTTCCGTATTGGTGGGGGAGGGGTAATTGTGGGAGCAAAAGCTCCTTGAGCATTTAATTGAGTCTGCTCCCCTTTCCCAAAGGCATCGACTTCTCATTTAGTATGAAAAAACAGTTGTATCAGTTGCGTGATATAGATTCGATCTTCGAATCCATGTGTTGCCGTTCCACGTCTACTTTTAACCTTACCTAAGTAGGTAGGTATACTTATGTACCAGGTATGTCAAAGTGCCTTCAACAAGCCCTCGTGTCTTACCGTCCAGGTCCCGTCCTTAGGGAATCCTGGTGTATCTCCCTCTGATCCATTCCAACCAGCGACCATATACGCCACTATAAATCATCAGAATTATGCTAATGCGGTGCGGACCATACCGAGACCTTAACACTTACCAGCATAGAGAAATCCCGCATTACCAGGCATAAAAGGGGGAGGGGTACCGCCTGTTTGATTATTAACCCACAACACAGCATGGCTTCTCAACAGATGAACTCACCATCACCTCCACGCACAGCAAAACCTGCATCGTCAAACACCCAATAGTCATACGCTGTTAAGTGATAGATGGCTCGTTCCGGATTTCCAATTCGAGCCGAGTTGATCGCCAACACGGGCCTGCCCCATCCACGGATGTTGTCGTCCGTCCAGACTTCCCAGATCTTGTCGGCCGTCTTCAACGCGATGCCAGGGTCAACGGCGGGTGTGTCGGGGAGGATGCCTTGAAGCATGATGAGACTTCGAGGGTCACCGTTGAGTTCGGTATCTTCCCACCATGAGCTGTTTAGACCTTCGTAAACAATGTAGAGGCCGTCGAGTTGTGGTGGAGGAGCAAGGTTTTCAGCGACGGTCGTCCATTGTTCGGGAATGGACTGGTTTAGTCGTCTTTTCCAATTTTGAGCGACGTCAAGACCATACCTCCAATAAGCGATCTCGGAAAGAATTATCAACTTGATGCCATGATAGGATTCAATCAATGTATTATTAACATACTTCGTAGGCGAGGTTCAAAGTCTCGCCTGGAGGTGTGTTCTCGGTCACACCATAACTAGGCGGACCTAAGTCGAAATAACCAGAACTCTCGTTCTTCCATGCGTAGGAAGCCATGTAATCAGCAGAAGCGCTAATAACAGCATCCCACCGTTCTAGGGTTATTCGAGTGGGTGAGGCTTGATAGGCAAGTTCCGCCATATACATAGGATGAGGCTGTAGGTGAATTATCAGTTCAAAACCATATAATGCTTTCATGGCATCTTAATACGCACCTGTTGCCACAAGAGAAGGCCGTTTATGCCGCCTGGTGAGCTAACTCCAGTGATTGTTTCCGTCATCTTCGGCCACCTGCTCGGTATCGCCTTAGCTTCTCGGAAACCCCTAAATGCTCATAGGAGATGGCATGTCACCTTGCGCCATTCCATCCCATTGCCTTTGCTCTAGCTAGCGACGATGGCAATAAACTCTCATAAAGGCTAGGAAATATGTCGTCAAAATACTTCTGGCGGCCCCATGTGCTCCAATGGGCATTGTGCCAGACCACCATCTCCATATGAAACTTGCCTAGGCGGTATCAGTGTTGCGATAGACAAAAAGGCATCGGGGGTATGAATAGGTACATACCATACCAACCGTTGTTCATAAGCCCACTTTCTTGGGGCGATTGCCCGTTTGCCGCACTATTGATTCGGACATGATATTGTGATAATATTATACGCCGCTGCAATTCATCAGCCTTCGGATTTGTCGAGGATGTAACATCCACGAATCCTCCTTCGTTCCAATACTCATGCCACCCCTCGGAATTGCGCTCTCTGACATTCGATGGCAATCCGGCCCTTCCCTTATCTGGAGAGAAATGGGCGGTGAAGTCTATGGCATTGGACTGATGACGAAACTTGGATGTCGTCGATAGAGTATAGCGGTGTGCCGTGATAGCACTAGAGTTTGATGGCTCAATTCTAGAGAGACCCAGGGCGTTTTCGACAGGCCATCGTAGATTGACGAAGTACTTGGTCTCTTGCAACTCATGGTAGATGTGCGCCTCGTCCGTGCTATCACTCGGAACAATTGAAGTGCTATGGTTCAGAGGGAAGTCGTAAACGCCGACGAAAACTTCGTACTTATATTTCGTGGTATGAATTGGTGGATAAGGAAAGTCAAGCTCAACCTCCAGGTCCCCTGAACCAATAAGCCCGGATTCGATATGGAAGGCTACAGCATCTGATTCGAAGTCGCCTTGGGTGGTAACCGTAACAGTTTTTCCAGCAACCTGGAAAGTTGATGCTATTACCCCGTTCCATAGATTGAGCTCTTGAACTCCGTCTGTTATATCAGAGGCTGTCAAGGTGGCACCGTGATACCTCAGACCAATGCGACCTAAATTGATACGGTTGGGATTCGATATGAGCCACTGCGAAACTTCTGGAAGCTCTGGGTCGGGAATATCATACGAGATATTTTTTCCATGTGTCATCATCGCTACTCCGTGATACTCACTGAGGCTCTCTCTGAATCTGACTTAGTTGTGACTACTTAGCGAAAACGCGATGCACGACAAACATACCCGTCCTCAGGCAGGGTATCATTATGCCATGCCCAACTTGAAAGAGTGTTGAACGGTAGGATGGTCTTTAGATTTGTATTAGTATCATGCTTTCGATAGGTAGCTTCCGATACATAGGATTTGTTACCTGCATCCCCGTATTGTCCACGTTGAATGCGAAGTTGCCATTCCCAACCTGTAAAGGGGTAGTAGCATTATCGATTAACTTCTCCCTCCTCACGTTATATTTCGTAACAATCTTTTGCCTTTATTAAACCACGTTAGCCATAGGTCCAAGACGTAGGAACCCAGTCTTACTAACCTATCTATCTTCCCAATAGCTAGGACTAATAGCGATAGGAAACAAATTAGAAGAAAATCCATGACTATAGACTGAACTAAAGTTGGGCTCGAGTTTCGATGAACATTACGAACTTGATAATTCACGTTTATAAACATAAACGAACTACTCTTAATGCAGGCTGCATAGGTAGGCATTTAACCGGACGAAGCGCCGGGCTAAATACGCCCGAACTTCGCAAGATACTCCCACCAACATTTGGAGAGGATGAAGAGATCCATAATAAAACATGATGATCAAAGTGTTGAAGATACCTTCCCGCCGACAATATCTAGAAAGATAATTCATAGTGAACGCCACAACTAGGTAGGTGCTTAGGGAAGTAAACACCTAAATAATCATGAAGTAAAATGGCTGGTAAAACAAGCGTCCAAGTGCGAGATTCGGACGAACTCACTAAAGTCGACTTCCTTGTTTTTCCCCTGTGAATGAATTTACTCCACATATTCGGTGGGATTATGAGTTAACGCTGAAATAAGGGTGAAATATCGATGAGTTGGAAAGGGCTTCCGATCCGGTAGTTCGGTGCGCCACCCCCTTTTCTGGAGCCCCGCTCGGGCCCGCCACGGCGAGAAACGCTTTCACCTGTCGGAGCCCGAGTTCTGGCGCGAGACGCGAAGCGATTTGCGGATAGTTACCTACTCTCTTGCGAAAGACGAATCATTAGCAGCCCTTTGACCCCATCTTGGGATGACATGTTTTAAATTTACGGAATGATAGTGATACTTCGGTGACGATTGATCTGCACCCCTCCGGACGGCGGAGTTCCACCTCTTATCTCAACATTCTCCGCGGGCCTCATACAGACAACCGCGGCATGACTTCTTTACTGAAGTCCTATCCTACTGTCGCGATGAGCGATTGGATGAAATTTATGTCCGCACGCCTTCGGAACTGCTCATGCAGATTTCGCAACTTACATAGAAACTAGGATTCCATGTGATATCTCCGCACTCTTCGTGGTTTGCTCGCTCGTAACGACACTAGCCCCCCCTGTTATTCCTGTGTGGATCGCGAGAGGTAGGAGACGCATGTCTACCCATTGGCTTTGGCGCGCTCTACAAGAGAATATGCAGGTTATTCCCGGTCGGCGAGGATGCAGACATTCTAGGTACGCTCCAATTGGGATGGGAAGGTGACATTGTGATGTGGAGGCCCGTTTCCCACTTGTTCATTCCTTATATCGGGACTTATATATATGCCTATACTACATCTCATCCTCTCGAAAAAAACATCATGCCATTTCAGTTGATTGAATTTGTATCTAGGCGCTAAGTTAACAATTCATTTTAACATCATGGAGATTGCTTTTGTTATCATTGGCTTGTTGGCAGTCATCCTGCTCAGGTTCTTGGTAAAACTGTTATTTTACCCTCGCCCTCTGTCTGGCATCCCATACGACACGGGATCAGCTAAGAGGATCACCGGTGACCTTCCAAGCATCACGGAGGCCTTCAATGAGACCACTGAGTGGACTCGGCCTATCGGTCGTCGATCATTGAAGTATGGATCACCAATCCACCAGTTGTTCATGAATCCATTTTCAAAACCATTAATCATGGTCGATGACCCGCGAGAAGCGGCAGACATACTGTTGAGAAGATCAAAGGAGTTCGATAAGGACACGACGTTTGGAGTTTGGCAAACTTTCATCCCACGCTCGACCATCGCGCAGTCAACGACCCCCGAATACAAAGCACAGCGGAAGACCTGGCAAGATACCATGCATCCTGATTTCCTGCGGAAGGTCATGGCTAGGCATATATACGCCGCAGCCGAGGACCTAACGAAGCTTTGGGAAGTGCGATGTTCACATTCGGTTGGCCACCCTATCGACGTTAGCGAGGACTTCTCTTACGCGGCCCTCGACGCCATCTGGACGGCGACTTTTGGGGAGAGGTTGGACTTAGTCGAAGCCCAGATCCAGATGCTCGAGACGGGGAAGAAGGTTCAGACTAAGGGCCTGGATATGCACAGCACCGTGCAATACCTCAACAACCTAGCGAATACGTGGCGAGGCTCCCTCTGGCCTGCGTTGACTCGGTGGAGGATGCAGAGGAATCCTGCCTATCGCAAGTACACCGAGACTAAGGACCGTGAAATCGACCGTATTCTCCTCGACGCTTCCGCTCGTTTCCAAAAGGTCTTGGATGGCTCTAATGACGGATCGGAGCATGATACATGTGCTATGGACCTTGTTCTCAGACGCAGCATGATTAGCGCCCAGAAAGCTGGCAAACCTATTCCGGATCCCACTAAAGACGCGGGAATGAGAGACGAACTTCTGCTTTTCATATACGCTGTAAGTTACTTCATACGTAGTAGAAGTCGGGTGTCATTCAGCTAACACACGGTGAAAGGGTCATGATACCACAAGTACCACCCGTATGTTCCAGCCCCGTTCCCTACCCCTCGCTCTGTAGGATCACTACCTAACTCGGGTCGATAGTTCAATGGTTCGTAAAATTCATGACCAACAACCAAGCAGCGCAGACGAAGCTCCGCGCAGCCCTGAAAGCCGCCTTTCCCGGCGACGGGCTCCCCGACGTCGCAGACCTGCTCACCAAGGACGTGCCGTACCTAAACGCCACGATAGAAGAAACGCTCCGCTGCGCCGTCACCGCAGGCCGCGTGATCCGGATGTCGACCACCGACACCGAGATCCTCGGCCACAAGATCCCCGCCGGCACCTCGGTCGCGGCCCTCACGTCGGTCGGGTGGCGTCCCGTTCCCGTGCCCGAGGAGAAGCGGAGCCCGACGAGCCGCGCTGCGTTCGAGAAGAGCGGCAACGTGGACTGGACGCTCAAGCCGAGTGCGCAGGATCTTGAGAGTTTCGCGCCTGAGCGATGGTTTAAGGTCGATGAGGATGGGAATGAGGTCTTTGATCCTGCTGCGCTGCCGCAGAATGCTTTTGGGGGCGGGGCTAGGGGTTGTTTTGGTAAGTTATCAAAGAATATGTTAGTATTGAAGATCTAAAAGAAGATTACTGACGGTAGCTGTGTGATTGCAGGACGACGTTTAGCTATGATAGAACTGCGCATCATGATCGTACTGACTGTTATGAAGTTCAAATTCCTTCCAGTAACCCCTGAGTTCAATAGCTTCCAGGTTCATGAGCAATTGCTCCGGGCTCCTCGGCAGTGTTTTGTGAAGCTCGAGGCTGTTTGATGTTCTGGGGTTAATTAGAAGCTATGTTGATCTTCTTCTGAGAATAGAAATAGGGGCGGTTGGTGGAGGCAATAAACCATGAGTTCTGTTAACCGAGTGAGCTATCTACCTTCTACCTACCTAGGTAGCATAAGACTTCCAATTCAATTTCTTCTCCTTGCCAATCATAAAGATGGGTAAACAAACTAGCATATCCCTCTCACTCTGATGCTTCCACGGATAGTACACATGACTCAATATTCCGTCTTGCCATCGTTCTTCTTGTAGGCCTCAATCTGCTGTGGCACGGAGTCTTTAAGTTCCTCGATCGTGTCGGGCGAAATAGATACCCAGCACTGGTCCACCGCATTCTCCAATTCCGTCACGGTCACGGTTACGCCGTCTTGCTGAGCATCATCGCCGCCATCACTACCAAGGTCTTCCTTCACTGTCGATCTTAGCTCAGCCCACGTATTCTCAATAAGGACAAGGTCGTGCTTTCGCTCGCGCTTACGCAATTTCGATTTCAGGGCAGACGTGCCTCCGGTAGCGATCACGGCGGCCGCGCCTCCTGCTTGGACAACTCCATTGACGATGGCGGCACCGTATCCGGCCATTCCAGCGCTTTGCAAGGTTGCAAACAGGCTCCCTGCCGCTACGTTTCCAATTGAGGCTTGTGCACCCGCTGCGAGAGAAGCTGCGAATAGTGAAGACTGCTGTTAGAACCTGACTTTCATTTTTATTTATGTATTTGTTTGTTTTAGAATAGGTGGGTGATCTGTGTATAGAAACGTACCTCCGGCAATTCCATTCGCGCCGAAGCCAACTGCTGCTAGGGCGGGGCCGGCGATGATAGCGGGTGCTATTAGGGCGACGCCTGAGACGCCGTACGCTGCGGTGCTCTTAGGGTTCTCAGCGACCCATTTCGCGGCCTTTGCCGCACCGTCTGTGGCGACTTTAGCGAAGCCGGAGGAATTCATCTTGACGTTTCGTTTGCTGGGAGAATATATGGAAGTTTTAAGATAAGATGACCTTAGTTTGATCGAGTGTAGGTGGGATTCATATGGGGAATTAAAGGATTAAATATGAACGTCAGGCTGAGGACCGAGAAGTCTGCCCGGTCTGCCTTGACTGAGGCCAATGTGTTTCGAGGTCGGCCTGCAGTGGGTCTCCTCTACACCTCCGACGGCAGCCTGCTTTACACACTTCACTATAAAGAATATGATTGGGCAATGTTCGAAAGCCATGCGCTTACAACACTCGTGTGTTCTGGAAGTATTGGTCATTTTTGATAGGCCCCACGTTTGGCAAACGAACATCCGCGGAAGGGTTTTCTGTGTTGACTCATTGTGGCATGCATAGATAAATGCTTATCGCCATAGCTACAGCTCGCTTCCATACTGGCACCCCTAGGGTGTCACTCGAAAGTTATCGTAGACGGCACAAGTAACCTTGCTTTGTTCGCGGCGTGAGACATTGGGCCGCGTGCCTGAATCTTCCTACTAGGTACCTACTTAGGGAATATCGATTCTAAGTAGAAAAAGCAACTAGAAGCAACCAGCTCAGGCACCTACCTTATCATACTATTCCGACAACTGAACCGGGCTGACTTCTAGCCAAGAGAATGGCTGTTGGTTACGGGAATGTGAGATATGATAGGCATTTGGAATAACTAGGAGCATGGTATAAGTTAAGGCCTCATAGGCTTGACAGGTGGCCCGTGGGCAGGCCGCTGACAACTATAAACGCGAATTTTTAGCAAATTAGATGCTCCAATTTACCCATGTAAGCGTTTGGTCACTTCTTCCATACACTTCTGTCCGGACCTAATGGCGCCCACTCATGTGGTCCTTCTTAATAACAAAAGTTTCCGTGCCGACGAAGCGAATATTTTCAACGGACTCTCGTAGCACGTCCGAGCTGAGGGACGTTAGCACGCCGGGGGGCATGACATGAGGTGGAGCACCGAAGAAGAATGGCTCCTCGGCCCAGATCTTCTCGTGAATGATAATGGGTTCAGGCACAGTTGTAGCGGTCGAGAAGACGGAGTTGAATTGCTCGAGAACAGCCTTTGACGCTCTGCCACTGAGAATTTGATCCAAGCATGACCCATCTCGCCAGCAAGGAAACAGGTTATGGACCATTGACCATCTTCGGGAGAGCTGGTGTCGCGGGTGAAAGAAACTGGTCTCTTAACAGAAGTCATGAACTTCATTCATTCGATGTATACTATGCTTCTTAGTATGTGCCCATTAACATCCGCACTTACCTAGGTAGGCTTACAATATCCGTCAAACCCTTTAGCGTACCATCATCACTATCCTGCTATCTTTGCCATAATCACCATTCAATCCTCAACGGCTACTTCCTCGCTCGCGTTTGCAGCTTGCGCGGGCTTCTCCTTCACACACCATTCCTTCTTCAATCCATCGAGCCATTCTGAAGCGGGTACTTCCTTTGCCTCTACACGTCTCCCCTCGCTGTCAATGTGGTCCCCAACATAGACAACGTTCCTAAAGGCGCGAAGGTATCTCTCCTTATCCCACTTCGGGAGTCGTAACCAATCGTGGTCTTTGTTACATTGGGTTTCGAGAGACGTCATCTTGAGAGTGCCAGCCTTCAGCTTATCCAGGCATCTATCGCAGAAATCTATGTTGTAGCAATACTTGCAATGGTTTAACCCATTGTCGAGATCCCACATCGTGTCGCAAACATCGCACCAACGCCTTGCCCCGTATTCGCGCGCATGGGACCATTGCTTGAGCCTTGCCAGGATCTCTCCATACGCAGTCTTCGTTTCCACTCCCACGTCTTCATCCTCAGCTGCCGGCTTCCGCCTCGTGTCGATGACGCTGTCGTTGTCTATACTTGTTAAATCAGAAGTCTTCGCGGATTGTGTGTTCGCTACACTGTCGGCATCGCCATTGGTATCGGCAGAGTTTTCAGTGGGATTTGTGTTATCCTCTGAAGTAGCTGCGTCGTGAGTAGTTGTACCTTTATCATCATCCGTCGTGTCAAGAATTTCATTGATGTGTCTGATCAAGAATTCTAGCTGGTCATCAATAGAAGCTGTGGGACAAGTTTTCGCAACGGCAGCAATTAGTTTAGTACTTAGGAATTGCTTTAGTTCCGATTCTGATTCAAGGATCCACGATAGGACTTCCCTGTTAGGTGACGGGGGCAGTGGCAGCGAAAACGCAGAGAGCGCGCTAATTTCGTCACCGCAATACAGAAGAACTTCTGCAAGAGAATAGTAGCCATCGCTATCGTTGTCGTCGATGTCATCGGAGAGTACGTCAAAAGCTGAGTCAATATGCGCCTGCAAGATTGCCCGAGCTTTCGGTACGTCTTTTGCGATCCTAGCATAATAACTTGCCAAGTATGTCTTCGCATCGATATTCGATAAAGCAGGCGTTTGACTTGTCAAATCATTCATCTTTTCCACGTAGACATCAAATCCAGTGGAGTTCGATTTACTCAACGCATTGATTTGGTCGAAGTAGTAACCACATATCCAACTGATGGCCGATAACTGAGCAGGGACCCCGGTATATTTCCCAAGGCCTACGCACTGCTCCCAGCACGATAGAGCTTTCTGGACACGCGTAGGTTCTCCCAGATCATAGCGGTAGATGGCGATACCTTTATAAAGAAGCAATGTTGCTATTTTATAAATGTATTCTTCTGATCTCGCCTGCTCAATCACAAGGTCCATTTGTCGGACCACACTAGCAAAAGTCTCTGGGTTTCCAGAAAGCGCGTTGAAGCACCTCGCGAACATGACGGCGGGCCTCCCTCCAAGTATCATATCAGTTATGGCCCTTCCAAACAGGCTTATTCCGTTCTTAGGTGGTGCGGCCATGACGAAGTCTCTCAGGAGATCAACTGCATCATTGACGAAATCATTGTCGAGATAAATCTTTAGGAGTTCAAACCGAGGTCTATGCTCGTCCGGAAGCAGTTCAATGGCTTTTTTCGCATATTCAATGGCACGCTTGGATTGCCCGAGCTCAACTTGCCATTCGGCAAGGCAGCTATAGTTGGCGCTGAGAAGGGCGTCTTTCTTCGGAACATCCTCGCCATTCAGGATATCCAGTGCCTTTTCCATCTCCTGGCAAGCCATTTCATATTGTTTATCTTCTGCAAGGACCCTTGCTAATCCACCAAGGCATTGCCAGCTAAGATTTCCTAATTCAATGGACTTATTATACGCCTCGATTGCTTTCGGGAGTTGGAATTCGGCATGGTACGTTTCTCCAAGTCGTTCGTACATAAGAGCCTTTTCTTCGTCAGTAGTGATAGGATGAACCCCTTTACACCACTCCGTGATGTCCTCAATCGTTGTTGGTCTAGACTTTTCATTGTCGCCATCTGTGTTACTCTGTTCTTCAAGTGGCGATGGCAGTTCATGAAACCCTCTCAACCATGCGAACGGTCTTACTGCAGCCCACTTCCTATCGCGCAACCAAAGCCAAGCAACGGTTCGCATAATATTTTCAAGCAGGGCCTGGTCCGGATTCGAGCTCTCCTTAACCTTTTTCAGCCAATCTCGATCCAGGCGTCCCAAGCGGCTAGTAACATTTGCATCATCTAACCACGTCCGGAAGATCTTTATTTCATCGGGAGTATTATACCACACTACTGACTGGCAGCTGTTCCAATGTCTTTCAATAGCTTCACCACTCACGAAAAGTGAGAAGAGGCCCTCGCCAATTTCTTGTTTTTGAGATAGCGTGAGCTCGTCGAATCCGATTGATTTTTCCCACAGTTCTTCGAGGTGCTGTGGTAGATAATTGAGAAGATAGTCGCCTAGCATTTCTGATTCCTTATTGGGCTCACTTGCAAGTAAACTGAAAGTTCGCCTAAGTAGGCTGAAATATCCGTCCACCTCGTTTAGTTGTATGTTGTTCTTTACCCCTTTCTGTTCTGCAATCTTTTCAAACCCGAAAGTGTCATGAGCCAAGGAGTCGACTTTCTGGGACAAGCTCCACAGAAACGACTGAACGGTTCTAAGGTCACCCTTGGTAACTGATATTGTCGCGGTAAAAGTTGGGGTGTCATCAACACTTCTTGGCCTCTCCCTCCTTTTCGTGAGTGTCTCTTCCATATCGTCAGTGACGTTCACCGTGCCATCCTTTCTGATCTTCAAGATATTAGAGTATTTTCCCTCCAGTTTCTTCCTGAGTCGCAAAGTCCCTCTTCTTCTAGAGCGAAGTATCAGAGCAGCGTTGAGTTCATCGACAGTGAAGAAGACTCTACCGCAAATAACCCATATGAGAAGCTCATTGAGCTCATCGATTTCTTCCCCAGTCAGCCTCTCTTCTAACTGGCCAATCACGGTCTGGGAAATCTGCTTTTCATTCATATTTGACTCATCCAGAACTCTGTCAAGTTCGGTCTCTAATCCATCTGAGGCAATAACTTCCCTGATATTCTCGAGCGCAGCCTTCACTTTGTTGAATTTACCGCCCACTTGCGTAGCCAAAGTCTGCACAACCTTTGTCCTGAGTGGCTCGTCATCGTCGTCTTGGAGAAGGTCATTGTTTCCAAGATAGTGTTCGATGTATTTCTCGATGTCTTGCTTGCTATGTTCCTCGATATCAATTTTGAAATGCGGAGGAAGGTCATTGAGCTGCAGTGTATCCTGCCTCACGGACAACAGCACCCGCACGGACGGTTGGACAGAATTGCGTATGATATTCAATAATTGTTCTTTTTCCTCCCTGTTATCCGGAGATTCATCTGGTAACCCACCGAGACCGTCGAGGACGAGATAATGTGTCGCGTTCCCTTTAGGCCAGCCAATGCGAAGCGAGTCCCACAGCTCTTGACAGCTAGCATCTCTAAAGAAGGCTGTATTATCATTCTTGCTGTCGCAAGATTGGGAAAGAGCCTTAGCGTACGCGCTATCCTGCTCTGCGAGTTGAATAGCGATGCATTTCAGGGCCGTCGCGATAGGTCTCTTGTCTTGATCATCCTTGGCCGTGGTATTCGGAAAGAAGTGCGCAGAAATCAGGGTTCTCGGCGCGTACCTGATAGAAGATTCGTATATGGATCGTAGATGATGTAGTGATGAGGAGACCATGACGCTTTTGCCCGTGTTGGGAGCTCCCATCAGAATAAACAAGTTCTCTGATTCCTTGTCATCTCTCTCGGCCCATCGTTGGAATTCAGGACGATTGACAAGCCATAATGCTGTGTTCGGTACACAGTCTCGCCTCGGCTTGTCGCACATATCCTTGAAAGATTTGAAGACTGCTTCTTCAATCCCCAGCTTCTTCTTAATGTTCTCGACATACTTGCGTCTACTATCCTCCAAATTACGTTTGTCGTCGGACGCTTTAAGGCTCGCAACGTCAACCGCTATCTGCTGACTTCTTTCCGACTCCCTGTCAAAATAATCTGTAAGGTCGCCCCTGGTATCAAGCACAACTTTCAAAGTTTGAGTTGACTGTATCGAATGATGAGCGTTGGTTAGCCTTTGAAGTTTTTCAATCTCAGATTTGATGCCCGAGTCATCATTAATGATGAGATACTTCATTCTAGATTTAAACTTGCGCCACTTGCCCGAGTCTCGAAGCTGGATAGACAGAGCGCAAATGTCTACAAAGCTAATCATCACCTGGTGAATAGCTTGCTTGAGCTCTGGCTCAATATCGTTGAACTGATCTATCCTCTCATAGATTCTAAAGACACTGAGAGAAGGCGCCAAGGTTTCGAAGAGTCCATCGATCGCTTCGCGGAAGGACTTGAGCTGCTCGGGAATATCTAGTAGTAGATACAGCGCGTTAAAGCACATGGTCGATGGCGCACCAAAAACCTAGACTACTATCAGCATCGTTTCATTATTGGAGAGTTGACTGATAAGATGGGCGCAACGGCTAACCATCTCGGCTCCTTGTGCGGCCACGCCACCAAGTAACTTCAGACATCGGAGGACATTGATACCGTAGTCCTCCAATTTTTTTGTGTCTTTATTTCCATTGGACTCAGCAGGAGTCCGGCTAGCTTCTAACTCCTTAATACAGTCGTTTAACGTCTTTGGTGGTTTTATGTTGATATTAATCCCAGTACGCTCGCTGAATCTAACGGTAGCATCTCGCCACATCTCTTCCATCGAGAAGTCTGATCCTATCGATTTCGCCATTTCGGAGTCTTCATCAATACCGAGGAATATACCTACACGAAGAAATTTAAGCCCGCGAGAAGGAGCAACTGCACCATTAAATGTTTGGACAAATTTGGCCCCCAACTCCACGGCGAGGGGCAAGGATGCCTAACATAAGCGGCTGAAAATGAAGGTGACGATCGGTTTCCCATATTGTATCAGAAAGGTCATGCGCTAAGATTCTAGCGCTGACCGACAGGAACCCGGGGAGCCAGGGGTTGAAAAACTAGGTAACTAGATTTCAGCGTCATATCATAGGTTACGATTGGGATGTCAAAGTACATCGGAGACTCTTAGATTCTATTCCACAAGAAAATTCTCGTAGATCTAACAATCCCCAAGGAAGGAGAATCAACGACCGATCAAGCCCCGTGCAGCTCCGTAAATTCGGGCAGCAGAAGCTGGCGCTAATAAGACAAGCTTCTGGGGTTCATGGTGCATAGTGTCATACATGTTTTGTTGTCGGGTTATAATCTAGCTTCGCGTCTCTGATTTTCGTGAATTTGAAGGAAAGCTACCTAGGTAATTAAAGATCGGTTAAAAACAATAGCTATCTTCAGAGTTACTCTTCATAAATAAAATGTAATCGATGTGGCGGAAAGTCCATATACATGAGAACAAACGTACCAAGGCTTGTTGATTATTCATCTGCTTGATAGAATAGATTTTGGTGTTAGAATGTTACTACTTAATACAAGTGAGGGGCGAAAGGGCGAAAATGTGAGCCAATGATAAGTCTCACACCCATACGCGAGTCCTACACAACATGTGATAATTGAATCGATAGATGATAAAGTCGGTGTATAAAAATAGAATGATAAAAAGAACAAATTCGACGCAGGCCTGATTCGAACAGACGCCCCCGAAGGGATGTGATAATCTAGATATTCTAGTCACACGCATTAGACCACTCTGCCACTGCGCCCTTCACTTGCGGATAATGGATGGGTGTTGGCATTGCTGCATATACTGTGCTATATTCGTGGTTCAATCGTTGCGGCCAATGGCGGTGTTTGAATTCAGGTTTTCGCTAGCATCGCCCCAGCCGCTAGATCTAAGCTTAAGTAGTCAGTGGGCCAATTATGAGCTGCGTAACAGTTGAGACTTGGAACTATAAGGTGATTATATGGGTTCGAATGGATATGCCAAGTTGAAAAGATAAATTTGACCGAGAAATGAGAGCGAGGGACTTTCGTTCTCAATGGTATAATAGACGGTACGAAAGTATACGCGCGTTTTCCACACCGAGAACAATTAACACCTCAAGCCTCAAATAGTTGCAATATACCTCAACGGACTTATTGATGAGGTTGGCGTCTACCTACCATCCTAGGAAGTCTTCCCACATGGCGGCAGGCGGCGGTCAACTCTAAATTCACCTGGAAAAGGCCTCAAGTCAGAAATAGATTCGGAGTTACTTACCTTATATAATCTCTTAGTCTCAACCTTTGATCCCTGTACAGAATATGCCCGGTGAGACTTGACTAAGAGTATTGGGTAGCAGCGCAACTCGTATTGAGAAGAACTCAACAGTGAGAATATAATACCTACTGATATGCAGGTAAGAATATGATACGAGGATGAGATTCGCTAGCACCTTGAATCTGTGAAAGAATTCAATCTGTGCTTGATACGTAGAAACAGTTAAATAATTCATTGATAAGATAAGAAGCTTAGATGGAGCCCTGGAAAGTGGGACTGGTGGGGGAACCTTGAAAGTTTATACTTTAGTGTACAGTAGCAGAGTAGGAGGGTCTGGCGGGGCAGTCTCGATTGACTCCCATGGTACACATGCATCAATGATGAAAGATTCTCCGCAATTGACTTCACCATTGCTTTCGAATTATCACACAGCATTGAGATAGGATTGCTTATTTGTGAGTCTCACAGCTGCGTATAGTATATCGCATGGGATATAGACCCAATTTATAATAAGTTCCAATTCAATGCCCCTCCGAAAGCTGGAAACAATCGGGTTACCCCACCTTGACATCCCGAATGGAAACTGACGTCTTGGAGGGGTAAAACGACAAGATCGCCGGCATTTTACCTTGATATTATCTAAAGAAGCTCTAGAAATCGAGTTACCCGCCCATTGCTCCGTAGAGTGTCCGGGACGGCACATCGAGGTACCTGGGTCTAGTGGCCAGTAGCGGAAAGGCAAAAGGTCAAGGGACCCGAAAAAGCTTTGACTAAGAATGTTTTATAGACGGTACATTTTACCTCTCGAAATAATCCGGGTCACACCTGAGGTGAGTTTCCATAATAAATTCTCGGCCGTTCTGCGCTTCTGCGTCACCGTGGATCTAATCTGACCCAACATAACTGGTATAACCCCTCCAAACGCTGCCCCCCTCCTTCTTTCAACTATTTTTTCGTCGTTGCTGTTTTAATTCCCTCAGACTTCTCACCAATTTGAAAACAAACGATACTTTTAAACCATCACTCTTATTTCTTACACTACCAACCCGTCCATCTACATCCTACATAAACCACATCAACCTTTCTACCTCGTCAATTGTCCTGAATAGTCATAGTCATAATGGGGTTAATGGATAAGCTGAACCTCAAGCCTGGCGTTATCTACGGCCAGGATGTTCAAAAGGTAAGCTAACTATGACCAATACCACTCTGGATATGTAGGACTTCAAACATGAAAAGTTAACATTCGCTTCTCCCCCTAGGTATTCCAATATGCCAAAGAGAACGAGTTCGCGCTCCCCGCCGTCAATGTGACCTCGTCCTCCACTGTAAATGCTGTCCTCGAAGCAGCTAAGGAATCTCGATCTCCTGTTGTAATCCAAGTTTCCAACGGAGGCGCTGCCTTCTTCGCGGGCAAGTCGATTCCCAATGGTAACCAAGAAGCCTCCATCGCTGGCGCTGTTGCCGCCGCACACTTCGTCCGCTCAGTTGCCCCTATCTACGGCGTCCCCGTCATCCTGCACAGTGATCACTGCGCCAAGAAGCTGCTCCCGTGGTTGGATGGTATGATCGATGCCGATGAGGCCTTCTTCAAGGAGCATGGCACCCCTCTCTTCAGCAGCCACATGATCGATCTATCAGAGGAAGAGCTCAAGTACAACATTGAGACAACCGCTAAATACCTTAAGCGATCGGCGCCGTTGAATCTGTGGTTAGAAATGGAAGTTGGTCTAACGGGTGGTGAGGAAGACGGTGTCAACAACGAAGACGTTGACAACAACTCCCTATACACGCAACCTGAGGATATTCTTGCCATCTACGAGGCGCTCAGCCCCATCTCTCCCCTCTTCAGCATTGCCGCTGGTTTCGGCAACGTCCACGGTGTCTACCAGCCTGGAAATGTCAAGCTTCACCCTGAACTACTCGGCAAGCACCAGGCCCACGTCGCCAAGAAGCTGAACGATGGCCAGGCCAAGCCCGTCTTCTTCGTTTTCCACGGCGGCTCTGGTTCCAGCAAGAACGAATTCCTTGAGGCCATTTCCCACGGTGTCGTCAAGGTCAACCTTGACACAGATCTCCAGTGGGCTTATCTAACTGGTCACCGTGACTTCATCCTGAACAACATCGACTACCTGAGGACCCAGGTTGGCAACCCTGAGGGTCCCCACAAGCCGAACAAGAAGAAGTACGACCCCCGTGTGTGGGTGAGAGAGGGCGAGAAGACCATGAAGGCCCGCGTTATCGAGGCTTTCGAAGATTTCCGCACGGCCGGGAAGCTATAAGCAATTACCTTGGCACTTATCGGAGTAGTGGGGTAGTGGGAGCATCGTCAGGCATAGTTCCGTTGACTTCTGTTACTGGGTAGCATCGAGTAACCAAAAATACCAAATAATTAACTCGAATATTCGTATTCGCCTTTCGTTGTGTGGTCTGTGTGGTCTGACCTTCATAGAATTAGACACACTTGGTTCTAACGTGTTCAGCACATTCTAGCCCTACGTACAAATGTACCTATTCCCAAGTCCCCTGTCATACGGACGTAGCGCACCCGAAATCTCCAACGCCGGTAGCCGAGGCCCGGAATCGTCCATAATAGCCAATATTCGGGTCGGCAAAGATAATCCCATCAACCAAGAACCTCGGAATGAGTAGAAAACGATTCTTAATTCATCCATGGTATAACAGACCTTCTAAATTGTGTAGATTTTCTAATAGGTAGGAACTTATGTCAGCTTGACGTTACAAAGTGTTTGCATTAGCACATGTGATCCATTAGACGCATAATATGACTTTAATAGATAGGATAGGATACATATTTAGACTAGGTATTTACATATGGGGTAGTTAGCTATGAGTGGATAACAGCTCCAACTTCGCGACTTCACCTTGATCTTAAACCAGACACCTTATCTCAACGTTAGTGAAATAGCTTCAATATAAGATGCTCTTAATCCAATACGATACCATCCATTTCAAATCGATCCTCCACTTAGAAGCTCTAAGCAACGCGCACTCGCCAAGATGAACCCCGACTCGGAACAAGATCACGGCAACAAACCAACAGCTCAATTGTAACAATACAGTGTATTTCTGGTATATGCTGTGAAACATTGTCACAAGGTTTGCGCATCACTCTTGAGGTATGTAGACGTAATTAGATACCGACATTAGCTACCGTATCGCTTAACTTGAGGAGATGTTAAAAGTGTGTGTCTCAATCTATGTCTCCCCTCCTTCCCTCTTCCCACAGAAACGAATAACGCAGCTTCCCCGGTCGACGTCATTGGTGCACGATCTCCCCAGGATTCAGATGCCGTTATTAGTGTGATTGTTGGCGAGGAAGGTACCAGGGGTTTACAACGTGGTTTTGGTCATCGTGCAGCGGTTGCCTTCCTACCTAGCTAGCTTCCTCTGAGGAGATGACTTCAGCTAGCGTAAGAAACGGGGCCATATACTACCTAATATGTACTTTCAGATTTTGACTTGTACAACCCGATTGACACTACCGGTATTCGACTTGGAGGAGACCTTGTCACACCAATACTCATAATTCCAATTCTCCGCATTCATCTCCAAAACGCTTGTCTTCCAAGGTATACTTGATCCGTTATATAAAGCTAGTATAGCTTCATCGTGTTTCCTCCCTCGAGCGGTGTGGGGGCAAAGCGTGTCTTAGGCGGTGGAATTAGAAAAGAAAATTTTGACTTCGCTACATTTATCAGCGTAACACAAGCAGCTGAAGCTGGTCTATCACAGACGACGTTTGGTCATTATGGCAATCATCGACCGGCTTATATCGCCTTGGTCATTGGTTGTCGGAGGTATAGCTCTCGTGGTCTACTATCTCTACCCATATTTGGTGACATACAGCCACCTTCGAGATATTCCTGCTCCGTTTCCCGCTCAGTTTACCAACTTATGGCTACTCTATACTGCTAGAAGAGGTAAACGCCACTTCATTGTGGACGATGTCCATAAAAAGCTTGGACCTGTTGTGAGGATTCAACCGAACCATATCAGCATTGCCGATGATGATGCTATCCAGATAATCTATGGCCATGGAAATGGATTCCTCAAGTCGGACTTCTATGACGCTTTTGTGTCAATCAGACGTGGTATATTCAACACCAGGGACCGCGCTGAGCACACCCGGAAGAGAAAGCTCGTCGCTAGTACCTTCGCTCCAAAGTCGATAGTCCAGTTTGAGCCTTACATCCAGCAAAACCTCAAGACATTCGTCAGCCGTTGGGATGAGCTAATTAAGGCTGGGGCAAACAAGACAGCTTATATCGATTGCCTGAAATGGTTCAACTATGTCGCCTTTGACACTATCGGAGATCTGGCTTTTGGCGCCCCCTTCGGCATGTTAAAAGCTGGGGCAGACATAGCTGAGGTCCGCACGGCGGTCGACAAACCTCCGATCTATGCGCCAGCCGTCGATATCCTCAACCGGCGCGGTGAGGTATCCGCCACCCTCGGCTGTCTCCCGCAGCTGAAGCCGTATGCGAAATGGCTCCCTGACCCTTTCTTCAGCAAGGGCCTTGCAGCCATTGAAAACTTGGCCGGCATCGCAATCGCGCGTGTAAAGGATCGTCTCGAAAATCCGCCAGACATCAACCGTCGGGATCTCCTCGCCCTGCTCCAGGAAGGACGAGACGAAAAAGGCGAGCCGTTGGGATTCGAGGAGCTCACCGCCGAGGCGCTAACGCAGCTAATCGCCGGATCCGACACGACCTCCAACTCCTCCTGCGCGCTCCTGTACTATGCCACCCGCACCCCCGGCGTCCTGCAGAAACTGCAAGCGGAGCTCGACGCAGCGGTCCCGGACGACGCCACCGAGGTTCCCGAGTACGAAGCGATCAAGAACCTGCCGTACCTGCAAAACGTCATCAACGAGACCCTGCGCATCCACTCGACGTCGGGCATCGGACTTCCGCGCGTGATCCCGCCGGACTCGCAGGGCGTGACCATCCGTGGACACTTCTTCCCGCCGGGAACGGTACTCAGCGTGCCGACGTACAGCATCCACCACTCGCGTGAGATCTGGGGCGCGGACGCGGATGAGTTCCGGCCCGAGCGCTGGGAGGACGCGTCGCTAAGACAGAGGAACGCGTTCCTGCCGTTCTCGACGGGGCCGCGCGCGTGCGTCGGCCGCAACGTCGCGGAGATGGAGATGAAGATGATTGCGGCGACGTGGGCGAGAAGGTACGAGGTTTTCCTCAGGCAGGACGGGATGAGGACTCGTGAGGGGTTCTTGAGGAAGCCGCTTGCGTTGGAGATTGGGCTGAGGAGGAGGGGAGGGGAGGTGAGGTGAGGTAAGGGAAAAAGGGGGAGGGGGATTGTGGGGTGTGATTATGTAAGCTGTCTAGGGAGGTAAGCCTAGAGGGACGGGCTTACTGTGGATGAATTTATGAGAATACGATTATGACTGATGGATCTAGGCATATGAAATCATTTGGGTTCAAGTTTCAATTTGTTGGTTAGATACTTTCCGACCTGCCGGCAGCATGATTTTGAAGCTCGACACCGGTTTAGCTTACTAATCAAGGGGCGTCTTAAGAATTTCGTCGTGATGCTTCTTTTATGAAAGTGTCAACACATGTTTAACTTGTTTATGGATGCGATCGATGTAGCACGCTTGTAGTTGGTTGTGACTATGAAGTCGCTGATGAGCAGAAGCCCAAAGCCTTGGTTAGTCCTCGTAGACGAGTTATTAGACCTTTAATAAGATCGCGAGATCAAGTGCTTCATGTCTGCCTACTTCGGCGCAAGGGGTCATTCCGAAACGATGTAGTTAAAAGAATAGTACAGTCTTGAATGCGTTGAGGTAGATATACATTTTATCCTATGTGAAATGCAGCATCGTTGAATTCGGGGTGTAGAAATGTACGAATGCATCACCTACCTAGGTTAGGAACTCACAAAAAGGAACCATGTGGAAAAAAGGAAATGCAAAAAAAGCTCAGCCCCGAACTGAATCGGCGACCTACGAAAAACCCCGAGTCCGCTGTAGTAGGAATATAACCATCTACCACAGCTTGGCTCGAACGAGTTTTCTCTAGCCTCAAGTCACCCACTAGATTTCAAGACTAGTGAGGTCGGCTTGAAATTTTGAAGATTTAAACCGCTATATAAGCCTTGTATCGAGATCCGAAAATCTCCCGGTTGCCGTGGGCAGCGACGGCGAGAGTCGAGATGGCTCACGGGATCCACTAAAATACCTAGGCATAGATTGTGAGCCGCACTGCGAAGAGTAAGTCACCCGACTCTGGTTTCGTTGAAGTAGGTAGGTAGCTACCAGGCATACCATAACGTGCCTCATTAAGCAATTGACTAGTATGTGGGTACCTGTTGAAGTGTCGTTCATCTGTTTATTTATCATGATTTAATATTACCTAAAAAGGAGTATGCTTCAAATATTCAATGAGCCCATCTTATTCGGAACAACCAACTCGCCTCATAGTTAGATAAACGGATTGGTGTACCTTGGACTTTCTGAAGCACTTGTCGGCAAAAGATAACAGAATGATGGATTCAGAAGATAGTACCCCTCCATCTCTCTAAGTAAGGCCCTCTGTTTTATCGTTTCCTGAAAAGTCTGTGATGGTTAGTAGATGTTTCAACTCTTCGACATCATATTTAGGTCTAACCTCGCGTCTCTTTCATATAACCAATTTCAGCAAGCATACAGAAAAAGCAACTTTCATCCTTGACCTTCACCCCGCAGACTTTGGTATGGTGCGGTAGACCGCAAGCTTTCTCTACTCCCATCACTTTGGAATGCATGCACCACTCGGTTGTCTTGTATATCAATACGCCGGTTTCTCGGCCGCAGTTGCATACCTGCTTGTCGTAGTGTTTGGTACACATTGAGTTGCGAAGGCCTCGGGGTTTTAGTAACAAATTTCGTGGTATTTTATTATAGCTGGGCCAGTATGTTTCTGCTTGAGGATGCAGTGTCGATATTCGGCCGTTGGTGAGGTATTCTCTCGAAGGAAGAAGTCTGGTTGCAAGACATACAAATACCTATCATTATTGTGGTTTCTGTAACTATGTACGCCGTGGGTGTCATGATTTTTTGGATATGTCTATCCTGAGTGATTGTGTCGCATTCAGAGAATCATTAATGGTTAGGATTGGACTTAGGACTTTAGAACACCTTAGTCTATGATTAGACTCCTGATCATGAACATGAGGAATTGCCGGGCATTCCGTTCAACCTTCCATTTGCAGGACGTACAGATCAACATATCACTAAACTATCACTACTTATATTACTCATTACATTACAATATTTTGGATGTTTGTTCCTCCATTCATTCCAATTGTTAGGTTAGTGTGAGGACTGTGGTAGACTTTTGGCAACACTGCCACGTCAAGAAATGACGATTTGGTAGATCACGCGACTGCGCATGACCAATGAATCTTCACCTTACCCTCGAGTGTATGTGCTGCCATGGGCATTCCCGAGTAGGTAAGTTGTACAAATGGCATGAGTTGGGAGAGCATTTTCACAGTCCATCAGTATTACATGAAAAAAGGGTAAAATGCTATCAAACAGGTACTCGGAGATGATGGTTTGGGTGTACGTACGAGCTCAGCTTCCATGTACTGTTATTGCGCATGATAGAAAGATGACAACTGACTTCTCAGTTACCATAAACAACCCAGATTAAGAAAGTTTTCGATAAACTTGTGGAATAGGGGAGAGGGATATCAGCCACAGTTGAACGTATCAGCCATATATATAAGTGGGACCATAAAAAGGAGGTGGCGCAGAATGCTGACGGCGTCATGAGTTGGACTTGTGAGGGAAAGGGGTGAGATCACCAAGTGGCGTAGTGGGGGCTATTTCTCTGCAAAGTCTATTCTCGTTACTACATAGTAGGTGAGTTAAAGATGACCAGTCAGCTCAAACAGGAGAGAGGTAAGGCGAGGTGTCCCGTTTCCTCAACTAAATGTTGAGAGGATTCATGCAGCCACGTATGACATAAGCAGCCACCAGCCCCTGACTATTACACTGTGTCATCATACTCGACACACGGTAAATTTGAGCATTTGCGTAGAGTGAAGACTGAGGTCTTTTAACTGTAACAGTTTATATGTAAGTATCTACATCTATGTCTCAAAACTAGGGGTATTCACAAACATTGCATTCTAAGTCTAAGTCCTTTATCCTGGAAGCTCTACGGGGTATCTTGGGGTGTTGGAAACCTCCCATGCGTCTAATTCAACAATTCTTCCAGTGCCCTGCATCTCAACCGGTGGCTTATAATAATCGTGATAATATAACGCCTCTGGGGCGTTGAAGTGCGCCGGGGGCACTACTTGAGAATAGGGCTCCATATTATCGGTCGCTTGTAACTTGCGGTCTTGTGATCGTCGGTAGAGTAATATTCCTGCGATAAGCGAGATAAATCCAACACCACCAACTCCCACTCCAACACCGACGCCAATCTTGGCACTTTTCGTAAGACCTGGCGACTGAACATTGCTTGCAATTCCCGTGGTTTGACTTGTAGCTGCAGAACTGACTGCCGTCGCTGCTGTGATGTGGTTTAGTGAGATGGCCCGATGCTAAATGAGAGAAGAGGCACTAACCAGACGTCGTGGCGGGGGCCGAGGCAGAAGTCGATATGTGAGACGCGGCGGAAGACGGTGGAATGGTAGTCGTGGGTAAGCCGTCGATCCAGAAGGCGGCGCTCATGAAACCGCCGTCTGATTGTTGAGCAGCTGTACCCGACGCATTAACTATGCGAAATGCGTATATATCTGAAGAGTTCTTTGAATCCGTAGCTACCTCCCATTGATACCATGTTTGGCCTATATTGGCTGCCGGAGTTTCGATCAGCACTGGAACTTGTGGAGATGGAGTTGTGGCATAACCTACATGCAAGTTGAATCGGCGTAGAGTATCTCCAATCGACAATTAACCAAAGATTTGACGTCTCGTACGCTGTTTGCCAGCTAATGTTCATCGTTGACCCTAATGTGTAGGTCGACTGTGACCCTCTCGGCTCTGTGAATACGCCGTCGGCATAAATCGGTGCTGGCTCACCGGGTCCAGGAGGATTTTGCCCGGCAGCAACTGTGCTCACGTAAATGAGCGTAGCAAGTAGTCGAAACCACATAGCTAACTGACAATTAGAACGGGCAAGTTCATAAAAGCCGTAGCCATCAAGTGATTCTGATAAAATCAAAGTCTAGAATTCTATTAATATTGGTCGCACAAGATAGACAAGACTCCGGGGGAATGGTGACAGCGCGGGAGTCGCGGCTGATGGTGCCATTTAGCCGCCCATTGTCTTAGATGGGATCGGGTCCCAACGCTCTCTGAACGGGGCATAACGAGGCATCTTTGGTCGTGATGAGATGCAAAGCATATCGCGATATCGTATGCTGCAATGCAATGGCACGGCAATTATGCTAGGCCAAGCTTCTAACACGAGCCCGTTATAGGCTCGGGTGAGGTCTTGCGGGTAAGATGTAAGCGCCATCGGCGGGTTGCATCCTATGGCATCTCAAAGATCAATTGCGCTAATAGACGCCTCCCCACCAACCATGTTTGGGAAGGTTACAGCGCCCAAGCTGTCGGGTCTGCCTATATCAAAATGCAGTAACTTGTTGGTAAATAGTTTCCGAATTCACGAAAAGATAGGAATATGGCTGCTCCAGCCATGCGGACTCGAGAATGTCCGGCGAATAGTGTCCTCGATGCCAACGGAATTTCGGGGACATGGTACAAGGGTTTAAGGCAGGTCGATCTAACAGCGGGCAACGGATAGTACCGTTTAGAAAAGCACGGTGCGAGTTCCAAATGATAGCACTTCGAAACGAACATTTCAATTGAGAGTAAGTTGACAGGTTAATATCCTCAAGCTTCAATATTATTAATTAGGAGCCTCAAAAAGTCAAATCTTAATACCTAGTAAGCATCCAATCATATAAATCCAAAAAATCGTAGCTTTCCTAGGCCTATCAACTTTTTGTTTCGTTTCAACTCCAGTTCTTCTCCTAATAACGATCTCCATTAAGACAAGTGAGGTGGGTCATTGATGTGCGTACTCCCTTGTCTAGTCACATGTGAGGACCTGTTTCGTATGATCAACCAGCGAATCACCGGTTCCGGGTACGAGGTATCCAGGTAGCGCCATGTAATCCCTGATCTGCCTCCAGTTTCGTAATCGTGGCTGAGCCAACGGAAGCCGTCCCCTGGAAAGCAATGTCGTCAATCTGTACGAAGTACTCCCTAAATTATGACGAAGTTGGTCAACTAATAGCGAGCCCTTTTACGTACAGTTTCCAGTTTTTTTCCACTTTATTCGCGTCTCGCAACTCAAGCGCATCTAACATTATGGGATGACTTGTTCTCTTTTAAAACACATTTAACTCTTTGTTTCAATGATTAACTCTTATTGTCTTGACGCGGCGGCAGGCTTGCTCGCGTTTCTCTTTATCGTTAAAGGGAGCTTCGTTGCTCTTTACAATCGCTAAGCCTTCTTAATAATCCGGCTTTTCTGTATAGCATAACTCTTGGGGGCTTATAGTATGTTTTCAGCCTTGCCGTCGTTGTTTCCGCGCTCGATATACCGAGCTCTGACGGCGGCTACTGTTTTCTCTTTACTCCTGTTCTACCTATATGTGCGAAAGCCAATACTTGCAAGCGACTCGGAATACCTAAAGAATGCTCGACCTTCGTGCGACTCGCTCAAGGGGATTGATGATCTTTTTGTGATTCTCAGGACCGGAGCTTCTGAGGCTCATAAGAAGCTTCCCGTGCACTTCGCCACTACTCTGCGATGTGTTCCCAACTACGCCATCTATTCCGACTACGAAGAAGAAATTGAGGGACACCATGTCTATAATGCTTTAGACGAAATCAACCCCGACATCGTGGCCGAAAATCCCGATTTCGAATATTACCGGCGCTTGCAAGAGGGGGGCAGGCAGGCTTTTACGACCGAGGAGCTAGAGCAATGGGCGTCCGCCAAAAACACAGATGCCGGGCGTGATACCCCCGGTTGGAAGTTGGACAAGTGGAAGTTTCTCCCGCTGGCTGAGAAAGCTCTGCGGCAGCGACCTGACGCGAAGTGGTATATCTTCATTGAGGGAGATACCTATATGCTCTGGCAATCTCTGTTGGAGTGGCTATCGCACTTCGACCCATCCAAGCCTTACTATCTGGGCATGCAGATGCAGATTGGCGACATAGTCTTCGCTTATGGCGGCGGGGGCATTGTTGTTTCCAACCCGGCGTTACAGAGAGTTGTGGCGCATCGTAGTGAGAACTTAGAGGCCTACGATGACTTCACTGCCGCGCACTGGGCTGGCGATTGTGTCTTAGGCAAGGCCCTGGCGGATTCTGGTACGAGGCTATTATGGTCTTTTCCGACTGTCGTCGGTGATCGACCCGGCGATATTGACTTCAACTCGACGTTTGGTGGGGCTAATAACAGGCCGTGGTGCTATTACGCTTCGAGTTATCATCACATTCCGCCCGCCGAAATTCCCAGATTTGCTCGGTTTGAGTATATATGGAACCAGAAGGTAAGCATCGATTCGCTTTGTTTATTGCGGTACTTTGCTAATGCCGAATTCTTGGCAGAACTCCCACCGCCTACGGCATCGAGATGTATTCCGGTACTACGTTTTGCCCCGTTTGTCGTCCGAGCACGATGACTGGGATAACTTGTCCGAGGCCAGTCAAGGTGACGTGCATTCCTTCGAGGGCTGCCGTAGCACTTGTGAGAACCAGCCTGACTGCATGCAATTCTCCTTCTCGGGTGACTCATGCAAGACATCTGCGTCTCTCAGGCTAGGACATCAGGCTTCTAAGGACACTCCGGAACGAACGAAATCTGGCTGGGTAACCGACCGAATTAAAAATTACGTCGAGCGCATGGACGCGACCTGTAGTCATGAGACCTGGACTCTGCCGTGAAGATAATATCTGCTTAATATCGTCAGAGTTTATCTGGCTACTGGAGTTGTATCGACAAATCCGATCGTGATGTGGAGCATCGCGACTGTATAAATACCGCTCCGCCTGACCAGGCTGCATTGCTGGTTGTAATGGAGCTAGCGGGTCGGGCATTATACTTAGAAGGCATGCGGTATCTTGGATTAACGTACCAGAGACTCTTCGAAGGCTCGTATTGTATAAAATACGTTAATTAGCCCGGTGTATACATGATTGGTCGTTGGGACGCTGTATACAAGGCCGAGGAGTATGGGTAAGGCATGATCATCACGATGATGGCACCGAAGGATAGATGAGCCGAAGGTACATGTGTGGAAGGCTTTCTATTCATGATCATCTAGCGTATTTTTCAAACTAAATTACTATTCAGAATATAAAATCCAGGTTTTGGTTCATATCTATGCATTGGTTCAGTTTTCGAATACCTACGTGCATGTTTCGGCTGAATCGTTCAACCACGAAGTGGTAAAGGTTAAATCATCGTATCGACACATCTAGCCCATACCTAATAGGCGACAGACATGACGAAATGTGTACTTTGGGGAAGATGTTATGCATGAACTCACATTATATACGATTGGGTAAAATTTGTTTATGGACAAAATGCTTTCAAGCTGCCATGTACCATACCCGGGGATTGCTTCTTTCACGACTCGATTTTCAACCCCTTATGTCAATATTTCAGCAATGATAGCTTGAAGGTGGGAATAGTATTAATGAGTTGAGTCATGACAAGCTCAAGTCCTTATAGTAGTGTCATCAGAGCCTAGCTTTTGATAGTAGCCCTTCAGGGGTAGACACCGTCACTTTTAAAGACCCTTCTGGAGCACCGATGTAAGTGTAGCGTAGGGAGTCCAGGCTTGCGCCTGTCACCGTCACTACCTTTTCTTCTCCTGGAACGAGGTCAAAGCCGTTGTCGCTCAGTTTTATCGCACGAGTCTCCTCGAAGACAAATCCCTTCACGGGACGAGCCGCGGATATAGATAGTTGGTCAGAGGATGTGGCCTTGAAGGTTACATTCCGGTTGGAGAAATCCAGGTACTTCAGTGGCTGCGGCCAGGCAGAATCAATTGAGACGACCTGGTCGCCGTCTTTGATGGTGGCGTGGATGACATACGGATCATATTTCGTTAGGTCGAAAGGCCGAGTCGTGTCATTGAACTGCGGGTTTGTTACTGGGAGATGATGATCTTTCAGGACTTCCGTCGTGCTATTCGGCAGCACCTTGACATCACCCAGCTTCAGCGCGGGATGTACATCTTGGCCCGTTCGGATCGAAATAAAGCGCACTGTTATCTCTACTTGAACGGCGTCTAATCGACTACTTGCGATCCACAGATCGAATTTCGTGTCCCTAGCTGGTAGTGTAGGGTCCGCGTGTCCTTCCGTCCAATTGTGATACGGTTGCGATATGCCCACCGCCAGGGGCTTCAGGGCGTTTGCGATGGCATAGAATGAGGGCTTTTTGACGAGATAGTAGTCGACCACAGCCCAACTCATCGTCGGCCAGCAGTCATTCAACTGCCACACCAAAATACCCCCACATTTACGTGACCCTGGTGTACCCCATTCCCGGCGCCATGTCTTGTAAGCAAAGTGCATTGTCTCTGCTTGCACAATTTGCGTGAGGTGCGTGTATGAAGGTAGATCATACTTCACTTGGAAGTTCTCTGCGACATAGGTAATCATACGGCGCTCATGGTCGATGGCTTTGTTGCGGAAGTCCATCATCATAGAACCCGGATGTTGTTGTTGTGGGTCTTGAATCATATTGCGGATTGTTTCAAGATGTGGGTAGGATTCCATCCCAAACTCGCTGATAAAGCGGCCAGACAGTATATGGGTCTCCTGGTATCTGTTCATCCTTCCATGCCATACTTCGCTATGTTAACAATTGATGAGACGGTGTGATGTAGATGCTCTGAGCAACTTACTGTTCCATTGATGGATATCTCCAACTGTCTTGTCCGTGGTACGCTTTCCGTCTCCCCATGGACTACTGGGGTGGTACACCATGAAGGGATCCTCCTCCTTGACAATCTTTGGTAGCAAGTACTCATAAGTATACCTAGCCGGGAAGGTCGACTTCAACCACGACTGGGGATCTTTATCCCCATCATAATCGTAATGAAGATGATATCGCTCCTGGACTTGGTAATCCTCATTATTTCCTGCCCATATGACTAGGGACGGGTGAGATCTCAACCGGCGCAGGTTTTGTCTTGCTTCTTGCTCAACGGACTCTAAGTAGGAGGGATAAGTCGGGTAGCTTGCACATGCGAATTGGAAGTCATGCCAAACGAGGACTCCTAGTTTATCGCAAGCGTCGAATAGGGCATCATCCTCATAAATGCCACCTACACCGTATCATTAGTGCTCCTATATGAATTAATTGGGATATCTGTCAGGGACTTACCGCCCCATATTCTCAGCATTATCTGATTGCCTTCAACCATGAGTCTCATCCAGTCGTGGTACCGTTGGGTGGGTATCTGAGAGAGCAAGCTATCGGCAGGGATCCAGCAAGATCCACCAGAGAAGATATCTATCTGGTTGATGCGGAAATAGAAAGACTTGCCAAATTCATCCTTTTCTTGAATGAGTTCGACTCGCCGAAAGCCGATGAGTTTGGATTTTTCGTCGGCTGAGGTTAGAGTCGCTTTCAATTCGTAAAGAGTCTGCGACCCGTAACCATGCGGGTACCATAACTCTGGATTTTCGATCTGAAAGTCTGCTTTGGCCAGGCCGTTGTTATCAACTGCAGCCTCATTCTCCCAGATAATAGTTCCCCCAAGGGATAATGTGAGAGCGACCGACTTGGAATTCACACCAGCGATTTTGGCAAAGATCTGGCCAGAAGCTGTCTTCAAGTCCTTATCGACTTCGAAGTGGATCCAGACGTCGTCAATTCTCGAAACATATTGTTCAAGATAAACAGGTCTCCAGGGCCCAGCCGTCATCAAAATTGGACCCCAATCCCATCCCCAGTTGTATTGGGCTTTCCTAGTTGGAACTCGACCGATATCTGTCTGACGAACGTAAAAAGTGTGCTCTTGTTCGTGCTCTTTTACCAACTCTCGTCCTTTCAAAAAGGCAGAGTCAAACTTGATTTCGAGGACGTTGTCATTTTCGAGAAGGTTTGAAATGTTCACCCGATGAGCCAAGAACATGTTATCTGACTTTAGAATCTGTTTGCCATTCAGCAGAACTGTTGCAAACGTATCCAGACCCTCGAAGACAATATCGGTGGTAATAGCACCAGGGACCGAAGGTCCAACTGGCTTCTTGAATTGAACTCTGTAGCTCCAATCCTTCTCATCAACCCACCGCGCAGCGAGTTCATTCAAGTCAATGAATGGGTCCGGAATCCTATATAAAAAGTAAGCTCTCATTCATTTTCTAATAACGACTTGACCAAATCCCATATGACGGAGGGTGAAGTTATCCCTACTTATTATTGGCAATCAGATCCATATGAACCTGAGTTGGAACTTTCTTCACTGGGAGCCAGTCACCAGTCGCGGCGCTGTCGCTTTGCCTGAAAGTCCAGCCATGTTCAAGGGGATGTCTCACGAGAGCCATCTTAAACTGGTTCGGAACAAGAGATATACGCCGCAATTCCCAAAATGGTAGGGAAATGCTTCTTCCCCGAGAAAAGCGTAGGTTGAACTGATTTGGATCATCAATAAAGAGAGAAACAGAAAGCCCCTTTATTGGTACAGCGGGATACCAGCCCGTATCTTGCAAGGATGTCGCTGACTATTGGACGCCTCTTAGTCTCTTATTCAGAGTCTCCTTGACAGACCTTGAGGGAAGACTAGAGAGCGTCCAGGACAAGTCCTGCAGTCCAGAGAGAGTGTACCTCGGCATGGAATTGTTGGTTGGATGTAATACGGAAATTTAAATCTTCGTGCGGGGGAATTAAGGGGAAGGATGCGACGCACCATTTATCGGCTTCCTTCAATTGTTACATGCTATTCTGCATGACTAAGCCTGGCTAAGCAGATTGGTCTCGTTAGAAGCATGATATATGTAATTAATGCGAGATTTCCGTGCTACTCCACTTCGTTATCCAAATCCGCCGGACCATTCCACTTGATCATTGAATCATACCAACATCCTGCCGGAATGAGTGGTCACAGATCAGTGACTATGTCCCATTGCGTTGATGTTCCACAATTTCAGCAGCCACAAGAAAACGAGCTCGTCACCGTCAGCTTCAGCTTCAGCTCCAGCTCGCCTTAACAAATCGTGCTCTGAATGCACGAGGTGCGTGTCGCCAAGAAATCATCTCACTTCTTGTGGTTAGTTACCTAACCAAGACTGATACGACCACTGTAGGCGAAAGGTCAAATGTGATGGTGGTCATCCTTGTAGGCACGTACTCGCTGGAGCGACCTTATAGAGCATATACTGATATAGGCGTATTGTAGCTCCTGTACGTACTACAAGGTTTCACACCTATGTAGCTATCGCCAGCGTAATAAGAGGAATGCCGTAAGCAGAAGGTAGAAGCCCTCAACTCCTCACATAGTCCGGTTTTCTGTATCCACATGGCTTTCGAGCCTTAGACGCCCATACATGACTAACATGAGTGTTTGCAGCACGCTCGAGGAGGTATCGGAACAGCTTAGATCACGGTCCAAGATTCTCGAACAACTCTTTCCTGATACAGCTGTTGATGAGCTTATCGGTAAGAGTCGCGATGAATTACTAGGTATTCTCCGTATTACCTCTGTGTCTAAAGCGGCAGCCGATGAGTTGGACGGTCGCTCTGTTGAGGATCCCGAAGTCGCGGATGATTCAGCTCAGTTGTCTGAGAATGGAGAGCCTACCGCTGATAGAGAATGGGACGAATCAAGCCACCAGCCACTTGTGCTACAGGCTGGCGATGATATCAACGCCATCAATCTCGCAACGGATCATCATCGCCGCTCTTATCTAGGAGTCACTTCAATTAGTGCCATCCTTCGAACAATTTTTCGACTCTGCCCTCCTGCGAAGCATCGCGTTACTGAGCAGGCTAAAAGGTGGTCTGAGAATCCAATGCAGCCTCAGCCTACACCCTTCTTGGGTGGTGACTTAGGAGCCCATCTATTAAAGGAGCAACGTTGTATCGATTTCTACTTCGAGCATGTCCATCCAATTGTTCCCATGTTAGATGAGGAAGATTTTCGTGCGTCATACTCCCTAGGGCATAGAAAAGAGCCTGGTTGGCTTGGCCTACTCAATATGGTGATAACCATTGGCTCTATAGCTTCCGGAAGCGACACGCTGCACGAGCAATACTATGAACAGGCTCGAACGTTCGTTGATCTCGATAGCTTTGGTGCAGGAAACCTAGAAAGCTTACAAGCCCTTTGCTTACTTGGCGGCCTGTATTTGCATTATAAAAACGCTCCAAATATGGCCTATTCCGTACTAGGGGCTGCGCATCGCGTTGCTATCGCTTTAGGATTGCATCGGGAATCGCGACGTCGGTGTACCAACGCCGCGGAAGCCCAAGGTGATCTGACACCGACCAAAGTGAATCGGCTTGAAACGAAGCGAAGAACTTGGTGGAGTCTGTTCTGCCTTGACACGTGGGCTAGCATGACTCTGGGCCGTCCAATATGTGGACGATGGGAGGCTACAACGATGGATACTCTCCTTCCTAGTCACCGTACTGAGGATGATCATATGGCGATGTCCCTATGCGCTAGTGTCCATTTCTGCCTCATCTGCAACCGAATCCAAAGTCGATTCGCGCAGTTCAATCGGTTGACGATCTCCGAAGCTGTGGCTTTCGATCAGGAATTGCAATCATGGTGGGCATCTCTTCCTATGGTACTTCGATCGCCAACGAACTCCCCATCACGCCTCACCATTGCCCGCGAGTTCATGCGAAACCGTTATTTGAACATACGTTTGATACTCATGCGTTCGCTCATATTATATCTTGCTCATAGCCGTATTCAAATGGCCCAGCTTAGTATAGAAGAACTCCAGATCATCGATAGTTGTCGAACCGTTGCGAGCGAGGCCATCGATTCTATCGCCCTCTACTGGACGCCGAACCGAGTACACGTTTGGAATTCGGCGTGGTACCTGTTTCAAGCCTGCATGGTTCCCCTTCTGTCCATCGTAATTGAAAGCTCACGGTCTGATCCAACTTCCAAGTCTTTAACCTCAGCTCGCGCAAGCTTGGTAAAAGCCCTAGAGACCTTCTCTGAGATGAAACCGTGGATGCGCGCTTCCGATAGGGGACCAGATATAGTCGCCGCGATATATGACGCAATCACCGGCGAAGCTGAAGGCGCCGGGCGAACACCATCGCAAGATGGAGACTCGAATTTCTTCGGCTGGTATGATGAACAACTCACATTTGGTACCGAGCTGGATTGGGGCTCATTTTTGATGGACGATGACCTTCATGGGACTTTATTCACAACTCAAATTCAATAAACCCAACCTGGAGTTACTAGACGATTAGAATACCACTACGCTTAAGTTCATGCAGCGAATCATAAGCCATCCTGTAAATTATGGGATCTTCAAGGCCTACTCAATGAATATTTCCTACCCTTCAACAGATTCAATCACCCTAACCGCTGAAAATTGTACTATCACAATTTCGACCGCAATTTTCTTTCAATATCTTCCAAACCGGAAGGACCATTGAAAAGTCTCGAATTCAAAGCACTTGTATTGACCTGCCAGAGTGTTAAACAATAATATAATTGGAAAATAGGGGTTTGTGTAACGTACGTGTCGCGGTCCAAGCTCTAAAACAGTCTTCACACCAAGCAACCTCATTGCTGTCGCTGTTTCGTCAGCTAGAACTGTATCCCAAATGTTAGTCAATCCATTTTCTGCGGCACCGCTTATCCGCTTACTTTTCAACACCCTTTTAACACCCTCCTCCCCTCCAACCGCGAGTCCGTAAAGCGCAGCTCGGCCGATACCTACGCCTTTTGCTCCTAATGCCAGAGCCTTGACTACATCCGTCCCGCGCCTGATCCCGCCATCGACCAACACATCAAGCTTCTCCAACACCTTTGGGCAGAACTTCCGAATCTCCAGCAGCACTTGGACAGGCGTCGGCGCCGTATCCAGCGCCCTGCCCCCATGATTCGACAGGATGATCCCCTTGACGGCAGGAAACATCGTCGCCGCGTACGCGTCCTCATGGGTCTGCACGCCCTTCAGCACGATCGGCAAGCTGGTATGCCGGCACAGCCAGTCCAGCGTCTTCCGCCACGTCAACCCGGCCTCCGTGCCCCACTGCTGCGGCGCCGCCCCGCCCGCGACTTCGCCCATCTTGAAGCGCTTGTCCGCCTCGCGCTTCCCCGGGAACGGCGCGTCGAGCGTCAGCACGATGAACTTGATCTGCGGGATCCGCCGGATCTGGGCTAGCGTGCGCTCCGTCGCCGCGAGGTCCTTCAGCACGTACAGCTGCCACGCGAAGACGGCGTCGGGGCCCGCTTTGACGATGGCGGAGGGTGAGAGCGATGCGTTTTTGCTGATTATTTGCAGAGCGCCGAAGCTGGAGCACGCGCGCGCTATCCCGGCTTCGCCGGATGGGTGGGCGAGACGAGCCATGGCGGCGGGAGATACGAAGATTGGGAGGCCGACTGCGTTGCCGAGGATTGATGTTTGGAGCGAGCATTCTGTGCAGTCGATGAAGACACGCGGCCGTAAGAGGATAGACCGGTATATTTGGCTGTTGGCGGCTTTGGTGATTTGGTCGTCTGTTGCGGAGACATAGTATGAGATGGCTTTTGGCGATAACCGTTGCAAGGCGTATTTCTCGGTCTCTGATATGCTTAGCATTGATTCAAGGGGTGGCAACGTAGATGATGAAATGGCTTCCGAATCCACTGGTGGGTCGTGAGATGGCTGTATATTGGTATCATCGGTGATACTACTCGGTTCAATTGTTCCTAGCACTTGATCAGGCGTTAGGTACTCCTCCAGTATCTCTACAGGATGGACCGAGTCGAAAGCCCTTGAAGCATCTTGCCCCGCATTCTTAAGAAGAATACTTCTCCCTCCTGGATGTTTTGGGACGAATGAGGTGATCTAAGCCAACTCTGTCAGTCACCTTAGCTACACCATAAGATCGGAAAACTCACATCGTATACTTTTCCATGCAAAACCATCCAACAACTATCTTGGGTGTTGTGCTCGCTTACTAGGGTGTCTTAGAACCAGACTTCCAGATGATCTCAGATAAGACAATCCACGCACCTTCGGCTAACTTCCATACTCTTCCCATGGTTATCTAGATCCTCACTAGCTCAGGAGATAAATCTGTTGTTGGGATTGCTTGTCCGATACGAATATCCTGAGTTGATGATTGTAGCTTTTGTTAAGCCCCTGAAATAGACCACTACTCAATTGATGCATAACCCAAAATTAGTACACCTTCGCTATTGCATAACACTAAATCGAGTCTCCTCTACCACGCGCTGTAAGGATCATAGAATTCGTGATTGTCTAGTGTTGAAGCGCCAAGTCTAGCTATTACAGGTTTAACGACATCGCAGATTACTGTTGTATGGTGTGGTATATGTGGATTGATGATGCTTCTTCTAGGTTCTAAGATTGCTTAGGATCTAGTGAAGCGTTGTCTAATGCTAATGATGTACTAAGGTACGACGTCATGTGACAATTACCCCCTTTGAAGATGGGCAATTGCGGCACAGCTCACAATGGAGACAAACGGCGTTTTATTTAGCCGTATTCCTTTTTAGGTAAGAGGGATTATATACTTCCGTCCCCTATTCTATCCTGGACCATTTAGACACCTGGTAGTTAAGTCTTTAATGAGCCAATCATGTCCCACTGATAGCCGGGGCATCACCCCGGATCGTGTGGTGTTGGCGGTATCTCCTCTTACTGGGAGCATCCCAGAGGGGGAATGCTGACCCCATGGGGATCCCAGGTTCTGGGACTTATCACAAGAGACGAGGGGCCGGGGTTGATGGCTCTCAGAAAGCTTATCTATGTATAAGATGACAGCCTTTTTGCTTATTTCCCTGCCAAGCTCGTCCAGCCAAGCTCGTCCAGTCCATCGTCTTTCTTTCTGATCAAGAATGAGAATTTGAGCTCTTCGCCGTCGCCAGAATTAAACCATGGCGGACCAAGTCAGAGACACTCGAAACTCTTTATCAAAGGCTCGCTTAAGCCATGACACGATGGAGAAGAAAGGTCAACATATCGATGTCGACGACGTCGATGGGCTGGATCCCAGCCCAGAGACGTATGCTGCTATCATGGAAACGACCAAGCCAGATCCTCGAGGTCCCGGGTATATCAGGCTGTATCTTTTAGCAGGATCACTTTTTCTTTGTTCTACCTTCAATGGCCAGTACTCCAAACTTAGTTGGTCCTCAATTCCACTGCTAACAGAGCCCAGGCTTTGATACTTCTTTGATGGGCTCAATCAATGTAGGTAACACAGCTTCATCTCCGTTCCTCTCGAGGAAAATCCTCGCAGTGTCATTTCGTATAAAACGGAACAGTGGCACATGCCTAATACCACATGCCCTTCATATAGGCCTTGCCAAATTATACGGAGTACTTTGGACTTCCAGCTAGCGGAAATGCTTCGACAGGAATTGTGTTCGCTATCTTTCAAGTATGTATCTCGCGACGGTGGTGGCCTACGTGATAAGACCTAACCAACTTAGGTCGGTCAAATGTGCGCTGCTCTTTTCATCTGGATGACTGACTGGTACGGTCGAACATGGCATATCTTCTTCGGTTGCTTAGGTGTGTGCATTGGTACTATCGTCACGGCTCTCTCCACGAATCTTCCCATGTTCATCGGTGGGCGCTTCCTCCTATCCTTCTTTGCTACCTGGGCGCAAACTGCGTCGCCCCTTTACCTCGTAGAGATATCACCAGCCGCATACCGAGGGACAATCGCGGGAGCATACAACACATTTTATAATATCGGTTCGCTTTTAGCCACATCGTCCGTCTATGGCTGTCATCTCCATCTGGCGGATCGGGGCGATCTTGACTGGCGCATCCCTCTATGGTTGCAGATGGTTTGTCCCGGGATCCTTTGCTGCTTAATCAAGTTCTTTCCTGAGTCTCCACGGTTCCTCATTGCCCAGGATCAGCATGAGAAAGCTGAAGAGATAATCGTTAAATATCACGCTAATGGCGATCCAAACCATCCCATTGTCGCCCTTCAGATGAAAGAAATGCTTGGAACGGTACAGGGCTCGCAAAAAGCTAGTTGGAAGGATATTTTCGACCTTAGGGTCCTCGTAGAGACACGCGCCAGCCGATATAGGCTTATGTTGAATGTGGCATTTTCCTGGTTTGGGCAATTTAGTGGAAATAAGTATGTGAAATAGGGGCGAAGTACGATGGTTTCTTGCTAACTTATTCTCTTAGTATCATCAGTTACTACCTTCCCCTCATGTTAAATGGTATTGGTATTACCGACACCAACACCAAATTAGTAAGTAATAACGAGCTATTCTTCTTCAAGTTATGTATGCTTAACAGCATGACAGATCCTTAACATAGTCTATGCTGTGATCGGGTGGGTATTCTCGATGGTCGGCGCTCGTCTTCACGACGTTGTAGGACGTCGCAAGATGCTGATAGGTAGCACCTTGGGGATGACTATCTGCCTGACTCTCGTAGCTGCTGGCGCTGCCGGAAAAGTCGAGTACGGAAACAGCTCAGCTGCCACAATGTCGATCGTATTCATTTTCATTTTCGGCGCTGTCTTTGCTACAGGTAGGTTCGGAGTTATGATTGGACTAGGTTGATAGCTAATCATGATATAGGGTACACTCCAATGCAGCCAATTTATCCAGCCGAAGTGGTGTCAAACAAGATGCGAGCTAAGGCAATGGGGACATTCAAACTGACTGCTGGCGCTGCCGGGTTCTTGAACACTTTCGTAGGCCCAATTGCGCTCAGCTCAATTGGCTATTGGTTCTATGTGTTCTTCGTATTCTGGGATTCCTTCGAGATGGCGTTTATGTACTTCTTTTTCGTAGAAACGAAGGGGATGACCTTGGAGGAGTTGGACGCGATATTTGAAGCGAAGAACCCGCGGAAGGCCAGCGTCGAAGTAAAGAAGGTCCAGAAGAGGATTATCAAGGAAGAAGGTGTCCATGAAGGGTTGGGAGTGTAGATACTAGTTAGCTTTTCAAGGATTACTTGATCAGATATCAGCAAAGTAGTAAGGTTGTAATACGATCTGGTATGAACCGATGTTACCCATACCGCAAGCCAAAAAGAAACCCCATAAGGAACAATAAAATACATGAGCTAACCTTTCGATATTCAAGTGAGGTAGCTAGCTAGCTAGCAACCTACCTGGTAACTCGGGGTTGTTCGGCAAAAGAAAAACGAAAAGGTGGAACAATAACACAGAGTAGACTACCGTTAGAAACGTTTAAAAAGGACAATGAGAGAAAGACGTTAGAAGTAAAATGTATAAAGCCAATAATGAAAATTAACCTGAAAACAATTAGATGCATCAACGGCACTTCACTAGAGAACTTAGTAATCATTTCTGCGCCGCGGAGTTGCTGCCGCAAATCCCTTACTCCTAGGCCCATAAAGGTCCATATGGGGTGTGGGACGTTTCCTAGTACGCCGTTCTAACTATACAGGCAGTAAGTGTTATCGATTATGATGACTTTAGTAATTCTGAAAGGAAAGTTAACAATATTTGTAGATATATCATATGATGAGACATGGCCCGGGTAGGAGCAGTAGGTAAGGATGATGTCCCTTAAGGAGCTCTAAACTTATTTGCTAAGGTTCACGGTAGACATAGGTATACACAAGCCATTTAATACGTCCGCGCTGTCTTAAGATCAGCCACGAATACAGACTAAATCTCTCGTAATTAGCTGCTGGGTATCATTATGCAATAATACCGATGGAATATCCATCAGCCATGAATTCATGTGAGAGCTAGGAAGACTCTCATACTAGATACAAAACTAATGCTGTCTTCCAGAATCCAGGAACCCTCTCTCTTGCGCAAAAGACACTATGTTCAACCATGTTCCACCTTTCTTCAGCCCAAAAGGAGAAATGGTATTTTAAACTTCTTGTTCACGCAGAGCTGTCGGCGATGTAGGAACTGGCAGTGGAAGTCGGCAAGAAGTATTCGAATCATTACTCGGCGCAAGGGTCAGGACCATACTGCACCAGGAGGAAGCCTTTGAGTTCCAATATCAATGCAAGGCGTGCGGAAGACGCCTGTGAGCGCCATGATCCAAAGCGGTATTCCAGTCGACTAATGGGTCCGCCGAACCCTGGGACCGTTCCGTGGTCGATAACTTGATCAAGTTCATATACGAACTTCTTAGCAAAGAAGTCGTTAAGGAATGTCTGGTTGACAATCTCTGGATTACCAGCGATTAAGAGCACTCGGCTAGCATATGGCGGTACCGCGCTCTCGCCAACCCGATTGCGGTTCCATTGCACTAATGGGAACTGTCCACGGAGCAGGATCCTACCGCGCATGATCTTTAGATAAAGTCTCTCGGCGTCTTCACGATTAAAAAAGCTGATAGACGCAGCTGCTGTGGTGATAATACCTGTCGGCTGGTTGATGACGGTTGACCGAACTCGGCCTGTGTGGGTGATGGCTGCAAGGAGTTCGTGGATGGTGATATTGGCTGGCAAGCCAGTAATCCAAAGATTTGTGTTCTGGTCCTCAGGGACACCAGCACCGGTGTTGTTAGGCAAGCTACAGTCGCCGTGATAATTGCCGTTTTGTCGATTCGCCGTTCGTAAGGCGCTTGAATTGCCCGTAAGTTGTTCAGAGGGCTCGAAATAGCGGAGGTCCATCTGTGAATTGATTGTTAGAAATTGCTTAATAAAGATGACTATTGGATCATCATCGAGGCATGGCAGCAACAGCGGCGGCGGCAGCAGCAATAACTGAAAATAGAAGGGGTAGATACGTACAGTGGGGACACTCGACATCATCTTGTTTTCCATTTAAATATTAATTAACCTACTGGGCAGGTAGCGACCACGCACGGTGGTATCTTTAGATTGATCTAGGTGATCTTTGAGGCACCTATTCAATCATGGTGGCGTTAATAAAGTTCCGCTGGTTGTTGCAATATGCGACTTGAATAAGTTCAAATAGTAAATGCTTACTTTTGTGGATGAGTTTGGATAAGTTGAAACTTCTTTTGGTTTGAATGAAGAGTTGAAGGTAAAGTTTGTTTAGGAAAGGAATTAGAATTGGCTAAATTCCCTGATGTTAAATAGTTTCAAACCTAAGTCCGTACTTTCCGTTATTTGGGTGACTATATAAGTTGTGGGAAGGCGCGTCGTACGAATTGAAGTCTAGATGGAAAGTACATGGTATGAAAACACGCGCAGTTGCTGCTGGAGCTCGGGATGAAGTGGATATAGCAGCGTTACTTCTCTCGTCAGTTACTAGCAGATATATCCAAAGCAAGCACATTAGCCACCAACGAATTGATTCATCTGAACCTACCGGGAAAAATATAAGGCATCCCACCAGATAAACTGTTACTAGCAGGTGTCGTGCCTGTTTTAAACTTTGCCAGTCTCGGTTAATGGATTCACATAGAGACTTGGCAAGAAAATGATCTGACTCATGTGATAGTAGTTTTATTCTAATGAGCAGCTCCGTGGATTTTGAGATGATCGAGTTGGCAAGACGAGCAGGTTATACTTATATAGTAATATTAAGCACTCGACAAGGTACCTAGGTACACAAACGCTAACGCCACAAAGTGTGAACAAGAAATTTATTTAACTAGTGCTATTCGTTACTCACTTAGGTACCTGATTAAACCAGGATATTCATATTCTTGAGTACCTAGTGCTAGCAGAAGGAATCCATAGTTATAGAGACACAGTTTTATTTAACCACGGAAGACTCACAGTGTGAGTCTCACACCGTTAACTATATCCTTTTAGCTATATCAACTAAGTATATACAGTTTACCAGGCCACAAACGTTTTTAGTCATCAAGCCAACATATATTAGCTTATTGACTCAATTCTAATAGGTCTATGAGTAGGTATCATAAATTTGTCCTATTCATCCACTATAGGAGTATATTATGAGGTAGACAACTAGAATTGAGAGTTAAATTACGGCATAGTTAGGCAATTCTAATTTTCTCGTTTATTCGCTCTTACGTGGCATAACATTTCTTGTCCCTCGTTATTCTTTCCTTGCTAACTATATAGACCCGGATACAAGTCGTTAAGATCACCACGGTGAAAAGTGGAGTCTAGAATACCATCTTCGGGGCACGTGACTAATAAATATCCCCGGCCGGACTCGGCCGCCGGACCAAAATGTCCTGAAATTGGAGATCTATCTAGGTGCATAGCATCGGCAAGCGCGGTGGGTGCGGGACAAAAACAGGAGAATCTCATGATATATAGCAAAGAACACCGGTTCCATCATGTGGAGTTATTAGGCGTATTGAAATTCTTCCTGCGACAGTACGGGATTGGTATATGAAGCTTTGAGTAACCCTTCCCAGCCCTTTTGAGAGGTGAAGGTTTAAGGAAATAAAAGTAAATGCAGCGGCCTGTGCTTTGATTATGTAATTCAGTTAGCTGAGTACCGTTAGATAGATGTGTATGGACATATGCATATATAGCAAAATATGTATGCTATAAAGCAATTAAAAGCGGATCGTCTACCTTCTAGTAGAATTATTCAACAGTTGCCACCAATTGGCGGAACTTTTATCTCGACTACAAACTTCAACCAGGTCTGCTTCCCAACCCAAACCTGATACAATCCTCCCACTTTTCGCGAATTTTCCTACAAAACAATTTACCAGATACCCTCGGCTCTTCGACAGACAATTTCGATGTCGGACAGGGCTACCTCTCCTCGCCCTTCGCGGGGCGATTTGCCGCCACCTCGCAAACGAAGCAGAAGCGATGATCGAAGCCAATCACCGCGTCGCGATCGCGACAGACGGGACAGAGATAACTACCGAAGAGGTGATAACTATCGATCACGAGGTGAAGATAGGAACCGTGGTGCTGGGCGCGATGCTTGGAAGGACCGAAGAGATCGTGACAGAGATGAGGGCCTTGATCAATCGGGGCAGAGCTCGAGAAGACGGGATGACGATCATGTGGATAAGGACTCGGATCGGAGAGATGCGGACAGAAACGAGGGACGAGATCGAGATAGGCCTCGACCGAAGAAGGGCTTTGGAGGTTTCAAGTACAAGGATAAGCGACGCGATGATCTAGAAGACAGGGACAATGATCGACGAGGCGCCTCCTTTAGAGGCTATCGAAACCGTTCACTATCTCCGCATCGCAGGGACCACGACCGCAACCGTGATCGTGATTCTGGACCCTCATCCTCTACCAAGAAGTCCAAGTCAAAGTCTAGTGGCGGAGATACATCTCAGCCTCCTGTGCGACCGCCCGCGGCGCCTGCTGGTGGTGGCGAAGAGATGATCGTTGTCAATGTCAACGATCGGCTAGGTACGAAGGCCGCCATCCCATGTTTCGCGTCAGATCGCATCAAGGAGTTCAAGATCATGGTTGCCGCACGCATCGGACGAGAACCCCATGAAATCTTGCTGAAGAGACAAGGACAGCGACCATTCAAAGACATGCTTACCCTCGCTGACTACGAGGTTAGCAATGGCGTGCAGCTAGATCTTGAAGTCGATACCGGGGACTAAGCAAGGAATGACTAGAAGCTTCGGAAAGGTTGGAAACCATGTTGGAGACCTGGTACGGTCCTAGGATACCTATACGACATTGCATTACTATTAAATGAGAACCGATACCCGTCTGGTCAGCCGAACTTACGTCCGACTAAATTCTTCCACGTGAATCTACTATATCGTGTTCAAAGCTTACTTAATATCAGACAACACAAGTTCATTACGTCGCCTTCGAATACAACCGTCGTATTATCCCTAGCTGAGAGTCATCACAAACCTTCAAATGCGGCAATGATAACGCCATGAGAAGCATGCCCCATATATACTAAACTAATCAGTTTGGCAGCCCGTTAATACCATACCTTCCGCTGCCGCTTTGCAGTCTCCGGATCTTTTCGTCCTGTTCCTGAATTAACCGCTTTTGTCCCTCGATAGCAATATCTCTTGTTTCAACTTCCATTCTCAATCTTCGTCGGTCATCGTCCCAACGTCCTTCAAACCTTCTTTCGCAATCACTGTTGTAATCTGCGGCGAAAGGTCGTTAACATTTACCACTTATGTCTCGGGGCACAACATACGTGTTTCACAGAAATCCCCATATCCCCTCGCACTACCGCAGTCAGGATGCATACAGGAATCTGGTGAACGTATATTATCAGTGATCCAATAAAGTTGTTCGGTGGAATGGATGCCCTTACGAATCGTGCAGTATATTCCTCTATAACATCTCCGTTGTTCGCAACCAGAATATTGGCAGGAGTCTGAGGTAGGTATTTAGCCTTAATAGTACATGTACGGATCTTGAGGTCAGTAGTGAGATGGACCTACGTCGTGGACAGCACTTCCCCTTAACTGCTCGATGTTCACTACAGTCTTGGTATTCACACCGATCTAAGAGCGCTCGCGATCAGTTATATGTTTCCCCCACGCACACATAACAGGGACACACTAACGTTCGTTGCAGTATTTGTAATTTCCAGACGAGATCTTACATCCCCTTTCCCCGCACGAATGTTTCAAGCAATGCGGCGAGTCGGGCTCTTTCCAAGCCTGGCAGCCATCGGTCTCGCATTGAGAATCTAGCTCCTGTTAGCGCCATCGTACGCGGAAAGAAATGTTATAATTTGGAAACACGGACGCGTTGCGCAGAGCTCCTTCCCAGACAGCTTTGGGTTAAGACATCTACTCGGCGACCACTCGCATCGATTATCTAGTCAATGAAGTCAGTCATCAACTCCGTGTTAGTGTAAAGTGGACAAACATACGCTGTTCACAATACCGCCGACTGTTATCAGCCTCTTTCGAACAGCCCGCCTTTTTGCACCCGTCTATCTATGGGGTTAAGATATGATGCCGATGCGTACGGGTGGGATTTGCATACGAATCTTACAATACCAACCACCCAGGGGTTTAGTATTTCTCTCGGCACATCCGTCGGCGTGGCAGACATCTTCTCGGTCATTAGTTTACTATGTTTCGGTGGGGATTACTGGCTTTTAGCTCACGTTCATTGCAATATGGGCGGTATTGGACTTCACCCTGGCGCATGGTACTGCGTATCTCAACACACCCCTCATACAAACACGTATCTATTCAGGTCAGTATGTGTCCTCCAGATGTATAGGTGGTAGCTCATACGATCGCTACAGTATTTTTCGCGCTTGAACCTCGGTTCATCAGCAAGAATATCGATTTGGATCTGTATCCTAGCTTTCTTGCAATTATCGATGGGACATCTCGCATCTCACGACTATTCAGCTATTCGTATGTCGGTCTCACAGTCTTGCATCACTTACGATAAATGCATACTGAATCGCTCGGATCCTTCGGTCTTTCACAGCGCGGTAACTCTTCATCCATATGAAAATGCGCACACGTATCTGCAATCACCGTCAGTCATCAAATTCGGCTCTGCAGTTTCTTGGAATGGTCAGTCTAGATGCTTACGCTTCTTGCAATACTTCGAAGATATGCGACCGCTCTCGTCTCTGCGACTTTTGCAGCACTGGAAGCTACATACCATCTTAACACACCCCGTCTGCTTTGGACGACACCAAGTCGCCATCCCTAACGAAAAGATTGGAAAGGTATCTTTGCGTTATTCAAGCTTGAGTTACTTCGCAAAGGAAGCGGCTTTGGTAACAGATGTGGAGATCAAGGCGACTAGTAATTTATTACCAGCCCATCTGCTTTATTCCACCATATTTTCGGTGAACACCTGCTTGCATGGTGGAAGAAACCATATACGCAGCAAATGCGGTGTAATGTGCATATTTCTTACATGCATTATTTACTCGCCACACTAATAATAACTATCTGCTGGATATGGCAAGGCTGAATTGGGCCATTTCATAGCATCAGATCAGTCGACGGCTTGGCCCCCAATAGCTCGACGCTCAATACACCATCCATCTCGATTCTATCGAAAAATGCAGCTGCAAGTACAATCGCAATATCGTTATTAATTAATTCCACTGCTACACTCTCCACATGAAGGTCTGGAATTAGACGATGAAAAATTTCTCAGTCGATTTCATAGCGAAGACATGTGCTTTTGATTACGTGGAAATGGCCACCAATGTTAGAGCCTCGTCTCTGTTAGATGGTTTTTAAGACATATTTTTCGAAGTGACGTCTCTCAAGCCACCATCGTGTCACCCCGGAGCTGAATCACATCGGTTGTCTACCACGATATCTCTATTCGACGGATCCTAGACAGCTGAGGTTGCTATCCGAAGGGCGTTACTTAATTAGACTCTCTACGATGCCGGTACTTCTCCATTCCTATTTCTGTGGATATGTAAGCACTTTGATCCCATCTCCAAGATCTCGAAATGAGGGGAAATGGGTAACACCAAACCCGAACTCGGAGCATGCGAGGCTCCAAGGCTGTTTTCTTTTTAGGAATCTTTTTGCCTTTTCACAGACGTAAGCCTAACCCCCACCCGAGTCATCTCTCCTTATTTGCATGTCTAGATACTCGTGTGTAAGTACTCTTCGTTATTTATAACCGAATTTACATCGGAAGTCCGAGGGACGTGGTCATCTTTAGGAAGCCATCATAACAAGAATTGTTTAAGGTACTTGCCTACCTAGGTACCGAAGAAACAAGGTGAATGGTTTACTAGGTTTAAATATATCCGACATTTACGTCAGATATGAATGTATATATATCTTCGGATATTCACCGCTGACCGACTCTCTCCCTTCCACTGCCCCCCTGAATGTCACCCAGAATTCAGCTTGGCGTTTAGTTAATTAAATGAGTGAGGATCTTACTTGTTCAACTTTAATGACCCAAACCCAGCATATTAAGGACAGAATGACGTGAGGAACACATTAATAAAAGGCATGGATGAAGGTTGACTACGAGGACCATAATGGAGAGTGGGATATAAGGGGGTTTGCCCCCTTAGTTTTGGAGAGGCTTGAGCATTAATCTACTCAACTACCTACCTATCCCTATATGCAAACCACCGGAGAGCTTCTTGTAGTTACCTCCCATTTAGGAGTCAACTACTCGCTAGATAATTGATATGGTGCTATCCGTTACTCACATTCATATAGTATACAATCCTTGTTTTTGCGTCCCTTTCACTGACGGTATTGTTCTCCGAGGTTGTTTGCTAAATCTTTTAATTCTATTTCAGGCTTTGTGTAATGTGGATCTATGCCCTTTCATCAGTTGCGATTAATAGAAACAATGGCTTTGTTATCAAGCCGCAGTGAGTTGTATAGGTAGGTATTGTTCCCTATTCAATTATAGATGTTGTTTTAGATACTTTATATATTTAGGCTCACCCGTTCTCTACAATTTCGACAATGGCAACATACTATTCATATTATTTCTCCGTCCTGTATTATTTTTCATAATCTTCTGTCACCTATCATGGCGCTATCCGAGTCGACGAAGGACCACTTCAATCGTGGTACTATGCTCTCGGATGACATACTTTACTACTTAGCAAACGAGCATATCCAGGAACCGCAAGTGATTTCTAGGCTTTCTCAGACATGCCGTCGTCTATCAAATCTCTTGGATCCTTTACTCTACCGAACTGATGTCCTAAACACCGAGCAGAAGCTTAACGAAAGTTCTAGTGAATTTATGTTTCCATGGCAGGACGGTGCCGGCCGCATTTATCCCTATCAAAACTCTGCTGACGACTGGAAGCAGCACTTTTATCCCCTAAAGACGGCGCAGAAAATCTCAGCTCTCCACTGGGCTGCTGGCCACAAAGACAAGAGTTTGGGCTTGGCAGTAGCCCGGAAATCCATCGAAGCGGCACTGAAGCATTGGCCCTCCTACCTTGGAGTCTACTGCCAAGGGGATAACGAGGTGATGAATAGTATGGCGCCAATTCACCTGGCGGCGATGTCTGGCAATGAAGAGATACTTCAGGAGCTGATCAGAGCTAGCTGTGTTGTAGATATGCGCGTGTACCTGGATCTTGACTTTGAAAGCTACGGTGGCGATTCGACTTTGTCTAAGACCGCTTGGTCTTACGTCGCCCGCAGCTCTCGCCATTTCATGGTAGTCAACCCTCTGGGCCTTGCTATTCTCTATGGGCATCTCCATATTGCCGAGACTTTGGCTCGTGTTACGCAAGATCTAGTGGAGGAGGTGTGGGTGAGGGGTATCGATCTGATATCGTCACTGAAAATGGCTGTTCTACATAAGATGCCGTCGGTGGTGAGAATATTGCAATCACGTGGATACAAGCCGCGGTTGGGGAGTGAGTATTTTGATGACGGTGGACTTCTCCAACTTGCGGCAGTCAACGATGGCAATGAAGAGATGCTGCAACTTCTAATTGAAAGCGCAAAAGATGCTGAAGAAGCCAACACCATGGGGGCGTTCCAATCCGCTCTAGGTGGTCGCTGCAAATCCAACCTTCTGTTCCTTGCTAAATGTCCCCTGCCCACATCCGGACCATTGCTTTTCTTCCACTTTATGTCTCAGTTCATACAGACAGACGATTATCTTCCTGTTGTCAAACAGCTACTTGAGGACGATCCAGAGATGTGTCGATCTATATCCTTGGATATTGAGATGCATCTTCGGGATAACATAGGGAGGGATCTTTATTTTGGTCGAGGATTAATGATCCAGGACTATTTACTCTATCATCCAAATATTAATTTCTCGGATTACCTAATGGATCTGCTAGCGGACCAGGAGAACAGAAGAGAACATCGCGAACGATTCAAGACATTGCCTAAGATTCAACAAGAGATGCTTGTTATATTAGAGCAAAAGAGCAACGCGCAGCATGAACAGTGGGATTGGAGAGGTTAGAAATAGAGACCTCGCACAAAAGATAGATAGCCAACTGAATAACAAATTTTGGAATTGATCATGACGTGCTTCCCCTTTCTTTTTCTGCGCCTTATTAATCATTGGTTCCGTATCGCGTACTTGTGGCTTGAACTGCTGAGTACCCATGTACATGTCTTAGTCTAGCAGATATCACGTGCCTTGGCGTCGCGTCTTTGTGATGTCAGACCGAGGCGCAAGCCCCGAACGCGCCTTTTTCATGACATCGCGTTGTGAGTCACAAAGCCCCCCCCAAATCTCCATAATTATATCAGTTCCCACCTTCCAGCTCTCTATAATCACTCAACTTTGGAATTATCATTCAGTATCAAGATTCTATCATATAGGAAGTTCAGTTATCTTAGACCCCTATTTCACTCCACGAACCTGCACTTTCTTTCTCCTTGGAACGAAAGACGACATGGCTGTAGGAATGAAGCGCAAGCGCACAGATGAAGCTGTAGATGCACCCGTACCCGTACCTCAAAAGTCAGTCAAGGCTACGTCTAAGCGTCCGGGCCTCAAGAAGCCTCCCCCCATCCCTGAAGACATGGAAGCCCAACTCCAGCGCATCGCGGCCTCAGACCGCACGGCTTTCGAAAAGAAAGTGGTAAGTCCCTGGATGGCACCTAGACACATCGCAGTGTGGTACATTTAGCCACGTTAGCCATATTCACGGAGACAGAAAGTATCTGTCATATCTGTACAAGCACCCGCTGACATCCTCGTCCTCCCAATAGTGGAATCTCCTATGTCAGATCCCCCGAGGCCAAGTATCAACCTACGGGCTCCTCTCAGCACATCTCAGCTCCTCCCCGCGCGCGGTCGGGAACGCCCTGCGGCGGAACCCATTCGCGCCCGAGGTCCCGTGCCACCGCGTCGTGGCCACGAACAAGACGCTCGGCGGCTTCAAGGGCAAGTGGCCCAAGGACGGCGAGGGCATCACCATCGACGAGAAGCGGAAGCTGCTGCGCGGGGAGGGCGTCAAGATCGATGAGAAGGGGAGAGTTCTGGGGACTCCGTGGGCGGCGTTCGTTTAATCTGATCTGAGCGACTTCGGAGATTGGGGGAAAGTATGTTCTATTTGTTGGGGACAGGAGTTTGTTTGGACTTGCTGGTGCCTTGGAAGGCGCCAAAACTCTAAGATCGGACTGACATGACGTGCTCATGAATGGGATGAAAGGATATCGCTGTGAGCGTGGTATGGCGGAGGTCATTACAGCATGATTTGTCCTGGGATTTAGTATGAAGTATTCGAGCGAGCAGTTCTTTTCCTTCCCCAGAAACTACCTCCCATTTACAAAAGTTCTCATTCATTCTATTTTATGCGTTCATAAATTTCGCAGAATTCAATTCAACACGCAACCAGTTCTGAGATCTCCCAATCACGATGATTACCCCCACAGCCACACGTCTAGGCAACATTTTCAAAGCAACACACCGCACTATCGGCAAACTGCCTTGGCTATCTGAATGGTTCACTACCCCCCAGCGTACAACATTCATAATTAAGGGAATCGACGGAAATGGCCCTTTCAAGAAGACTATTACATCGCCATTGGCACGATCACAAATCTTCGACATGTCGTTCTACGGCGGTAGTGCCTATGGCATCAAAGTTGGACCAGGAGGCGCATACCTCAACGGCCAAATGTTAGTCGACGACAACTGCACTATTACAAGTATCAAAGCAACAACCAGCACAGAGCTAGAACTAGAACCCAAACACATCGTCGGCTTCCTCGTGTTTGGAGCTGGCCTCGGCACCATCATCTTTGCCTGCGGACGCGTGGTAAAGCTGTTGTAACAGGAGCGGAAGGAATGGGGCTTAACATGGCATGATGGAGCCTTATTGAAGTGACGGACCTCAGTCTGACGGGACGCTAAATAACCATGGAATAACGATGTAATTAGATTTACGCAGGAATTCGATTTCATAAACTGATTAAGATCTCTGAATTTACCATTGTGATCTACCTAGTACCTAGTACAACCCTGCCTTTCTTGAACGTTTATTCCAGGTAAGCTACAGCAAAGCCTTTGTCAGACATTACACCAACCCGTTATCATGGAGCTGGATGATATGGTGCTGCAGATATGCTTTCTTTGATCTGTCTCTTCAGTCCGGAGGGCTTGAATCAACCCGTTACTTTTATTGTACAAAATCACCATTTACCTAGTTCCAGGAATTTTCTTGATTTTTCAAAAGTTCTATTCACCGTCGAAATCATGAGATCCCGCTCCGTGCAGGTTTAAGTTCCTAGTTTACCCCGAATCAACTACGAATTCTGCCTCTATGGTTTCTGTAGGAGTTACTAGAGAGCTGCTGGTAGCCCCCTCCAAATTTTTAGGACTCTTCCAATCTACACCACAACGTGTAATCATGTCTCAAACAGACCTCAATTTGTTTATGCAAATTGCCCCCAATACACAACAAGACTCAACTCACATACCTCGTTTTCCGAATCCTGGCGAATCCAACGACAGTAAAACCACCTCCGAATCAATGTCTCCAGAAGATAAGCCCGATGCGCGAGACTATTGGCCCGAAGGAGACCATTCAAACCCACACTCTAGGAAGCAAGCAAACCCTCATTATGGCGGCGTGATTATCCATTTCGAAGCATATGCCAATGTCTCAGGTCAGGAAGCTGAGAGCTACGGCAACGCAACAGGAGTGTCATCGCAGGCCAACCATGCGACGGGAGCCATTCAGGTCGTGGCGAACACCCTTTTCGGAGTCGCCATCATTGGCGCCGCAGCCCTTCGGTGGTTTAAGAAGGAATAGGAGATTAACCTACCGAATTATGGAGATTCGCTAAGGCGACGGGCCTCTACGTGATAGAATGCGAAAGAATGCTATGATAAACAGGGTGGTAAACCGGGTGGGATTTGTTGTACGTTAGGTGTCTACCTAGTCAATTTCACACTGCTACCATTGAAATCTTCATACCTATGCATCTTAGCGATCTCTGCTCTTCTTGGATATCTATTCTAGATGGTCACGACAAGGCCTTGAACAAACATTGCACCAAACTATCGTTATTGAAGCCCATCCCCCTCGTTTTTCTCACATGAAATCCCATTCTTCCGATCTGAAGTAGGTATTTTGAAAAAGCAATCTTCCCACAAACTTTCTACGTCGCCCCAAGAGGTTCCTTTCTTATGAAGATCATATGAGTCTATTTTATGCCAGTTCGATTATCAAGTTTTTCTCATACCAAAACACTGCCTCCATATTCTCCGCGGGCCCCCGCTGAATCTTATTCAATCTCTCACAACAACACTTTGAGGATCAAGTACGTCACGGAGTCTGTATTTATGTCCCACGACAAGCATGGTCCATTTATACAGGTTGGAGGCCTTTCACCACCGCAGCGTGAGTTAATCCATGTGCCACGCTCACTCAATCCCTGGTAACAATCAACGAAGGCAGAAAGAGTGGTATCGGAAGAGCTGAAGTCGCAGAGCCCTAAATGCAAGACAGGATGTCCATTCTCGCGAAATGACAGAATTGTCAATATTGGACTGGGCGGGGTTGATATGCGATGTCGACATATGACGTCGAACCTGACAATGAAGAACTGCCCTTAATCCATGACTGCAATGAACGCATCGCATATATCGACCCAAGTCTACGATGGAGAAGGAGCTCTACGAATACTAATAGGTATTATGGAGTTTGGCGCCACCAGTATGGTAGCTGCTTGGTTGTGGAAGAAATAGAAGAGAGGATTTGGCAAACACTAGGCATTCTACAAAGTCAAGAAGCTACTGAGGTCACATACACCATTCAAGCAGCAGTGGTATGAGGAATGATACGGCATTGAATAGGGCACAATTAAATTCATATTAGGTAGAAATCTGATTTCGATAGCCCCCATCAGAACTTCGACATATCGATGGTGATCTCATACAAAACTTGTTTTCTCGACGTAGTCTCGAAGCTGGCTTTTCCTTTCCTTCACCCACGACACAAATAATAGAAACAGCTTGTGCAAGTCTACTCTACGCTTCGACTTTTCCTAAAATCGACTAGAAATACCAAATCCAGTTTTCCAGCGGCCTTCATAAAGGCTTTTTCTCGAACCTCTCCAACTTCTGCCAACGACACTCCAATTCTATGGCCATGGCACAACCCGTGGTGATGGGCCACACCGAACACGGTACCTACATGCTCTTCGAAGACCCTCCATTAATTCGCTCACAAAATCCTCCGCCAACTCGCTAGCAAAATTCTCGGGTAGTGGTGAACATTCTCATAGGTATCCCTTGCGCTATGGTTTTCTGGTGGTTCCTGAAAAAGAAATAGGAGTTTGACATATTGAATGATGGGAATTTACTGAGATGACGGGGCTCGTTGCGGTGGAACGTGAAATACTACTACGGAAAACAAGACAGGGTGTAATCTGCTGTACATTAGACATCTCAACTCATATCGCTCCCGAACCTTCAAAATGTGCCACAATCAACTTACACGAATTTGCCCTTCCCTGGTGCCTTGCGTTATCAGTTTTATGACAACAACAACGAGGCATTGACGAATCTCCGTATTCTCGTCACATACTACCTTGGTCCTGGTTAATGTAGCTTAGCTCACTTGCCCTCTCCAATGTGATCTTGCCGTTGGAGCTATCTACACAGCCCACTTTCCTTACTACATACGTCTTGCTTGATAGGTGTCACCATTGGTAGGTATTCAAGTACCTGTGTCGCGTCGACCACTCCACCTAATACCTATCACAAGTACAAAATGTCCAAACTCAACTGTTGAATACTCTTAGGTCTAGAACTATAACGTACTGCGTCATTCAAACTCGAGGACTTCAAAGTTTTGATAGTATGGGATGAAGAGTTCATTCTCCAGCTGTAGTTCCCATCACTTGACATAGAACTAAGTTGGTTTGACCCAAACATGCGTCGAAATACCTATCTTGTGACTTAATTATGTGCTAATAGACCCTTTTATATGAAGGAAGGAGCTGCTTAGATACAATCTGAACAGATCATTCAAGTGTGTCCAGGAATATTCCACGCGCCTCCGAGTAGAAAAGGGGGTTGCGCACCTAGACCTTTTGCTATTTGGACTCATTCGAAATATCTGGGATAAAAAGTTGAATTTCATTCTAAAAAGTCACTTGTGCATTTTCAAAAGATTTTTAACTCCTTACACTTCACATCATAGACTAAAGTCGACGTGCGTTCAGTACATGTTGAAGTATCATCATCATGGCAGAAACTCTCAAAAGATTCTTGAAGTCAACCACCGCGAAATCCTTTTCATCAACATCTCGCCTACTATCTCCTACAAAACCGATGCCGTGGCGAAACAGAGTCTATTCCACAACCAACACGACTCACACACGAACAGGCATTGAATTGACAATCTCGGGCGGCTCAAACGATGCCAATGACAAAAGGAAGGCACGCAATCGACCAGAACAAATTACTAATAGCAAAGCTTCGCAAAGCGTATCCACCTATTTTAATTACAAAAGCCAGGGCCGAGTCTACGGATACAGCAATAACGCCTTCCAAGTAATCAGCATTGGCTCCGCAGACAGATGTGTTATAAGCCAAACACAGACTGATCTGGGTGATGTGTGGTTAGTCGTTTGCGCGGCGGGATTTGGGGCAGTTATTGGAGCCTGCCTAGTTCACGTGCAGAATCTCAGGGAGGAAGAGGAGAAAGAAGAGAAGCGGCGGGCTAAGAGTTCCTAGAGGTCTATTGACGATGGATCAAATGAGGAGATGATGGGTAAATGAAGACCTGATAGATAAATGGGATAAGCGATGAGATCACTCGCCATACTTTCGCAATGTGACCCTTAGTAGACTAACATTCTCCTTGACGTAAACGCGGAGAAGCCTATTGTTTACCATGATTCACGGATGCCAGAATACTTCATCTTTCGACAACGGGATCGAAACATGGCATTCGTAACTTGAATAACGTGTTGCCCACTGGCATCTACATGAGTTGGATTCTAACTAGCTAACCTAAGGGCACCTCCCGATCAAGTGAGTAATAATCTACCTCTTGGCGCTAGCTTGTAGGTATTTCTCAGCCAAGGGGCTAACGTTAGCATCGAGACTACATCACTAGACACGAAATACTCCATCGCCTAGTACATCTATGAAGCAAAAGAGAAGACAACCAGGATGTCACAGGACCGTATAGATAAGGTCATGTAAGGCAGTTAGGATCTCGACCTGACAACGATCGACCTTTGGTGGTGCAGCGGTATAGCTCTTGCATCCTCTACCCTTACAAGAGTGAACTCGCATGAATCCGTCCTTTTCTGATGTCTCATATTCCATACTTTGACGGCGACAACAACGATACTTTGACAGATCACTATCCTTATCTATTACATTAGAGGCTGTTATCGTAGCTAGTTGATTTTCCCCCCCAACTATGATTTCACCGCTAAAATTATCTACCTATTTTGCCTACAACCTTCCTCACTACGACTTGCTTGAACGTATCACCTTGTGTAGGTACTCATGCACTCATACGATCTCAACCACTACCCATGGTACCCATCACATTATACCGTTGAAACTCAACTGTTGACAATTCTCAAGGATTAGAAGTCCAGGCCATGGGTCGAACTTAGAGCAAATGTCTCCACGACTTCAAAGTTCTAGTAGTATGGGATGAATAATCCATTCTTTAGCTGTAATCATCATCACTTGACTTATTGTTGAGCTAGTTTGGCCCAAATACACATTGAAGTGCGTGTCTTATGACTTGATTACGCACCTATGATCCAATGTTAGTTCAACTCATCAACCTTTGGAGGTGTCGTGCTCATAACTGGAATGACCTAAAAGTATATACATCCATGTGTTTATCAAAGTTTTCAAGCGCTCTGGAAACTTGACCGTTTGATTGGTAAATGCCGCGCAAGATTTGTCGGTGATCACGTCACGCAGTGTGACATGGGATGAAGGGGGCCTCATGGAAAGCGAGTTAGAAGCTCAGCTGTCTGTTTAAATTTTCTCAAGCTATGTAGAATGCAAACTTGAAATCATTCTAGGAACAATACCTACCTGTTCAAAATTACTCAGAATTTGTTCTACCTATTGTAAAACATATATAACCACGTCCGTCCGCACTGGAGTGGTCTCTTCTTCCTGTTCCATCTCCCATCTTCATAACAACTTCTCAGGAGTTAATCACCACGGACATAATACGTGGCCCTCCTTAAATATAATACCTCCCCTCAATAATGTCATCATATTCTATTATTGGTAAATTTATTCGACATGACCACTTCATTCACCCCAATACAGTCTTGTCAAATTACCACAATTGCCACTCCCAACAGCATCACCCCACACCGGCGAGCACGGTGAGGTGGACATGAAGTCATAAGGTGCCGGAGGCTACAGAGCTACCAAATGGACTAATGTAAGATACATCACCCAGGCGGACTATCCAATCTACCGAGGTCACATCATCTCTAAAGGCAACCTGGGAGCGCCGTCCAGCTTGATAAGATTGGAACTATGGCGGTTGTGAATACCCTCCTAGAGATCCAATCTTATTCAGCCACATTTCCCAATTAATTTAACCGAAAGCAATGAGAATTGCAAGACACAAGCATTCAACGCCAGGTGTTGGATCTCGAAAGCAGCCAAACACAGAGACGACAACCGAAGTAAGATGCCTTAACCTCCTTGCCTTTAGATTGGCCGCAAAACTAACTACTTCTACAGCATGGTCGGATTGATTATGGATCTAAAACGAACCAACCCAAGCGAAAAGTCTTGAGAGGTTTGTGTCGGCTCTGCTATCGGACCTGACCTCGGCGACCTTGTTGGACCCTGCCCACCAATACATCGATCTAGCTACTTTTCCTTGTGTCAGGCGGAACCCGGACTCTACCTCCCAGAAGGAGGTACTACAGGCGTTCCATGCGTCGAAGAAACGTGTGCAAGGCCTCGGCCTGTTGTATGCAGTTACTCTAGGTAGAGGTCGTCCCGTGGACGTAAACAAACTCATCATCATCAACATCGACCTACCTGTTGGACCATGGGCAACGGGGAGAGGAGGACTTCTACACCACCGGAAAGTCGCAAAATAACCTAGAAACCCCAACACACTGTGCCGGGACGTTCTAACTAAATAAACGGCATAACCTGCCACGTCGCGATGCAATCGAGATTAAGCACTTCGTACACAACCCTTTAGCAGCCTAATGGGTCGTAAGCCAAAGACGCAGCAAGCAAGAGCACTCAATCGCTGCCCTTTGCTGCGAAAGGTCTGCGGAGCAGTAATTCGGCTCTGCTGTCAGAGGTCCACTCGAGGTAGCCTCATAACAATCCCGAATTACCAGTTCCAGATGGCTTAAATAATGCCGACGAAGCGCAACAGTCATAATCCCGACCAGGAAACACCAACAATTTCAGACCCGAAGGTCAGGCCGGACATCTGCTTTAGGATCGTTCCAAGCGATGGCCATGCCATTCTTCCACATGCTTGCTCAGCTGCGGATGGCTTGTGGCTTGTTTAATGCGGTGTCACGAACCATATACGACGCATGCAAGATACTACAACTCCTGTGATATCGAGGACAAGAAATTCGCGCTGGATGTGCCAGGAGTAACAAGTATAGGTAGAGACCGTGAAGCTACATAAACGAGGTGGTATTAACGCGTACCAAGGCACTGTAGATGGAGACGCCATCGATGGGCCGTGAACCGAAGACGAATCATGGTAAACTAATTTCGAGGGGTACTTCGAAAAACATCGCGGAACGCCGAACAGCTCAGTTGTCAGGGGCCGCCTCGACGATCTCGTTGGAATAACAGTTCCGAAAAGGACCGACGAACAACGCAGACGGGAATAAAAAGGTGTGCACCAATCCAAAATCAATCACCGATACCAAAGCCCCACAAGGCGATTTCAAGAACTGCAAGTACACCAACCGTGGCCCAACATACGGATATAGTAATAGCTGCGAAGTTGGGCCAACGGCGTCTATTGCGCTGGTGTAGGGGTCGTAAATCAATGACAACCGGTACTGTTCGGGATGCCTTTATGAGAGATTTGCGAGGAAACAAGTGGCACAACCGCCTCATCGTAGGCATTGCTCTATCTTTGGACAAAACAAGAGGAATATTAGGAAGAGTACTTCTGGGGTTCCTCTGAGGGGCTCAACCGATTAAGGGAATGAGAAGATGATGGATAATTGAAGACTTTATGAAGGAATGGCATACACAACCGGAGTATCGGATCAGCCAATTACTGCAAGCCTGCGTTCGATCGGAGCCGCCACCAAAGGAAGGGATCGAGGATCGATTCGACGGGGATGAATTCCCCATGATGCGGTGAAGTGTTCAACTACGTTCACTTCGCTCGGATCGATTCGTTTTTAGTCACGAAGAATTCGCCAATGAATGAGTTACACCACTCAACTTCCCAATTATGTTTCCACGGCAGCTCCTTAAATCAATATCGCGTCAAAGGTCTTGTAGGCAAGATGGAGGCCCTAATTCGGGCGTTTGTTGTGGATTGGGGTTGATGGTCTAAATGTGAGCGAAGAAAAGAAGGCACCAGGCAACATGTTATACCGCGTTTTGCGAGGACTCCTAAAAACACCTCTCGATCCAGGAGGATACGTGATCCCTCGACAAAAAGGGGAACGACAAAAAATAACTAGTGTTAGGACCATACTACAGCTACGTGGTCCTAACTAGCGCTAATGAGCACTATTTCTTGTTGCGCGACACTCTCGCTCATTCTAGACGTCCCACGCACGAATCAGTGCGCGTCGATATACATACATTTCTATAATATTAACGTCCCCGGACGTAAACAAGCTCATCATCATCATAACACCGACGAACCACTAGCCACTGGGGATTAACCACCTAGGCTAGTTAACATTAGCCAAGTATACCTGTCCATAACCCGCCGTCTTTACTTCCACTTAATATTATCAACCGATTATACCACAATCTTGACCACCAGCTATATGGCGGATAACCCTGTCAGTCGAGCCTGGTGAGGAATTCATAGCCGGAGGCCTGGCAGCATCTAAGTGGGAGACCCGTTGGCAGCTGGTCCTGGACCAGAGAAGATAGAGTAGATGAAATAGTTTCCCTGCACATATATCAACATACTACATAGATCAATTAAAATAACCCGAAACTCCTCACAGCGGCGTTGTCGTTTCTTCGCATGATAGGTCCACTTCGTGACAAACTATGCTATCACATATCTCCACTGATCCTCCTAGTATACCTAGGTAGGTACACAAGATAGTCACCTACACTGCGAATGTCAAGAAGCCCATTCCTTAATATGACCTACGAGAGCTAGGACACCGGGGCATCATTCGACAATGGGTGCGGAACTTAGTCTCCCTAACTCGAGAACGCGCCTCCCACCGACATCTACAAGAAAGCATTTGCTAACCCTTTGGTTAGTATCGAGGCAACATCACTGGATACATAACATCCTATCGCCTAGTACGCCTACGAAGCAAAAGAAAAGGTAGCTGGGCCGTCATAGGAAAATATATTGTCTCATCAAGCACGATCAAGCAGTCATCAGTAATCACATCACAAGTCAAGAACACAACTCATAGTCATCGTATCGTATTGCAGTAGGCAAGGGGAAGCTATAGCAAAGACCCATACCGAGCATCAACAGCCGTGACTCCCATATCAGCATGCTTCCCGCATTCGTCCCAATGCAAACCTCCCCCACATGCTAGTAGTGTACACGCCGAAGCGGACGTGCGTATCAACGTACGCACGAAATGCAAATTGTGAATTAAGTAAAGTGAGGAAGTAGGCGTTTTTCATCGTGATCTGATTCGAAGACGAGAAAAGTTGAAGTCGTTTTCCAGGAGCCCGTAGGCATTTGGATTAAAGTCTGGGTCATCATGTCGTTGTAAAAGTCGGTTGAAGTAGTGGACCTTGGATAGCGAGGTCCGATCAATGGGTATCAAGTGTAGAAGAGGTGGTGTAGTCGTAAGACAGATCGAATGATGCAGAGATGAATTGTCTGCGTCAATGCTAGCCTGGGGCGAGAGATCGTAAATAGTGAATGTCGAAAGTCCGAAATGACTAGCCGTAAAAAGGTGTTGGTATGTAAGTAGGACGATTAGCCGAGGCAGTAACACCAATCAAAGCCAAGGCATCCAATGAATGGTATCTATGCGTCTTCCTCGACGTCCTCGAAGTCCTTGCTCCCGTCCTCCTCCTAGAAGAACGTGGGCTTCGTAAGAACACGGTATTCCACATAGTCCTCGCCGTCAATGTTGATAATCGTTCCTTGGCTGACCAGTCGATCCTTGAAAGGTCCGTTGGCCTTTCGCTCGTACTTGACGCCTTGGTGCATCATGACATCTCCACTAGAACCGTTGATGGGTCCGTTCACAGGTCCATTGACAGGCCCATTGACAAGTCCACCGACAGTTCCATTGATAGGACCCTTGCGCATGCTTTCCTGAGCACGCCAAACGTGGTCCATTCTCTGCACGTTGTCGTGGAAATCGCGATGGGGATCATGCATGTTAGGGTTGAACCCGGGATTCGCGACGGCGTTACGATTAGCCTGGTGGCGATCAGTGCGCAACTGTACGGCTTCCATCCTAGCCACCTCGCGGTTTGCGAATCCTTGAACGCGCTCAATGGGGTCAATACTAGGGGGCCGACTAATCTGACCAGCTTGACGAATATCAACTTCGGGGAGGGCAAGACGGGATTGCTGAGGAATCTCAGCGCCTCGAGGCGCAACCTCTCGTCGGGAGTGTCGCAATTCAGGGCTCTCGCGAACTTCCTCGTGTACGCTACCGGCTTGCGAATTGACATTCGACTGATTAGAGCGTGTGTTGGCGATGGCTTTACCACCAGGACTGTTTAATCCCAATTGTGCTACTCGAATTTGTGCTTGATGCACCGCCTGAGTCTCATTTGCTACCTTTTCAGCCGGGATCTCACCAGCATCAATCTGGGTCTGTCGGATGCGAACATATTCCTTGATCTCCGCTCTCGTCAGATCCTTCAGATGCTCCAAAAATATGACTTCGTCATAAGATATCCACAAAGCGCCTGCTCCAGTAGGGAAACTATCCTCCATGAAGCGACCATCCTTGGTCTCCTTAACGAGCTTGACTCGGAACATATCGTTAGCGCCGAGGATGCCGAATACAGCATGCTTATCGTCATCGTCTTTCGAGGGTGACTTGCTCCAAACTCCAACAAGAATGCGCGTAGGCTTGCGCGGGGGTGGCTGGATCTCCGCCTGCGGCTGAGGTTCCCCAGGGCCAGGTTCAGAACGATCAACTCTATCAGCTACAACCAGTTCGTTGCGTTCCTGGCGCTCGATCCGACCACTACGCTCTTGACGTTCTGGTCTATCTGTACGTTCGGGACGGTCCGCAACAGTGCCGACGGCGCTGCCATAACGACGACGCTTCGGCTCTGAACGGCTACCCTGCGCGTGATCCGGCAGCTCTCGTCCCCAAGCTATGGAAGGTGGTTGCGCTGTTTCCGCAGGTGGGTTAAGCGTAAGACGATGCTGAGCTTCTCGAATAGCTGCGATATCAGCTTCTTCTGTACGTGTTCTGATTGTCTCGGCACGTGCTCTGACGTATTCCTTGATGACGTTGTGATCGTGGCCAACAAGGTGCTCGAGGAACACGATACGCTCGAACGTTACCCAGCTACCACCAGGGCCAGGAGGGATTGGAAAGAGTCGAGTGTTGATGGTCTCGCCATTGAGGTTCATGTTCCTTATGCGTGTCCTCAAACGGTCCCTGACGTCGATGAACCCAATCACCATGTGCTTTCCCTTCTCATCGGGAACCGGAGAGTCACGCCAATAACCAAGGGGGACGTGCTTGTTCTCATCTTCGAACTTCTGACGATCTCGTCTGCTCTTGCTTACGCTAGTATCGGTATCATAAACAGTGTCCTTGGCCTGTGCTGTGACATCCTTGGATCCATCGTAGTCGTTTTCAAGAGCACGTTTGCGCTTGGAGTCACGTCTAGCCTCACGTCTGGGTGGATGTAGTACCGGTTCATCGTCTTCGTCAGCGTCGGTCATAGCCACATCTTCTCGTACTGAAGCAGCTCGACGTGCAGGAGACTTGACACCATTCGCACGAGTTCCCACAATGATTTCGTCACCCAGTACGTCGGGGTTGACACTAGAAACCGAACTAGTATCGGGAGGCGAAGTCAATTTATCATCGTTGGCTGTATCATCAGCTGCGTCGTTGATCTGTGCGTCTCTTGCAGGAGATGCGACTTGTTTTGGTTCAACAGAACCGTTGCCCCTAGGAATCATATTAGTAAATATATCTTGCAAGAAAGCTCCAGAGATAGCATGTGAAGATAAGTACAGTGAAAGCTTTGGAGCGCGTGAGGATCGGTCGCGCCTAGGCAGACGAGGCTGAAGAAACAGAGGCATCGTCGACTAGCGCGCTTCAGCACGTCACACGTATGATCTCGTAGATGAGATTGAATGAAGAGGAATTTACTATCAATAAGATAGGAAATTCAACGAAGATGTGCCCAACTTTAGGAAACGTGGCAATTAGGAGGGTGGATGAGTAGTAGATGGTGAAGTGTATGTCAAATTTCAGTGGTAGGTTGTAGAATTAAAGTAGGGACGAAACTAGATGAGGCGATGGAAGAGAACTGGGAAGGAGGAAAAACAAGAGTGCTTACTTTTCACCAGAAGTAGCTTCTACTGCCTTTTGGTCGTTGACATCAGTAGGAACCAGCTTACGCTGGTCGTCGTCTTGATTATCCATGGCGGGTATGGACCTCGTAACGTCTGCCAAGGGCAGGTATAACTTAATGTTTGTCGGCGATGTATAGTAAATAGGAAGCACCTATTGATGTCGTTAATAAACAGGTTACGATGATAAGTTGTAAAGAGAAAAAAAGACGACAATAGCGGCGACGTGGATATTCCGAAGAAAAAAAAGCCAGACGCCGGTAGAACTAAGCACGGGAAAGAGCCTCTCACGAAAAGAATTAAGCGTCGGCGATAGAAAAAGCATTTTGATCACTAACCCGATATTATATTGATGGAGCTCGATGAAAAGAATATTCACTTGAATGTGAACTTCACCGTGGAATCGTATTTATGTTAGGCGAAGGTGTAGTAGAATAAGGAATAATGAAAGAAAAGAAAAAGAAACTCACTCTTCAAGCTTGGCATGAGATTCTTCGAAGCAGACGCGTAAGTTCAATGAGAACTGAAGCTTGAGACAAGACGCGTAAAGTAGGGAAATTTGTGCTTTTCTCCAGTGGATAGAGGAATTTGTAAAGTTGGCATAAATTGGCAATGATTGCAATTGATGCCAGGTGAGAATATGTAGATAGACTAGGCAAGATACAGTGGTAGAGTGTAGTGAAGTTAATGTGGAGAAAAGTTGATGATAAGTCAGAGCGGTGGTAGGAGAGAGACTAGTCCTCGATATAGAGTTAGCATCGGGATGTAATAGGTAACGGTAACATAGGTAATTAGAGAAGGTCAAAGGTCGAAGTATTGACCACAGATGACGGAGGAGTGACTCAAGAGGAGGTATCTAGGTATCTTCGTATCTTGATACCTCAAGTCCAGTTTCGTCGTTACCTACCTGTACCTAGTAGGCAGCGACAGGTTTGAAGTAAGAAGTAGAATGAAATTAATTGATGACAGGTTGTTGAGTTGCCGAGACCATACGATCCAATTGGCTCGTGGATTATTATGTCGGAAAAGGGCATAGGTAGCGGAGAAAATAGAACGAGTAGTTTCGCAGAACTTACCGAAACAGGGTCTTGGTTGATGGAATTGGGAATTGGCTGATGATGAGGGTGTCAAGAAACCAAATTATTATACCAAGTCTGAGATATACTGAGTAGCCTTGGATTCGACCAAGTTGGCAAAAACAAGGTGACCAAGGATAGAGGATAGAAGAAGACAGAAAAAAGTTGAAGGTGGAAAAAGGTTAAAGGTGGGAAAAAAGAGGGTATTGTGAGAACTATCCGGCAAAAGTAAGCGTAGAAGGGTGTTGTCAATTAAAACGTTGTCTGACCCAAGGGAAACCCGAGCAGGGGGTTTAATATTGTGCAATACAGCAATTTTCTCAACTAAGGCCCGACTAGGGGTAGAACAAGTCGAATTTTCGATAAACCTGATTGGCCGGGCAGCTTCGAATACTTCATTACCAGCCTTAGCTAATAGGCAATTGCGCTATTGCGCTATCGATAGAATAATAAGTCGTGCTGCTCCTTCCAAAACTCCAAACTCCAGACCGACGTACTCCTAAGTACTTCGTAGACGACTTATCATGTAATCATGCCTGTAATCAACCTGGAGAATACCGCGAAGCAACGCAACGCAACCTACCTAGGCGCCGCAGATAGGAATATTCATATGAGCTTACATATATTATTACTACGACCAACTATATTATCCATCGCCTATATGACCTGGTACTTATTACTGAGGTAGGCTGTGACCTATAAGAGGTACATAATGCTAATTATACTCGTACCTAGATGTTCCGCTCATTGGCATATTCGGACTGTAACCTAGCCGCATCGACATCGCCCATTCATTCTTATCAAGTAGAAAGCAGTCGAGAGCTTGTCTCGCTCTATACTTAGCGTTCTCTCGGCTTGGTTTGACTAGACTGGACTAGATCGAAACGGCATGTGGCTGGCTGGTTCTGATTGGCGTTGCTTTGCATTGTGTAACACGTATCTATGAGTAGAAATATCAATCCTACTTAAATCCCACCTCACCTACCAATCCGTTGCATAGGAGGATCAAGGAGAAATATATCGAAAACCAATTATATCAAATGTATTAATTCGGGCATTGAGTTGGACGAAAATGTCGCAGCGAACAAAAATCGGTGATGAGCAGGCTAGGGCTACGCGACAATCAACTAACCACCACACCGAAAATCCTTTGGACCTTAGGATATTTGCATATGATGTTCTTTTATAATTCGGAAATAAAATTAGGTAGAATGGGTAGTTGCCTACTTCTACTCCCAACCACAATTTGTTTTACTTGGGGAAGTTGTACCTGAGAGGTTGGCTGAGTCATGGTGTTGGACTTTTTTAAGTTGCGCGCGTTGCGGCGCAAGGGCGTTTGCCGTTACCTCCAGTCTACGGTTAACAATAACTCTACTAGCAGCTAACATTGAAAATCATGACACCCAACTAATAATATTCATCCATCTATATATCTGTCTAGATATACACCAATCCTTAGGTGCGTAAGTTTAAGAATAGTCCGTTTCACATGTACTTATTCGAGGTCGATGTTGCGCTTATCTCCAACATCTCCAACACACGCACGCATGAATAGAAGAGAATAGAAAAATGGGTCAGAAATTAGCCCGTAGCAATAATAGACGTTTTTAGTAATTATAGCGTTGATGTCCATTTAGCCCCGGCCGAGACCATTGACATGTCTAGTATGTTTATAGACACAGCAGAGAATGGTAGCAATTGGCCCCATGTCACCACATACAGACATAGCAGAGATGACATGTTTAAAAACTCCCTAAGGTTGGGGAGTGGTAATTATGAATTGGTTGTGCACGAATTCGGTCAGTACCTAGACACTAAAAACTTTTATCGTCAATTCCCAAGTGTCAAGTTAAATGGCGGTGGGGCATCGCAGAAAGTTTGAAAGTTGGCGAATGATACTAGTAATAGCAGTAGTAGGTGCAGAGTGCAGAGAAGTCATGAAAAATGCAACGTGGACACAGTTGAACAATGCATGGCTAAACTAGACTTTCTATCCCTCTCAGTAATCGAGGTGTCTGATAGGGTACGATGATATACCTGGAGCACTAGATCTTACGCCATCATGTCATCACCCAATTCTTTGCTGATAAAACATTGCCATAACTATCGACGATTACGTGCTCGTGTGACGAGGTCCGGTTGATCTGGTTGATGAGTGAAGTCGAATAAGTTGATTGAATCGAGTAATGAAGAAAATGAGTCTTCTTCGGTCTAGCCGAGAGGGACACAGCAGACAAGGTATCAAGGTGTCGCCAGCAGATAATAATTTAAAACTCAATAACCCCTCCCAAACTGCCTAAAAGCCTGCCAATTGCCTTGCGGTAGCATTATGCTCTCGGTGATATTCGCACGATAAACTTGTCCGGGTTTCGTACAGATAATTCGAGGCGAACAATGAAACAATAACAAATCCAACAGAATATTCTAAGCAACGACTGCAATTATGATTGACTGGTAAAGGTAAGCTCCTTTTTCTCACTCTCTTCGCATGTGACTTGTAATTGATGAGTGATAAGGAGAATTGAGAAGGAAAGCCAAGACTTCCTCACCCCTGCAGCTGCCCTATTAAACCTGGTTGAACTTACCAGTCTGCCAGTCCGGAAGATGTACCTAGGTACCTACAACTGTCCGGATCATGTGATTACTCCTATAGATCTTATTCTCTTCTAACACTGTTGCGCGACTCACGTGCCGTCTTGCTAGATCCCATACCCGATACAATACAACTCTATGGTATGATGACCTCCGACGATAAGTCGTCGATGTAACTTATCAGGCACCGAGAAGATCAGAGAAAGGTGGACATGTTACTGTAGCACCGGAACCCATTGTACAACTTTCGTCTCGTGTCCCAGCAGGCGAGACAGGATAGACACATCCCTACCGACACGACCGTACCACCACGACCCAACCCGCAAACCTGTAACAGTTTGATAAACAGTTTTCTTCTCTTCGATATTATCGGTCCGTGTGGCTCCAATTAATACACGTTCGTCATACCTCTGCAGCTGTGTCACCGGTCCATTAGGGGAAACTTGTTGCGGGACTCGAGAGAAGAGCCATTTTCTCTCTTCGCTTCGTGCTCCACCTCAATTTCCCCCCCACGCTCGTGGAATTGCCCGGAGTTTAGGTTTACTTAAGGTAAATGGGTAACTACATATGTTCGCATGCTTATTAGCCAGCAAACACATCTGAATACGAACATACGACTCAAGCAAGATTTTATCTCGGATGCCGTATTCGTCTTGTCTCAGATCGATAAGTGCGAGAACACTTTACTCTGAGAATGGACCAGCCACCAGCAATACCATCTAGTCCGGCCATATTGATGTTAGAGGAAGGATATTGAATCATGATGAATTGGCTACCTAGGCGTTATTACCTTGGTGAGAGGCGGGAAGGAATACATCCTGGACTTGGTAGCTCAATTCCACAGAAAAGAGCATGTAAAAATAGGCCTCGTTCATCCGTCTTCGTCACAATTGAGTTTATTCGAGGAACGTAAGTCAATGCGGCTAGACGCTTCAATGTTGAGACCATCAACTGAACCTCTTCCGCTGTTAGTTAGCAGTTCTGTGACCCAAGATCTCAAGATTTTCGAATGCCGGGTTAACAGCATGCACGCGGTCCATCGAATCTTGAGAGTCTCGGATATCTCTGAGGATTCAGACTACTAGATCATGCGTATAAACCTCGTTCATGAGAGAGGATCTCAATAGTCGTAGTCGTCGCGTGCTTTCAAGAAGCAATTCCTTGCCGCTTGACTCACCATCAACCTCATCCACCCCTCCCCCTCCCTCGTCCCCTCCCACCCCGTCCGCCCCTCCCACTCCTACCCCCTCTCTTCCCCTTCCCGCCTCCCGCCGCCCCGCTCCCGAAGCCCTCGTACAGCCTCTCCCGCGCGAACGCCATCTCGCCAAACCTGACATAACTAATCAACCCCCTATCCACGACCGCGATAACCGCGTTGCGCCACGCGTGCTTCAGGCGCTTATACATCAAGCCCTGATTATTCCCATTACCTTTCCCTTTCTGACCCTGTTTCTGATTCGGTGACTCTTCCGGCGGATCCCACGGCGTCCTCACCTCCAGCAGCGCGGTAAGCTGCTCCAGCGTTGGCACGGACGAGGCGCGCGCGTCCGCGACGGCGATCCGGAAATCCGGCGCCGGCGGCTTCGTCTTCGGGAACGACGTGCTGCTCTTCCAGACGTGGTAGTGTATGTTGAACGGCTCTTCCGGCTTCGTTGGCGTGTCCGCTTTGGGCTGCGGCGTAGGCTCGTGGCGCGGGATCAGCGCGAGCTGTGCGAAGATCGGGGTGTACGAGCGGTACAGGCCTGGCTTGACGAGGGGTCCGAAGGGGGGTGGGTTGGTCTGCGAGGATATGTATGTGGTGGGGAGGAGGGAGATGAGCCATTGCCATAGGTTTTGGGAAGGTTTGGCGGGGAGGGGTGGTGGGAGGGGCATGTGTGTGGCGCGCATGATCTTGTAACCTGTTCGCCGGAGGTTGGCGTAGACTTGGTACTTCTCGAGGCTGACTTTGCCCCTTTCGCCGTCGTAGCCGATGAGGAGGGCATATGCTGCTTGTAGACTAAGCGGCACACCTAACTCGTAGTCCTCAAATTCCTTAGTCTCTTCTCCAGCTTCGCTCTGCCCATCTTTCTTCGCCGGAAACACATCCTCGATGCCCCTCGCCGGCCACCACAGATCCAGAGACCCCCTCTCAACAAGGTACAGCGCCTCCTCCGGCAACAACCACGTCTTCAACCACCCAGGCGTACCCTTATACCCCTCAATCCCCGTAACAACCCTCCCCACGCTCTGACTCAACGGACCCTTAATCTCCTCCTCCACAACCACAACCCTCTCCCTCGCAAACAGACCCGCGCCCTTTACCCCCTCCACCTCCACCTCCCCCTCCTCCGCACCATCCGGCGCACCAGCCCACTTATCGGGGAAATACCACCCGCGGTTCCAGTCCTTCGGCTTATGCGAGCGCGTGTAGCTCAGCACGTCGCGCATGGCGTCGCGGCTGGCCTCGAGGGCGCCGGCCTGCGCCCGCGTGCCGTGCGCCTCGAAGTCCTTCTCCCCGCGCCGCAGCGTCTTGCCCGACGCCCCCTTCTTGTCGAACAGCGACGCGAACAGCCGGAAGTCCTGCGTCTCGTCCGCGAGCGCGTCTTCCAGCGACGGGGCCTCGCCCTCCTCCTCGCCCGCCATCGTTGCGAGCGCAGAGGCGGATGAGGGGGTGGGGTCTTCGTCGTCGAAGGGCATTTTTTAGAGATAGTGAGGGTGAATAAAGAGGTGGTATTATTTGCCAGGGCTTGTTGATTTACGTTGAGATGTTAGAGTTTCTGTGATAGTGTGGGCATGAGAGTCACATGTCGAGGTTGAAATATTTTCTACTCATGAGCTTTAAGTCCACCACGATATTATGTAAGAAGCCAGCCAATGTGCTTGGATGTATTGAAATCCTCGTTCTGCAAGTTTGAATTCGATTCAAATCGCGATCATAAACTCGCCGTTGTGTTGGATTTGTCAAACCACATTTTGTCGAATATCAAAGTCTGAGTTGAGTAAACTCACTTTGATGTATTTCGTACATTGAATGTTCAAGGTTGTATTAGGGAGGACCCACTCACACTCGCACCTGCACCTAAATTTGCACAGCTCAGCCCCCACCTAACCTAGACCAATCTAGCGACCAATCAGCATTGTTTCGCAAAGAAACTTTTGCTTTATAGATACCACTAAGAGGTGTTTTTCCAACAATTACAAATGGGAGTTTGGCCGAGTGGTTAAGGCGTTGTGTTTAGGACCTCTATGACTCTTCAATCTTGAAGTCCATGGAACATCTGACCCGCAATGGGAAACCGCGCAGGTTCGAATCCTGCAGCTCTCATCACATTTCTCTTTTGCTATTTATGATAAATGGCATTTTCCTTTTTTCTCGCTGGAAACTTCCTGTTTCTGTTTGCCGACAGAATATTTCGAGATGTAAAACATTGTTTTCTCTTTTTTACGCTTCAACCTGATTTGAGAGGGAAGGCGGGGTAAATTCGATATTGTCGATCTAATACCGTATTTACACATACATCGAATGGAGGGATGCAGACATAATTCCCCAAGACAAATAACGTCAATAATTTTGGCATTGACTAACGCGTAAGCTATTTGCCAAGTTGCTTTGCTCAAGCAGCCTCGATCAAAATTTCCAATCGCCTGCGCAATGAATGGTATCAACAACATACGCGAAGCCCTTTGTGGCTTTTAGAATGCCTCGTCATTCTCTCTTCCTAGTCATATCTGTGCGCCCCCCAATGCAGATTTCATCACAAATGCAAATATATACGTACACGCAATTGCGATTCCAACTATTCATTCCAACTATCCTAAGACCTGCAGATTATGGCAGTCCCTTAGATAGGAAACTTGGCAGCAACACGAGACATGCTTCGCTTTTTTGCTCATCATTTCTCTGTTGGCATGTCCGGGTTTCGAAAAAAAACGTAATCCATCAGCGAGTAACACATGGAAGTGCTTCCAAGCTCGGTAGCTGAAGGAGAGAAATGCAGTCGAGAATGCCTCAGCGGCTGGACTCTCCTTAAACACCCGGAATCCGATGCGTTGTATCCCGTTCTTCGGTCTCGTGCCGTCCTCAGGGAATATTCATATCCGTAACGCCGTAAAGTCTGTCGCGGTGGCATATGCCTACCAAACGTGCAGAGCCATTTCCAACCATATTCACAGACCCTAGAACTCCAATGCTTGCATCCTGTCCCTGAAAATTTCCATCATTATGATTATAGAAAAGAAGTCCACCAAAGCAATGTCTACCCCTCCATGCAGCCCATTGGGAGAAGGGAAAATGTCTTACATGGTTACATTAGCTAGTAAGGCGTAGGGCTGTGTGAATCTCGAAAATATTTACTCCCCTTGACAAGTGAAGAATATGATCGGATAGTTTCATTTCCGTGTACCAGTTTTATATGTTGCTCCTAGGTAGTAGCGCTTCAACTCTCGTTCGTACTTAGATCGGCCTAATACGTCGAACAATAAATTGCGATCTCTCGGGTCCATGTAAGCTTTGGCGTAAAAGAATCTCTCCTCAACTGTCCCTTGAGCCAGTGGAGCAGCTGGGCATGCGGAAACCTACAAGAGCGCACGCTGTCTGTTTCAATTCGGCTAGCCATGATGCCTCAAGTAAAACCGTATCGTGGCTGGTAGGTATACCGTTCCGCTCGTATAAATGAAAAACGCCGTTCATTCGATCAAGGGCTTCTTCTGTCCCCCCACTGTACATATTCCCAGTGTTGCCATAGCATTAGGGTCGCTAGCCAAAACAATGTTTCTCGCCGGTAGCATGGGATTATTCGGGTCAACGGAGGAGGCATCCTTTGCGGCTTGTTCGATAGCATCCATTTCTTCTTTACAGGCTTGGTGGTCGAGCGGGCAGATAACGATAGGTTGTCGCAGAGTTATATCGCGGGCTGAAGTTAACTGCGCCTGTAATTTGGAGTGTTAGCCCTTTCGCTATATCCTTCTAAACTTTAGTATAAATAATTTACCTTAATTGTTAGATAGAACTCGATCTTGTAGAGTGTAGATGTTGTGGTGAATGACGTGACTTCGTAATTCGGGAAGGCTGGTTGTCCCCTTCGAATGATCCCGTTCGCATCCCTCAGGTCCTTATGAGGAAATATGATCCCCATATTCGTCACGTAGCCTGCCTCAGGTAATTTCGCTCCGATGGTCTGAGTATATTTCTGCAACCTGTTGACCTTCTTGGTTGGTTCATCCCCTTCATGATTATACGTAATCTCTTCTTCGATCGCGAGCGTTATCTTCTGTATGGTAACTTTTCTCGCCTTCGCCATCCAGTCTAAATTCGGCGCGAGTTTGATGTACACCGTTATCGGGTCCATGGGTCCGTAGCTCCATCTCGGAAGTGAAATGCCGAGGGTAACGATATTATCTGTAGTCGCAACTTTGTGCTCTGGTCGATTGTACATTCCAAAGGTCGATAGGGTATCGTATCGCTGCAGGGGTACGGGGAATGCGTATCGATTCTGTACGCTCGGCCCTTGTTGGACGGTCACGACCAGTTCGTAGTACGTCTCTGCAGTTCTACTGGGAAGTTGTAACGATGCTGGCGGTATCCTTCTGTTTATCTCTTCTTGGCCTCGACCAAATGGGATGAACAAAACAAACGGTAGGTCCATCGCCACAACCTGTTCAGCATCTCTGCCCGTCGCGCACCGATATAACAAAAGTTCCTTCCCAACGACATCGGTAGTATCGCGTCGAGGTGTGCCGAGATGACGTTTCGCGACATTTTCGGCGGCAGGATGGATTGTTTCCCGCCTCTGTAGGCATATTCGCACTAAGGAGATGGCAACGGGTGCGGAATAACCCGTCGAGGGTCTGATCTCAACTTTTCCTTCGATGCGCGGCTACGTACGTAAGTTAGTCCGGGTAAGCAATTAATTAAAAACATCGCGCAAGTCTCTAGTCTTGGTAGTCGGCGCCGCAAACCCCACACATCGAAGAGGTGGAAACAAACAAACAATCAGGTGAAGAAGATGGAAGGGCGGAAGAAAGTTGCGAAACTCACCAATGTTGCCGAAATGCCGGGGTATCCAACCAGAAAACTGCTATTCGGAGGGCCAGAAACCCGAACGAAAGCTGATACTCGCTCTGCCATCTTTGCGCGCCTTATCCGGTTGGTGGTGTAATAGCCAGGAGAACAGCCAAAGGTTCAACTTTGGCTAAGCGCATCTAACCCTCGTCGACGGCTACGAGCCCACGCCTTCTTGCGAAATGCGATTGTCGTGATAATCCGGAATAGAATATGGCGGGCATTACATGTCAGATGCTAACCGTCGCAGTGGTGCTTTGTAGACTCGGCGATAAGGCAAATTTATGACCGAAATTATCGTCGTGCGAGGAAATGCCCAGATGGTGACTACAAGGTGCTGTTTTTCGAGGTTGAGGACGAGAGATTGCGGAGGCGGGACGGGACGTAACAATTGAACCTGAACTTGGGTTGCTAATGGAGACCAGGTGGCTGAGGTAAGGAAGCGCGAAGTTGGCTGGCGTTATAGGCAGGCAGCTGGGCAGGTAGGATGAATAGGTCGGCAAGGTAGACAAGGTAGGGTCACAGCCCGCCCGCTTTGACAAAGAGTCGGTCGGCGATTGATAGTAAAATCAAGCCGTGTACTATATTTCATGGATCTGCTTCCAAGGTTCCAAAGCTTCCAAGGGGGCAGGAAGTCGATTTCGAAGGTTGAAGTCGGTAGGTTTTTGCAGGTCCGCCGTTCGGGTTCCTAGAACCTATGGCCTACTATGTAGGTAACTTCAAAAGGCCGCTTACGCGCAGATAACGGTAGCCGAAAGAAGGTCAAAAGGTGCAATTCTCAGGTGTGTGGAGGGGGTCATTTAGGACATTTAGGTTATGGGCGACATCCGCTTGTGAAATCCGGGCAACGGGCAACGGGCAATATGTTAGTTACATTGGTGAATTGGTCCCTTTTCCTTTTCCTTTTCCTTTCCCTTTCCCTTTTCTCCCCCTTGTTTCTTACAAAAGACCGTCAACCCCACAAGTTGGTTGTCAGGTCGTCAGATCGTATGGTTGTATGGTTGTTGAGCAAGTCGGGGATTTCTTCCTCTCATTTAAAAATCGGGTAACAAGCTGAGAATGCCGGAAGGATAAATTCTTCCAGAGTTGGAAGTGTTAGAGCATTGAAAGGTGAGGAATCCGACAGATACCACCTGCCCTGGGGATTGAAGGTTTGGAAGCTGAATGGGGAAATTGGCAGCTTGTACATCCTGAAGTCCAAGAAACTTCTACCATCTGAATTACCTGGTATAATAACCAATAGACGACCGTTCCGAATCGGGCGGTTAGGTACTGTGGACAGTGTGGAGTTGGTACATACCTACAACGATAAGGTACATCCAAACTTTCAAAGTTTAGGGCAATAATTTAGGTACCCACCAACACCTGCCTTACCAGGCACCTCTTTTACCACATAGCAAATGAGTTGGATCGATTAAATATGGATTGCTTGTTCCTTCTTGACTTGTGCAGATCCTATCACATAGCCGTTCATCCCTTTCAACTCTCTTACTTAAAAAAAAGAGGTATTCATATTACATAGTGCACAGCGTGTATATTTCTAGAGTTTAGGCAATCCTGGTACCAATGACGACAGGTTCAAGCAGCGACCCTACCTGTGCCTGCCCTACCAGTACAGTACCAAGAATCTAGGACTTTTAGTCTAGCACTTGAGCTCAACATCATGGTGCCATTGATAACCAATACCGCTAGGGTTACTAGGATTTGTCATTACAACTGTACATAGCAGAACCTTGAATCTACCGAATAAACAGCATTAGACGGTACACGGTGTACCTTATTGATGCTGCCAGTCATTCGATTGAAGCTTTTCTAGACTTGTTACTATTTACCTCGGCAACTGGTCGATAAGCAACACTCAGGTACACAACAAAATAACTTAGTAATGAGAAAAGGGGTAAGATATTACGCACGGTCATACAAAAATGTAACTTTGGATGAGTGCGACAGAATTCCCCTCGCGTGGAAGTATTCTCAGAAAGGTCTACGCATGTATAGAAGGGTTCTTTAGGTTGGGGGCCAAAGTAGGAGCTTGAACCTGGCAACCTGGATGAGGCTGACGATCCTGAACACCACCCCTGCTTGGTTTCTGCAATTGTCGTCTCATTGCCGTACCTTGCTCGTATATTAGGACAAAGGACATGCTGAGTTTGGTTGATTTCCTATTATTTGAATTAGCTGGCATTAGAAGTATCTAGGTAGATATTTGCATAGTATTTGACAGCTTTATGGTAAGTGCATATATATTCCATGGTTTATAAAAACTAGAAGCTAAAAGATGGCCATTCTGACGAAGCAGCCAACGACAACATACAAGTACTAAACTCTCGTCAAAACTACCCAGAATTTGTAAACCCTTCAACATTAGCTGTGTCTAGTGCTTACAGTGAATAGACGATACGGGATGAATCCTACCAATACGCTGCGAGCTGCATGCGCCATTGCCGCCTAGCGATGCAACCCTCTCTTCGAACACAGTTGAAGAATGTGTCCCTGGGAAACAGTGAGGATGATTCGCAGACGTTGTTCCCACGTGTCTCTCACCCTCGGAGTTCCTTTGTATGCATTTTCTGTGCTAGGCATGTAGAGATTGCGTGTAAGAAATAGCGAAAAGGTACTTCGTCCGTTTGTACGACGAAAGCCATTGATGGGCCAATAAATGCAACCCCCATGCGATTTACACTATTCTACATCGTCACTGCTACTACAGAATACCTAGCAGCCCTAACCAAGCCCCTGTCCAATCAATTAGGGCGGTAATAAGCCCCGCATCGGCCCCTGGATTCTGCTCGATTTAGTCTCCTTCATTCTCCACTCTAGCACTGTGACCCCATAATTCCAAGGTTGTTTTATCATTTATCGTTTATCGTCAACCCTGAACCGCCAACTTTTTTTGAACTTCCAACATCAAGTCAACGCGAAGTTCGCTCGTCGCGTTCCCACATGCCTGCCCCCAGCATAGGACAACATGTCCGTCACTTTACATACCACGCAAGGCGATCTCAAGATTGAAGTCTTCTGCGAGAGCGTGCCTAAGACGGCGGAGGTATGTTTAATCCACCTTCCACTTGTTGAGAAACCTGAGAAACTAACTACGCCATAGAATTTCTTAGCCCTCTGCGCGTCGAATTACTATGACCAATCTCCAATTCACCGCCTGATCCCAGGCTTCATGGCACAGACAGGTGGTCCCGCAAATCCATCCCCAGATAATCCAAAAGGCGGTCGATCCATATGGGGCGGTACCTTCGAGGACGAGATCCGGCCAGCCCTCAAACATAATGCGCGAGGCATCGTATCTATGGCGAACAAAGGCCCGGAAACCAATGGCTCGCAGTTCTTCGTCATATTCGACAAGGCGCCGCATCTAGACGGTCTCAATACCGTGTTTGGCAAGCTTATTGGAGACAACAGCCTCGTTACGTTGGCCAAACTAGAGGCGCTCGAGGTAGACAAGAAGAATCGGCCCAAGGAGAAGGTGTTTATCGAGAAAGTTACTGTGCACGCCAACCCGCTCGCAGGATGAGCACCAAAACTCATGCCTCTCCGATACTGCATGAGAACTCGAACAAAGAGTCCAGCGCCATCAAGTCATCGAAGGCCTCTGAATATTATGTTCGAGAAGCGCCAGTCATACGGGGAAGTCAACCAAGACGATAGAGCATCCAGCTTTACCTCTGCCGCTACTCGCCCATTGTCATTCCGAAGCCTGGCAGCTCATGAAGTAGGCTCTCTAATCACATTGGCTCATGTATGAACCACGTGCTTCACGTCGGATTAAAAGCCTGTTCATTCAGACATATACTTTGTGGAGTGACATTCCAACAGAGCTTCACCCAGTTAGCGCACTCGACATTGCCTAACCATAGATCGGGTTAGGGGATAAAGATGCGAAGTATCGTTGGCCAACACAAGTCCTAATAAGAGATTCTAAAGTGTATCTCCGGCGCTTATTTGAACCTACCTACCGAATGGATATATATATCTTCGGTCTGCAGTGCTGAGAAATTGTAGGGACTCTCGAGTCGCACTTGAAAAGTACTATTGCTAGCTATCTCGAAGAGTGGCAGAGAACTAGATAAACAACGTTAGCTACAGTGGCTATTTGCGATGTGATTACGAAGTCAATGACTTAGGTCGTTATTGAAGAGTTCAAATAATAAAAGCTATTTAAAATTTATGTCCCCAGTTTACCACACAGTTTACAGTACGCTCGCATTTTCCATATCAACTCTTCTCCTGTCATCGCCAATGCTAATAATCACAAAGTGTATCGACACCAGAGATCCCGCCTTGACCTGACTTTCTAACTTGCTGCAGTACTGACTTGCATATCACCTTCAGGTGTTTAGGTGCTGCTACACGGATTATGTGTTTCATGATTCTGGGGATTTCAAATTCAAGCCGACGTTTACCAATTTACCACTGACAATAATGAAATCCAGTGACGAGTCTTTTCCAATCCTAGCCCAGCTAACCACCCTTCACTTTCATAGGTAATAGCTATCACATGCCTCCTAAAGTGCTCATGTAGGCAATTACCTGGGTATATCACACCTTTCCAACAAGGCCCCCCAAAAATTCCAACCCCAACCGTTGACACCGGCCTGCGGTGGAGGTCAATGGTTGAGATGGGGATGTCTTCGAAATGCTTCCCACCTTTCCAGGTCGTTCTCTCTCCTTTTTCTGCTGTATGTAACTAACAGTTTAGCGCATTCCTTCAGCTTATCATTCGTTATCTGTTCTCCTTCCTGATCGTACGGCTTCGTAAATTGAGCTTCGGTTTCGACGCGAATTTTGTTGAAGGTCGTATAGTGGTACTTTGTGGGCCTGTATCCCCCTCGCACGTCTTCATCAGCATCTTTCTCAAGTTGTGTATTCAACACCTCCTCTCCTTTGGCCCAACAATGTCTAGATTCAATTTTCTTCCTTTTACATTCAGCAAGGCCTATGTTTAGGCCGTTGGCGTTTCTAGTCTCTCCCATGACATTGAATCGGAAGTATTCAGTTTTCTTTGAGTTTGCACATATTTTGCGAACAGATTCATGAGTAGGTTCGGCGTCTGTGAGCCTTTGCCTCATCGCGCGGAAGAGACCACTCCAGCTAAATCTGTTGTAGCCCTTCGAACCTCCAGTTCCGACGCTCACCAGTGCTATTGGATGGTTGATTCTCCCGTCGTAAGAAGGAGCGCTATAGTTTGGTTCATTGCACATTCGCATTGCTTCGTTCAAAGCAATCTCAGACGGGTTATTCGCAAATACACCACCATCCATGAAACGCCGGCCTCTCATCAACAGAACTGGAAAGTACGCTGGCGCCGCAGTGGTAGCTCTAGATGCCTCGTGTATGAGTAGCTTGGACTGGTCCAGGCTTTTCGGATTGTATTCCCCTGGGTCGTATCTTGGTGCGCTATCGTAGGACCGGAAAAGATATGATATATCCGAACCCGCTGAGGAATGTGAGTTGGCGCCGCCGTTCCGAACCGATGTAACTGCTCTGTATTGGCGTTAGTAGAAGTGGCTTTTATTAAGCTAAGTGAGTAAAGCTTACACTTTGCAAGTACTGTTGATCTTGTTAGATCTCGGCTGACCACCAGTCCCGTTGTTTCCATTCCGCTCCATATGATCATACTGGCGGAAGAGATGCTTCCCTGTACAATTTTTACGTTCGTAAAATTGGCAAGTGTCTTTCACAACTTTACATACAGCATCAGCTAGCATTTCCCCGGAGTATTCTTGAATGATCGGTATTAAACATCGCCGGAAAACCTTCTGACTGATGACAAGATACTGTTTGATACAGTCATCAACGCCCATTCGAAGTCTTCCAAGCATAATCGCAATCAATCTAATCATTTTCAGCATGTTTCTGGTCTTTATTTTGGGGTTTACAGACCCTCCTGTGCTCGTCCCGATCATGAAGTCGAAATAATTACACGGCAAAGGCAAGCCCTGAGTCTAATTACCATGATTGTTAGGTAAGCTTCTGCGGTACCGGATACTGTGGAACTGAACACATACATGCTAATCAAGGTTAGACTGGAATGACCCATGAGAGTTAATACATACTTTGGTGGTGTCAGGTTCTAATCTTGTAGGTATTAGTATCATGCTATCCGTGGATGCTATTCGGCTCGTAGTTCAAGGGAACAAACATACCTATTCTCTTCTTCTCTGACCATTTCCATGATCTTCTTAAGAAAATAGAGGGACGAGAGGCCCCTGACTCCTCCACCATCTGCTTTATTAGTCGATCGAGATATCATTATAGGTATCAGACTCTAGTTACCTAGCGATAGAATAATTGGGAGCCATGGAGAACGTTCATCTTGATTGTTCTCTCTATTGGGAGCCTGTGTAGAACTTTCGGTACGAGAATTATCAGCCATACCGTAGGCCAAAGACACAATCTGAAAGAAAGGAGATGCTCAAGGGTCGAGGATCTCGCACTCTTTACTGGTGATTACCCTTTATTTACTACGTCCATCGAAATACGGAAGTGGTTATGCTGCATTTCTGTTGGCTTACCATTGAGACGTGTCAATCATTTCCTAATAATATCATACCTGCTTATGGTAGGGTAGCCGTAGCCTCATTATGTCGACCAGAGTGCAGAGACTGCATTGTATCACCGTCCGAAGGCGAAGTAGGTACTGAGGTACCTGTCCGTAAGGTGGGTTACGTTTTAATATATCTTGATAGGTCCTCAGCTGAGCCGCCTTTCGATCTGATGACGGCGTTTAATCTCCCTTAAAAATTCCCTCTTCTACCTATTCAAGTTTCTTCGAAACACAACAGAGATTCCAGCTCAAAGAAAATTACAAAACAACGAGCTCCAGCCAACTTACCATTAACTCTTCGGCCAAAATGACAGTGGTGATGTACGAAATAGATTCACAAACAATACGGACGACAACAGATGAAGAAGCGAAAAGTCAGTAAAATGTGGTATTCTAGTTGATGAAAACTCTCCCTAATTATCATGTTTAGAATTTGAGGAAGACGGTCATAAATGCTACCACTTGGGTTCACCAGAAACACTACACTACGATATAATCCTCGCCCCAAACGATTCTGAAGCCCCAAGACATATTGCAAGAATCCGGATTCCATTCAGTACATGGCTGAAAAGAAAGTTTGGAAACCCGTGCAGCGTTTGGGCAACTACGGGCGAATTTGATAAGGCTTCAAAAGAGCCCAATATGCCTGACAGCCGGCCTACTGGGCAATGAATAACGGAGCATTGATGCAGCTGCACCGGGAAGATATGGTTATGATGAGAACGGTTATTCCAAGGTTGTTTCTGGGTTAATAACGGTGAGCTGAGTGCTAGGGTATGGATGGTCGTTGGGTAATCGGGTTTTAGCAAGCTGGTGAGTGGGTAGTGAGGCTGCGAGGGTTGTGTCCACTCTAGCGGAACATCAACTAGATGCAATCTTTCATTGGTCGGGACAATAGCATGCGTTGTAATGGAAACCCACGAAACTGGCAGATTGGTTGAATAGGTAGAGCTACTCAAAAAGATTGATAATTTGCGAGTTCGGGGACTAGGTGGGACTTGACCTATGGGATAACTTAGGATGAGTATACTATTTGTTTCAACTTGATATCTAGAGTCCGAAGCACAGGTCCATTTTCAAAGTAAATGGAGTTTCAATTTAAGGAGGGGTTTTCATGCATTGCCGAGATTCAAGATTTCTTTTTCGTACGCTTCACTTTTCGACATATCATGATATGCAATGTCACCGTCCTATATGCAGCCACAAATGTTGGCAAGCTCAATATTTGCATCACGAGAACGATGGGGAGTGGCTATTGTACTAATTTATATGATATGTCAGTATGTATCTTTAGGTATTATACAAATAAAGATTGCGTGTAGTAAAATCTTCTATGCTGTACCACGCTCGAAAATTTCATGCATGGCTTCTTAAGGCATCACGTATCGAATCACTTGAGGCTACGATTGACTTATTATGCTTTATTATACTTCTAGCTGGACCTGATGACCTTGGGCATAATTACATTATGCATGCGATAGGTAATCTTGATATATCTATGGAAGTATTTCAAGAAGACATCCTTCGGCTTTTTTGTTTATCCTAAGCATCTAAGTCAATATAATATCCAAAGAAACACTTTAGACCATCTATGTTTCGATAGTTAGGTACGTCGGCACAAGAAATGCCCCGAGTCCTTTTATCTAAGCTCTTCGCCAACATAGAAACCATCTTTATATTCGATAGAGGAGCATTTGTGCTACATAAGCTACCACGAGAGCGCGTCGAAGGTCGGTTTAATGATAGCTAGAACTACCTAATTGATACCTAATTCTCATTCTAACTATGTTAAGAACTCAAATCCAACTGGTCATATCGTGAGGTTCCTTCATTAGGAAAGAGGACTGTTGACAAAATCCTTCCCCAAGGATGGCCGCACGAAGTTCCACACCACATTGGGACAGTCCGGCTTCCTTTCTTCGAATATTGGAAGTGTAAGATGACCGGCGGAAAGATTACTATCTGGGTGGTTTAACTATTGGCCGTCATCAAACTGACTAGATGTAACAGGCATGCTAAGAGACAGCTTTCTAGCAATAAAGCTACGAATTCAGGAGACGAGCAGGAGACGAATTTTATAGGTTTAGGCGACTATCTTGCGCGTTAGGTTATATAAATGTACTTGGTGTTGCGTGGTGACAAGATGTGGGGATTCACCCTCGCGGTGTGGTAGACTGGTTTATTACTCGACAAGAACTTATCAATCGCGATGTAGAAGGCCGCATTCATTTTGGGGACGTTTAATAGTATTTTAAAGTGAAATGATGAAAAAATCCCATGTTAACTCGTTGAATTCCTGGGCAGTATCCTGAACGGCCGCTTAACTCTACACCTTTCACGGACCCCCTATCTAGCAATACCTACCCACCTAAGTATACCTTGAGTGCCGTTAGAGCATTTGTTCTCAAAACATGTGCCATATCAGTAGAGTCATCGAAGCCCGCGGCGTCCCATCCCTGAAACCCATAATACTCAGGGGTTTTATTTTCTCGCTACCAAGTTTCGGGCCTTGACATCGAGGTCTACCAAAAACGGGCAAAAAGCTAGAGTAAAGGAAAGGTGAGATGAAGTAAATCCTGAATAACCTCGAAGTCCGTGCTCAAGGAGCCCTCAACTGGACTTTAGTGAAGACAGACTCAGACGGTTCGTTTCGACTCAGTCGCCCTCTAATGACTTATTGCTCGATAGTTTCCAAGCTCAGTGGTTTTCGCAATAGACCGTATCGCCGCAATGAATCTATGGCCTGTAGTAGAACACTAAAACATCTTATTTCTGACAGTAGGTTATCTGATCGTAAGCTTGAGCTTAGTAGCACGGATGCACGTGTGGCGTTGCCCACCTGCTGAACTACAAAACTGTAATATCTATAGACTCGAACGCTATGTTAGTGGCTGATAGTATACAGAAGCCGAGAGTGCTTCAGAGGAGGGGAAATCGATCTCTTCAATGTTGTGACCTAAATCTCAATATTTACTTTCCCGCGGCATAGAAGATTCAAGATTCAAAGAAGAAACCCCTTTTCCACTGATGACAGACATACCACAATACGATATATCCCGCCCCCTTTTCGCACCACCCATACCAACAAAACAAAGCCTTCAAGAAAGAAAATGATAGACCGCATAATGGACTGGTCGCCCTTCGCCATATTCGCCTCCCTGCCGGTCCTCCTCATCTACAGCGGCCTGATCATCTACCTCGCGGCCTGCATGGTGCTCGCCTACAAGGTGACGCGCTCGTACGCCGGAAACGACAACTGGTGCTGCTACCAGCACTGCTGCATACCGAAGTGGATCATCTGGATCATCACCTTCGTCTGCCTGACCGCCGTCTTCGCCGTTGTCATACTCCCCGGCGTCTTCTGCATGTCCGCGTGGGTGTTCGTCATAGAGAAGATCAGGCGCCGGTACCTGCGCTGGAGAAAGCGCGGGGATGCGAATGATGTGGAGGCGGGCCGAGGAGGTACCGGTGCTGCTGCTGCTGCGAATGATGATGCGGGAAGTTGGACTACGATTGATTCCCCTGTATCGCCTACGCCCCGTAATAACCAGGTTGGCCTCCATACGCCGATGGGTGGTGGATGCTTGGCGGAGCCCTATCCAGAAAGGCCTGAGCCTGTGTATCTCCAGGGCCGCGTCTACCAAGATACGTTGCGTGGTTGATGGGACGAGGATGAATTGATTTTATATATTATATCTAGCATGATGTTCTCGAGCGTATGTTGGTATCTCCCCCTAGACGAAAGAACTTGATTCAAATATTAACCACACTGCTTATAGAATGTATGAGCAAAGTTGGAAAACGATGGCAGATTAATTTCGATTATACCATGGAGTGTTGTTTGTTTCCAAACATGAGCACTAAACAGGTGTATATGGAGTTATCTAAATCTATGTTCTAATAGTTAGTGGATAATAAGTAGTTGAGGTTGCTTCCAGGTACATCATCTTACCTTGGCATTTGCGTGTATCAAAGGACCACTCACATACTCAATACAAGTCATACGCAATATAGCAGACCATAATCTTGCCATCGTAAACTTGAGTCCAATCCCAACAAGAGCCTAAGACCTTGCTCACAACGACTCCCCTTCTCGCCCCCTCCCACACAACCCCATAGAACAGCATAGCACTGGGTAAAAAAGGGTGATATTATCTACCAACACCACCATCTCAAAAAATAATATATATATACAAGAAACACTCTTTCTTTAAAGCGGGGATCATCCAAGCCGCCAAACCCGTCCCTAGGTTAGATTGTGAAGCCGAAAGACACAGAACAAGACAAGACAATCCATCCAAGACGCGATCAACCCCCTAACGCCGGTCGATGTATTATAAGTCGCAAGGTCCGCGCTCGTGTGTCTCGTGAACGGGAAAGACAGGACGACGCGTGCCACGTGCGTGATGTACAGCCGCAATCCGATGCATTCCATTACCAACTCGCTGCCTTCGATCGAACCCCATTATCCCTAGCCCTATTTAAGTTAAGTACCTAGTCAAGTCTCACGCCACCCGCAGGTGTCCGGCGCCTAGGCCGGGGATAACTTCGTATAGTACGGGTATGACTTCGACGGCAAGCCAGCCGATTCCTACAGACTGTAATTAGTAACAGTATCTTCAAAAGGATGATGGGGCAGGGGGCTTGAAAAAAGCAACCCAATAGCAATATTACCAAAAAAAGACACAAAGATAAGCAAAAGCTAAAAAGGTGGGGGGAGAACTCACCGGCATAAACAACAAGTTTCGTAACAACCTCAACATCATACCTAACCCTAGGCTTAACCAGCTTAGAAAACACCTCATGCTCGCCCAACTCATCCTGCTGGCCGACATACACATCAGGCTCCTCGTCCGCGGCCGCGGCCTCGCCCTTATCTCCGAGCGTGATCTCGACCGGCGAGACGACCACCGTGCCCTCTCCCATCATCTTCTCGAAGTCGGCCGGGCGCTGCCTGCTGCTGCTATTACTGCTGCTGACGGCTATGCTCTCGTCGCGTAGCTGCTGCTGATGCGACGGCTGTAATTGTTGCTGTTGCTGTTGCTGCTGCTGTCCTAAGCTCTGCTGCCGAATATCCTGCACGCTGCCCCTACTCCTCAACCCACCATTCCCGTCATCAACGCTCTCCCTCCTCCGCCTCTCCCTATACGCCAGCGTCTCGTACGCATCCGCCGCGCTCTGCGGTCCCACGCTCACGCTCCTACCGCGGCCGGGGTGCCGGACGGCGGTGATGAGCCCCGGAAGGTCGCTCACGTTGGGCATGACGTTGTCGATGCGCAGCTTGAGCGGGATGTTCTTGTACTCGGAGGCCGGGACGAAGAAGCGGCGCGGCAGGTCCAGGCTGCTGTTCTCCATCAGCCGGAACAGGTGCGGGAGGCCGCGCAGGAGCGACGGCTTGGCCACCTCGCGCCACGCGAAGATGACCAGCACGCCGAACAGGATGCGCGAGATCACGACGAGCCACCCTAGCGCGTACAGGTCGAACGGGATGTCGGCGAAGGACGAGCGTCCGAAGCGCCACGTCCCGATCTCGAGGCCCATCATGACGCCTGCGAACGCGACGCTGTCGTCGAAGCACGGGCAGTCGTCCGCGGGTTCGGGGTGGACTCTGATCAGGATGATAATGATCAACAATAAGGCACACAAGCTGGTCCAACCGTTGACCTGGAGATAAGCGTCGAAAGCGGCACCGTAGTAGAATTCGATGAGGGACAAGACGGCGCCCATGATGGAGCCGACTATGACGTCAATGAAGCCATGCATACCACAGTATAGACGGCCGAAGATGATGCTGATTGCGTAGAAGTAAGCCAGCGCTTCAAGGGCGGATTTAGTGCTGGGTTGGAACGGGTTGTCTTGGTATCTTAGACACAAGATACCGTAGACGGCGACTGAGACAGCATTAGCAGAGTGGGTCGATGGGAAACCATACTCGAGCGCCGCAGAGCCGGACATGGTGATACGGTGAAGAGGTGGTGATAGAGGGCGCGGTAGAGAGAAGAAGTCCTTGACGAAGCCGGTGAAGAAGACGCCTGTCGCGAGAATATGTACGATTCTAGTAATTCGTGTTAGTCAAGCTATCCTCACATCATTCCAACATCATCTCCCTATCTCATCCTATCTTTTGAACGAGGGTAGAATAAGACGTACCCTTTTCCAAAAGAACCGTTTCCGCACCAGAACATGATAGGTAACCCGATCATGAAGAAGGTATGCGTCCCGAGGTTGGCGGTGATGGCGAAGTAGCTATCGAGCGCGGGCGAGCGCAAGACGGCCTGTAACCAGGCCAGATACGGGGTTTCCCATCTGACGAGGGGAAGGGCTCGCTGTCGCAAGTCGTACCGCCATTTTGGAAGGGCGCGCTTGTCTATACGTAGAAACGAGATCCGTCAGCATTTGAGTCGTTTCTTGTGTTGTGTATGTGATTGTGTATATGATAAAGGAGTTGATAGTCCCCCCACGCGCTAAATCTTGGCTTTCGACATGTGATGGTATTGTGTGTAGCCTCGCATCAAAATCCCAACATTTCTAGTCGCCTAATTTCGTACGCGCAGCAACGATTCGAGAATTGTCGACTCAATTTTCGCATGTTTTCCCTTCTCTTTTCGCTGGTGTTTATAGGAAGGCACACGTACAATGATCCAAGCTGCGCAGGCCAGCGTCGATCACAGGCTCTTTCTCTTCCTCGACCTTCACTTTCGCGGGCCCCGCTACGCCATTGGCGTGGGAGTGGCTGGTATTCATCGGATCCTAGGGTTTCTCCTCCTGGATCTGGACAGCTGCATGAACGTACGGGACGAAGTTTGCGACGTTCCAGTCTCGGTCGGGTCAATTGTTCGAAGCGAGAGTCGAAAATTGTATACGGCGTGGACGACGGCGCATCGAAAACCGGCACTTGTTGAGTTGATGGCTGTCTATCGATATCTGTCCGTGATCGATATCGAGGTTATCGAGGTAAACGTAGTTATAAAACGTATGATATGGAAAAAGTAGAAATAAGTCTAGGTACCTAGTAGATAATAGATCATTAATACATTAGGTAAATAATGTAGGATTGATAGATCGACTTTCTAAGCCACGATGGTCGCGCGTCTGTGCTCTTTTTCTTTTTTTCCGTTTCGTTTTTTCTCTTTAGTCGTCAATCTCCAAAGATGATTGAACTGTATTTTAGAGATTAAATTGAATTTCGAGGCCTATTCCAGAAAAGCTTGGCTCCCTGTTGGTCGAAAATCTTGAATCCCCGTCCCTTCGAGATAGAGTTGGGATCAACTCTAACTCTAAAATCGCGAGCCGAACGACAAATCAGAATAGGAATTGTGTTTTCTTCAATTCGATCCATACAAAATCCCCTTCTTCCCCCCCACATCCCGTGTCGGTTGTCGTCAATTCTTCCCCCATCACTGCATCACTGCGCCGCGGCTTATCTTAGCAGTCTAATACATAAACTTAGCTTGGACAGCTGTAGCTTTCTGCCCTTTTCAGGGGCCTGGCTCTATTCGACGCCCCCTGAAATTGAGGAAAGTTGCATGTAACCTGCAGAAAGAAAGTGACCTAATCGACTAATCAGGGTCTAAGTTACACTTTTTTGGTGGTCCACCGTTCCGCCCTATTAGGCTTGACTCTTGGCGGGTACCGAGTTACCTCGGGAATTTCGTACCGTGTACGAATTAGGAACCAGAAATGTCTCAAGCCACATACGTAAATGGAATCCTTCAACGTAGATGCACGTGACTCGAAATATATTACCGTATCGGGGCGTTGATGTACATGAAGTGCATATCACGTCACTAGCGATCTAGCCCACGTATACATACATAATATATCCTAGCTAATGAATAAATGAACGAGTTATAGGAAAAGGTGTGGAGAGAGAGCATCCACGATGAACTCCCTAGTCGGTAAGCGGTGCACCATAACGGGCGGCAGCCGAGGCATCGGACTAGCCATCGCCCGGCTCTTCGCCGCCGAGGGAGCAGCATGTACTCTCATCGGACGGAACATGGAGAGCCTCACTAGCGCCAAGGAGTCATTAGAGCAGAACCATGATACTCAGATTCACGACATAGCATCGTTTGACGTTTCGTTGGTAAATGGTTGGGAGAAGTTGATGGCCGACACAAAAAAAGTTGGTGATTCCTCGAGCTTATGATATTTATGCATACGTCCGAGCCCATTACTCTCTTGCCCCGACGCTGATATTGTAAATGAATAGGAAAATATCGATATTCTAGTCAATGCGGCGGGTATCTCGCAAAACTCTTTCTTGTTCAAGACTTCAACCCCAGATATAGACAAGCTCGTCGCTACTAATCTCATGGGTACTATATGGGGTTGCAAAAACATCGTACCTAGGATGATGAGACAACGAAACGGTGAGCCAACCGCCTCCAGAGATATTCTAGATGAGCAACTACCAATCACTTCTTCAACTCTAGGCTGTATCATCAATGTGTCTAGTCTCTTAGCCAGTCACGGGGGACGAGGATCAACCGTCTACGCAGCATCAAAAGCTGGTGTCGTTGGTATGCAATCGATTATCTCTTCAAGCTCGCGAGTTAGCTAAACCTGCCTATTAGGTCTAACGCGGGCGATGGCCTGGGAGGTGGGTAGATTTGGCATTCGTGCGAATGTCCTCCTTCCTGGATATATCCAGACCGATATGACGAAAGGTGACCCCTCCTGACCTTCCTAGCCCTTTTCGTTTTTTCCTCCCCCCGAAAATCCTGCACTTGACCAGCTATCCCCTATCTTCCTTACGAAGTACATGATTACTAATATACAAACCTCGCCATAGGCATGGATGAAAACGGCGAGCTTTCGGCCTTAATCCCAATGGGGCGCCTAGGATTGGCCGAAGAGGTGGCGGAAGCCGCATTATTCCTAGCCAAATCTTCCTACGCACATAACTGCGTCCTCAACATTGATGGAGGTCTGAGTGCGACGTAGGCTATGCATAATTTACTCGAACAGGGGTAATAAGCGTTCAGTCGTCGAGAATCTCGATAGCTCCGGTGCCAACGTCATCATCAATGACGACCACGTCGTCGTGGTTGCCATTCTTGGCCTTTTTGGCCGTTGATGACCCTCCATCATCTGCTCTTAGACGCTTCTTGGGGTCTTTTGCTGATATCTCTCCGTCAGCAGAGCGTTTGCCATTAGTCTGACTAACCCCGTTGCTCTCTACAGGCAAAGCCTTCTTCGGCTTGCGAGGGATAGTCGGGACTTGGTCTTCCTGAAGGCCCTTAATAGGCTTATCAGCGAGTTCACTGCGCAGATGGGTTAGCAGTTGGCTAGAAATGAAGTTGTACTACAACCTACGCTTCTTGAATGTTAATGACCACGTTAATAAAAGGGTCCTCGTCATCTTCATCGACGATGGTAATGAAACCATTTTGCTTGATGCCTAATGATCGTTAGAAATGTCAATAAGTGGTAAGGAAGGAGCACGAACCAAGTTCACCGAGCGTCTTTTCAAGGTTATCTGTCAGATCCGGATCATAAACTAGACCGGCATCACTGTTAATTGCGAACTCCTTCTCGCCATAACCTAGCTGTACTTTGACGATATCCTCTACTAGATCGTTGAGTGTTGCCCTCGATAGATCTACTTTGACGGTGGTGTTGTAGCAGCCGCAGACTGGGCAGTCTGGATTGGGCGGGCGGGGGCGGTCTGTTCCTAGCAATCTTTGAGCAGCAAATGGTGTTAAGAAGACCTAAAACGTTAGCAGTGCGCCCAATTTTGATATTGATAAATGAATAAAATAAATAAATAAAAAAAACTTACTTCTCGTGCTTTGTCATATTCTCCTCGGAGAACTTTGAAAGATTGGAGAACGCAAAGGCCAGCCACGATCGCATTGGTGGTTGCGATGGCTGGTATAATGTTACCAGCCATCTGCTTGATGTCGAAACGTGACTTGCCCTCGATTCCGAAGATGTGCGATCGAATATTTGCGCTTGCAGCGACAAAGTCAAGAGTGTCCTCATCATCCTTATCAAAATTGATAGTGGGCTTTGGTTCGCCTTCTCCACGCGCCGCTAACAGCTTCAACATTCGCTTACTTAGGCGGTCTAAGCTGTCGTTAAAGACCGCCAGATTCTCCTCTAGAGTCCATACACGCTGCCCATCCTTGAGGACCTTATCCTTGGATGCGATGACTTCGGATGCTTGGCCCGCCAATGTCTTGTATTCAATAGGCTTAGGTGGTTCTCTTGACTTCCACATATCCTTCATAGAGCACAAACGGTTGATATCTGCATTGAAAACCTTGTCGAATAACATTTGAGAGAAGTGTTCTGTGCCAACCGACTCTCTAATCATCCTTAACGCCTCGGCCTCCTTTTTCAATTCCGCGATTTCCGTCGCATTGTCCTCGTTCTCGCTGACATCGAGGGTTGCTTGATCCTCACTCGTGCCAAAGATTTCGTTGAGAAGGTAACTCTTGCTCCAGACTATGCAATGAATAGGTTGACTTGGTGTGCTTCGAATCGTGCAGACAGGGAAGGACTTGGGCGCCTCCTTGGTAGTACAGTCGTAACAGGCTGTAACACCTTTCTTGATGACTTGGACTTGTCCGTTGAATCCTGTGGTACCGCTCTCGATCAAGGGAACGTCGGCAGCTAAGCACATTCTGTTCACATGACGTCGCGCCTCGAGGTTGTCCAACGCGTTGAAGACTAGCTTGAAGCTTCTAAACCACTCGACGTGAAATTGCGAGTCCTTGATGTTTGCATGGTGTGCGACGATATTGACATTCGGATTAAATCCTCCAGCTATCTCTTTGGCCACCTGCTCAAGTTATCAGTACATTGTTCTGCATGCAATATCATATAGCCTCCGATCCGTTCGTACCAAGGCTTTCGACTTTCCGATGTGCTCCTGTCGGAAGAGGAATTGGCGATTCAGGTTACTCAAATCGATGGTGTCGAGGTCAACGATGTGCACTTCACCGAAACCTGTCTTAGCGAGGTCTTTTAACAGTTCGCAGCCGATGCCACCAGCACCGACCATGAGGACTCGGGCCTGTGAAATATGTGTTAGCTGCGCGAATTTGAGCTCGAGAGCCGCGAATAATTCCATCTTGAACGAAGGCTAAATGATACCGAGACGGAGCAAGGTAGATTCTGGCGCATGCGGTAGTTTAGAGGCGTGGATAGGTGTTCTTGCGCAAACGTGGTAGGGGCGGCGGTTAAGGGTCACAAACAGCAACTCTAGCATGAGGCTATTCTTTTCGCGATGCGCGCGGCTGCAGGGAGATGCACGGCGCAAATAGGACGGTACTATGCATAGTAGCAATGCAAATAAGCGACTTACCTCCTTGACATTTGTATTCAGCGTCGGCCCAAGCGACCGACGATTGTAGGTATCTCGGGCTACTGCCATCGTGAACACCTAGCTACCCAAGTCACAGTCTGGGGTGATCTCTTGGCCGATGCATATGATGTAATGGATAGTAGGCAATGCAATATGGAATGGGAAGTTAGACTGGCGCTTAAGATCGAGACTTGTCGTTGTGAGAGAATAGAAGAGAAAAAAAAAGTTAAGAGTAAGATGCGCGCGAAGGAAAAGTTGATGAGACGATGGATGTTAGTTATTAACAAAGGCAGCTGCCAGCCTTAGGGAATGCTTGAACAGCACTGGCTCAATTGCAACCGAGAGTAGTATGTTGTGACGCTCCTGTTGCTTTTGCTACTAGGTTGGTAGCATGTACGACCTCGCACAATCGGGCAATCGGGACCTGGATAGGTCTAGGATGACCTTGGGAGCTTAGGTGACGTTTAAGGTTAGCAAGATGCTGGAATCAAGTAGCCAGGCAACTGCGACGGCAGGTCGCAGCAACAGGTTCAGCTTTATGTACAGAGTACGTATACTTCGTACATGGGTAGGTACATTCGATATGTATGAAGTTCCTACCTTGTTCGTGGGGCTGGCGGGAAGTAACGCTATTGGCTTAGATGTCTTGAGACCCCATTAATTTCCCAAGTCAGGTTGTAAGCTGCACATCATTGGATGGTCCGTGCTTTCAATACTGAGAACTCTACCCAGACCCAGAGATCATCCCTACCTCCTAAAAAAAAAGGGCAATTTGATAACTCTTGTAGTTGTGTCACATTTTTCAAGGCTACGATTATACTCCTTCATTTGGGCAGAATACACGGGTACTACCTTTAAAATTAGTTTAAAAATTCCTCTACACATCGATAACCCGGCTATATATTCGTTGAAGTTGGGCTTCCATTTCACAGCTCTTTCTAGTTCCCCATAATGTCTAAGACATTGACATTGATCTGAAAAAACGCAATCAGCGACTTCTTCTACTGATCTGATTTAGATACGGAGTCTTCGAGTAATTTGCCGTTATGTCGGATGATGAGGCAGATCCAGAGCTTCTTGCTCTCCTAAGGCAGCATTTTCAGGGGAAGCTAAACCTGGATGAAGAGCCGGAGACGGGTGTCTTAGAGGGCGCCGAATATGTTTACGACAACTCAATCGATGTGGCCTTGAACATGAGAGCAACTAAGAACGCGGCAGCTTTGATTCATGAACAGATGAAGCGGAAAGAGTTCTCGACCGAGAGTTGGTCGGAACATGAATTGCATCCCAAAGCCAAAGATGAATCTACCGTCGCCTTCGTCTTTACCATGGACCTGCTCAATTTCTCATTCTGGTCCTTGCACCCGGAGGGTAAACGTTTTGCTGTCTCCTACCGAGACAAGACTTGGACTGGATACTGGAGCTTGGTCGCCGCGTTGCAGAGAGCGCTAGAAGAAGGTGGGTAATGATTTTTAGCAATCAACACTTTGACTGACTTATTACTTGGACTTCTCTTTGATTTCAGTTTGATTTGGATACCTCGTACTTTTTAAAAACGAGGTGTAATTAATTTCTGTCTTAAGATATCCCCATCACCGATCCGCATTACTGGCAGAACGAGGAGGAATGTAACCTCGAATCCCTAAGGCACGTTTTCAGATCGTGCACCGATGAGGAGATACCTTTGCTGGAAGCACGGCTTTCTTGTCTGAGAGAAGCAGGACAGGTTCTATATGAAGTAGGTTGACCCAAACGACTATCGCAAAATGGAGATAACGCATGGCCAACGCGCATCGGTTCCCTGCAGAAGTACAACTGCAGCTTCACGAAATGCATAGAAGCTGCCAACAAGTCAGCCGCCGGGCTGGTGAACCTGCTCGCGCGAGACTTCGATTGCTTTAGAGACGAATTCAAGTTCGAGAGCCGACGCAAGCCCATCCGCTTCCTCAAGCGCGCCCAGATTTTAGTAGCGGATATATGGGCCTGTTTCAACGGCGAGGGCTACGGAGAATTCCGGGACATCGACAAGATTACTATGTTTGCCGACTATCGCGTCCCACAGATACTAGCTACCTTGGGCTGCATAGGTTACAGCCCGCCATTGCAGGCGATGGTGGCAAAGGGAGACATATTGGAAAGTGGAAGCAGCTATGAATTGCAACTCAGAGGTTAGTATTAATACCCCTAACTCCACCCCCGAAAGACATTTCATTTCAAGAAATGCTGAAACAACGTAGCTTGCAGCATCTGGTGCGTGGAACTTCTCAAGCGTGAAATCAAACGCCAACATCCAGAGGCAAAAATCAATGCCATTCTAATCGACTTTTTCCTGTATGATACCATGAAGCAGCTGGAGGCCGAGGGGAAGGAGACCATACCGCATCATCGAACTAGGAGTATTTGGTATTAGGCCACTTGGGTAGAGGATTGTAATGTTGGTCTGTACGTAGGCAGTCATGCTATTAGTAGAAAATAGGGGATGGTTGAAATCACGTGGTATTCTTAGCCAAATGCAAGTGAGACTTGGCAAATCCAGCGGAGCAAATATCGTCCCCAACGCCAGCGCAAAAGCATCATGAACCGCCATTTCCCTCCATCGTACACGTATCTATCCGTCAGGCATAAACTTTCATTCCACCGCATCCGACCTCAAATCGCACCAACAGCAGTTGAATTAAGGATCTCATCCATATGTGCCTTTTCAATGCCTTTGGTGTTCTTGGCCTCTTCCTTCTGTAGCACAGCGAGGACCTCTAATGGCGGATTAAGACCCAGCTTCTCGGCTCGCATCCATCGCTTCGTACGGTCCATCCCAACGCAAGGCTATTCAAGCATATAGTTAGAATCTTCGTCCTAGTAATAGTAACAACGAAAGAAAGAGAATGGTAGACACTAACCCCATACTGTGAGCTAACGTCCCAATATCGCAACACCTTCTCCGCGAGCGTCAGGTCTTCCTGGTGGACCCTCTTGGCCTTCCGCTCATTCTCTAGTTCTCGCCAATACGCGCTGATCTGGCGATCGGTGATCTTCTGCGCGCGCAGCTCCGCCTCGGATTTCTCAGGCTCCACCACCGGCGCCGGCTGTGCGACCTGAGGCTCCTCTTCGAGTTCGCCCTCAATCGGCTTCTCTTCGAACTCATCCTTGATCGCGCGTTCCTCGTCGCTAGTCGGCTCTTCTAGCTTAACCGAAGAGACGTGCGTCTTGAGCGGGCTTGACTTCGCCGGTTTGGAGTCCAGGTCCTTGGTCGACTTGGGCCCGGACTTGGTGACCCGGTGGTTGAAGGACAGCGTCGACTGTCTTCCATTGACGCGGCTGTTGCCGCTAGAACGCCTCGTGGTAGGCATTTTTTCAGTTTGTAATTGATAGCGCTACTTTATTCAGGGAATCGGAATTGATTGAGATGGTTATTTAGGTGAGAATAAAGCGAAACAGATAAGTTGCAATGAATACTGAAAATAGTGGGTCTGGAATCGGATGGATTGTCGAATGACGTGGGGGATTCTCGGTTATGGCATCCAGGAATTGGCGGGGCAACACGAAACGTGAGCGCCTTCACGTGATATGGACCCACCTAGGACTCCCCCCTTTTTTACCCCTGAATAGGTGGCTTAGCCACCTTGGTAAGAGCCATCAGTTCGAGGCAAGTCAAGTATGTATATTCGATGATTCAAGTATAGTCCTTGATTACTTGGTGTTTCCTTTTTCTTTCGATGCACGATAAATTGGCGGTTTCGAATCCGACATAGCTGTATGGATCAGTGCCTGTCTGATAGAGGAGGAGGAGTCGTTTCCCAAGTCTCACAAACGACGCCTAAATCACCCGCCTTTCATTGCCTAGCAACAAAAAAAAGGCTAAGATAATAACAAAAGGTTTATGATTAAAATAATATTGTGTTTGAGGCAATGGGATTCGAGTTTGAAGGAGGGTTCGAACGCGGGATAATGAGTCGGGGATATCAACTAAGGTCAAATTGAAACATCCACACCATTTTACTTGTTTAGTCTTATTGCGCGTATACCATCACGAGAAAGGTCGTAGTATCATAGAACAGTGTGTATTCAGATAGGAACTTGGAAAACATAGTCAAGTCCTAAACAGTGTCTTAATTCAGTCGCGAAGCTCTGACATCCATCGCAAGCCATTGATTTGAGGAGCTTGGTCGTTCATGGTTCAGAAATCATTGGTAGTGTTACCACTTTGTCTGGGTGTATTTCCTTCCCATGCCTTAGTCGCCGTTGGATTAGTCCTTCATACTAGTACCAGTTCTAAGCAATCTAAAATTAGCCAACTTGGCTCCTAATTTAATGGGTTTAAAAGCTTACCGAGTAGCATCAAGTCCACAAAGATACTAAAGAATCGTTGCAGGATATGGTGGGGGGTTGGGGCATTCAAGCGTGCGACAACCTCATCGGCAGACATACCAAAGCTGACTGCGACTGTAGCGAAGTAGTTGTCTGTCGATCTTCGTTAGCGCTACATGTTACGAGAATCGTAGAATAGGTATTCATGATATATATTTTCATACTTCGTTGAAGTCTCCATGGATTATCCGGTCCCGCAACACACTCCAAGTAAGCCTCCAAGCAGAGAGACCAGAAGATCTGCTGGTAAACCGCCATGCGGAGGGCAGGGCTGACGATGTCAACCTCGTCGTCACTGTCATAGTCGTAGTCGTGGCCACCGTTGTGGTTCATCTCATCAGACATTGTGATGATTGGTAGGTAGTAGCTGAGCACGAGAAGTGTAGCAGTTACTTTTGTGTTGAGTGTGGGGAAGATGTGTAGATGAGTTGTTTTTGGCAAGTTTGAGATTTTAGAAGAGGAGATCCTAATTATCCTCCATATGGAAAAGGTAGGTTGTATGGAGCATTCTTACCGTATCTAAGAAGGGTCCTCAGATGCCCTCGTCTATCACAGGAACTTAGGCGAGACCCCGAAGGCTGACGACGGTCGTCTGATTTAGGAGAGAAGGCACTCGCGTATCTTGTGTAGGTATTTGGAATAGGAAGCCCCATGTACTTCGGAAAAGGCCTTCGCCTAGGTGCAAAGAGCGCTCATCATTTGATAAAAGCAGCTTTCACGGATGTTTAGAGGACCTGTTTAAGAAAGAGGGCATTTCATTTTTTTTTCGATAAGAGAGTACCCCCTAGGTTATTCTTCCAAAGACTTTCGCTAACGCGCTCCGAGAGAATATCATTTAGACGTATATGTTCATTAGGGGCGAAAAGAAAGACACCAATAAGACCTCCAATCTCCTCTCTATTTAGGAAGGCTATTTCCTAGTCGGCCTTGAAGCATAAGTACTTTCCTTGTTAATATAAGTTCTATTCCACTGAGGCGTTAAGTATCGCTTGCTTACAGAGTAATTCACCATATACCAAGATAAAACTTAGCGGCTAGAACAAGACTGGTTGATAACATAAAGGTGACAAGCATTCAGGTGGCAGCGTGATTTAGGGGGCAAAGGTAAGGGGGTGGGAGTAAAGATTATAACAACGGCGTACAAGGATACAACACTAAGTGGAAAGGCGACTGCAAACATGTCACTGGCGAACATGATTAACAGCGGCAGGCAGACACAGTGGCGACACTTGTCTCAAATGACATCAAAACAACTTGACATGTCAGGTCGTAACCCTCATTAATAATGTTCTGTGGAAACTCAGCTTAGTAGCTAGAGGTAAGAATACCTATTTAAAGAGCACATTGAGACGTTCCTAAGCCAGATGTAAAAGCATTCATGGAGGCAAGGATTCTAACTTGGTATCTATGGCACCTGTCCATGCGTTAGACTTGGAGAGAGATACTGTATCCCAACCAGCTAAAGGATCAGTCCGCCCAAATGTACAGTCTGCCATCCTAACGCCCCTTTCCCCAAACTCCTTTCCCTTGAACGTAAATCATGAAATCCATAGATCTCATCATTTCTTTACATCGTCATCGTCGCCTTGCGATTTCCGCTCTTCCTCTATAACATTCAGACCCTCGCCTTGGCCAGCCTTCGCCTTTGCCGCAGCCCTCTCTTCAGCCTTTTGGTACAACTTTTTCTCTATGCCTGTGGTTAGTCACACTGACTATATGATTTATACCTTCAATAATATGCCATGAGGAATGCTTACCGGCCTCGAGCTCCTCCTGACAGGTATCAGCTGTCTTGCCAACCATGGTTGCGAGCACATCAATGGGCCTGATATTGAGTTTACCAGCTATGGTATGCGTGATGTGATCTAGAAACGACATGTCAGCAACCAACACGGAAAAATAAAACAGGCCTGGATTAATCCGTACGGTCGATAATGAACTCATAGAGTCCTTTGGCAGAAGTATCTTCTTGATATAGCTCATAGAGCTGGTCGAAATCAGTGGGCGAGATGCGGTATCTACCTGACATGATGGAGATGTGGTCTCTAGTTGCGTCTAGGATATCTCGAACTCGACGTCTTGTCGACATGTTGCTAGATGGAGCCGCGAGGGCAAGGATTCTACTTATTAGAGGTGCTTCTTTTGAATGGGTGGTGGAGTTGGCAGCACAGTCTCTGTGTGTTGTTGTGATTCATCTTGTGGTATGGCGCTGCGAACTCTGGGCGTGGCCTGGACAACGTTGAACAGTTTTGAAGACTCCGGTCATTCTGTTCCACGTTATCCAGCCGACTCCTCCCCCGATCATGTCTGAAGTCGCTGGAGGGACAATGACGATTTCCCCCGGATAGTTATACCAATGCCCGCCTTAACGTGTTGAGCCAACATAGATGGAACACTTCTCGAAGGCCATCATCAGATGTGCCCGCCAACTCCATATCCGAGACCCATAATCACTTTTGCTATCCACATATTAGCAAGCGGCACGGTCGTTCGGTCACTCAGTACACATTACCTCAAGGAAGCAAGCCGACACAATGGTTATGGACTAAGCCTGACCAATAGGAACTGCTGAAAAAGATAATACTTACGGGTTGTTTGTCTCATAGTTCTTTGTTCTAGTTAAGCCCTGACCGATCCAATAAGATAAGGTATTCATGACCCAGATGTACTCTGTCATATATCTGTTCTGCACTGTCTCCATTGTGATGATTTCGCTCGCCTCGTTGACTACTGTCTGGATGGTCGCCATCGTGAATAAGTTCTGCTTGTATCAACCCACTCATCATGGAGTAAGACATAGAATTTCTACAATTGCACGCCTTTATATTTATTCCATACCTAAATACCTCATGGTTGTGAGCAATAAGCTCAGTAAGGCCCAGCCAACGTCGTGGCAGAGCTGGATTGGTGCTATGACGCTTACCCACCTTCGCATCACCCACTGATCTCGATCTCATTCAGATAGAACTTGGAATTCATTCCAATCCGTATTTAAATCAAGAGATATATTGTCACGATTCCAATAGACCCTTACGTGGGAATTATTCCGCGAAAGGGACTATGATGACGCTACAATGAGAACTGAGCCAACTCATTTGAAAACTCAAAACCAACGTGGGATAATAAAATTTTGGCAATTGTAATGTACATTTCATAACTTACAGGATAAAACATGAGCGCGCACACTAATTGAGAAAATAAGGGGCTGGGCATTTCAACCCAACGAGGCTGTAGATCAGGCAAAGTAAGGGATGAATTCTATTGGGGAATAGTATCGTAGGACATCACGAGCTTCCTCAAATCAAGCACCTATTTATTGCTTATACTAACACAAGGCGCATAGCAGATCGCATAGATTTGGAAAATCATCGGCGGTTAGTTTTTGAACTGTCCAGTTTCATTTTCATTATATTCTAGAATTAAATATATCCACCACTTTCAACTCAGGCACAGGGGCGCTCCTTCGACTGATTTTGTCACTTAACTCATTCAGATCACCAGATGGTGTATGTACAAAGAATGAGAGAGCGTTGTCAAAAAGATGCCAAAATTGGACTTCTTATGTACTGCACCAAAGCGCACATTGTAACCTAAGATACAAAGAAGCCCTAACCTCCCTGTGCCTACGTCCGAAAAACAATTACAAGAGGGGGAATAAAGCAACACATCTAAAAAGCACGGTCATAACCCCACTTCTATTCTTAGTGGAAAAACAAGGCAAAACTTCATTATTCAGACGACTATTCAACCGATTGCCTAGATCAGCGTGAATCCCGCGGTGAAGCACAAGGCGACGACTGCCGGGATAATCATAGCTGCAGCAGAGATGGGACCTTGAGGTGCCAGTGTGGCAGCAGCGTTGCCGGAAGAGCTAGACGAGGCAGAGGAAGAAGTGCTAGCGCCAGTGCTACCAGGGGTATTGGAGGCATCATCAGCTAGGGGCTTGACAGCAAGGTTAGAGACAGCCTTGCCGTTAGCATCCTTGACTGCCTGGGAGACGGAGTAATCGCTGATGGAGATGATCTTGCCGCTGGGCTTGGGAGAAACACCGTTGTCGATGATAGTCTGAGCTCCAGGAGGGACGGCAGGGAGGGTGAAGTTGTTTGCGAAACCGCTCTCCTTGATCAAGCTAGCCTTGCACTCGGGAGCGGTAACCTTAGACTTGGTAGCCTTGACAGTTTGAACCTTGCTGAAATCGATCTTCTTGTACTGGCTCTGAAGAGTGGCAAAGTCGGCAAGAAGGTCGACGGTTCCATCGTCGTTGCACTGAGCAAGACCATAGTTGTTCTTCTCCTGAGCGTATTCGTAGACAATACCACCCGAGAAAGTTCCCGTCATCTGGTCACCGTAGATGGCGCTGATCTCAGTAAAGACACGGGGAGAGGGCGTGTTGCAACCGAACTCAGAGTAGAAAACCGGGACGGAAGTTGACTTGAACATAGCAACCAGCTGGTCGTATCCGGACTCTTGGAAGGTGCTGTCACCGCACCACGAGTAGCTGTTCAAGGCAAACATGTCGGAGCGAGACATGTCGTTGGCATCACCATCGATGGCGCACTGGAAATAGTTCCAGGTATCCTGAAGGACGTCACGGACGTCGGCGGCAGAGTATCCAACGGGAATAGATCGGTCGGCATGGTTCTTGATGTAGTTCTTGAGGTCACGAGTGACAGCACGAACGTAGGGGGGAACAGTAGAGCCGGTCTTGACATCATTAATCACTTCGTTACCGGAGAAGAATCCGAGGGTGTTAGGGTAAGACTTGAAGGCCTCCACAATAGCGAAGGTTCGGTTCAAGTAACCAGAATAGTACGACTCCCAAGGCGCACCGCTGTTGAGAGACTCGCCTGCGAGGGGCGAGTTGACATCGATGATCATGTACATGCCCGCCTGGATATCATGGTTAATATAAAACAGCGCAACTTATGAACATACCAAAACTTAAAACTTACGGCATTGAAAACGCTGGCGCATTCATCGTGGTTTAAGTTGGGGTCCAAGTTGTAGACTCGAATGGTGTTCACTCCCAAAGTCTGCATGAGCGCGGCATCACGCTTGCAGATGTCTCCGTTAGAGAGAGGATCCTTTCCGTGACTTGGGTCGTATCCAGCACTTCCACCAATTTGATAAGCCATACCGACGATTTGGAATGCGTCTCCGGTCTTCGAGTTTACGAACTGACTGCCTTGAACCTCGAGAGGTGTGACAGCAGCCGCCAGGGTTGCGCCGCCCAAGGCGACGAGCGCAGATTTCACGAACATGGTGTAGTTAGAATTCGGGCGTGGTGAGGTTCTCTTAGTGTTGATGGTAGATCTCGATGTTTCCTAATAAATGTCTACCAAGGTCGTTTGTTTTCCACCGTTGTAGACTACCGCGATCGACACAATGTAGTCTTTTTCAAAATAGATGTGAGAGAGCGACTAGAATAGGCCGGTGGCCAAGAAACGATTGTTTGTAAAAAGGACTAAAGAGAGTGATCCTTGACAGAAATTGTCGAGAAAAAGAAGTGAGTTAAGAATAAGGCGAATTGGTGATTAGGAAGGAGTGACGGAGGTTGGGTACAAGAAGGAGGGAGAAAAGGTGAGATACCTATAGTTGAATGATTGGAGTAGGAGCTTTAGGAGGGAAAGTACAACACAAGCGAGTGTTACCTGGGTACCTATGACACGATGCCAATCATTGTCTTCGGTCTCGTCTGCACCTGCACCTTGCGAGGGTTTTTTAGCAGCTGACAAGGGCGGCTTTGTTGCAGTAATCAATCGCTGTGGGGAGTTTGATTGGTCGAAGGGTTCAAGATCCATCCCAAGTAGGAAAGCCCCATAAATACGAAGTAACTATGTACCCAGCAGTAACTCGACTAGAATTGGTCCGTCATTTCTGTTCTCACTAATTAGACCTAATTAGGCCCTACCCGCTCACACTGTACTTAACTGTGTTTCCTGTAGTTTGTTGCTTTTTTGTTGCTATTTTACCACCTGTCAGACTGGTAAGAACACTAAGTTCACCGTATTCCATAAGATGACACCATCAAACCACACTGTCGAAAATTATGCGAATCCATGAACAACTCACGATTGATCCCTACTTAATTTTGTGGTTTCACCGACATACCTCACTCCTCACTCCTGATGGATCAAACGATCTACTTATTCCACTACACGCTATTAGAATCTGTTGTGTCCGTTAAACTGCTTGTCAGTGGCTGTGCCGTTTCTGTTTTCTGTTTACTCGTTACTCGCAAACTGCCCCTTCGAACCCGGCCCAATCAGGAGCATGGGATGCAACCGTATAGGTGATAGGCTGGCAGTTGATCATTCCCTAGAAAGAAAACAAATATTTCACCCATTTGTTCGTCTCTGACAAACTGCCAGACGGTCTAACCTCTTCTTTTAAGCTTCAATACGAGAACAAAGAGACGAATGATATTCTTGTAGCCTATTGGAGGTCCCGGGTGATGCATCTGTTACCTGCCTACTACGTTGTATGGTAATACCGGGTATGTAGGAGGTAAGGTTAGGTTAGATATGTTGTCAAATCCATCGGGTATACGAAGGGTCAACTTCTATTGTGGTATTAGTGTGTTAGTGGTAGTATTCCACGAGCCACAAGCACCACCACGAGGTGTGCTGGTGCGCTAGTACGATGTATCTCACTAACAATTTTCACTTTAATCTTGGCAAAAAGGGATAGACTATTCCTTGTAGTTTTCTTTGCCCTCCACTTGTTCCTCGATGTCAGGATGTCTCGGTTTCGAAGCGTTCTACAACGACGTCACAGCCGGTCTTCCATGCAGTAATGGGCGCGGGTTTGTAGGAGTGATGAAACACGGTCCGTCTTCTGTGCGCGTGGGTACCGGCGACAATCGCAATTCGCCCTTGAGGTCCTCCTTGGTGTTATTTGGCCATTTGGATAATTTCCCCTGAAGATCCATCTGATCCATCCCATCCATAATCCATTCAGATTTGTTAGAATAAAAAAAAAGTAGGGAAAAATTCCGGGGTGTCCCTGAGCTCTGCTAGACGCACCCTTGTTCTAGGGAGCACTCGTCAATCAAAATCGGGGCTAGCGTCGAGACGGCGCCAAGTGCCAAATTGAACGGAAAATGCGACATGCTCAGATGCTCTAATGCAGAACAGCGACAAGCGCCAGCGCCAACCTCCACATTGAATTAGCTAGACGCACCAGCCACTATCATGCATCGCTCGGTGCATACACTAGCCACACATATGCATCTCCAATCCTCCCCAATTATGCATGCACCAGCCTCACCACAAACCGGCGGGGTTTATGCTAAGACAGCGAAAATCTCAGGATCCACTACCTCCGGATTGTGTCCGTGTGAATTAACTGCAGTCATTCTGTTGTGCGACCGTGAAGGAGAAAAAAAGAGTGGCGGTACAAATCGGCCGAAAGTGTCATCATATGCTTACCTATTCGACGGCATCCTCCTTGCGCAGGCTCTATACTCATAAACCCGTACTCCTCCCCCGCCTCCTCTCCCATACTCACGCATCGTCGGCGGCTCACCCTCACGCCCCCGCCCCAAGAAGCGCAACCATCATGGCTCCCGGTGTGTTTCTCGTATATTCCTACCCCTTCACCCTCTAGCCACCAAATTTACGGGCTCGACTTCGTATCGTGTAGAGGAAGAGGCAACGGCAGTCAGACTCGAACCCCGCTAACACGCCAACCCCCAGTAGCAACCCTCCCCCAAGACCGCCGCCCAGTCGTGATATCCGGCCCCTCTGGCGTAGGCAAGGGCACGTTGTTCAAGCGTCTCTTCGACACACACCCAGAATGTTTCGCGCTATCGGTCTCCCACACGACGAGGTCGCCGCGCGCCGGCGAGGCCCACGGCGTCGACTACTACTATGTCTCGCCTGACGAGTTCGAGGCTTTAGTGAAAGCCGATGGTTTCGTTGAGCACGCCAAGTTCGGGTCCAACCGCTACGGCACCTCCAAGCAGACCATCGCCGACCAGACCGCTAAGGGGCGTGTCGTGGTCTTGGATATCGAGATGGAGGTGAGTCCCAATTTCCTACCCCCGTAGTCTGTATTTTCGGTCAAAAAGAGAGAGTAGAAAGAGATAAGGTTGCGATACGGCAGGACCTACGCCATAGTAGGTTAACTTGCTAAACGGTGCTGCGAAATAATTAGGGAGTCAAGCAAATCCAAAAGAGTGGCATAGAAGCGCGTTTTGCTTTTATTAAGCCACCTAGTTTTGAGGAGCTCGAGAAGCGCTTGCGCGGCCGAGGCACCGAATCGGAAGAATCTATCCAAAAGAGACTGGACCAAGCCAAAGTTGAGCTCGAATACGCGAATACGCCGGGCGTCCACGATATAATCATCGTCAATGACGACCTCGACAGGGCCTACAAGGAGTTAGAAGATTTTGTTTATAAGCCGCTCGCGTAGACTGGGAAAATCCATGCAATTTGATTGGAGCCCATCTAGATTTAGATGATAGAAATACTACCTAATAACGGTTAGGAATTATGTACCAAAGAGCAAGACGTGGTTGTTTAAAAGTCACAAGTTTCAAAAAAGGGGTGTTGGGCATAAGTCTCGTATTTATTCCATCAGGTATCAGAGCGAACTCTATTAGAGTACAGTAAGAGGCTTGACCACGGATTAATCTTAGCAGCTTTAGAGAAGATGAATAGAGCTTTCGGGGGAATACTAAAAAAAGGAAATAATAAGAACGTCGAGTCGCCAGACTGTGTAGATGGAATAACTGCATGCTTGGCCAGAACACACATAACAAGGCTCGAACAACCCAAAACGGGTCAATCATGCAGGCCTTCGTTTAGAACACGCCTCCTCACGCACACTCCTCTTCCACGCAGACAGAAAATTTTGGTATCCCATTCCGAATTAACTTTTGGGATTCTCATGGCCATTCTTGAAACGAGCTGCCCTCCCAATATCACGCCAATAGCCATCGGTGAGTAGTTCATTGTAATAGTCGTAAAGGGGTAATTAGGGACCTCTCGCAAGGATGGGAAAGCCTCTGAAGCCGAGGAACGCCTCGTAAAAAGCAGACGCAAAAAGGAACGAAGAATTAGTAACCATTCATGGTCATTCGTTGAGAGCTCCTGCTGATCTCGCGATCCGCGGCTGGGCTGATGGGACGGCTTCCGTGGCCTTGTGCGCTGCTCTCCTTGAGCGCCAACAATTGCTTGGCACGGAAAGTCTCGTAGTGGATCTGTGAAGTAGTCTCGATGAGATCCTGGAGGTGAGTTCGCAGTAAGAAGTTTCTTAGGTAGACGAATTCGCAGTGGTTCTCATCTTCGACATTGATAACACCCCATCGGTTTTGACGGCCGCGGACTTGCTTGCCGTTGACGATAATCGACTTCTCAGAACCGACAACAGCGAAAGGAACGAGGCTCTGAAGACATCATTAGTAAGTGGTACGGTAAGAAAATTATTGCATGAATTACCTTGATCTGGGTGTTAATAGACTTTTCCTCCTCATCAAGCTCGTCGTTGTCATAGGGGTACATCTTGAGGTTGTGAAAAGCGAACTCCTCCTTGATGCGCTCCTTGAAAGCCTGTCTCTCCTCCAGAGTCAAGGTGTCGGCCTTGGCAATAACCGGCACGACGTTGACAACATCCGAAAGCTTCTTCAACACGACAATGTCGATGGGCTTGAGGGAGTGTCCAGAGGGCTGGATGAAGAACAAGCAGCAGTGGATACGGGTATCGGGAATGTAACGTTCTCGCTGTGCTGTGAGCTCCTTTCGTAGATACGCGGAGTGCTGATCCTTGATGTACTTGACGATGGGGTCCCAGCAGCGGTCGTTGTTGACCAGGTCACCGTAGCCCGGGGTGTCGACGATGTTTAGCTTTAGACGGACGCCATTCTCCTCGATAACGTGCGACACGGGGTGGATCTCGGTGGTAGATCGAATCTGCTCATCGGGAACCAATCGACCCTTCGAGTCGATAAGGTGAGATGCGAAAATGGTGTTGATCAAAGTCGATTTTCCCAAACCAGTTTGGCCTATAATACGACACGAGACACGTCAGCTATACGAACTAGGTCGCGATGTTGAAATGGCGGTCATCGAAGCGATCGAAGCGATCAAAAATTAAGGGAGATAACTCACCAACGCAGATGACATTGAACTGGAAACCTCTCTTCAGGAGCTTGCGCTCGATCTGAGAGGTGATGCTGTCGAAACCGACGTGGCTGTTAGGGTAGATGGTTTGCGTCGCCATTGCTGCTGGTTTATCCGATCAAATTAATGAATGGATTAAAATGTCAACTCCTATTCCAAGAAATAGCCTACTTTGGCAATTGGAAGAACGAACGAATATCGGAGTAGGACGAGATGGGCTCTGATGCGAGGCAGAGGTTGAAGTTGATGATGATGAAGAAAAGAAGGTTGAAGGTTCGTGTCGGTTGGTAATTTTTTCGACGTGAAGGGGAAATGGATCCTCTCTTGATTGCTCCCTGCGATTTCCTGCCAAACAATAATTTCCTTGAAGAAGGTGCAGATTAGGCTGGGCACCAGAGGAAAGGGGAAAGGGGGTTGGCAGGTTATGATAGGTCCGATCAGGTCCGTGCATACTAATTATAGTGGACCATAGCTGGGGTCTTAAAGTCGTATGTGCTTTGATGCCGGCTGATGGGCAGATGGCCGCTAGAATTGGTAAAGCTGGAAGCGACTGACCTATCAAATCAATTTTTGTGCTAGAAACTTTTTGGGCGATAAGCTTCATACATACGTTCACTATCGACAACATACTCATTCACGATCGCGAATAACGGTTATAGTCTTCGCATACGAATTACTTCCTGGAAAATATAATCGGAGGTAATTGCTCCATTGCTAGGATAAAATAGGCCTCTGCGGTTTCGGTAACAACAGGCAATTGGCCTGTTCGGATCATCAACAATGGCCGCCATCCAGCAACTGCGAATGGCCTCAGTTTTCTCTTCCCTCTTCCCGAGAATAGCCTCCACGAGCTTCAACTCTTCTTTCCGATCAACTATCCTTTACGCACAACAAGCGCGACAGACGCCACTACCGTTGTTACCCGAGCTCGCCGTTGCCATCCCCGCTGCCATCTCAAGAATACCCTCGCTATTAGGTGATATATGGGAAGGGATTCTCCGAGCAGTGCCCAAGAAAAAGACATCGCACATGAAGAAGAGGCATAGGCAGATGGCAGGAAAGGCTCTGAAGGACGTCACATCACTGAACAGATGTCCCGCCTGTGGGAAGGTAAAGAAGATGCATACACTATGTTCTAGTTGCATGGCCCGTACGTTATTCTTCTGCCCGACCAATTGGTAAACTGCTAACAGTTATACGCCTAGATCTTGGAGGTATGCTCGAAAACGACTTCAAGGGAAAGACAAAATGATACGTAGATCTGCTCCTCGAGAGCTGTGGGAAGATACCTACATAGCCAAAGTCAATTATACGAATCGATCATCAAGCAAAGTGGAATTTGTGCATACTACCGGAGTTTCGGTATAGGAGTAAGGGACATATCTACAGTAGGTATTGACTGTAAAATACATGTACAATGGAAACCAATGCCATTCCGTTCGAGGCTATTTCACACGAGCTTCGCTATTCTGGATATGAAAATGACGCTCTCAGCCGTTGCCTTAGAAGAATTAAACATCAATGGCATACCTGAGGTATGCATGCTTAGGTAATCCTTCATAGAATGACCATAAAATGAAATGACCAGAGCTTGATTCTTCTAGACCCGCAATGTAGGAAGGCAGGAATGAAGAAACGATATGTGATGTAATATTCTAGATGCGAGATGGAAGTCTCGCCCCAGTCTCCAGTTTTCTATTTAGCATTTCGACCCCACCATAACTCAGGTACATACAATATTTCTAACTGGATCATCAACCCCACTACTTCTTCTATACATACAACAGCTTCAAGGAAATCCATACTTATGGGTCGGTAGCAATCATGGTATGCAAAATATCAGGACTGGGAATCTGCTTTGAAGGTGTGCTCTGCTAATGAAAGGTACAACTATAGTCGAAGCAGTATCTCACGACACATACTATCGACAATGGTGAGTCTCAACTTCAGCCTTCAAGCTCATGCTTCGATAATATGTCGTGCTAACAGCTGCCAGCTCATATAACCGACATCTTCTCCCTTGCGGCTACTCCTAGCGCCCTTCTATCTGCCAGCGGCTCTTCAACAATACATATACACGCTACCACACAACCTAGCATTCCTCTTGGCCAATCTCTCACGGGCGCACACAAGCTCGGCTGCCACCATATCGCCGTTTCTACCGATGGAAAGATAGCGGCTTCAGCTGGATTTGGCGGCGAAGTAAAGATATGGAAACTTGCTGAGTCAGGTAGCGACTGGCAACCATTTGGTGAATTAAATACTGCTAAAGGTGCAGGTAAGGGAGTTGGTGAGGTGTGGGCCATCGCACTTAGCGAAAATGGCCAGTACCTGGCTTCTACGACCTACGATGGGCGAGTCAATGTGTGGGATCTCTTTGGAGATAGGTCAGAAAGAATACGAGAGTACGAAACTGGCAATTCCGGCTCTGGCTCCTTTGGCCTTTGCGTAGACCTAAGTCGCGATGGCAAGTACACGGCAAGTGGCCATCAGAATGGTGCTGTCTATGTCTTCAACAACGACACAGGTCGGTTAGCATACTCACTTCCCGGTAAGTCGCTCGTCTCAACATGAGCATATATCTTCACCTTCGTTACATATGGCTGACCGAGATTCAGGACTTGTCAAGCCAATCCGAACAGTAGCCTTCTCACCAGCCGGCACACGCTTAGCTGCCGCCGGGGATGCAAGTGTTATTGCCGTTTACGACACCAAGCATGGTGAGCATGTCGGCAATCTGACCGGCCATACGGCGTGGATTACTTCCATCGACTGGAGTGATACGGGCGAGTACCTACTCAGTGGTGCCTTTGACGGCAAAGTGAAAGTGTGGTCCATTGATAGGGGTGTCTGTGTAGCAACACACAGCGAGACAGAAAAGGCTATCTGGGCCGTCAAGTGGTTACCCAAGACAGGACGCAACGAAATGTTCTGCACAGCCGGCGCGAACAGAAGTTTAACGTTCTACCGTGAAGCGACGGGAGTATAGAAGAGTCATTACATCTACCACTTAGATTTGATGAAGGTACTTGCTTGTCTGGCGTTTAGAGATAGGAATGGGAAAATGAACCCTGGCATATGTGACGGTCCGTTTCGGGGCGTCCGTATTTCGCAGAATCATTTGCTGCGCTTTCATGATGAATGAAGTCTCGATGAGATAGCTGAGATAATGATTTACTACCAACCTTCTAAGTCTTTTTTCTTCGTTTGTGGCTAATCATGGAATATTGGAAGCCCAAAAATTGCCTACTAGGATGGGGAAAGGTTGCGGCATTCGCAACCACCGAGGTCGGTTCTGTCTGTGACTCGAGTATGTTGACCGTAGGGCGCCCCTCGTATTGACGAACGGAGAAATCAAATCCTTCGTGTAAGTTATCTTTGGCTTCAATCGTTAATATTAACCCAGGATAGTCCGTTCAAAACATTACTCATTCACAATGGTTTTATAACGACCTACACTCCATCTATTTGGCAAGATCTAAAACTATATTACCACTTTCAATATTCCCCCATGATATCCTCTTTCATTTTCCAATATCCTTAACCGGTGCAATGACCGACACCCCAATCGTAATCGGAACTGCACCGCTCCCAGTGGAGCCGCCAAGCCTACCATACAGCACCAAAGACACCGAGCCAAGCAAAAAATCTACGGGACTCCCACCCGTTACCACAGGAACCTCCGAGCGCTACATCCACGGCCTCGCCCGCGCCCGCGCCGCCGCCACACTCCCTCACCGTGCTCTTCCAAGGCGAGAAACTGCCGCCCGGCCAATCCACCGCGGACCTCGACCTGGCCGCCCTCCAGAATCTCATCTACGAGGCTTCGCTCACGCGCCTGCACGCCAAGATAGCGGCCGGAGGGTTCGTGGTCGAGGCGGGGAACTTCGCGGCAGTGGCGTGCTGGGAGCCTGGGAGGGTGGGAGAGACGGCTGTCCCGACGGCGATGCTGGCGCAGAGGCCGATTTATAGGATGTTTGTGGAGGGGTGGGCGGAGTTGATGCGCAGACATTTGTATCAGCTTGCGCGGAGGGTGAGTAAGGGCAGGTATTAGAAGTTGAGTCTTATGGCGAGGGATCCGGAGATTGAGTATGTTCCTGGTGCTGGTGAGTTTTTGAAATTCTTTCTAAATTCATCATATTCTTTTTGAAGAATAATTCATCTTTGATGCTGGCTGTTTTGACCGAGGGCTGGTGCCCCTGAGATATGTGTGGCCCCCAAGTTAGATACAGACATCAATATAGGAAATAGAGTTGGCGTTTAGAGCTAAGTCAATTACCTCCCACGTAATTAGCCTGTTTATCATCTCTTGGCTATATCTGATCAATCATTTTTTTGGCTACTACTACGGGTGTAGTTGCCACAAGTACCGGGCTCTTAAGTTTACTCCGACCTCAATGATTATTGTCGGGCATCAATTGCCTGAGCACATACTCATATCTAAGCATATGATACCTCCTAGGATAGATCTATTCTCGTATAGAATAAGTGACTAACTGTCGGCAATGTAGTACGAGCCGTGCTCGTCCCCTTCATAGAGAGGTTTACCTCCTACCAGAACGAGGGTGGCCCAATGCCCGTATGGTTAGAAGCAGGTAGTGAGTGGGCTCGGCAAATCTACACGCATTTCGTGTTTCGCGATATAGGTGAAGTTCAGGTCAAGAGAATTAAGAGCTGGGGTATGATTTACACAGGAGGCATTAACGTGTGACATCGAGGATTAACGTAGAATTTATTACTTACCTATATGCCTGCTCCAAGTAATTATTGAGTGTTTCGACGTGTTCAATCTCATATCCTAGGGCTTTATGTATTACTGGTACCTATTTAACCTGGTATCTTTATAGCCATGAGTCTCTCCTACTTAACATTTTGAGTTATGCTTATTAGACCCTCATCATGGTCAGGGGTGCATTCCATCCCCAAGCAACCTAACACCATAAGTTAAGTAAATGCCAATCTAGGAATATTCCAAGTAACTCTTATTAAGCACAGCTATACTATTGATTTCTAGTTTTCTCATTGAGTCTGGGGGTAATGAATACCCTTGAAGTTCTCCTGAAGGGATCTTGCCATATGGCGGATATGTATTATATTGCCAATATCACCCCTAGTAGAGACCGAAAACCATACATACGATCATAAACATGAGGAAACGTATCTTTATTCAACATAGAACACGTATGCCAAGATTCTAGCTACCTACGTAAGATTTAAATTGGCTGTAATTACCTATCTATTGGGCAAAAAAATACTACCACAACCAAGTACCATTGTAGGCTGAATCGCAATATGGTATTGAGAACTCCGTCTTTATAGAAGAGATCTGATCCTGTAGCTAAGTCTTAGGTACGGCTATTGTCTCATTTGAATCCCCTATATCTAGCCTGCTGAGTTTCGGACGGTACATTTTCACGGCTGGCCATCTTCAAACCTCATACTCTTCACCTTGAGCAAATAAGTGACGTCACCTACACATGACGCCTTCTCTAATCTATGAACTGTATGGTTCAGTCTTGGGAACACTAATGTTAGGAGAATCGCCTGTGTCACAGTATAAACACCAATCCCTGGGAAGCTTGGGTGAGGTTTTTAACGCTGATAGAACTCATCACCGAGGTACTCCACACAGCATATACACCTCTTTCTGGTACTTAGCTCCCTGTTTAAAGTTTCGGTTAACGACGGGAGTCTATTATGAGCCGCGTTAGCCGAAAATTCTCTATAAGGGGCACCACAAGGTTGTGAGCAAAATCGTACTTCCTTGTTTCTATATCTTCGCCGCTGAGTCTTTATTAACGTTTATTTAGCGTCGCGTTTATTATGGTCGTATAGCTTATCGCCATAGTCTTTCTGGTGTCATTTATAGGTTATCAGTCCGCCGTTATTGCTTTGTCGATACAAAGTCGATACCTATAGGCGACCCCCTTTTCATCCGATTTCTAACTTTACTTATGTCGAAGACGTCACTCGTTTAAACGGCGCATTAAGCAATGCTTTAATCGCCGCTTAAGCGTGTCGCCGTTGTCTTACTCCAGTTTTTTCTATATAAGACCACCATGTCTCCCACTTTTCCCTCCCACATTCTTCCTCCTTCACTCACCACTCCCACATTCTTCACTCCTCACTCTTGCTTCTTTACTCTTCCAAAACAACAACTCCATCTCCTCAACAGTCCTAGATTTGATCGAAGCACATCAATATTTCATTCGAAGACTTGTTCATCAAGCTTCCTACATGGCAACATGACTCCAATGTTTCTATGGAACACATTCCACCATGGTAAGTCCTGTCAATGTCCCTTTCCCATCATCTCCTACATCCTCACAGCTTTCCCTACATCCATGGACCACCAATGACGAATGGAGTCATTGTGTTCTGGATATCATGAATGCTTCACGTTTCTTGTCTCTGCCCTCACCGAGTTCAACATCATCGAGATACCTCAAATTCATGTCCATCCATCTCAGCTACCTTTTACCACTTTGCGCATATTCATTTTACCACGCTTGCCATGCATGGTGTCAACATTGTGCACTCGCTTCGACAAGCAAAGACTGGAATCTGTCACTGCCAATTACCATCCCCGTCTGCCCCGTCTGCCCCTTATTACTCAGCGTCTGGCGTGTGTCATCGGCGTTTACTCATCTAGGGGAAGTCACTCACATATAAACCAGCGGGTGCTAACTTAGAGCCTTAGTATTTCTATGCTAGCTTCACTTATACCTGGCGGGTGCAAGGTCCTGGTAGCATGTAGCTCTCGCCTCTAGAATTGTGGACGACATGTGGGGGTATCCTAATCTACCTAGCTACCTTCACTTCCACTTCACAATACTTATCCATTCTACCAATCATGGGACATCCCAAAGGTTATTAGTACTCATCTACCTTTCCCCAGATGCAATACCTCTTACTCTCCTGGCTCCCACATCTTCTATCTTCTCTCACCAACAATCATCATACCAGGGCAGCTCAAGTACCCAACCACTGTCAAGTCTCACACTTACCCAGTTCAACACTTGAGATGGAATGCCACCGTATTCTCACGTGGCAAGCTATTACCAACATACACCCTGTCGGAAGATGAGATGATTGGTATTGTACTACCCTTAGACGTCACAAGATGACGTCTTGTTGGGATCGGTGTATGGTGGGAACATTCACTCGATCGACCTCCGGATACATAACCCCTCTTTTAACGACCTTGAACCGACCTTGGTTTTTGCAAATTTACATTTCTCGAAGCCGGCTCTCCAATTTTCCGCGATCGAACTCCGGCTTCGTGAGTCTTTGCAAAGCCTGGTCATCACTTCGACGGCTCCGACCGTGGACGCACCCCGCCCTATGAGCCAAACAAGGCGTCAACTCTTCACTGTGGGTTCTTCTAGGACCGTGTGTAAGTCATATATCATTGAACTCACACAATTGGTAGCTCTGCCTCCTGTTGCCCTTTGGGCAACAACCCATACACAATACCCTACCGCTCAGCAATGAGTGATGTCCTAGTTCTTATATTTCCGCATACCTCTTCTTGTACGGTCTCGCGGCACCGAAAGCTGCTGTACTACCGCTTATTTTTCTACTTCGGGTGAGCCGTCGAGGCCCTGGAGGTACGTTTATGAACCATTCTATTCACTCTTCAATTGTCTATTCGACGAACCCAACAATTAGGTACTCTACTGAAGGCTGATTCATCTAGGGCATGGGAGTTTCTCAAGCCTCTGAGTCTACCCTACGCCTTGGCTCTTTTGGCCTTCTCAATCAATATGGTTCGTTTCTCTCTTCCCCCCACTTTAAAGTAACTGACATAGTGACTTCATGAAGATAGCAACGTCACTCTCATTGTCGGCTGGATCACCGTCAATGAATCTCAAGGCGATGTCATCTTCCTGCACTATTCATCTTCATCGCCTTCACTGGTGTCGTTACATCGCTTTCTCAAAGTGTTACTCAAGGCTGGATGAGTCTCGACATCTCTTGACATCCTTGCCTTCCTCGGCCTGGCTACCAGTTTATCCCTCTCTTTTCATCAGCCTAGAATAACTATTTCACCGGAATCATTATGAGAATCCGCTAAACACACTATCTTCTTCCCTATGCTCCGAGTTCCTCAACACAGACGCCTGGTCGCTGATACCAAGGAGCATGCACGACAATGACAACGACAGCATATCAGTTTCGTGTTCGACCGCAACATTTCACCGCAATATTTTCGAGATCACTGGATGAAATATTTAGGGACTTCGAATGACGTATTAGATAACTCTGCAGCCCGAAGAAGCAACCAGTTCATACCAGATGCTCAAGACCATGAGCGCATTATCGCCGTGGTCCTCACGACTTGTCCCGCAAAGTCTCTAAGCCCGCTAAAGGTAGAACGTCATGAGGTTCGCTGATTGGTGGAGGGGAATGGGAGAGACCTCCTCATATTCCAGCTTGACGACTTCCTCGCAGCGAATTCACTCTTCTTCACACATTCCTTCATCCATCACTTTCAATCATATCACTTGTACCAATTATTACCTTCGATAACGATCATCTACTCCAAGGATCTTGTACTTTGATATCTTTTGAACCCGGGGTATCGCTCATTCAAGGTTGAGAGGTTGGGACGAGCGATGAGAGACCACTAACGAGGACGAACATGCTGCCATGTACGATGACGCCAACGGTGAGATGTCTCCTTCGACGATTTCCTCCACCTTCAGGTTATCTTCTCTGCGTCGATTGATATCAATGAAAGGGCGTGGCCCTTCTAACAACCCGTGGAGCTCCTATCACTACCTCCAGCTTATCTCCATTACCCAAGTCGAGGACAACGAGGCCAATCACATCCGCCTATGATGGTCGAAGAGGAAGGGGAGGATGAAGGGGAGGAAGATGAACGGACGAAGGCAACCGACGCACAGGCTTCACATTCTTCCAGAGTTGCAAATCAAGTTTACGCTGTCGGGTGGGACATGGTCGACGGATTCAATTTGTTTTACAGCATACCTCGTTGTTAAACGCAGAAACTGGACCGTCCACCCCACAACTGGTGTACTAAGATCCCTGGTAACGACCTGGAATTTCTTGGACAGGTTTATTGAGACCTGACCGGTCCTGAGCCTGAGGGAAGTCTCTTCGGTAAGCTCTCCTCTTCGCTTTGATACCATCAGCATACCTCAGTACTAACCAGCTCTAAGGTCCTAACACCTATTCCACGGCAGAGACGCCAAGAACTATTGGGGAAAGTAGAGTTGTCATTAGAGATATTCTCTGACTTCTGACGAGCAACCATCTACCTTCGTTCGGATATCTCGAAGATTTCATTGCCAAAGGCGTCCCCTGTACTCGGGATGTAGGGAGGAAGCTTCAACCCAGTATTCATCCGCCACTCTGAAACAATCTCCGTCGATTCCACGGTTTCATCACTTCACTCCTAGGCCTCTGGACAACTGGCCTGCCTTACATCTCCTGTGACCTGAGGCTCAGCTCAAGTAGCTGGTTGGTGACAGGGGTTAGGATTCTCGACTGGGCCATGACCTGGCTAAGCCTCGAGGATTTCAGACACCACCTTCAAAGTCGACTCGGACCATATCACAAGGAAGGGACCTTATGTTTACTACTACCTACTCGCATTGCAGCAGATATGGAAGAAATGAAGGACGGCTCATAAGAGGAGCTATTTCAGCCTCGGGAATTCAATACAGACCGAATACGACCCTCAATGTATTGGAGGAACGATATGATGGGAATATTCACCCACGAGCCTTTGAGTCGAGTGATATTAGATGAGGCGCAAGAATTGTTGCTGGCAGATGTGGATTAGAGAAGGACCTTGAATAAGGTGAGAGTGCACATGCGTGATATAAGCCTACGTCTGGTATTCCTATCAGTACGCTACCGCCCACTATGCGGGACGAATTCACTGCCAGCTCGAGATCGTAGACACGGCTGATGGAAGCCGGAATCGATCCTCAACAGACAGTCTGGATTCTGCTTCAACTGGCCGAGTTATATTGGGACTCGAGGAAGATGACCCTGAGTTGGTGAAGCCAGTGGCACATGCGGTCAAGTCGGCGTCGTTCATGGACCCCTGCTGAGAGTGACTCCCCATCCCAACGCTAGGAACCCTCTCCTATCGCTAGTCTACCGCCTTCTCGGAGATACCCCACCAGCTCTTGCAGTTTCGCCTGGTATACCGGGCCCTCTTCAGCTGAGGCGGCGGCAGAAGTTGCGCCAAACCACGCCGATCCTGCCGTTGCCTACGTTCTTGCGCGGATAGCTGGTACCAGCGCTTCTACTACACAGGTCAGCAGGATATTGATCATAGTTGGTAGATAGCGCTATCTACGCTTCCTGACTCTCACATTCTCTCAGTACTTTCACTTGCAGACATACTTGCTTCAGTTTTAATCTCGCTTCTGACTATCATCATATCATTCTATTATCCAACGCCAATACCATGTCGTCAACACCGTCGGTTGCTGTCATCATCCCCTCTCTTGCATCAATCACTACGGCAAAAGGAATCAACACTTCTTCATCCTAGTTCAACGGGAGATCAATCATATCTGATTAACGACCTCTACACACGTCTGTTATAACGGCGGTACCAACAAGTATGGATCGCCATATAACTTGCCTTAGCCACCAACCTCACTTTCGAAGCATCATTTATCACTCTATCATTAGATGCCGACATCATGTCTGCAGAGATTCCAGTTGCTGTCCTCGTCTGCATCTTTATTGTAGGAATTATGTCGTCTGAGCATCGGGTAGACACATCGTCTGCATTGTGCTTGCAGGAGTCACCGTGAGGGAGAGGCATCATTCCTTCTATTACTCCCATATCTCGGCGGGGAGATCAAACATACCTGGTTGACGGATAGCTCCGTATATTCTGCTTGTAGCAGCGCCATGGACAAGGATCGATCACGCGTCGCTAACGAGCCCTAAGCCACTGCTCATACATTCATGAGTGACTCCTTTCACGCAGATTTGGCAACTCATTCGCCAATTGACGGGAATGGCTACTAACGCCTCCGGCCGTCGACCCTGCGACGTGTCGATGGGGGCCGTTATCGCGACTGCAGAGTCAGGTTTCCTTGGTCTTCGAGATCGATCGACTTGGGGAGATGTGAATGGTCATAGATATTCTGATCACTGGTCTTGTATGGAAGTATTGACGACGACTCAAGCTTGAAGAGATATCTGATGGATGATGGGTCTGATTGAGCATCTGAGGAGAGGTTTATCATTCGCCTGGATAGAATGGAATGTCATCTGTTGGTTAGAGCGCGAATTGAAGAGTTCTGTATATATGCGATTGTACTTATAGCTCTTCGCGTTATAGCACTGCTGTCGCCTAATCTGAGCGGTTCTGCTTTTGATGAGTTTTGTCATATGTCTCGTCTGAGTGTGCCTTGATACGTGTTGTAGGTTCTATCTCACCTTGTAAGATTTCATTTTATGGAGTGAATAGATGACTACGGTTCTGCTGCCCATCAGACATGACTTTGAGGCTACGCCACTACTTGGGTGATTAAAATGAGCTGTGGGTACACAGACGAATTTCCTCTAGTTCACCATATTCTCTACGTGTAAAAGATGATACGTGTAATATAACCGGGAACGTTGCCGGGTCCTATCCTGAGTCGACCCCGAGTAAAAGGGGCTAGGGGCTGACAAGAGCCTCGCGTCACAGGTAAACAGCCGTCATCATGAATCGTCGACGTACCTGCTTAGTAATGTCGCAGACTTCGCCAGACATCATCCTATAGAGATATTTGGAACGCCTTCCCGTTTAGTCGATCTTCTTGTTCTAGGATCCGTGGGATACCGGAGCGGTTGACGTTCCTACGAGCCATTTAATTGCGTCCAAGGTACGGAGGGTCCATAAGCGTACATGTATAATGTAAGTATGTATGTGGTATGTATGTATGTATACTGCGGCTTTAATGTTTCAATACATACGTCCATCCTCCCCATGCTCTCCTGTCCGCGGTCCACCATCGCCACCCGCTTAATCACCAACCACATAACAACCTACCTACCTACCTACCTTACCAACTTACCACATACCGGAAATCCCCCTTTTCACCCAAAAAGAGTAGAACGGAAAGACCTGCCCTTTTCCCATTCAACGAAAGGAGAAACAAGAAAGAAAAAAAAGTTAATTGAAAAAAAGGCCGTACGCGCATTGGCCACATTAGCCAATTACGACAGCGAAGACTTGCAGATGTAACGTTGATAATCATCGGCGACAGGACACTGCGCAGCATTGCGCTTCGAGTAGCGAATCGAGAAGGGATGCCGTCTGATGTGCGCGTGGCGTTATGTGCTCTTTGCCGGAGATGCAAAGTTCAAGATATATGCGACCTGGATTCGTACATTATTTTTCCCCTTCCTCCCTGTTGCCTTTAAATGGGAAGAGATAGAGATTGATAGACACGTAGGCTGGTAGGTAGGATGGATAGATAGATAGATAGACAGATAAATAGGTAGATAGAGGGCAAAAAAGGTACCAAGGAACGAACTATTTCCTGAATGGGAACGTCGCCGGTCCGATTCATTTTCGGGCCCCGATCGGATGATCGAACCGGTGGTCCCGAACGGCCCCGCACCCCTTCCCATTCATCGCGCGAGTCTTTTTTCATGAAGGCTACGGAGTCTTGGCCGCCGAAGAGGGGGGGTTGGAATCTCTCTTTTTATGAGGCGTACGTATGTGTTTTATTTTTATTTAATTATTTTAATTAGTTAATTACTATTCCTTATTATTATTTCTTCCCTTTTTATTTCCTGTTGCTTTTCATCATTCGCCCCCTCAATATTCCTTTCCCCCTCCCTCGCCTATCCTTTTTTTCGCGTACTATGTAGGTATGTACCGTGCGTCCTCGACTAATCTTTCCCCATCTGCCCGTTCAATCTTAAGAAGAAAGAAAGTAAAAAATCGACAACAAATTTGCCCAAGTTTCATTCCGTTGTTCGCTGTCGTTACGATGTAAAAGCTAGGTAGGATATATGCACACATATGTATGTAGGGAAGGGGGTAATTGAGACCCTTATCTCAACATACCGGGAGATACACGGTTTGCGGTTTTTTATCACCGAGCTGGGCCGCCCGCGTTGGATGGGCATTGTTATTCTCCCGAAGCTCGCACAAGATAACGGCGGCGCCGCGAATCAGGAGGGGAGGGGGGCTACCCTGGGCAGGCGAAGCGAAGTGCGCCATGCACGAAATGCGGGGACGACGTGCGCCTTTCCCAATCCCAGAAATGTTGTGTTGTGTACACAGGTATATATGTATGCGTGTTGCGTCTTGTACCGATGGGTGTGCGATTCGATGCGATGCGATGCGTTGCGTGGTGTGGTGGTTGGTGGTGGTATTGGTAATGATTGTTTCCAGCGATTCCTTTGGTCGCCTACCCAACCAAGCAAGTATTCTGAAACCCCTACGTCCAATGACCGGTCGCCATCAGGTACATTGGCGCCGCGTTCCTGACGTACGAGGCACGAAAAAGCTGGCGAGAGCGTGCGTCGTTTTATGTAGGTATCTGCCTCCCACCGGCACCTATTGTCTCGCTACAGCGCCACGGACCAAACAATCTTCGACGCTGTCTGCTGCTGACGCCGGCGCTCTTGCTGCAGGCCCGAGCTCTGGTCACCGGGCATTGGTCTCGGTACCGCGCAGGAAAGCTTTGGCTGCGAGTGGGATTTTCAATGTCGTGCTTTTCTGGAACAACCAACCAGCCCGCCAGCCTGCAGAGCTGGGAGAAGGCTGCGCGCCGCACCCATACAAGCCCGAATACCGAGATGCATCGCAGAGGCGGGAAACCGTCGTAGGCTTCTGCAGTGATCGACTTTCCCCGCGAAAATCGAGGGCGCCGTGGGATTTTACAATCCAGATTCGGAATTTCCCATTGCCCAGGTACTTAACGACGTAGGTACGCGGCGCCGACCGTCCATGAGCTCACCGAGTTTGCGGGTTGCAGACGTGGGCGTGGGCGTGGGCATGGACCGTGTACTCGGTCTGAAACGCGCGTTTTATGGCGCGGATTGAGCTCTACCGGACTGCCGACAGCAGCCCTGCCTTACTTTAGACCTGAATTCGGCTGCTCGGGTGGGCATGCCAGGAGTGGCGCTGTAAAAGACTGATCATATCATTCATTGACTGCACTCTGCAGGCCCTCGTACGGGAGATGGGCAGCTGCAGGCAAACAAGCAGGTTAGCTGAGTTGCTATTGTTCCCAACGACGTATGGTCGCAGTTGAAGTAATCCGAGTTTGTCAGATTCGCGTCAGTATGTAACGGCAATGCTCGATCGAGCAGCTACAAGGGGGTGATGGTGACGTGAATGCAAGTCGCGGTGATCGCACGTTCTGACAATTCGGATATTGGACATTATGTCTGGTCCAGTTTCTTGGCAATTATTGATGGCTGGATTGAGTAGGTTAATGGAGAAAAAGGTAGCTATTGCCATAGCAATAAGAAGAAGAAAAAAAGGGTGAGGTGATAAGTGAGGTGGCTGATGTGTCCGTGGCAAGCTTGCATGTATAATTCAAGATTATTGTTCATTATCGACCATTAATCTTCACTTTCCCATAGTTCGATGATCCACTCTCGATGCGGATAGCACAGGCGAATAAGCCGTAACTTAGAGCAGGGGATGTACCCAAGACATGCAGGCGTGACGTTGAATGGTTATGTGCTTCACTTGCATGATCATAAGCATGGTTAAACATGGTTACTAATCCTTCAAGTAAGGCTTCGTTCGTTATTGTTATATGGCTGGAGCGTATAGCTCGGGTATCGTCAATCTTTTATATCATAAGGCCCGTTTCTAGAAGACGAGAAATGAGCAACAGCTCATCCACTCGAGTAGTAACAAAGTACGACAAAATTCGTGACGACATTGGGGATGAGTCCTCCAGACAATATCGTAAGATGCGAGATGCGAGATGTAGATGAGGCAAGGTGTAAGGCTTGGGTGGGGAAAACAAGAGCAGATCAAGTTAATCCCAGGCACGCCATATTCACCTATGCCGGGGTAATATCAGTTATGTTGAGGTACAATTTGATCCTCAATCATTGGTGATGTCCTTCATTTCCAATTGAACCACCATTGTGACAGAAAACTACCTCTACACTTATTTTAATATCTGCCTTCCGGGAAGATATGTCCTGTCATCACTTGGTGGCCAATGTCTTCATACGTAGATTCCACGACACCCATTCATATAGATGCCCCTAGATGACCGAAAGCGGCTAAGATACCGCGGGGTCCCAAAAGGGGCGGAACGGTAAATTGGCGGGTTCGTCATCGCTGAGAGTAACGATTCGCGTTGATAGAGGAAGTCGCCGCGTTTTTTTGAAACTCGAGCTAATTCCATTTCTGAGCCGCCGGTGCCATCCAAGGATTGTACGCGTGCGCCGAGAAGTTCTCGTTGCTAAGCGGCGATGATAAGTCGACCATTGAGCCTCGTAAAGCAGGGTCTACCATATTATCTTCTAAGCTGGGCTCAAGATAGTGCGTCCATTCTGGTGGCAGGCCAGCTCCTTCTGGGAAACTGTGTACTTCCTGATAATGGTCAAAGCCGGAAAAGTGTTGGCCTGTATTAAAGATTAGCCATTGAGGAGAATTGGGGAGAACGGAGAATAGATAAATAGAATGGCTACACAGAGTAATATAGGGTAGTGTCGCCCAGGCTGACCGGAGTGACACAACTTACCATTGTAGTCGAGTTCTTGGCCCGTGATTAGCTGGTGATAGGGCTGAGCAGCGGGGTGATTATGAATGCTGTAGTCGTGGCTTGTTGAATATTGGTGCTGCTGGAGACCATGATTCATGCCCATATCTGATATTGTAGCTGTAGAAGTTGAAGCAGCATCTTCGGAAGGCGGATCCGAGTCTGTTGCAGTCAACTGGTGACTGTCTTCCGACGCTGGAGCATCGGGAGACCTTGGAGAAAGAGTTTCATGTGTGATGCGTTGGTGGCGGGTCAAGAGATCTCGACGTGAATATGCCGACCCACAATGGCATACATATGGTTTCTCCTTTGTGTCTAAGAGTGGGAATTAGCACATGGTATTCTCGAACGACGACATCTGATATCTGAAGAATACGTTGGACTTGGACTTGGAATTGGGATTGGAATTGGAATTGGAATTGGGCACTGGAATTGGTGGTGGAGTAAGGTGGTGCAGATCGAGTCGGGATCGAGGAGATGTAAGATGGGATTAAGATGGATCAATCAAGCAAATCAAGCACATAAAAAGTTGGGGTTGGGGTAACGAACGGGTTCGGACGTGGCGTTCTAAATGCTCAGACCGCTTAAAGCTTCGTCCGCAGTGCGTACACAAACGCTGCTGTACTCCGGACGATCCATCACGACGTCGCCGGCGAGCTTGGGACTGATCCATTTGTTTCTCGGCCATCGAATAAGTGAGATGTAGGTATTAGGTTTAGAACAAAGGCTGGAAGGGTGTAAAAAGTTGGAGAAGGACAAGAGAACTTTCATCGTCGAAAATTGTGGGGGCGAAGTTCACAGGGACTAGGGCCTAGAGTGTGGTAGGGGAAGGGGGGAGGGGGGGTAAAAGGCGGGGAGAGGCCACGGGGCCAGGGAAGCCACCTGATTTTGGCCTTTGTAGGGTCTTTTCTCTCTCTTCTCCTAGTTCCTTCCTAGGTAATTTATGGGTTAGTCTGGAGTGGTAGGGTGATCTGCGTCTGGAGGTGGGGCAAAGTCCACAGTTGAACTTTGGGGAATAATAGCCGCGCACTCTCTTTACTCTTTTCACTCGTCTGGTCTCTGCGCTTTCCTTATTACAAGTATACTAGCCTACTTGACTTCCGAGGTTACTTCAATCTTGTGAATCGCTCCTGATTCTTCGATGCCTGTATGAATAAGCAGTAAGCGATTGGTTAATAAGACTAAGCAGTACGTAAAGTTAAATATTCTGAGCTTCACTTCGGCCTCTAAGCGTATAAGACCATTGGTTGTCAGATATAGCAGCTGTCCTGTCTTCAGCGACGACATAGTCAATCTGAGTTCAACTTGAATAATACCTATTCAATATATACCATCCATTGAATACCAACTGATAGAATGCCAATTGATAGTTGATCTACCAACATAAACATCGGCAATCGCTCATCCCTCGTTGTTGAGACCGTGAGCGAGGCTACCCACTAAAGTCCATCATCGATCCCATGATACATACCTACGGCATGTCTTCTAACAGCATTCCAAATACCCCGGACTGTACCTAGGTACGGATCGTACATACGGATATTACTGATCCCAATATCATCATTATGCATCCGAGAACCAGCTTACCAGATAAATGCCAAAGCTGTCCCGGGTACGAGCAAAGAAGAGCTAGTCCTACCTAGGAGCTACCTTCGAAGGAATTGACTCGGCAGTGTCCCAGATTATATGGTGGAGCGCGGAGCTCTGGCTTGTGTAAACGGCCCTTACTGGTTTAACTGGAAACAGTGGAAGGTGTTCAGGGATCGTGCAGCACGACAGGGGCCTTTTCGGAGTGGTGGTTTGTGGGGTAACCAACCCAATCTCACCAATTTTCACCAATCTCACCGGCAGTACCGTCGCAGGCCGTTTCTACCGACCCGTACTGATCCAAGGTACCCCCCTCGTGCTACTCTCAGCCGCCCCGAACACCAATCACCGCCCAAAACTGTCCACATCGTCTTTGTCAACGCACTTGCTTATTTCGACGATCCGAAGGTTTAGGCGAGCTCCATTAGCGAATCTTGCCGGCACGTTTCATTCCATCTTTTTCGTCCCTTTAAATTCTCAAGACACGCCCACTCGAAAATTCTCATGATACTCTCATGATTGGATACCTCGCACATTCCGTATCATTCAACAAATTCGCTTACTTTTCCGAAATCCATCCTGTCGTTGCATTCTAAACTTCGCTTGTCCGGACAATGAAATACGCCACCATCACCGAACAGCCCTAACCGGACGGGGGGCCTGGGCGTCACAAGGAATATCGTCTCATATTATATAAGCAGCCTGACCTGAAGATGTCTCAGAACATCAATCATTCAACAATTCAGAATCATGCATTTTATCACGCGCAATTCAGCACCGGTCCCCAGTGATCAGTGATCAGTCATTATTGCTATTTTCTCGTCATAGCGGTCTGATCGACAAATTGATGATTTCTATTTATCATGTCGACGTAATAACAGAAACTCTTCGAGGTAGCTAATGTCAAGGGTCAATAGATTTCAAAGCGTTATATTAGGAGTGAGAACGCGTAACCAGGGAAGTTTCTCATGGTATATAATACATTAGTCATAAGATTATAATCCCCTCGAGTTGTCATCATTAAATAATACTGTTTCTTTACGACATCATGCACTTGGGGTATCTCTTGGTCACCGCCAACTGCCGGAACTGCGGAGAATCGTCTCATACAAGAATTTTATCGAGTTTCCAGCAAAAAGACAAGAAGATCCATTCAACACATAACAGGTTGTATAGGGCGCTGAAAGTTAGAAACATTTATATCATAAAGGACAACGAAGTAAACAATGTGAATTTTCGAAGACAATGGTGGCAATAGTTAGAAGGGCTATGGGCTGACTAACCTGCTTCACAAAGAAATTTTCATCTTCCTCCGTCCATTTCCTCCTTGTCGTATTGTTGAAGAATGTGTAAGAGTCGTAATAGTCATAGGAAAGGGGTAATACGAGTAAACGATACAGTAACGTACCAACTTACAAGGTAAGGTATATTTTACTGTTTCTAGCATTTGACATACCTGGTTCAAGTTAATTCACCATATCCATGAGTTACGGGTCAACCAAAGGAAATTGATGTGAAAATATATTGTAGATGTTTCCTACCTAGGTGTAATCGCCCTGTTACTTACCTTACCTTACACATTACATTCATTGGCCGTATGTAATTAATTGGTTCGAATTCCACAAGCGTGAAATTCATAAAAGGAAAAGAAGTGGTTAGTTTTCCTTGCGTGTTAAACATCATACCATACGACGTACTAGCTAAGAACTTCCTATGGAACATAGACGTGCTTTTAAGCCTAACTTTTGGTCCTCATATACGCTCCTAGTGTGACCAAGAGAATATTAGAAGATTTCCTAGGTGATCACATAGTATATATTTCAATAATTATTAGAATTAACCCAATTTGATTGTATGATTCGGGAGCTACTTGAGAGGCCTAGATGGCTTGCTACGCTGACAATAGGTAGTTAATCTACGTATATTAATTTCAGAGAATATGTAGGTAGTTGCTATATTCTCTCTACAATCTAGATACTAGAACGCACATTACACGGAAACAAGGTCGACTATGATTGTAATCAGAATATTTTTATATTAATTACTGCAAGTTTCTTTAGGTTTCTTTCGTTGTGTTCCCCTGAGTCGAATACTCCGTGGCAACAACACTAACCAAGTCAGCAATTATGAAATTGTCAACAGCTCAATTCATTTCATTCACTAAAAAAGTAACCCGAAAGACACAAATACACGAAAGCTATGCTGAGAGATAACTCACGAGGTTATTGCGTTTCTAGTTTCCTCTTTGCGTCCGAGGTCATCTCAGCGGTCGGAAAACCTTCGTACTAGAGCAGAATGGCATGAAGCAGCGTGACCAATAATAAATCGAACACGATTCCGACCCTCAACTAAAACTCATTTATACTCCAGTACCTAACTGGCAATGACGACGATGTATGGTAATTGGCATAGATCCGATTCTAGTGCACTTAAAGCATACCTAATAGCTCAAAATATTTTTTCCAACAACAATTTCGAGTCTATGGCGCTACGAGCGCGGCTAGGTACATACTGAATTCACTGGAACATGGGGGTATAAGGGGATAGTAAACCCCATAAGTTAAAGCGATGATACTATACAGCTTGAGTAGGTAACCTTAAGATATCCCTCGACCTATGAATATTCGAAGCAAGAGAACTTGCTAATACGGACAATGAGTCGGTCGAATATGCATATATTTTCTGGGTACCCTGCGGTGATCACGCCACGCCATGGGGATGGGATCTGATTCGAATGCCAAGCCTGTACATCTCACAGTTGCCATCACACCCATAAGACATTCTAAGGTCACAGCATATTATTCATTCACATGATACAACTGCTGTCATATCAGAATTTTCGATTGGTGGGTAAAGGCAGAGCCTCCTCTGCCGCACCTTCTTCCTTTCTCTCTGCGGCGAGGAATCGTCTACAAATAATACCATACAGTACACATCGAACTGACCATGCAGTCAGTCCGTAAGTACTTCCCATTTCATCAGGTATGTTACAATACGCCGTACCAAAGACATAATAAAATTGGTTATTATCATCCATGGAACCCTGGCTTGTATACCACGTCAACCCATGCGGTCAAAGAGACAATTTGATTGATCTTACCTAAAGTAAAGAATGAAAAGGTTTCTAGAAAAAAGAGTTCTTGGCGGGCTTCGAAGTAGATCTTCCAGGCCGCTCTATCGTGGAGGGTCGTGGCTGAATGCAGCGATCACACACCGAAAACTTGCAGATGGCCAATGACCGCCAGCCATGCCCAAATAGCGTGCCCTACAGATATTCATGAGAAGCTTATTGGTGTTTGAAAGCCACTGGCCCAGACAATCTCATGTACAGTGCTGAATAAGTTGGTGACAGTTCAGCCACACGAGCTGTGCGACACGACCCTACGTGCCTAGAACACAGCGCTCAATCAAAATGCGAAACTGGGATTGAAACTCTAGCCTTATAGTACGTTTACTTACCAGCTATCGCTTGTAGTTTATTCAAGTCGTCGTCCTCGGCAGGTAGTCATTAGCATGCCCTTCATTTCTCATTCGGACTCCGTATCTCAATCAGGTGATTCCCTTAACCTAACCCCCTTCTCCCTTCCTCTCCTCTAAGAACCTAGCATGAGATGGTTCAAAAAGATTATATGAACATCTCCAAATTCACTATGCTAAATTTTAATAAAAACTGTAGCTGCTTACCTCAGTGTAAGTCAATCCACGTCTCAATCTAGCACGTGTATACGGACCTAGATACATCACGAGCGTCCAAAGGCGAACAGTTAAAGTCTTAAGTCATTTCAATTTGATTTCTAATTTTCGTGATATGCTGAAAACATGGTGTCTAGAGGCAACCCGTACCAAACCCCCCGTATATATACACCTTCGTAAAAAATCAAGGCGACGCCGCAATGCAGTTCCGCCCCGGTCCAGGCCGCCGTGTAGATAACCTAACCTAGATAGCACGCTCGTAACCCCCGTTTCATATGACGCCCACTGATATGGGAACAATAAAGCACGGTAGTACCTAGCAACGCCAAGTTAAGCCCGGTAGGTATGTAAACAGAGCCAGTTAAAAAAAAAAAAAACCCATGGGATCTCTATGCCTTGCCTCGCTTTCGCCCCAGGAATGCCGCCTGCCCCCTTCACGCCTCCTTTTTCTAATAATAATAATAATGATAAAAAAGCGCTGCGCATGGGAAAAACCTCCGCCGTCGAGACCAACTGGTATCAAATGAGGAGAAACCGATCTTATAAGTGTTCCGCCCGAAATCCGCTAGACGCCGAACGGACTCATGAAAAATTCATGCAGGTAATGCTCTGTGTATGTATCATATCGTATCGTATCGTATCGTATCGTATCGTACGCGCCCCCCATCACCAACTTAACCACCACTCTATATGCGTGTGTATGTGTATGTGCGTTAGGTATATGCAAAAGCGAGAGAGCACCTCGAGCGTCTAATCAGAGCGAGCGCGCTCTCAACGGTTTCTGCGCGTAGACGGACTGGAAGGGGAGGTAGATGTGGGCCTCCGAGTTAAGTATCGCCTTCCGCACGTCGATGAGGTAGACCTCGACCTGCTCGGGCGTCCAGTTGAGGCCGTGCGTGAAAGGCCGGATGGTGAAGCCGTGCAGGCCGTCGTATATCATGTTCCTGTTGTACAGGCCGACCTTCTTCTGGTGCGGGTCCGTCGGCCACGTCCCCAGCGGCGCCTTGAGCTTGATCTCCTTGACGTTCATGAAGCCCGCCTCCCGCAGCCACCGCGCGTAGTTCTCCACCGACTCGATGCAGTCGATGTCGAGCTTGCACAGCGCCTCCGCGAGCGTCTTGGCGAAGTCGGCCAAGGCGTCGTCCTCGCGCATCGTGCCGTCGTCGCACCCGGCGACGCATTTTAAATCTTGGATCTCGAGCCATCCGCCCGGTTTTAGAGCCCTGCAAATTTGTTTAACTTAAGGTACTTCTTCGGGTCATGAAACAGAAACTTTTGGGCCGTAAGAATAGCTTGTGTCTGATAGTATGGAATGGGAAATGCTTACTTGAACGCCTCGGAGATTATCCGGGGCCAGTCCCGTATCGACGGCGCCATCTGGCGTGCGTGGATGTAGTCTAGCGAATTTGGCGACTGAACCCACTCTTCCTCTACGTTGTCGACGAGGAATTGCACGTTCTGGGGCACCCATAGAGGTTGTATCGGGCTGAGATCTACACCTAGTATTTCTGCAGCAGGATACTGATCACCCACTAATGAGACGGGAAAAAATGAACTTGTTAGCGCTGAGTCAAGTGTGAGTCGGGTGTGTCACCCGGATAGAGAGCCTTGCTTACTGTCTATGGCCCAGATGCCCGTCCCCGTGCCAAGGTCGAGAATTGACCGAGGGTCGTCGAGAGGCGCAAAGTGCAGCTTGCCGTCGCACAGGAGCATGACCATGGCATGCTGCATATCCTCACGCTCCTGCTCGGCATCGTCGTTAGGAAAGTGGTAGCGCCCCTCGCTGTACTTGTGATAGCGGCGCGAGTTCTCGAAGACGTAGTCGCGGACGTCTTCGGACATGGATATGGAATCGGCAGAAAGCATGCCTGAGAAGGCATCGTAGCCGTCCTCGTCAGCTGATACCGACATAAGAGAGTCGATGTCGTTCGAGGGATCATCCTCGACGGTCCTCGCAGGCTCTGGCTTACCTGAAGGGCCTTCGCGCGATCTTGATGGTTCCGTCATTGACCCGAATACCTTGGGACGAGGGTTTCAGTATGGTAGCGACGAAGGGACATTAAACGGCTTCTTCTTTTTTCCCTCTTTTTTTCTGGTTTTCTATATTCTGGTGCTGGAGGGGGGACTGGAGGAAGGGATCTCTGGTGTGGTGTGTGTGTGGTGATCAGTGATCACGATGGGTTCCAGCGCAACGGAGAAAAGCCCCGCTAAGGGTGGCCGCCAATATCGAAACGGCGGTCTATTGGCTATAAGTAGGGAGATCCCCGCTTGGCTGCAGATGGAGGCGTCGAGACCGTCATTGAGAGTCGAGTGGTCCTTACCAGAAGCGAGTTGATGGTACAGTCGGGGCCCCAAGAATAGGAACGTACCGACCCAGCAATTTGGAACTCACCGCAGACGGCGGCAGGGCCAGTTCCCTTCAGTCGGTGAAGGCGTGGCACCGAGCTCGGCTTCGTCTCGGTAGTGGAGACTTGAACCTTGGAACTTCCATACATATATTGTGTCAAATAAGAGCTGAGATGGGGTCGAGATAATTAATTAAGAAACATTGAATGCATGATAAGAACAAACACTAGCTCATCCAAATATTATTGCGATGTTATCAGAGAGAGGAGTCGTGGAAGTGGTGGACCGAACAATTTTTGTGAATATTCGAGGTTCCGACTTAAGGAGTTCCTACATAATACATGAGAGTACGTACCTCATGTACTATAGATAGGGTTAGTTGGACTATAACATGGACGCACTGACCACGTCACAAGTGAGAAGCAGGACAGCACGCAGCGCTGGGTATCCACCTAAAGAAAAGAATATTTTTGCCTAGAGATTCAAAAAACATGATGAGGAAATACACATGTACGTGATACCTGGTTCGATTATTCTAGATGATGTGATATGATGGCGGTTATACTCGGTGATTATATCAGGCTACAAGTACCGACCGAGACGGAACATGGGTAGGGGTCTATGCTGTGTAACGATGGCTTAACCAAGCTGGCGGGACATCGGCCTCGTTGGAATACGTAGCACATCCCAGCAGTTTGGTTCCCGACTCCTAGAGCCATTTTCCCGTCAGATTATACTTTTCACTAGTACATTACGTAAGACCTGACATTAAAGCCTTATTTTCCTTGCTATGAATTATACACGGACCTTCATTTTATTTTTTTTCCCTCTTTCTGCACTTTACCAACATAAATCAAGGAATAAAAAAATTCAATCGGAACTCGTTCCGTAGTAACGTTACAATGCTCGGGGCGCATGAGGGCTATTATGATATAAAATGCCTAGGTAAATATAGGCTAGACTGTTTCGACCTTCCCCTAAATTGTTCTTTTCCCCTTTTTTCCCCCCCTTTCCCTCTTTTTTTGGTTTCCAACTTACCTCGGAAGCCGGCATAATCGGAGAATTGCTCATAATAAACGACGACTGCTTCGGAATCGCAACGTTTTGACGGAATGGGTCTGTTTACGGCTTACTCGTACCAAGCCTACCAATACCAAGGTAGGCATGTAATTCGGGACCTCGCCATACTGTTGGTTTTTCGATACCCAAGCTGTCGGGTCCTGCTGTGAAAAGAGCCCAAGCGGCGGCGAAACTCCTTGGAATCCACGAGCCAATGACGATCGCGAGCGACCGCAGGACGCGGGACGGCGGACGATGATTGGTTGGGCGCGAAACTTGGCTGCTTATTTGCAGATTGGGAAGTTTCCGCCCCAACGCCGCAATTATGTGAGAAAGCTGGACGAGAGTAAACCCGTAAGATCAACAACGATGGTTGTGAATCCTTCTGTTTGCGGCCCTTCGCAACATTGACCTCGCTGTCTATCAAATGAAAGATTGCCATATATAGCATATAAACTCAGACAATCGGCCGGAAACTGTGCTGTCAATGCATGCTGCAGATTAGGATGATCGTCCCTTTAATAGTTAAGACCGATTTTTGCTTCTTCCGCCCCAAAAACCCTTGTCGAGCCACGCGTCGAATCTTCGAGCGACACGGGTCTTACCACGTGTAACTTCGGACGACATGTCCTTCCCCGCGGAGGCTCTACGTTGCGAGGCCATCGAGGGCAACCCGGACTTTTACGGGTTGGGCATCCGAATCGGCGTGTACCTGCAATGGGTGACGGCCTGGGTCAGCCTGGTCGTGGACCCCCTATCGGCACAGTCCGTGTACGACGTCAACTCCGTCTTCGTCTTCGCCATCCTAGTCGCCACCATGATCGCGACCTTCGCTGACAACCCCACCATAGAGCCTGTCGAGACGTACATCATGCTGCAGTTTTCCCTGGGCTTCTTCGTGACCACGTTGAGCACGTTCGGGCTGAGGCTGCAATTCCTTCGTCCACGCTCTGGAGCTCAGTTGATTCAATATCTTGGTGAACTAGGGAGGGCGGTGAAGCAATTTCTCCAGAAACTATCGTCGCTCCTTGCCATGTTGACATTATCGACGCTCCTTGCCACGTTGAGATTATTGTCGCTCGTTGCCATGTTGAAATTATCGTCGCTCGTTGCCATGTTAGAATCATCGTCGCTCGTTGCCATGTCGAGACTAGCTCCCGGAGACATAATGGGCTTACCCTTGAGCCGTTTCTTACCACTCAAGCCTTACCATCTATCGTGGTCGGGGGTCTTCTGGCGGACGACGACGGTATGCATGCTCGCGGCTGTCAATATCTGGCTCTGGTTTGCTGTGCAGCCCAACTACCGATTGGCTGGCCAGACTTGTGATCCTCCATTCGTGTTCTTCTTTTCGAAACAACAACTCAGCGGCGCGATTGTTGGCTTCTTCAAAGCAGTCTCGATTCTCGCCGCGATTATTGTCGTCCCGCCATTCATGGCTATGTTTGGGTTGGTAGGACAGATCTTCATCCATACGCTCATGGCTTTGTATAGGGACGTGTTGCATTTCATATCACCTAAAGCACCTGAGCTCCTGAAGCAACGACTTAATTTCGACAGACCGACGTTCGATGTGCTAGATTTGCCAAGGAGGTACATCGATGTGCTAGATTTGCCAAGGGGGTACATCGATATTTTAGATTTCCTATCCAAACCAGGCAGTGAAACTTACCGGTTCTCTCATATTCTTAAAGTGATAGTATATTTAGGGAGCGCAAAGGCTACAGAGAAGCCTGTAGTTAATACACGAGAAGAGAATGGGGACATGATACCTCAGCATAGAGCAGAGTAAGTAATATCTGAGATATCTTCTATTATTAGTTTTACTAACGAGGAATTTGTTTCGTAGATTTCTAGCCCGCCTACTCTGCTTGTCCTTGAATATCTTCGTCGTCCTCAGTATCATCTGGTTCATCCTTAGCGTCGAGTTTACTCTGGCATGGAATGACATTAGAGGGGTTAATTCAATCAATAGTGCAGGGCAACTTATCCCATTCGTCATTGGTGCCGTTAGCACGCTGCAAGTTATGAAGAAAATCATCCTACTGGGCCTCGCCAAGGTTAGTCTTAAAATACATACTTCTTTTATTCGGACTCTTGTTATGGATTCTGACACGGCCTAGAAATACAAAGACTGGGTAGACATTTCAGAAGACGTCTTCCTTGACTTATTAGACAATCAGGGAATAATCAAAATTCGCCCTGCTAGGGATACGCGCGAAACCGAACACGATGGGGCTCGTCCGCCTCAAAACCTAACATTGAGTCCCGAGGACACCAGAAATAATACAGATAGCATTCAATCTTAATGATCAACCAAGAGCTAGAGTTCTAAGAATAGAATCAATGAGGAACGAGAATATGAGGATTCGTGTTAAAAATCGGTATTTCAGGTACGTAACTATGTGCCTTTTTCGATATAAATCCAGTCCTAATAGTTTCTAATCACAATATAACATTATAGGGCGATTACCACTGCATAGACGGTAGAGGGGAGTAGACAATATATATGACCTCAAGCCAGTACCCCGACGTAAAATACGATCCGATACATAGCATAGCCTTCTGTCGCCCAGTTAACCTCAATTTATACCAGTATCGATACGTAGCGCACATTTCATTACAGGCATATTTTCAGCAGTCAATGTTTGTTGTGCTTAGCGGAGCACGCGACCTGTCTCGACGACGGACCATGGCACCACACTGCAAACCCCTTTTAACGTCGCATTATTCCACGCTCTTCGCGACAACTCCCACAAAATACTTCGACAATTAATATGCTGAGACAGACCACACCCGTCAGGTCGCACGATCCGAACCTCCCCCCTCACTATATTGCCACCATGTTAATTAAATAGGGCTATGCATACTAGGATAGTGGATCTACCAGTGTCATGGATTAGGCATAACAGATTGATACTAAGTCGCTTCCGAATTGTGACCTTCCTTCACAGCCGTCATATCGTTATCCATTGGTGCCTCATCTTCCAGCATGTGTTTAGGCACACAGTCCTCGTAACTAACTGGGGACTCAGAGGGTTCGAATCGATCAATCCCTTCAGAGACCCTTTGAGGTGGCAGGAGTAACTGCCGAGGGGATATAGGGGATACACTTGGCGGGATTCGGGTCCTATGATCATCACCTTGCAAAGAATTCCTAGAAGCTCTATGCTGCATCATATGAACTTCTTCGGCGAGTCGTACACTCAGTGCTGGTCTCATGTTGTCGCTGCTAAGCCGCGCTAATTGCCCTTCTGCCGGTACTGGCTTACGTCTCATGGTGCCGATCTGTTGTTCGAGTGCTTGCAACTCCTCATAGCCACCTCGCATTGGTAGAATTTCGAGCTCGGGGTATTCCAAGTGTCCATCGGGCTTCTGACGACGACGATGTGTCTCGGAAGAATTTCGCGGGACAACTTTCCCCAAGCCTTCTTTGACGACTTTGCCCAATTGCGCCGATAAGCTTCGAGATCCAGGAATTACATGCCTCTTTGATGGTTCACCGGGTCTGTCCGTAGACCAAATTACATCACTGCTATTAGACCCCACCTGGACTGCGAAATCCCTTTGGATCACATTGTCGTCTTTCCCTGCGGGCCCTGTCCTCTCGTGACGCGTATGCGACGGCCATTTTGCCCACGATGCGGGGGGTGTCCGAAGTCGTTTAGGGCTACGATTCTGTAGCTCTTCCTTTGGTTCTGATCGGGGCTCGATATCTTGACCGTTCATTAGGTTCACCCATTCTCTAAGCACACTGTTCGATATGTCCGACTGTGGGCTATTGTCATCGTGACGACAAGGCGGTTTCAACTGCTCCGTTCTAGTCTTGGGGCTGGGTACGCTAGAGATACAATGGGGTTCCCCTTGATCTGCCTTGGTGGTCTCCAGAGATTTCTGGCCTTGTGAAGGATTTTCCTGCTGCTGGCTACCAGAGGCATCTTCATCGCGCACGAAAGTTTCTTGCCGCAGACCAATGGCACAGACCATATCCTCAGGTTTCTGACCGATGTTGGATGATAGCGCTGACAGCTTGTCAACAGTACTTACCTTTAACTCTTGCTGGTGAAGATCATTGCTGTACTTGACATCATACATACTATATCTCCAGATATCCTTTGTCGGATGCTTTGCTCTTTTTGGCCTTGACAAATGGAATTTAGCAAGTATGGAGTTCTTGCTAAGAATTGAGGTTCTGGGCTCGTTAAACTCCTCTCGAAACTTGCTGATAATCGGGCTCGCAGCATTATCTCGACGAAGATGAACTTGAGTAAATCGCTGTTCAATGGACTTCAGTTCTGCTTCTCGTTGCTTGAAGCTTGCGGTATCAGAGACTGCCAATGAACTCGTATCTGCCGTTGGACCTCCTAGTTGTTGAGTTTCAGGCATGGTTATGTCCAATGCTGATGCCGCATTTGGGGCTGTCTTGTACGAGCTAACGTCAGACTTCTCAGCATCTGTCGATCCACTAGGATATATAAGACCTAAAATTCATCATCAGATTCGATAGCTCGTTCAATTATTCCAGCGCGACTTACGGTTGAAGCTTGCGAATGGCGCTACAGCTTTTCGTCCTCCCAAGAGCTCAATTAAACTCAGACGTGACTCTTTTTCCGTAGCCTGGCAACTATTAGGCCTAGTAGTATATCGCGAGGATGCATAATGGGAAGAAGAGACATCCCGAGCATGATCCACCAAATTGGGGATGTCATCCTCAGCATAACTGTCACACCCCTGACTAGGTCGCCGCAGCTTACTGGACCAAGAGGGCAGCAATTCGAGCTCGCTCATTGTGGTATCTACGTTTGAGCCGCATGGCAGTGTCGGTACCTCTTGGGGAATAGCAGACAAGTTATCGGACGCGTTCTGTACGTCTTTCGTTGATTTCTGGGGCGAGCCGGTGCCATCTGGGTTTGAAACATCGAGGATCATATGGGAGATCATACCACTCGTTCTTCTACTTGACAGAGCGGAAGTCGACTGCAACTCTTGGCTACGTAACCACATGTCTAACGGAGAGTCTTGGCCAGAACCTTCATGGTTAGAGCATTCGATTTGTGGGCTCTCGGGTTGTTCCACGTCGCTTTCACCATGTTGCTCCAAACGGCTTGGTGTCTGTTCATTCTGCTGTGCATCTTCCATCGGCTCTGAATTTTGCACACGTTCTTGATCAACCGATGGGCTTCTCGCATTATTGTCCTCTTGCTCATCGTCATCTTTATCGACATCTTCCTTCTCATCAGTAGAATTAGCAGGGTCGGGCCTTTCGTCAGGCCTTGGGTCTTCAGGGGGGCCGAGGTAGCTCGCGATCTGCTCAGCGCTGTAGGAAAGTCGCCAAGAGCAGAGCGATTCTGAGCCTCGAGCACTTGGTAGGTGGACAGGGGCCAGCTGAGGCGAAGAAGGGAACTGCGGCAAAGAACCTTGTCCCTTGAGGTTTACGTGACTCTCAGGAATAGAACTATCATGAGATCGACTAGGCGATCCTGGATAACTACTTCGTCGAAGAGAAACCTGTGGCTGAGAGTTGCTTTCTGGGAGCGCAAGGAGCACGGCGTCCGTGGAGTCGGGCGCTGAGTGTTTGGAACCGATGTCGTTCACATCCGAGACAGAAAATTCTATATTATCTCGAGGTCCACCACCAAGTAATCCAACACTAGCGGAACTCCCAGGCTTCGATTCGTCGGGACCGGTCGCCTTAGAGCCGGCTTCTTCTTGTTCTTCTTCACTCTTCAGTTCTTCTTGGATCCTCTTGTGCATCAGACGTTTCAACTCGGCACGCCGCGCGATTTCCTCTTCGCTCGCGCCGAGATACTGTTGCGAGTGCCTCTTGGATTCTGATTTTTGGGATAGTGGTCTAATAAACCTGGTTTTGATAGCTTCTAGTGTGCCGGTGCTGGAGTTTCTGATGCTTCGCACAGGCTCATCATCGTCGGAATCATCGACTTCAAGGATAGTAGGATCAACTGTGGCCTCGGGTATTGAATTATGTAGCAGAGATGGAGCATTCGTTGCTGCGATGTGTGATGATGAAAGCTCAAGCTCAGGTATGGGAAACGGTGACTTAGATAACTTTGCACGAGGTGGATGCACTGGAAGTTCGAGTACCTCTTGAATCTCCCGGTCTGGGCTTGGCCCTCGGTAGGCCGTCGTAGTTCGTCGGCCACGACAACAACAGAGAAAAGACATTCTAGGACTTGAAAGCTGTGGAATTGAAAACGAAAAGAGATTGGAATTGAAATGAAAATTCGATTAATACTTGTCGTGGATTTCCAAGAAAGTCTCTGAGGCTCTAGAGCTAGCAGTTTGGCTGGAGTTGAATAAAGGGGTTGACAGAGGAACCCTTTGATACATTTACTGTCAGACCATCTAACATCTGAACTTTAGATGACAGCGATCTTGTTTAGTAGAAAAAGTGCAGGGGAAACATTCAAGGTCCAGTTCCATGTTATTGCTGATAAAATAATGAAATCTAGGAGAAGTTACTACCTCGTAGTTGCCTCCAACACCTCCCTAACAGTACCCAAGCGTGGTTACTACTTCTCAGAAGATACACTTGGCTGCTTCCAGTTTTACTCAGGGTCATTGCATTCAGGTTGGGCATGACATCTGGATATATACCTAGGTACCTACCTATGTGCCTAACACTAGGTATGTGCCTCCCCTACGTATGTACGCGTTCCAGTTACTACCTACATATATACAACCTCTATCAGGAATTAAACATTCAATGTTACCGATTCATACCTAAGGACTACCTTCATGTATTCAGATATAATACTAGTATCTCTTCTCGTTTTACTATTTGGTCAATTCAAGCAGACATTACAGTACCTATTCTACGAGTGAATTATACAACCCCCTAATATTTATCAACTCAATAACTCCGAACATTAACCAAACTCATCCCAACGACAACGCCATTATACTAAGATAGATGCTTCAATTTTGCAACTAGAGGACTTAATTACCGAGCTAATCATTATTAATATACTCAAATAAGCACTCTCTCCAAAGGAAATATATCATTTCAATGTCTCCTATTTTTAGAGAGGTTTCGTTAGGTTACCTAGAAAAACACGATTCAGTGACTAATGATTATTAGTCCACCATAGTGGCTTTCAAATTTGCAGCCAAAAGAATCTTTTTCGAAGAATACTCTACTAGTGGCTCATAGTATTAGGGCGCGGGCCACAATCACAACTTAGCTCCAACAAACATCGTTTGTAAGGCATGAAATAAATAATCTGATTCCCAGATGATCAGACATCAATGCAGAGTGACTCTCCCATGTTGCAAGCCCGCGTAGCTCAATCGGTAGAGCGTGAGACTCTTAATCTCAAGGCTGCGGGTTCGACCCCCGCCGTGGGCTCAATCCCCACGGCTCCCAGTTAAATCTGGGATCCGACCTTTTTCTCCTTTTTTTATCTGCCCTTACCATTGCTCCTTATTTGCTTTTCCCATTCATATGGTTAGGTGTATGGTTCTATTCGATCGCGGAACAAGTTATTATATCTTGTCTGGCTTGTTGTCCTCCGCTGCATCTTGGTTAGTTGCTGGTTGTACAGCACTGGCCTAGATTTAATTCCAGAGAAGAGGAACTCGAGGGCATCTAACCTTGAAGTTGTCTCCGACTCTATTCCTGTGGCCGCCGTTGACCTTTGGTACTACCTAACGTGGAACGTACTAGACGACCTATCAGCAGAAAGGTGAGTGGCGACGGCCCATGGCTGTATGGTGGCGTTTCGACTTAAGCGGACTTGGTCTTCTTCCAGGTATCGCACATTTTCCCCCTATCCTACACTTATCTTCCTCTTGCTCTGTTCTGACTAGCCATATCATCCCATTGGCGGGTCAAGCTTGTCGCTGTCAACTGAGACTTCCCTAGGACTATCGATGATACATGTTACATGCTCCACAAAGCCGCTGTAGCTGCAAAGACGTCCACAAGTACGACTGTGCCTGCCGACACCACAAGGCTGTAAATGAGCGATCACGCATAGCCGAGTGTCTCGCCATTCAGAAGCGTCAAAGGTATTTGAATTACGGGGTATATCGACATTGTAAAGAGCTAGATGTAATCGCTGACGAGTGAGATTACCCAACCCGCGTCCTTGAATGGCCACAGCGCCATAATCTATTCATGATACCAGTCCAGGCCGTGAATTTAAATATGTGTCGTTTAAGCTTTTATGATTTTGAAGTAATTCGAATCTGGCGAGGTCTTGGTCTGCTTTGATCTCAACGTTACCCAATGCCATTCCGCGATAACATGAGATATCACCTCGCGTGACACTGACTTTTCGAACCAATGAAGCCATCAACAGAATTTTTATATCGAAATGGTCGTTCAAAACGTGGTATACTAAACCAATAGCATATGGATAACGAACGGGAAATCGGCGAAACAAACTGATGGATGTTGGGGTTTATTGCGCCAAAACCCACTTATGTAGCTAGCCATCTAGACCCCGGCCCATTACTAGGTACGAATTGATGCGGCTGTCGTCTAGGGGACCGCCTTAGTAATTAGTCCGGAAGTAGTCTGCAAACTAATAGTTAAGGGTGCTACTCTAACGCGAAGGGATGTAACGGAACGATAAGAGGCTCGCATAGATTTGCATCCAGGAGTACGGCTCGGTCACGGTAGAATTGATTGAGGTTACATGCAGGCAAGGGGCGACGAACTACGCAGAAATATACATGCTGTGTATATCTTACATAATGTTCGGAGCGAAGTGAAGTGTTCCGGAGAAACAAAGATGGAAAAGCTGTATGACTCGGCGAATCACTTTTCGCGGATACCATCGACCGATTTGCTATCGGAAGCCGAATTAGGTTTCTCACGTCGATACTCGAACCTTGGAAGTGGCTGGAGGGACCAATAGACGGCTCTGAATTTCACGTGTTCTAGAAGAACTCCGTACGCTAGAAAATGGTAAAATAGTTGTTGCTGTAGTTCGGTGGTACCTGAATATCCAATAGTGGCCATAACGAAACTTGGGCAGTACTTATGGTATTAACAACCTTATCTATCGTTAATTCTCTGAAGTCAGATTCGCACAGTAAAAAGCAAGGACCACCAGCAGCATCGACCAAACAACTAAGAGGAAGGGAAGGAGTATTTGGCTCCCCGCTTTCGGACCCTGAATGCACGCAGCGGCCAATGGATCGATCAGTAGGATCATCTTGTCAGGTTCTGTTGGTTCCCGTTGGCTTAGCTCAAGCACGAACAATCTGAAAAAAATTGTTAACCCCTCATAGTCAGTTTACTCAGTTCCAAAGGTTCCACTTGAGCTCCCATAAGAACCCCTCCCTCACCGCTTACTTTTTACTTATACTTCAACCATTCCCCTTTCCCTCCTCTCTTCATCTCTTCCTTCCTCATACCAATTTCTTACTATTCTTCCTCTTGACCGTTGTTGCTACGCATCAATTGGTCTAACTCTTCTAGTTAGAAGAGAGTTGGAAGTGACAGTCTGAATCTCTTGTAAGTTTAACTTAAACCCAACATTTACCCCACCATCCTCGATCAAGTCTAATTCCCCCACCGAAAAAAATTCTTGTCAACTAACAAGTTCATCGAAGAAAACCCATTTTCTCCTTATCCCAGATACCTCGAATCACCGTCAAGATGGTTCAATCTGCTGTTCTGGGTTTCCCCCGTATGGGTGTGAACCGTGACCTGAAGAAGGCCACTGAAGCTTGTAAGTTTCCTCCCGGCTGTTCCGGAAACGATCCGGTCAATCTGTACCAGAATAGTCAGATTTGGCTAACTTTACAACAAAGACTGGGCTGGCAACCTCTCCCAGGCCGACCTCCTTGCTGAGGCTAAGCGTCTCCGTCTTGCCCACTGGAAGATCCAGAAGGATGCCGGTGTCGACATCATCCCCAGCAATGACTTCGCCCTCTACGACCAGGTCCTCTCTCACATCCAGGACTTCGGTGTAAGTGAATAAATAACTTTGCGTCTTATACCTTTTTCAATATGCTAATATCTAATCTAATAGGCCGTCCCTGAGCGATACTCCAGTGCTAACCTCGACCGCGTCGATGAATACTTCGCCATGGGTCGTGGTCACCAGAAGGGCGGTGTAGATGTGCCCAGTTTGGAGATGGTGAAATGGTTTGACTCCAACTACCACTACGTCAAGCCTACCCTCCAGGACAACCAGACCTTCAAGCTCACTGCTAGCCCCAAGGCTGTCGTTGAGTACCAGGAGGCCAAGGAAGCCGGCATTAACACCCGACCTGTTCTGCTAGGTCCGGTCTCTTTCCTTCACCTTGGTAAGGCCGACCGTGGCCAGAGCGTCGTTCCCATCGACCTCCTTGACAAGCTTCTACCCGTCTACGAGGAGCTCCTCATCAAGTTGAAGGAAGCTGGTGCCGAGACCGTCCAGATCGACGAGCCCATCCTCGTCTTTGACCTTCCCGCCAAGACCAAGGCTGCATTCAAGCCTGCCTACGAGAAGTTCGCTAGCTTGGCTGGCAAGATCCCGAGCCTGGTCTTCACCACCTACTTCGGTGACATTGTTCACAACCTTGACCTCCTCCCTAAGGACATCTATGCCGTCCATATCGACCTTGTCCGCAACCCTGAGCAGCTAGAGACCGTCTTGGGTGCTCTCGGACCCAAGACTACCCTCTCAGTTGGTGTTGTCGATGGCCGAAACATCTGGAAGACCAACTTCAAGCGCGCCATTGAGGTCGCTGAGACCGCTATTCAGAAGCTTGGCAAGGATCGTGTCATCGTCGCCACCTCCAGCTCTCTCCTCCACACTCCCCACACCCTTGCCAGCGAGAAGAAGCTGGACCCTGAAATTGCTGACTGGTTCTCGTTCGCCTCCGAGAAGGCTGTCGAGATTGCCATCATTGCTAAGGCCGTCACCGAAGGCCCTGCCTCCGTTCGCGAGGCTCTTGAGGCTAACGCCAAGTCTCAGAACGCCCGTGCTACCTCTAAGCGAACCAACAACCCCCAGGTCAAGGAGAGGCAATCCAAGATTACCCCCTCGGACTACAACCGCAAGTCTGAATTCCCCTCCAGAATCTCCCAGCAACAGAAGAAACTCAACCTCCCTCTCTTCCCCACCACCACCATCGGCTCCTTCCCCCAGACCAAGGAGATTCGTGTACAACGAAACAAGTTCACCAAGGCAGAGATTACTGAGGCTCAGTATGACAAGTTCATTGAGCAGGAGATTGACATGAACGTCAAGATCCAGGATGAGCTCGAACTCGATGTCTACGTCCACGGTGAGCCCGAGCGAAACGACATGGTTCAGTACTTCGGCGAGCGTCTAGACGGTTATGCCTTCACCACGCACGCTTGGGTTCAGAGCTACGGCTCCCGTTGCGTGCGACCTCCTATCATTGTTGGCGATATCTCTCGCCCAGCCCCCATGACCGTCAAGGAGTCCAAGTACGCCGTCTCCGTCTCCAAGAAGCCCATGAAGGGTATGTTGACAGGTCCGGTTACTTGCCTTCGATGGTCTTTCCCTCGTGATGACGTCCACCAGTCCGTCCAGGCCGAACAGCTTGCTTTGGCTCTCCGTGACGAGGTCGTTGACCTTGAGAAGGCTGGCATTGACGTCATCCAGGTTGACGAGCCTGCCCTCCGTGAGGGTCTTCCCCTCCGCGCTGGCAAGGAGCGTGAGGCTTACCTTGACTGGGCCGTCAAGGCTTTCAGGCTCTCAACCGTTGGCGTTGAAGACTCCACTCAGATCCACTCGCACTTCTGCTACTCTGAGTTCCAGGACTTCTTCCACGCCATCGCCGCTCTCGATGCTGACGTCCTGTCCATTGAGAACAGCAAGTCCGACTCCAAGCTTCTAGGCGTGTTCGTCGAGGAGGCGTACCCTCGCCACATTGGACCCGGTGTCTACGACATCCACTCGCCGCGTGTGCCCAGCGAGCAGGAGATCAAGGACCGCATTGAGGAGATGCTCCAGTACCTCAAGCGTGAGCAGCTCTGGATCAACCCTGACTGCGGTCTCAAGACCCGTCAGTGGAAGGAGACTAAGGCGGCGTTGGTCAACATGGTCAACGCAGCCAAGTACTTCCGCACTAAGTACGCCTAATAAACGGTTCTCTCTATTTAGCGAGACAAGTGTTTCAATTTTAGGAAAACTGATGATAATTGCATGAGGTTGTGGGGAGTTAGCTGCCAAATTTTCACGGGAACTGCATAATCGATTTCAACATCGGCGTTTTACTGGCAGGGTTCTCAAAGGGGATCTATACCATAAAAGTTCTACAGGAAAGACTGGCGGGAAACGGTAGCATTCAACATTAAGCATTTAACGGGTGGGAAAGAAATATACCAACAGTCCATCAACCGGACTTGGGGAGTAGGCGTTATTGGCACTTGATGCCCTTTTTGAAGGAGATCGCGGATTTGCGATCAAATGTAGATGTATGAGCAGTCTGTCCAATTCAACTGGGCGATGATTTAGGAAGAGAAATTGAATCTTCCACAAGTAACATCTCGTTTTTTTCGTGTGTCGATCGTAGGATTGTGAAATGAGATTCCGAATGAATACGGCTTCGGAGTAGGCTACCTCACCTATAGGCGATCTTATCCCGGAAGTCAATAGTGCTGTGTACCCAGGTACCTATGCCAACGACTTCATGAAGCACCTCGTAGGATGGCTAGACTAGCATCGATGAGAGCCTCACACGCAAAGCCACAATCGTTCAATTAATGCGTCATGCCGTATGATGCACGCCGTAGAGATCTATAGTTCTTGGCAACCTTTTACTTTTCAGGGACGCACCATGATAAAATAAAAAAAATTGTCTTGGACCTTAAGAGAATATATTATATCGACAAGGTTATTCGCAGCCCTGGAGTACCTTGCGAATTTACAGCGGTTGTCCCGCGGTGGGAACGGGCTTTATGACCAAATCTGGCGAATCAGAGTGCATATACCTGGTTAGTTGAAACAGGATTTCTCCCCCCTTTCTCAGTGCTCGGTGCCCCTTGGTAATAAGCTAGCTGGCTAGGTACCTCGTAGCTTCCACCAAGATGGTTCCTTTCTCTTGGTTTCCCCGAATTTCTTGTTTTTCGAAGCGACCATACCCTTGCTCCCGCTGTTATTGCTAGATTCAGCTTGCGGGCAGGCGCGATGAGTTTGCGAAATAGATACCTGGTAAGGGTTACCTGCATTGAAAGAATATTGGGCTGTGTACGCTGTAGGAGTTGACCAACGGCACCGAGTTGGGCTACTTGCACACTTACATTCATTTTACCTCAACAATCCGTACCGAGACCATGATTTCACAACATGACCTGTTCACGACCTTCTCTCTTCAGTAATTAATCATACATATTTGTGCGACGATGTCACCAAAGAAATAATAAACACGCAGAATGCAAAAAATAAGCATACAGAACACAAAAACGTGGCAAGGATCGTGGAACATTCTACAACCTTGAAGCCTACGCCGTACATGTAGTATGTACCTTGCCGCTGTGGAAGATTACATATTGCAAGGAGAGTCGCGGCGCGCCATGGCCCATAAGCTGTGTTTGAGATTTTCGATCACTGCGCGCTTGGCTTAAAAGTTAAACGACCGAGCATAGGGGTCATAGGGGTAGAGGAGGAACTATCCCTTGATTCACTGTCACCCCGATATTAAATGCGATCTCATGAGCCGCCCTTCATGCGACGGAGGCGTCGGAGGCGTGGAATGCTTTGCGAGCGCGTCATACTCATGTCCCATCCCTGCATAGCTTCCTCACCATCATCCCGAGACTCTGGTCTTTCATGAGTTTCGAGGGGTATGTTGGGTCTTCACCATCTAGGAGGAATCAAGATGCGACGCGGAAAATCTACCCACGCAGCCACGAGGAGAAGGATACATGCTTCTTTAATTCGTGCGCCGTTCCACCGATCATCCGCAGCATTCATTCGCGGTGATGAGTGGGTACGAGAATTGCGATAATTGAGAATGCTTGATGGATCTGTGTACCGTGTACTGCATCGCGGGACCGAATTCTAGAATCCAAAAGTCACGGCTCCTTACATCGCAGTACGTAACCTTGGTATATTCTACCGGAGCAATCTGGGAATTACCTATGGACCGCTGATTGTATTACCTATGCATTTCCAAATGAGATGCCGGATCCTTTAGGGACTGCAGCGGGCTTCGGTTGAATACAGCTGACAGATGTAGAATTCTTCAAGGCAAGGGAAAAAAGGCGTTTGCTACCACATCTATTTTATATTGGTAGATGCAAGCCATCCACGATGGTGGCTTGTGTGTTTTTCCAGCGCTCTCAGAGCACAAGCACGGCGCTTGCATCGCAGATCATCAACTTAATCGAAGAAAACCGCCGATCATCTCATGTCTGTGAACGCTTCGTCATCTCCATCAACCATGTGTCGATTACATACGTAGCCTTACCTTATTTTTACCATCAGACGAAAAAGAAGTAAAAAAAGACCTGGAGAATTCATGCGCCTAACTGCTGAGGAAATATGCGTCGTGTCAGCACACGTTCTTCGTCGCACGAGATGTGCGCGCTTTAGGTATCGCTGGCCCCGAAGACTCAGCTCTCCCTCGATTCCCGAATTCCCATTGGCCTCTTTGGCGGTTTCACGACGTTGTACCTGCATCTTGACCGACAGGGGTCTTCTGTAATGGTGCGTGGGGCTCAGGGGCATCGTCGGTCATGCTAACAGCTCGCTTCGTGTTCTTTTTGTCCTTCTCTTTTTACCCATCCCCGGCCCTGGTTGACTTTTACCAGATACACCCCGGTAAGATCAATCCAGTCATCTTACGGCCTATCATCGTCAGTGGGTCGCATCCAGTCCTCCCCAATAGGTTGCTGTCATCAACAACATGACCGACTAGGGTAAGCGTTTGAACAATGAAGAGTCTCTCTTACAGGGCTCCCAGCTTTCTTTCACCCCAACTAGGTAGTCCTAGGTTAGATTGATTCGCCCTGTCGCCAAGAAGTCCAAGGTATGGAGCCCGGTTCCTGTAAAAAGGCTCACCATCCTCCCGTCAGCTCTATATGTCTCTCTTTTCTCCCTTCCCTTCTTCACCATTCAGCGTGTATCTCTCTTTCGAGTCTATCTCAACAGTCTCTCTTTTTCTCTTCGACGTTGTCGGTCACCACAGTCCATTTCTGCTTAGCCAGCAGCTTTACATACCATTCTTTCCCACGGCAACTGTGTCTGCTTAGCATTCGCGAAATCGACTTTCGCTCATTGAAATCCCGCATTGCATATTGCATACGTCCACTCTTTCGACAGCAACGAAGTACATACTCTCACGAGATTAGATTACTTTGAATTAGAGCCACTATATCGCATCGAGGTACTCAGGCAAGCAAAGAAGAAATCTTCGAGGAATCTCAAAAATCCTTTGTCCAAAGAATAAACCAGATATTTAAATTACAACCCCGTATTTAAAATGAAGTCCGCAACTGTCGCATTCGGCCTCTTCGCCGGCATCGCCTCGGCTTCCTACAACCACCACCCCCGTCACTTCCACAACCCTCACTGGCGACGAAATGACACCGCGGCCTCAACCACCCTAACCGTTGCCGTCACCTCTGTCCACACTATCACCTCATGCGCTCCTACCATCACCAACTGCCCGGCCAACTCGGGCAACAGTACCGGCCCCGCCATCGTTACTGAGGTTATCGACCTGACGACCACTGTTTGCCCTGTCACTGCCGCTGGCTCCGTCTCCAGCTCCGTCGTTGGTGCCCACAGCAGCGGCCTCATCACCGGTACTACCCGCACCGTTGTTGCCACTCCCACCTCCACCGGTAGCTCTTCGCCCGAGGGTACTACTCCCGCCGCGGGTGCCGGTGTCTCTTACTCTACTTCCGTCGGCACCGTCGACCAGACTGTGACCATGACCCTGGGCCCCGAGAGCTCTCGATCTGTTTTGGTCACCACCATTAAGTCTACCCAGACTCAGCTCGTCACAGTCACCGCCGTCCCCACTCCCGGATCTGGCTCTGGCTCTAACTCCGGCAGCGACTCCGGTGCCGGCTCTAGCAGCGAAGAGGGTACTACCACTACCACTATGACTTCCACCGGCACCCGCACCGTGACTGTTGCTTCCGCGGGTACCTCATCCGGTGTCAACGCCGAGGCCACCGGCAGCAACACTGGCTCTAACACTGGCTCCAACTCCGGATCCGGCTCTGGATCTGACTCTAGCTCTGGCGAGTGTGTTGCCAGCACTGTCACTGTTACTGAGACCCAGACTGTGGCCGCTTCCACCGTCTACGTCACTGCTCCCGCTGCCGAGGCCACCGGTGCCAAGGCCGTCGCCTCTGACGCCACCACCTCTGCTGCCGCTACTGCTACTGGCAGTGGCGAGGAAGACGACTGCCCACCTGAGGAGAGCAGCGCCAGCGGTGTCGTCACCGCCACCGCGACTGCTACTCTCGTTCCCTACCCCGCTAGCAACGGCACCGCGTCCGCTTACCCTAGCGGCGCCGCCATCCCTACCGTCGTCCTACGCCACTAAATCGATCGCCTTTCGCAGAGACAGTAAACTGCAAATAGGGAGGAGGGAAAAGTTGGCGGACGTTTTGTAAAAACTACGGATTTAACCCGGATCGCATAAAAAACCCGAAACCTGTAGTATAGCAATGAACGAGGGACGACTGCAACGACGATCATCATCACCATTTTCTTGGTATTTGGTTTTTGGAGAAAAAAGGGACGAAGGGCGGAGCTAAAGCTAAGAAGCAAGCATCAAACAAAGTTTTTTAGGATCAATCTTGGGGAGAGGCGAAGGAATTTATTCTTTTTGGACATATGTTTGCGACCTTCCGGAAGCTTTTTGGAGAGAAAGTTTTGGACATGTGTGCAAAAGGGGGAGACTCCGAAGCGAGGCGGGGTTGATTCTTTGAAAAAATATACCCCCCTTTTCCTTGGTCTGGTTGCCGGGGGAGGGGACGAGAGGGCGGATTCGTTTGGCTGCCTGTCTGTCTATCTGGTTAGCTAGCTAGGTAGTAGGTAGGTATGCTGGATGTTGAGGCCTTCGTTCGATTCTGAATGTACGTGTTCGGTAGAAGTGCGTGTGTGTATTTAGATGGCTGTTTCAAATGGAGATTTTGGTGCTTACATTGTGGTTTACTTGGTTGAGATATGAACCATGTTCGTGCGTGATGTGTGGTATGACTTGGAACTCTTGAAAATGTACCTAGTACCTATCCATAGGTGCCTATCTAAGTAAAGATGTCCGAGAGATGGGCTTGTTGAGCTTCTGGGATGGGAGAAACAGTAAGTTGGACATGTCCATGGGCGGTCAGGTGAATTCCCAAGATTGTCTTGAGTTGCTTTTCTACGATAAGCAGTGGCAGTTATTCATGGGCGAAGAGATCTATCTGAGATGTCTGGATAAGTTTCCGACTGTCTCACTACGAAGCAAGATGTCTAATCAAGTTTCTTTCACAGGCTTGTGTATAAAAGGAGGTTCTTCCTGGCAACTACATTCTCATACTACGCACGTACTATCATCAATATGCCTAGTATGACTTCTGTCACTTGGATTTTATTTAATTTTGACGTTTGAACAAATTCATTCTACATATATAGAAATACTGCAGAGGAATCATAACCATTTTCCCTTTCCTACTCCGTTACCAATCATACAAGACTTCTTGTTATACCTACCAAAAAAACAAACAAACATAAACTCTAAACAATAAACCCTAAACCGGATGATAAAAATGATTTACACCTACCGTGGACTGCCCACCGTGCCTCTCAAATGCTAACCCGGCATAGAGGACAGGGGCAAAGAAAAGAGAAGAAGAAGAAACCGAAGGTTATCCATCGGAGAAACCGTCAAGTCATCACGGGAGCAGAGCCAGACCTACTTCTTTTTCGTGAAATGTTTCAAGAAACCAAGCCGAGAACTCTTGGGCTCAGGAGGTGGAGCTGGCCGGCTCTCACGCTCCTTCTGGCGACGGCGACGCCGGCAGACCGAGGCCGAGTCTACGTGGACCTGGACGACCATCGAGCCCACATCATCCTCTTTCATCAACTTCGACCCTGGACGATATTGGGCATCTAGGATGCTCAGATGGGCCGCGAGGCTGCTCTGGTCCTGGGTAGACTGGCTTGAAGAGGAAGCGATAGTAGCGGAGCTCTCATGCGTAGTCGCTCGCCTTGGAGCCGCTGGCCTGGTAGGCTGATGCTGTGACGCCGAGCGCCTTGGTTGTGCGGGGGCATGCGAGGCTTCATGTGACTGCACCACCGGACGATTTTCTTGGCTTCCATGGGTCCTTCCCGAAGAAGACGAAGTACCCGCGTGAGTGACCCTCCGCCTTGGATCCGGCCTGGCGGATTGACGCCTTGGTGTGGATAGAGCCGGCTGTGCAAGAGGACGTGGAGCCTCCGATGCTGGCGGTCGGGCAAAATCCCCTATCCGACGGGGCCGCCCCGAAGACGAATATGACCCAGCGTAGGTGTCTGTACGCCTCGGGTTCTCCGGCCTAGAGGATCTCCGCTGGGACGGTACAAGCCTTGAAGGCGGATCGGCCGGGCCTTCGGGTGACGACGGCTCCGATCGCACACGTAGGTTCTCAAACCTTTCCCGTAACGAATCTTGCGGAGCACTTTGTCCTACATTTACTGAAGGTCTCTGACCTCGGTGCCCTTGCTCACCATGAGTGCTGGGGCGAGGGAGCTGCGGCTGTTGATGGCTAACCCCTTCTTGCACCCGCTGAGCTGCTGGCCCCTGAAAAGCCCTCCCCTGTCGCGTTTCTCGCCACTCTCGTGGTGGTTCCCGTGGGGGCGAAGGGCTATGGTGACGCGGATGCCGACGCTCGTGGTCGGCAATCCGTTGCCGCGGCCGCTCCGGCTCAGGAGCTCTATAGCTCTCTGTCGTCACTCGGCGACGGATGAGAGGGCGAACAGGTAAGGGCATCTCATCGTCCTCGGATTCCGAACTGGGTTCGGAACTCTCATCCTGGGATGAACCGGGAGAGTCTACAGTGCCAGGCGAGCTAGGGGAATTGTCAGAGCTCGACGAGTTGGCGACCTCTCTTACCAAAGCCGCGAAGACCTCCTTAGGCCCATACGGGTACTGGACCCGACAAGAAGGGGGCAAAGGTGTATCAGCATATTGATAAGTACCCTCTACAATATACTCATCGTCGCTAGTGGAGTAGGTCTCCCGGGCGCTATTAACTCGTTGCGGAGATAGATCCGCATACGGGAAATCAGGGTCGTAGTATGTTAGCACCCCGTTTCCAGCCCACTGGATGCTGTCTCGGAGTGCTGGAGGAAGCGTACTAGGGTCCATTGCAACAATTATCGTTCGACTTACTAAACGGTTTAATATTAAAACTGTTCTTGACGGCTAAAGAATTTTTGGTAATGCGATATTTGTAAATAGTCAAGAAGGTCGAGAGAGATCTTAATATATGATTCAGTGTGATGTAGCAAAAAAGCTTGAAGCTTGGTGAAGAGAAACCGAGAGTTAGACGCCTAGATATCCTATATTTATAACTTTACACCCGTAATGCTTCGCTAAGATGTCCATTGATGCAAGAATTGAAGCATGACATGCAACCCCTATCCTGCCGCAATGATTGCTGTTCCAACCTGACAAAGGTTTGCGGTCCGGCCCGTCCTCCCTTCCCGCGAGATAAAGGAATCGAAAGCTCTATGAAGCTCTGTAGCTAGTGATTGTTATCATAACAAAGGAAAACGAATAGCTTGATACTTACAACTAACTCTTTAATCCGTCAAGACGTCGCTCGAAAAGGGGTACTTCTCAACTCGACCCAGAAGCCACGCACAATACTGAAGCCCGGGTATTCATAATTCATTATATTCATGGCATGGCCGAATGGACATCCTGTTCTGAATCTGTGGTCATTTAATCCATATCAGTCTTGCCCTACTCAACCAAGTATGACACTCTCCAACTGCTCCCTATCCAACCTCTTCTGCAGCGCCGCCCTCAGCAACCCCTGACTCCTCTGGATCGCCGGCGTCACGCCCTCAACCTGCTGCAAATTGCCCCTCATACTCTCCATATGACTCGCGATCTGTCCCGCAAGACTAAGCAACTCCTCACCCTGCAAATCCGCGAAAACCTTCCCCTTCTCCTCTCCAGCGCCACCTCCCACCAACCCCAGCACCACTCCCACATTCTCCTTATCCCCCCCATCCGCGCCCTCCCTCGCCACCGGCTCCGGCACAAGAACATGCATCTTCCTCCCCCTCTCCCTCCTCTCCCTAGCCTCAGCCCTCGCATTCGCGCCCAAGCGGCGGAGCACCTTATACTCAACCTCCAACTCGCGCTGAGCCCTCTCCTTCTCGCGCCTTAGCAGCTCGACGCTGTGCAAAAGCGGGTCGAGCGCGGACTCGAGGGCCTGGACGCCGGAGATGGTGCGCTCGAAGTCGAACTCGTCCTCGCGGCGCGCGCTCGTCGTCGCGGGCGGGAAGGGCAAGCCGCGCCCGATCTTGGACCGCAGACGGTTCGCCACCGCGTTCAGCGCCGACTGCGCGTGCGCGTGCTTCTGCGCATTCGTGAGACGCAGGAGCACGGGCCGCGACGCGGCTTGTAGGAGTGATGTTACGCTGGTTACGGCGGGCGCTTCGAGGGATGTCCATTTCGATTCGATGACGTTGCGCGGGATGCGCCGCGTGCGCGTTGTGAGGTGCCGGTACTTGGGGGCAGAGGTCTCGGAGTCGGAGTTAGCTGATGAGGAGCGGTTTTGGGTGTCGGAGGATCGACGGTGTTGCCGGTTTCTTGGGGATGTTCTGGCAGGCCGTCCTTGCGCGGGTTGGGAGTCTTCTTGTCCAGAGTCGGGCTGCTCTCGTGGTGGCTGGTCACGACGTTTTCTACCATTTTCCTTCGTGGATGTTGAAGCGCCTTCGCCGGACGAAGGTGGGCGAGCGCGTTTCTTGGACTGTTTTTGAGATGCGGAGGCGGCTTCTGTGTCTTCTGTTGGCTGATTATTTAGCGAAGGACGACCTCGCTTCTTTTTCGGCTGAGGGACGGGCTCCTGCTCCGTTTCTTCTGCTGGGTGTTGAGTTGATGTTAACGAAGGCCGCCCTCTCTTCTTTGGTTTCTGGCCTTTTGGTGGTTGATCACTGGTCACCTCTTGCGCCCCTTTATTCGATGAGCCGGGGGATCGACGAACTCGACCACTACGTCGAAGAAGGCTAGAGTTTCCCTCGTTCTCATCGTCCGCCTCATCTGCTTCAGGTTCGTTTCCCTTGGATGCCTCGGATGCTTTAGGTCGACCGCGTTTCTTTGGAGCGGCGTTCTCAGCCGCAACATTTGATTGAGGAGGTTCTTCAACACTCTCATTCGAGACTCGAGGACGACCACGCTTCTTACGCTGTGGATTTGCTGTCTCTAGTCCCTCGTTTCCCGCAGCTTCTTCATTACCATCTTGTGGTGCCGTTGGTGATGGGCCGCGTTTTCTCTTAGCTTTCTCTGGACGTGAGGCTTCAGGTTCGGGTTGGGCTTGAGAAAGGGGCTCAGCGTTAGCTCGACGCCCGCGTTTTCGAGGCCGCGAAGATTCGTCCATTTCCCTGGTGTTTTCGGAAGTTGTAGCTAGCTGGCCCTGTCCCGTGAGAGATGGCTGGGTTCCCGACGCGTCCTCGTCATCGCGCGACGCGTTGGTCGGACGACCTCTCTTGCGCTTCTGGTTTGCAGCTTCAGGCGCCTATAGTTGTTAGCTAGAAACGATGTGATAGAGTGTGGAGCTAAACTGACCATCTTTTCAGAGTCAAATGCTCACTGCCGCATTAACACAGAAATATGTGTATCGTACCTAGCTTGTTATTCTACGTCACGGTACGTCCTTCATTAATGACCTCCGTCTATCTTATCGGAATTTACGTATTATCTTATCGCGTCAAGGCATCAGCATGTGGCTGAAGGATCTTGGAGATCATCACCTGTGCCACACAGGAAGCGGGGCAATCGGGATATATGTACAACGCCACAACACACAACAGCAAGGTTCTGACAAGGTTCAATGGTCAACAAAATAATGCACCATTACAGGTGGGGATAAGGAAGCTTGGCAAGAAAATGCAGGGAAGGGATGGATAGTCATCTCATCTCATCCCATTCTGGGGAAGTAGCTGATCGAATAGACCTAAACGCGTCCTTAGAAGCTCATCTCTTTTTTCTTCCCTTCAACTTTAGCTTATCTCCCTTCAATAGACCTCATTGATCTTCTGTACGTTTAAGACAGCTGTGCATCACGGCTTTGAGCTTCTGCATCATCAAAACTATACCATCTTCTTTTGGATTTTCAACTTATTTAATTCGTTGGGGACACATTACATCATCCTTCCAATTCGCTGTGGCTTAATCTTTAAAATATATATCCACAGGCTTGAGCTGTACTGCGAATTCCACATTTCACACACAAATTAATACCAATATGCGTTTCTCCAAAGCTTCAGCAATCGTCAGCCTGCCGCTGCTGGCAGTAGCAGACGTCCCTGAATATCAAGCCCAGTTCGAAAACTACATGGGCCAAGCACAGGTCTTTCTAGGAAATGTTGCTTCCAAGCTCCCCAATCCTAATAAGCATGATCCCGTCGCTGCCGCTGAAGCTAAGGCTGGGTCCTTGAATCTTGACATCTTGACCTTAAACAACTGGAAGCAGACCCTCTACGGGCCCGTAAAGCCCGAGAGCACGACTCCCGAAGAGTGGTGGGTCTTGATCACAGGTGGTAACAAAACTTGCTTTGGTAAGGCTGCACCGCGCAAATTTGATTCTAGGCTGATGAGTGATCCCTAACCTCCGCTAGGCCACTGTGGCAGGATCGAGAGTGCGTTCAACGAGACCGCCGGAAAATGGGCCGTTACACCCGGTTCTCCCCATACTGCCCTCCTCAATTGCGAAGATCAACCTGTTCTTTGTAACGCTTGGTCCGCCCCGGTCGGTGCGCTTTGGATCTTCGAAGTCCTTCCCGAGCCGGCGCCTGTCGATATCTGGACGAGGCGATTGAATATGACAACCGTCACTTCCGACGACATTGTCGCAATGCGAGACGGGGGCTTCAAGTCCGCGGCCAAATTGCATGATGGATTTTTCCATCCCTTCAATGGCCCTCTCGCCAAGAATGGCCTCGCAATTCCCGCTGGGTGGGTTATCTGGGCCTTTAACCTCCTTCCCAGCTGGGCATTCATGGTTCTCATTTCCATCTTCAGCAGGACAATGATGTAGGTTCACCTAACCAACATCTATGATACACAAGTGACTGACAAAACCAGGTCCAACCGCTTAAACCAGCAAATGGACGGTGGTCGACGACCTGCTCCCACCGGTCAAGCTGCCCCTCGACGATAGATGGAAGAACAATGGATAACGTTGACGTCTACGATATTGCTAGGTCATATGGGAATATGTATGACGAGTTATCGGATTCTTGGTGTTACTCGGAAAGCTTCCTTGATGTATTGGATAATTAGATGGCGGTCACATAGTTAGGTAGTGACCTAATGAATTGATTTGATGTCGTCGATTACGCTTTTCGTTCACATGTGTCTTGAAGTCGTTGCAGGCCATCAAGAACCTCATCCTTCAATTTGGGGTTGGCAAATCGGCCGTACCGAAGGTCGCTCATGTTACCGACGGCTTGTTTGATAGACTCAAGAAGTGCAGCTTCTTCCTGTTCTATGGCTTGTATCTCGCGTTCCATATCTGTGATGGCTTCGTCCATATCGGGTAGAATGGTCAAGAGAGTATGTTGCTTGGGATGAATCGTGTTCGAAGTAGATCCAAACAACTATAGGTTAAATTAGAAATCAGATTCTTATCAATAATAAATGATAGGTCATATACCATTCGCTCAATATCAATTTCGTCATCTTGTTCCTCTAGCTCCGCCTCTCTCCGAGCCTTGATCACCTCTCGGCGTAGAGCTTTGCCCTGCCTAATCTGTGCATCGATGTTCTGCGATACGCCATCGACTACCACATTCCGTTGCTGTTGAAGGTCTCTATACAGAGTTCGAATTTGTGGCGAAGATTGCTGCGACTTTGGAAATAGAGAGGTGAACTCTTGCAAGGAGAGAATAGTGGGCAAACGGGCTGGGAGAAGAAGATAGTTCCGAAGAATTGTGGCTTCGTTTGTTGCCATGATGTAAAACTGGAAGAATGAAGTGCGATAGGACCACAAACTGGAAACAACGGACAACGGGAAATGTTACCTACAAACTACCTAGGTACGTAATTATCCGAAGTAGTACGTATTCAACTATAACTCACGTAATTGCTTGGAAGAAATACGTGCCTTCCTTATGGTAGAATTTGTAGTAATAATTATTGATTGAAATGATTGCCACGCACCGGGGTGTGTAGTGGGGAAAATCACTTTATGGTAAGGAAAGCGCGTTGGAAAACGCGTCCGAGCTTTGGCGTTTGTGTGGACCGCGTGAAACATCAGTAGAGGATGACTACAACTCATTGAACTTTATATAAACTCATACAAAATTTCATCAACGGCGCATTTGACCACAACTGACTCACCATAATCTACTTAATTCTATCCACTTGACTCTTCTCGTTGAATAGCTTCGTACAATTTAAGGAACGGAACCCCAGAAATAGTATTAATGTGAGCCAATTTTACACCATCCCGTATCGTCTTGCAGAGTGACTAAGTGAATCAGTTCATTATGGCTCCCTCGAGACAGAACCAGGCGCCTCCTTACGCCAAGGATGAGAAGGTGCTCTGCTTTCACGGCGACTTGATGTATGAGGCAAAGATCATGGAGGTTTCCGTCAAGCCGGGTCAGAAGCCCGAAGATGCACAGTACCGAATCCATTACCGTGGTTGGAAGGCGAGCTGGGACGATTGGGTTTCTCAGGACCGCATCCGCAAGTTCACCGAAGACAACAAACAGCTTGCTAGCCAACTTCAGGCCCAAGCTCGCATACGAACTCAAGGTCCTAAAGGAGGCAAGAAGGGCGTCAAAGCTAACGGATCCGAGATGAGCTCTGCTCGAGGTAGTGAAGAGCGGGTCGCCGGCTCCTCCAGCTTTGGCGGCAGAGGTCCTCGACGAGGTAGAGACTATGAACTTGAGAACGTAAGTCGAATTATTTCCTTTTTAATTCCTTACTTAGCACATGTATGGGACTGCGGAGAATAAGCCTTAAATACTGCCAACCGGCCGTCAATCTCCCGGCTGGTGGACAACATACCGGAGACATAAGGAACATGTACCTCGACGACACCCCTGGATACATCACGATGAGACGATGAGAAACATCCCTCTAGTATATCCACCTCGGTCTTGGCCCTGGTATTTTCCTGTCGCAAAATATCACGACGGATAAAATTAAGCTGGTTGTTAAGAATTAAAATCAACCCTTACCTCCTGCACCATGGCCTTGATATATAGGGGCTGGGGAACGAAACACCAATACAGTTCGTACATTGTATGCACGTCTTCACGATAAGAAGACGATAGAAACTTAAAGTTCGGTTATGGAAACGAGCACGACAACCAACGTGAAGACAGGGGCATTGACCACCTGCGCTGTCACCTGGATGAGGCTACGGGTTGTCATCCGTCCACACTGTGGTTGTCGCCTAGGCAGGTGCTACTGGCTGTCAACCAGACTGCCCTCGTCACCTACCACCGTACGAGCGAACGCCCCGCTTTGCCTGGCAGAATATTGCACACATTCTATTTTACTTTACTCGAATCTCTGATTCTGAACATCTACTTTCTATCCAACACCTCAATAATTTGGGTTGTAAATCAAACCAAGTTCTATTCTTCCATACGAAAATAGACGAACGCATCCAAATAATTTGGGTTATAAACTCATCATCACACGTCTATTCTTTATTCTCGATTACAATTCATCATGGCGCCTATTCCGCCACGAAAGTCTTCGAGGCCGTCTGGTACAGCCAAGCCAGCGACGAATCTGCGCTCATCTACCCGCGCGCCTGTTAAAGGCAACATGCCTTTGGGCGTCACCAAACCCCGGCTCAAAATTCGGGTATTAATGGGAGAGTCTCTACAATACAAGACTCTTGTTAAGCGCTCGGAATTCGTACGCAAAGAGCAAAGATTTGCAGCCAACGCCAGTCTTCAGGACAACCTCCTGATGTTACCTGATAAAAGCCACATAAGGTGGTACTACACACCTCCAGAGGCTGAGAAGAAGTTCCCCGAGCATCCGAAGATCAAACAAGCTCTGAGAGAATCGACTATTACACCACAGAAACGCCTTTGGTATCAAGGCATGCCGTTCCATGTCAACATCCCTACGGCCGGAGTAGCCTCCAACAAGGCTTATAATCCCAAGTTCCAGGCCGATTTTGTCCTTGTAAATCTTAGATTTTCGTTCATCACTTTCTAAGATCCCAGTGCTAACTGTTTCTTTCAGGAGGATAATTTTCATTCGCGGCCCTCTATCAAGCTGGTGGTACCCGATGTACTCAAGGCCATGCTTGTCGACGATTGGGAGAATATTACCAAGAACAATCAATTAGTCCCGCTGCCTCACCCGCATCCTGTGTCAAAGATCCTAGCGGATTATGCGGAATACGAGACCCCTAAGCGGCCCGCGGGTTCCTCTCACGTCGACATCCTCGAAGAGACTCTTGCGGGATTGAAAGAGTACTTCGACAAGTCTCTCGGCCGCATCTTGCTTTACCGGTATGTTATTTATTGGCAACATTTGACTAATATACTGACTGTGGCTAGATTTGAGCGGGGCCAGTATGCAGAGGTGGTTAAGAAATGGAACTCCGACGACCCCGAGTACCAGGGCAAGACTGCTAGCGACACGTATGGTCCTGAGCATCTGATGCGGTTGATAGGCAAGTCGTTTTCCCCTATGATAACCATGAACTGTGGCTAACTACTTGCAGTCACCTTGCCTGAGCTGGTTGCGCAGACCAATATGGACCAGCAATCAGTTAACCGTCTTCGAGAAGAGCTCATTAAATTCTGCTCCTGGTTGTCTAAGAATACGACCGAATATTTTGTGAGCCACTACGAGTCACCAACTCAAGACTATGTCCAAAAGGCAAAGGAGTAGGAGTGTCTATCCGCGTAGGTCTGTCTCGCCCGCCCAAGGCCCTCTTAAGCCGAATCTTGCTAATATATTTTAAAGGAATCAGTTTACGAATCGGCGATGCTAAGATGGCCACGAATTCGCAGTCTTTCGAGGAATCACCAGACGCTCGTCTAATTTGCATGGTCGTATCAGGGTGACGGTAATCTCATGGAAGGATTATGCGCTTTTCCCCCAAGACTAGGCTTTTCAGTCTGCATAGCCTGGTTAGGAACGTCATATCATGGCTGTATTGGTGTTTGTTTTCGACTTGACAAGGCTTTTCATTTCACATGGCCTGGCAGAGGATGCCAATACCTACTGCATGATACCTGCTTTGCTGGCGCGTTACCTCTTTATCATTGGAGGTTTAATATGACGGTTCTCCTTCCTGCCCATTTGAGTTGTTGCTGATTGATGTGACGTGAGAACTGTGAACTCAGGGAATACCGAGAACTACTAATAAGACCATTCAGCTATTTAGGCCCGGTGCTCTAAATCGGCATAGCCATTGCCAGTGTAGACATCCCTTTGATACTTGTACTTTTCTTGGGATAACCTTTTCCGCTGAAATAACCACGTACGCTTTTCCCTACATCTTAAGTCGATTCATCCCGTGAAAATATTGTCCTCTACTTTACTGAGGGTCTTGGCTCAAAACTTGCGTTGTATGGCGATGTGGGCGACAGCATAGGTGCCTATTAAACTCTATACTGGGGTCAAACCACTAGGAGCCGGTGTGATACGGGAGGATACGGGTTTTTTTAGCTGATCAACGCATATTTATCATCTTTCTCCACTACGGTTCAAGTTACGACATAAATAGGATATATAATCCTTTGTTGGGATCCCCCTTTTTCTAGGATGACCCTTAATGTGATATTACGCGTACTCCCTCATTTGGCCCTACGAAGCCTGTAATTTTTCTTCAACCAGAGATTGGGTACTCGTATTCGCCCGTGATAGACACTAGAAATGATAGTGTACTTAACATATCTAGCAAGGTGTTAGAAATTAGGTAACTTTCTGTAGGTATACCCACTACTCCCCGTAAATCAGGGCAATGTGTCAGATAAATTTTGCGATTTTCGTATGCCAGTAGCATTGCCGTGGGGAATAATTATGGTATATTGATTTGTGTGTGGTGATGATTGATACCTAGTCATCCTGTGTTGACTGAAGATTTGTTAGCTCTTTGAAAAAAGGGGGAGGGGAATGGGTTAGCCATTAACGCTTTCTGCAACATAGCCCCAGTAATCGGAAACTGGACTATCACATTCTCGAACCCTGGGCGTCAAATTAAGACTAGAATCTAGGATTGCCAGTCAATTGGAAAGAAAACACAGAAATGGCGCGCCCTATTGGAGCTTTCCGATGCCCCTGGTTATTGACCAACTCAAAACACATGCAGTAATTACTTCACCACCAACTCGTATGTTTCTATTAGGACATATCACTATTTTTGAGTCGAGCTGATTGTTAATAATTCTCTTGATTCCCAATAACTCATCTGCGATGCTCTCCGTGCGGTAGTAGATTGACCACTCCGTCCTGTTACTCTCAAGGCTATGCCGACCACTGAACTACTATATTAGTTTACGAGGAAGTATTATTAACTTCCAGGTAATTGATATCCTGACGGAAACCACACGGCTCTAATAATCTCAGGTGTCTTTTCTAAGTCTTCCCTATGAGGATCACGTCCACCCTCCTTCCCCCCCCCCCCCGGCATCATCCACTCTCCCCATTCTCCCCACAAAGTCCTACTATCTTCTGGAAGCATTCCAGGCACAACGGGAATCACCAAAAGATGATTAGAGGGGACGCCTGAGTGCATGGATTGATTAGAATATTCGATATAAGACGAGTTATGTTGAAAAGTCGAATAGCGCGAAAGGAAATCCTGCTCGAGCCTGGGTCCGACCCGTGTCCCCAATCAGATTAATCACTCCTCATACCATGTGGTGCTCCATGCCTAGCTCCCAGCGTGAACACATAATTCCGATGTGCCATGAGTTAGCAACGACCCCTTGCGGTGTCGTGGACTTCTCCGGGTCATATGATGATGTTTCCCATGACCTAACTAGTGGCACGCTTTCTTCAGGCTCAGATTAGCATGAAACGCAGCATGTATTAGCAAATGTCAAGACATGCTGTGACATCAACTTAATCGACTGTAACCTGCCATCTCTGGCCAGAACACGGATGTATTCGATTTCTACAGGGTTGTAGCCTTGTAGAGATGGCCGGATTCATCGTGAGCTAGTTCAAGAACAGCCGAGGCTCCATCCTTGCAATGTCATCTCCTCTAAATGCCCCGATTATGGTGCTGTAGTTAGTCGTCCACTGGACGAAACGGCTGGACCTTGTTGAGCAGAATGAGGGCTCGGGCGGTTAAGGGGGTCGATGTATCCATCCCTGAGAATGGGGTGGTGAATACGTTTGAATACCAATCGTCGTCGTAAGTACTTGAATAGAATAGTCGGGAGACTACATGTAGACCTCCGAGTTAGGGCTACCTAGATCTTGAATAATGTTTGACCCCAGCCCAATTATTGCCTGACTGTTCTAGAACCCATGTTAGTATCAAGCAACATTCAGGGGTAAAAGCCAAATCTTACTGTTGGTGAATCAACTTTACCTGACTACAGGTACAGATTCCCGGACCTGGAAACGCGACACTCTCGACCCAACCATTAAGAGGTTGCTCTAGAACTCATGTTAACATTAAGTACCACATGTAGTAGCGAAGGTTGAGACTCACGGTTAATGATGTAGTCAAGCTCCCAGTGAGGAGAACAAGCTAAACCATTCTGCATTCGTCCTCGGAGCCGAATTCTGGAGGCTACCGGGCCGAAAGGCCGCACGGCGCCATGGGTTCTGCGACTTCTCGTCACGGCCCCCGCCGTATAAATCCATTCGCCCTTGCTGCGTTGAACCGCCAGTCGTATTCATGACACTTAGCAAGCGCCACCTGAATCACGCTCCAAAGAGATGTCATGAGAGTCCCCACGATCCCAGTCCCTCGTACATCGGAGGGAAGTGCGAACCAGCTAGCTGATGTCATTGTCCGTGTGAGAGGCGACCAGATGCCTGCGTTCTCCTGTAGGAGATGTTGACTGGTTGAATCAGTCAACGGGCTTCTGGAAGATGCCACCTCGAAGGGGCACAGGATACACCATTGACTTCCTAGGGAAATCCCGTGAATCAGCCCCTCTAGGACTCAACCTTACGCCGTTCATCACGCGGTTCATCTGTATTTCCACCAGCGTCATATGCCCCCCATGCTTGACCTCCTTGAGATGAAGGTGTTGCCTGGCGCCAGAAGAGGTCATCGTAAAGACTTCATGTATCTACGCACCGCGCTCGTGCATGAACTGGTGTTCATGGATGATGATGTTATTGGGGACTCCACGTTAGACTGGGCGCGGGATTGACGCATGATGCCAAGTCAAGACTAGCATAGAGGTGCTGTCGAATTGAGCCTAGGCCCCTAGTGCCTCTAGCTAGATGATAACTTTAGGAAAATTTGATGTAAGAGATACCATACGCAAACGTCCAGCGCGAGAGTATGCGTCAGATTAGAGTATGATTGGGTAGGCCTGGATAAACGGAGGATGTGATTGAAGAAAGGTGGTGCGCGGAACTTCTGAGGCCTGAGATGGAAGAGTTTGGTGATCCAGAGGAAGTGACTTGTGCGGATATGGGCAATCCTCCCTTGCTGTGTAAAAACTGATTGCGAAAGTGCAAGTTCAGCTTCTCTACATCAGTGTAGATGGACTCTGTGTCCCCACCATGATGCCCTACCCTTGTTACGCCTGTCAGCGCAAGTCCTTTCACCCTTGCCAATGCGAGAGCTTCATCCCTTCCACAGGTAGGTAGGTATCCATCGTAGTTGGAAACCCCGATCGCGTTTCCGTTAAGATTTGTTCGACTATGGGGTCGTGCAAGATGGTCGCACGCTGTATCATGGCTCTCCCACCAGCATGGAATGCTTGGTCACTCCTGGCCAGGGCGAGTACGACGTTGGTTACTTTAGGACGAATCTTGTTGCTGAAAATGGCGTATGTTGGTCCACTCCGGATGGCTCGCCAAAGGCGAAGGTGGTAGTATCGACAACTCGTCATCGCTACTATCATCACTGCTATCATTACTGTGAATATCACTCTCTTCGTCCGAGATCGCGGGAAGTCAAGCTTTCCAACTTTGAAAGGATCAACTACGGCCTCTATCGGCCCGGAAGTTGTAAATGAGAGGGTTCTTAACACCGCCAGTGATGCTCTCGTGGCAGAAGGGTATTTCCCTTACTCGGGAGAAAGAATCGAGTGAAAGAAATCTTAAATTTCTGGCGTTGGAAGCCAGAAGGCCCGGTGGCCTGGATGCTCCGGTATTCCTCCCTCCTGATCCATTTGACCTTGCACCCGGTTGATCCATTGGCTTCTTCCCGTGAGCGGAGTCCATATATCTGCGCTTAGCTGACTTTCGCGTCCCTATTTGCGTGGTTTGGCAATTTAAATGGCTTGCAATGTGCTAAGCCGTCGCGACGAGCGTACAACTTCATGATGGAGATAAACTCGGGGAAGCTAATGCGTCTCTCGCCTTACTTGTTCCCCAGTCGGTCCAGCGCTGAGATGCCAGGAGATTCTCTGACGCATGCACGGTACGTGGCAGACTCTGTGGCTAGAGGATACACAACCATGAATATCGCCACCAGTAAGGAGATGGTCGTGCCGTCGGGAAATACTGGTCTGATTTGCGTACCTCCTGTGTGTTCACCTTTAGACAAGGCTACACGGTAACAATTGATTCCTGTATCCAGATCGTTCTAGATGTTCAGGGTGTAGGTGCTGTTCTGACCTTGGCCATGATTAGTCCGGCTGAAGATGATTCCGGCGTTCTTATTTTCCTGCTCTCTCGTGTGAGAGGGGTGCTTCCATTCTCGTGAGCAGTCATCACCTGGGTCGAAATATACAGGTACCTAGTGGGTAGATGGGCGGCAGACAGACTATATACCAACCTTACGAGGGATGGTAGTCTGTTGGAGCAGCGAGGACTGTACTTGTGGTCGGTAGGAGTGCATTAAGGCGTTCTCGTAACGCGTTCTCGCAGTGTAGGGTGAACAGGGTCTGCCCATTTCAAGAATGGATAACCGGGAACTGGGGGAGTCCGCTATATCGCTAGCACAACCAGAACAACCTGCTGCGGGATTCTCTGGTGGCATAGTCGTTGATATTGTAGGGAGCTTAGCTCATCAGTTCTCGGGCATGCTGACTACATAAGAAGTTAGCTTCAGTTAGGTATAAAAGAGACTAGATGAAGGTGAGATTTAAGTGAATAGGAGAAACGAGTGAGAGTTTGAGAGTAGTGAAGAAGAATGTAGCTTCATTAGATAGATAGGGGCCACGACGGGGTTGCTAGGGATAGCTGATAGTACAGCGAGGCCGTATGAATGCAAAGAGGGTGTGAACTGTCTTTTATCATGAAGATGATACACGTAGAGTTATGGCTTGAGTTGGTAGACATGTGGATTGATGAAGTATGAAAGCGGGCAATAGGATCATGGGAGTGTAGCACTTACCTGGGTACGCAGGCTTGGAGTGTGTAAGCAGGTCTACAACTTGGTAGACGTCCAGTCATTCCATGAGACAAGATCTTCTTGTCGGGGTACAAGGACTGAAAGCCTAGCCATTGGCTTTGGCCGACGGACTTGTTGGTAGCGGTGGTAGTGGTGGATGAATTTGGCACAAGAATGATTGCCGCCCTGCTGAGAGGCCTGTTCAAGAGGCCTCCAACTACCGACTAGTATGATTCCTTAAAATCAACTCAACCATGTGCTGGAGCGCTTTAACCCCTATCTGAGACACATCTATTCACCACTCTCTTAGGAAGAGTAAGTTAGACAAACCCCGAGTCAATCTTCGGTGTGATGTGGTGGGACATACCTGGGTATACTCTATACTTGTATGAGCCGTGTCCAGGTTCATAAAGTACCCCCTTGGGCTTCTGAAGTAGTTGTCTTCCGGGAATTAGACGCGCATTATAGGACTACATCCCATGCTTCTCTACCAAAGGTTGGGATAATGATAGGTATGGGCTGGGAAGAGCCATCCGGGAACCACCGGTCTTTGGCACACCTGAAGCCTTTTAACGTCATTGCTCAGGACGTACCTGATGGAATTATTGTGAAATGAGGGTGAAAAGAATATAACTGGTACTTCAGCTAAGTAGAAGCATCTGCAGCTGAGTACGCTTGCGTGATGCTGGTTTGAAGGCTCTCATGGTGTAGGACGTATGCAGGAAGTTTTCGTGCATATAATATGTAGCAACATTGAGAAGAAACGGGTTTAGGAGCACGATTAGAATAGGGTTAGGTTATGTCCATGTTATGAAGAAGGAGATGCTTCTAGAACATGATGAGACTACATCTCTCAAGGGGGAATGTTAGTGTTCCTCTCTAGCTTTCAAAGTAGATGAGACTGTAGAAAGAAGAATGTGATCTGTTCCTGAGGAGAGAAAGCCTTATAGGCTGGTAAACTTGAAGGGATAAATAATGAGGAGGTTAGAGATGTAGAATGATGTATTATAGGAGCTTTGAATAGATTTAGGGGATCAAGCAAGAGGAAGAATGACTCGACTTAAGTGCCTTGAAGGTTGCCGTGTGTGCAAGAGGTTAGAAAAGGAAGAAAGATGGGGAGAAAATGATTGAAAAGTTGTATTGAGGGGGACAGTTGACTACTTATATAGATAGAGAAAGGAAATTTCAAGTAGGAACACTCCTAAGAACGTGAGGAGAGTGTCACGGTGAGGCAGTTTATCGCCTGCTTGAAAAGGGCGTTTAGATGAGAATAGGGGTAACATACGGCAGTTGCGGCGATGGATGACTACCAGAACCGTCAATGACAGAAGGAAGGATCGGCGTTTAGGGGGTAGGAGCGGCGCTCAATACCGTCATGACTTCGAAATAAAATTAGAGTTTCGGTCCGGAACTCTATTTTTCGGGAAGGAAACTCGTCATTTTCGCCGGTTTTGGCAGTTGCGCCCCTGAAAATACCCAAGTAATGTGGTCAATGTGATCACAGAGCCATGAATGTCGCTGCCTATGGTGTGAATTAATAGCCGTGGAAGATGCGGCGATGGAGAAATTAAGATTTCACAGCATGGTACAGAAGTTGGCAACCTTTGAAAGGGTTATGTAAGCTTCTGAAGATCGGATGAGGGAGTCACGATAAAGAATGTGAATTTCAGTCTGATGGAAGACTAGGTATCTGACCAATTATAGCAGTCCCATGCTTCACGAGATCCCTATTGAGCTCCCCCTGATGCGCTAACTGTTCGCCGTTCCTTCCTGAGAGGTTTATACGTATAATATCCACATGTATGATAGGACATCATAGAGCCTAATGGACAAACTGACGTCACATATCCATGGAAGACGGGTAAGCGGGTAGGTATGATAGGGGCTATGAAGCTGGATGGTACTAGTGTGAGGACCTGTTGGTGGAAGTATCCACAAGCTAGGTAGTTGAAAGGATAACTGGCGTCAATGACAGGAAGGGAGGTTGAATTATCCCTACTAGGTAGGTTCGTAGTCAAGAACGTGAAGAGATTTCTGGGTCGTAAAGCATATTGTATGGAGAGCCATCCATTGCTTGTCTCATTAGGGAAGCATTGCTGAGCAGTTTGTCAAAGGCCGTAGATATAGGTGGATTAAAGACTCATATCCAGATTCTACGTTCATCTACAAGATACTGCTACATAGCACAGGCAGATAATATGATGTTCTAGTAGCTAGTGGAATGCTCAATTAGGAAAAGTATCAATGTCAACATTGAATACACTAGGTACTATCTATACGGCGTAATCAGAATCATAGTGGGATGTATCTACATGGAGGCACTCATGAAAAAACCACAGTAAGTTATCAAGGAAACAAACAACTTGAATATGGGTTGAAAAGTTCTCTAGCTGGGTTTGCCAAAAGTTTATGTTGATTCCTATTATAAATCACACTGCAAGTAACAGTTGAGCTTCCTAAGAGACCGCGAATGTGCGGAATCATTCATTAGTAGCAGACACCTGCCTGTACCTGGATAGATACCAAAAGTATCGTTTATACTCTTATAACTTCCATAATCATGTGCCTTTTGAATTGAGGTGACAAGGAAGTATTGGAGACGCGAGTATTACCTTACCACCAACAATGCAACATTGTGCGGTATCGTAATTTAACATGTACCACCAGGATTCCATCAGTCGCACATGAAAAGGGGCTCAATAGTAACAGTACAGATAGATATGTGACGCTCTATGTTCCTCTTATTTCTACACAATTTGTCGAGATGCTGACGCGTACACGGTGAATTGAGAGAACTGCCCCTTTTGAAGCCTCTATTAGAAGGCGGTATCAATACCCTTGTACGTGCTACGAGGTCATTACATCTACTAACTAAATTCTAATTCAATCAAGGCTGATGGAGTGGATTGGATCGTATCATTTTATCGTACAACTAGGTACTAATTGAATACCAAAGGATATCTTGCGAGCATATTTACGCGCAGTAACTGGAGTAAGTAACCCCTGAATTGATATGCTGGCTAATTTTTAAACATGGATAACTATATCTAGCGACTCATCAAAACGTAAAGTAAATAAGAAAGAAAATCTAGCTAGTAGCATCATGTGTTCTATTGAATTGCGAGTATAGGTGTGTATCAGGTTTACCTACCTACCTCATCAAAGGTAGTCGTGAATAAAGCAACTCAGTACCCCATTTCCTTAGATTTAGCACTAGTAGTTTGCAATAATGACTAATCTACTAAGGCCGTCCGGCGAGGTAAAGGTAGCATTCAGTAAGCCAAGTCCCTACGAACCTTTAGGGAACTAGTATCGGAGGCATACCATAAACTCTTCGTAAACGATCTCGGAAGTGCTTGTTTGAATGTAGTACTTTGATTTATTCATGTTGATTTCAACCGGAGAGTACCCAGTATCTACGCCAAACAGCTTGTTGCTGGGCAGGCAAGAGATATGGACTCAGGCTGATATTTTACAATGTTGAATGTGCATCAACTGCACATTATATGAACTTGGAAGGGGCTTCATATGCCAGCCTGGATGCCAAGGAGCTCTCCTAGACAAGTCGATGGATGGCGGTATTAGACGGGTCTCCGATCGCAAATCTTGCAATCCCTAGGCCACGCCCAACCATGTGTCCATCTCACAACCTCTGCCATCACGATACCAGGCCCATCGTCTCGACAGCAAGCCAAAGCCCCTCCACCCCTCCACCCCACCTTCATCCCATCCATACCATCAACCACTCACCCTCTCACCTACCCTAGGCACCGCCCTCTCGATCCAGTACCCAGGCACGCTGCGCCGCTCATCCCGCATCTCCTTCGGCGTCAGCGCGCGGTCCACCTCCGTGACCTTGACCAGCTCCTTGACCTTCAGAATCATACCCGCCGACTGCGGCGAGACCGGGTGGAAGACCGTCTGGTCGCGCTTGCGCAGCCCGAGCGCCGCCAGCACGCCGTTCGTCCTTTTCGGCAGCCCGATGGCCGAGCGGTGGAGGGTTATGCGGAAGTATGACATTATTTTTCTTCTTCCCTTTTTGACTTTCGTGTGTATGAGTATGTGTGTTATGGTTCGATGGACGCGGGGTTGAAGAGTTTGGGGGTCGGTTTCGTAGGCGGGCGGGCGAGAAGATGACTGTCCGCTCGACGGCAATGCTAGATAGACTACCCGTCTGATATGGTAGGGTGAGTAGTGTCGTCCCGTTGACTTCTACATGTAACGTCTTACTTGACTAGGCGCAATTCGTTAGTCAAGGCACTGCCAACTTTGCGATCGTGACGAGTGCTAAACAGCTGGTCTCACAGCACTCGGGGAGAAACAATTGGAGGCATCATAGACGGCCTGCTAGGAAAATTACATACCACGTCCTATTAAAGGGCTACTCAAGCGTGTTAGGGGCCGCCTAAGTGTTGTAGATTTACTTGACTTCGTCTACGGATTCGACTTTCTACGGACCAAAGCTTGAACGGCGTTTAAGTGGGGCGGACTCTGAACCTTTTTGGCTTACCCATTCTTAGCTTACCTAACCAGCAAATAATTACATAAGCAGCTCGCTTGACAACCTTGATGGACAGCGGGGGATTACGTAACCTCACGAAACACTAGTTTCACGATTTGGGAAAACCATCACGAGTCTTCAGTTTTGGATATCATAGCACATAGAATAGTAGAAACGAGTTCATAGTGTTCAAAACGTGTCCCACCTCGGCTCTATTGGATTCGATGTTAAATCTTCTCATACAAACCAGTCAATACAACTGAATCCTCTAAAGGTCACCACCGCTCTGGCCTAACAAGTATATTTCACGTCTAACCCCTTTTCGGAGAAGAAACCGTGATTAAATGCCTCTAAAGTACGCCCTAGAATCCCACAACTATTTATTTACTCACAGAAACCTCCACTCTGCTCTCACCCACCGGTCCTGTCTTGGCAAGGGTGGGTAGCAGGTAAGTAATATCGTCCCAAGGATGTCTGTACAAGCTGGTGCGTAGTCTCTTCTGGTCAAGGTAGTGGGCAATCAAACCAATGCTGCGACCTAAGACGAAGAGACCGTTTAGGACACCCATCTTCATGTAGTCCTCAGCCTCATCAGGGCTGAATGCGCCGCAGCTCCTCATCAAGTCGACGAAGCAGACAGCAATGCAACCATCAACGTTCAGGATAAGGTTGTCCTTCTTGGAGGTGGTTACAGTCTCGACTGCCAATGCGTAGTCGAGAAGTTTGTGGCTAGGGAATCTGGCCAAGACGTATTCCTTGACAAGCTCCACACGTAAGTCCGGGTTGTTCCGGGACTTGATACGGTGACCGATACCGGGAATGAGCTTGTTTTGCTTGCGCATTGTGTCAACGAACTCACGAGGGCTGAGTCCGTTGTCGGCGGCCTTGGAAAATTCCTCGGCGGCGCCGTCAAGAGCACCACCGAATCGGGAACCAATGGTGAGGAGACCGGAAACTAAGGAGCTGATAAGATCCTTGCCGGCACGGGTAGTGATGATGGTGTTCATGGCACCAGAAACAGCAGGACCGTGGTCGGCAGTAAGCATGAGCACCATCTCTAAGAACTTAGAGGCGTAGTCAGGCAGACGGCGACGGAACCATAGGAGAGACATGACACCGCCAATACCAATGTCCTCTTTGAAAACATCGGAGATAGGCATACCAGCGTAGAGGAGTTCCTGGCCACGGTCGTCGGAAATAGTGGAGATGAAAGCGGCAGGCTTTCGAATAAGACCAAGCTCTTGGGCCCACGAGTAGTCGATGGGAATCTTAGGCACAACTGGCTCGGGCTGAGGAACAATGGTTTTCTCCGCGACAAGCTTCTTGTAGACGCCCTCAAGGACTTGAGGGAGATCCTCAAACGTGTCAGGGACATGGAAACCAGCCTCCTTCATAGACTTGTTCTTCATGGCAGCGGTCTCGAGCTGAGAGTTGGCAAAAGAACCAGCGTGACCGAACTGAACCTCGGTCTTGAACATGCTGGCGCAAGTACCGATAGCCCAAGCGACAATTGGCTTGGTGATGATGCCTTGTTTCACGGCATCAATGACCTTGTATTCTTCGACACCACCGACTTCACCTAATAGCAGAAGGATCTTGCATTCGGGGTCTTGCTGATACCTCAACATGTGGTCGATGAAAGTGGTTCCAGGATATCTGTCACCACCAATGGCAATACCCTCATAGACACCGTCGGTAGTCTGAGAGATGATGTTGTTCAACTCGTTCGACATACCACCGGACTTAGAGACGTAGCCGACCGAACCCTTGCGGTAGAGCTTGGAAGCGACAATGTTGTCCATCATACCACCAGTGTTACCAATCTTGAAGCTACCAGGCTTGATACCACCAACAGTAGCCGGGCCAATAATAGTAACGCCCTTTTGTCGTGCGACATGGGCAATCTCTCGTGCACGCTATTTGCATGTTAGTATGAAATATTCCCATCTACGTCATTCATGAGGCTCGCTTACTCGCTCAGGGACACCTTCCGCAATAATAGCGATGGTCTTGATTTGAGGGAATTGCATCAACTCCATGGTTGAGCTGTAGACACTTCGCGAAGAAGCAAAGTTGACTACTACGTCAACATCGGGGTGCTTGGCCACCGCCTTAGATGTCTCCTGGTAAACAGGTAGGAGAGTCTCGCTCGTTCCCCAGTACATCTTGCTAACGAACTGACCACCGAATGTGTAGATGATGCCAGCAACCGAGGGGGTAGGTCGTTTGCAGATGAAGTCGAAATCCAACATGCCCTGGACTGCTCGGTTCTGCAGACCGTAGACGAAGCATCGCGTCTTGTTGTTGAATAGCGCATGGGCGGGGAGAGGGCTCAGAGGTCGGCTAGGAGCAGCGAAGCGGGTGATGTTGTCGTTAGCAGACAAGCCGCCGCTGGTGGCGCCGTTGACACCGTTGGAAGACATCGTGATCGTGTGAGTTTCGTGGGCTTTCTCTAGAGATTTGGTAACCACAGTTAGCTTAGGAACAACGCTAGAACTTGATTTACAACACCACCCAAAGGACTTCTAGTTTCGCAAGCCAAGTCAAATAGAGTGGAAACAATTTGGGCGAATCGATAAACCGGCAGAAGGCTGTGTGTTGCCTTTCCTAGTAATCTTTAGAAAGGCAAAACCACCCCATCCCACCACCGTATTTGAAGGATCCGATGATTCACGGAGGCTCGTCAGCTCCGGAGCTGAATAAAACCAATGGAATCCGACTACCCCATGGTTGAACTGGTATTGTTGGATGGTATGCAAATCCAACTCCAGGAAAATGCTTGTAAAATGCTTGTAATGTGGGATGGGAGTTTTGCAAAAGCCCTACGTACCTCACTTAGGACAGGATTGACAATTCTGGCTGGTAAATTCAATCAACCGTCGTCTTGACTTCTGCTTGCACCTTGCACCGGGAAACTGCACAAGTATTAGACGAGATTCAAGCCACGAAGTTAATAACGAGAGGCTATCTCGAGAAAATACGGTATGTGGTATGGGGAATTGTAAGTGAAGTGGGAGGAATAAGAGGGGAATAGTCTAGTGAGCTTTGACGACGATGGGGATTATTTTTCTCGGACGGGAAGTGAGCCCAGCTCGATTGACGCAGGGCCGACCCACCTTATGCCACCACCAGCAAAAAAGGTTCGATTCAGCAGACGGTGGGTAGAGATAGCAAGGGTATTGGAAGGTACATGCCACTTAATGCCACCGCTGCTTAAAACAAAGCTTAGTAAATTTAAAGTATGTACGTACCTTTCGTGTTATTCTGTAGGTATGTATTTCCCAATTGTCCCTTTATTTCCTCTCAATTTCTCGTCTTTTCCGTTGTGGACAAGACGTAAGTAATTTGTGTGGTTGCTGTCGCGACGTATTGTGCCCACAAGAATGTCCGGCGGAAAAAAAAAGGTCTCGTCTCGATCGGATTAGTTGGGGTAAATTTTGTGATATGTTGAATTATACCCCCTTTTCTTTCGTCCAGCGTTGACGGCTGCAAGCTATTTTGTCGGTGTTCCCTTGTTAGTTTCAATTGGTACACTTGGTACAATTTTGGCTTCCGCTCGCCTGGACTGCCCTGTTGATCCTGCACAATCCTGCTTGTGTTGGCGACTGGGGATTTGCTGCTCGTTGAGTGAGAAGAATCCGAACCAGGCCATCCCACCAAGGAGAGTACTCGGCATCGGGTACGTAGAGGTACCTGGTTGATTTCTCGTCCCCGCTGTTTGAGGTCCCCACAATTCTTGTACCAGTACATCGGACCTTAACATCCAACTGCCTGCCCCGCCATAGACTTGGTAACTTCTTCGTCTCAATCATCCATCTCACCTAATCTCCCAACGGCAGGTTGAATCGATCTTTTTCCATCCTCCCATATCAGAGAAGTATGTGGTGTGAGTGGATGTGTGGATGTATCGACATGATGATATATGGACTGCCACCATACCCGAAAAGGAAAAGAGATATACTATAGTATATGAAATAGTCGACGACGACTATTGAAAATACTGAAACAATATCCTACCTGCAAGGCGGCAAGGCCACGAGAACCTCAAGGGGTACAGGCTATCCCCTTCACTTGAACGGGATCTACTGCACTCCTCCGGTCGGGCCAACCATATCCGGAGAATGGCATCCAGGGACATTACTAGAATGTCACTTTGCATATTGACATATGGGATATTTTTGCCGGATAGTCCCCAATATCCAACTCCGGAGCTGGCTGACAGAGACGGATGTTTCGCCTTGTGCGACATCTCAAGCCCGGCCAGGCTAGCAATGCGCACGTTCGCATCATCAATTACTCCGTGCATAGTATTCGGGGCTCTTCCTCTCAGCTCAGATCGTCAATCCCTATCCATGATATTCCATATCCATATGGACTTGCACTAGCAATGGGATCTAGGGATTTAGGGATAATGCTGACAGATCCTTGGCCTCAAAAGGCCGAACGATAAGCATGAATCTGCCAATAATAGATCAGGATCGGAGCGGGTTCGATATGAGGATGTAATAAGCAAGATCCGACCGAGGGCAATGATAGTAATGCTGCATACTACCCAGGTATAAGCTAGCTGACGACTGACTTGCTGCTTCAGTAAGCCAGATTATTTGGGCCTGTATGGACCTGGATAGATTTGCTGGAGCGATAGCAAAAGCCATGATCTGGAGGAGTCAGCTTCAATATCCAAGTCCTCTTGCTCCTCCAATGGAGACAGGGAGCCAAGCATAAGTGGGTGCCATATATGATATGGTTGAATCGTGTCAACGGTGTCAGTGGATGTAGTGATAGTTGAAGATCGGATGTGCCGTACGTTCCGTACCTGTAGGTACCTGATTCTGCCTTCGACACTTGCGGTGGCTGTTGCTGTTGGGGTATCTGTACAACCGAAACCCTCCGGTTGCTGACCGGCACTATCAGGATCGCCCCAAAAGTTTTGGCGTGATAGCGCATCCCCGTACGTAACATGGTCTAGCGCCCCTCCAAAACTCAATTCATGGTACCCACATGAGCCCACTTGGGTGGTAGGCCTCTACAGAGTTTAGTTGGGTAACAGCTCAGAGGTACATCCTTAGCCTGGTACCGAAAAGTCGATTGGGCGAATGCAGATTTCAAGGGGTCCGGGCTAGAAAAAAAGGAAACTGACTGGTGGGAGCTTCGCAGTAGAGAGCGAGAAGCAACGCACAGTTACCGCACCACCGCACCTCACAAGAATTTTGAGTAAGTAATTCCAATCTTTCCAATTCTTCGTCATTGCAGTCAACGTCGTTCGTCCCTCTTGCAATCCGAATCTTCCCATATTCCAATTTTTTGCCAACACTTATTGGTTTCGCATCGTGATCTTGAAATCTCACACTTGAGAGATAATTCAATCGCGACAAGGCACAAGGTAAGAGGCGGGGGAAATTGGTGACCTTGTCAAATCCCACTTCCGAAAGACTGGACTCGGTGCTCTGCACCAAATCCTACATGTACCTGTGCCTCTCAGCTCCGGACCCTAGAAGTCACAGATAGTCCTTTTTTTCTTCTACACCTGCAGTTCCACTTGGGATCAGAGATAGAGAACCAGTCTGTTAACTTCTTTCCTGCTTTCTAGAGTCAATATACCGGATCGAATAGGACGGAATTGATCACTTACGACTCAAGCTTCACTCCCTTCTCTCACTACCACCACCACAATGTCCGCCAAGTCTATCCTCGAGGCCGACGGCAAGGCCATCCTCAACTACCACCTGACTCGTGCACCCGTCATCAAGCCGAGTCCTCTTCCCAAGCCGACGACGCACAACCCGCCGCCGAGATTGGCATCGCTCTACTTCCCCGAGGACGCTGATGTCAATGCGGTGCTAGACCAGGCCGAGGTCACCTACCCGTGGTTGCTCCACAGCGGCTCCAAGTTCGTTGCGAAGCCTGACCAGCTGATCAAGAGACGAGGCAAGAGTGGTCTTCTAGCTCTTAACAAGACCTGGCCCGAGGCGAAGGCTTGGATTGCTGAGCGCGCTGGCAAGTCTCAGAAGGTCGAGCACACGGAAGGTGTTCTGCGACAGTTCCTCGTAGAACCTTTCGTACCTCACCCAGATGGCACGGAATACTACATCAACATCAACTCAGTTCGAGATGTGAGTGCAGTGTTACTTTTTATAAATGTGTTGCGCTGTTTCGTCGACCTTAATTTTATGTCCGATTACCCTCGTCGACCAGATGATTGGGCGACGGTCAGCTAGTGCATGACAGCGAAGAGATGCGGGATTCTTGAAAATGACGATATTGAATAAAAAGAAAAAGAAGAGATAACTGGAATGAAATATGAGATGGGAAAGAAGTCCCGAAGAGTTGTTTATTCTTATCAAGGGGAGAGGAATGTTGCGGAATGTGCGCACCGAGTGGTCGCTGCCGTATTCTTATTTGATTCGGAAAGTCGAGACCGATCCGGTGCTCACGGGCGAACGGAGACTAAACCACATGCACTCCTGTTGCATCCACTTTCACCCACTTGCCGCAATTATGCAAACACATACCATTATTCTATCACCCATTCATATCTTCATATCCTATCATGTCGTATCAACGATCTAAAGTCTATCCCTCTATCAACGACCAATCATTTCCACAACGCTAGAAGGCTAACCTTGCAATTGATAGGGCGACTGGATTCTCTTCACCCACGAGGGTGGTGTCGACGTTGGTGATGTTGATGCCAAGGCTGAGAAGCTGCTTATCCCCGTTGACCTTTCACAATATCCCTCTAACGAGGAGATCGCCAGCACGCTATTAAAGAAGGTTCCCACGGGTGTCCACAATGTCCTGGTTGACTTCATCACTCGCCTGTACGCCGTCTACGTCGACTGCCAGTTCACCTACCTTGAGATCAACCCCTTAGTCGTCATTCCCAATGCTGACGCCACATCCGCCGATGTTCACTTCCTCGATCTTGCTGCCAAGTTAGATCAGACTGCTGATTTCGAGTGCGGTGTTAAGTGGGCTATCGCACGATCTCCCGCTAACCTGGGCATTACTGCTGTCTCAAGCGCTGGCGACAAGATCAATGTTGACGCCGGCCCCCCGATGGAGTTCCCTGCTCCTTTCGGCCGTGAGCTTTCCAAAGAGGAAGCCTACATCGCTGAATTGGATGCTAAGACTGGTGCCTCCTTGAAGCTCACTGTCTTGAACCCTACCGGTCGTATCTGGACTTTGGTCGCTGGTGGTGGTGCTTCCGTCGTCTACGCTGATGCTATCGCTTCTGCTGGCTTTGCTGATGACTTGGCCAACTACGGTGAATACTCCGGTGCTCCTACCGAGTCTCAAACATACTACTACGCACGAACTGTGCTGGACCTGATGCTCCGCGCTCCCCTGAGCCCCAAGGGCAAGGTTCTATTCATCGGTGGTGGTATTGCTAACTTCACAAACGTTGCTTCTACATTCAAGGGTGTCATCCGAGCACTACGCGAATACGCCAAGCAACTGAACGAGCACAACGTACAAATCTGGGTGCGTCGTGCTGGACCCAACTACCAGGAAGGTCTTAAGAACATGAAGGCCGCAACACAGGAGCTTGGCCTAAATGCCAAGATCTTCGGCCCCGAGATGCACGTTTCTGGTATCGTGCCTCTCGCTCTCGTCCCTGGCAAGTGGGAAGAAGGCAATGTACATGAATTCCAGGGTTAAACCCAATCATATGTGTACGAGTCAAGATTCCCAGGTTAGGTGTAAAGAGCACGCGAATGAGCTATATGGCGGAATGGTTTTATAGGCGGTTGCCTAATAGCGGTTGTGTACGCTTGGAGGTAGAGGTTCGGATCTAGTTAACCTAGATCTGGTCGCTGAGCATATAGCTTGAGAGGGCGGCTAGTTTAGCTAGTTATAGAGGCGTCTTCAAGAATAAAACACAATAGACTGGTGTAATTCTCCATACTCTGGTTCAACCCACTTTGCTAAATATACATGTTAAGTAACTTGGTCTGTAAAATCTGGGCGGGCCCGTAGTGATTATTAACTGTACCCCTGAAAAAGGGCCCAGGAATCGGTCGTCAATATATGCCCGATCTCCTTACCATGAATTAATAAGGGGTTTTAAAGGGTTTTAGTCATACTAAGCTATCAACCTATGATGATTTGACATGATGACCAATTTAGATAGTACGTAGTGGAATCCATTTGACCATCAGGAACAGACGATACGTTACTAAGCTCTGTCTGGGTAGGTAGTCCAAGACATCACAGCACTCTCAAACACCACCGATTATCGTCTATTATGCATACGCTATCCTGATGCTAATGCAGGTACGTAAAAGCCAGCCTGCTTAAGCCCTCGTCTAAGTTGATCCCATCCCCGTTTAGGTTCATGACATAGACCTTACACAAGAACTCCGGCCATTGGCAAATAACTATGTAAGAAAGCGCATAAGCACATGATTTACTGATGGAAATGACCTCGAGGCTTCTGGCTCGGTAGACCCGAACTGTAGGTTCAGTTACGGAACCTCATCGCGCGTACGCATAGCGCAATAATCCGCCGCTCCAAGTTTCCTCCCTAGACTCGCAACGACAGCCTCTGTGTCTCTTAGAAAGAAACTTGCCGTCCCATCAGCCGCGACCAGGACCGTCTGCTGACTACCATCGACCTGCGTCGGCGTGCCATCCCCGCTCTTCTCAAAACTGATCCCATTCCACGTCGTATCCGCCGTAGCATCCGCCCCCGGGCCCGTCAAATACGCAAGATACACGACCTGGCCCGCCGCCGAAGCCGGCAGCTGCAACTGCACAGTGACATTGCCCTTGTATTCCAGCGAGCTATTCGCCATCTTCCCATTCACCACCACCACAGACGCCAGCTTCTCCTGCTGATACACGCTGTACGCCCTGACCCAATCCTGGTACTCCGCCGGGACCTGAGCGCCCGTATACTGCGCGATCTGCGTCCTCGCGCACGCCGCAGGGCCGACGACCTGATCGAACGCCGCGACGCCATAGTACAGCGGGCGCACGTGCGGCTCCCGTCCGTACATGGGGATCGGCAGCCACGCGCTCGCGTTCGAGTTATCCGTCATATGCAGTCCGACGGACGCGACGCCGAGGCCCGCCGCATAGAGCAGGAAATTCAGCGTCCACAGCGCGGCGCCGAACACATCCGTAACGCCCTGCAGGCCGATGGGCCCGACGACGCCCATCTCGCGCAGCGCGTACGGGTACGGCGTCTGCGCGGCCTGGTCGACCTGCGCGGCCCACGCGGCGAACTGGTCCTCGGTCGTGCGCAGCGTCAGCAGCCGCTCCAGGCTCACCGCGTACCCGGACACGCCGATGTAGTAGTAATAATCGTGCTGGTTCCAGCCGCTCAGGTACGAGGGCGGCGCGGGCGCGCCCGCGCTCACCCCGAAGGTGACCAGGTTCGCGATCTGGAAGTCGGTGCCGATCGTCGATGCTGTTGCCGCCGCCTCGAAGAAGTTGCGCGCGATGCCCTTCGGCGCGAGGACCTGCGCGGATATCGCGGACGCGCGCGCCAGCCATTCTTGCGTGAAGACTGCGCCGCCCCAGGGCCCGGCTCGGAACCCGTTTTGCGTGTAGAGGTCTGGTTCGTTGCCGATTTCGAAGGAGGTGATGTTCAGGTTTGGACACTTCGTTAAGGCTTGCTCTGCCATCGTCGTGATCTTCTCGATGAAGTCACTTTGTTCGTACGCTAGGTTCAGCCCCCAGGTTACCGTCGTACCCTTCGGCAGTCGGTTCGCTGCTTCGAAAAAGCGAGGTCCGATTAACATGCTATCGGCTTTGATGCTCCCCTGACCAACCGCATTTGGGTTGTTGATCCATGACCACTCGGCCTGGCTCTCCTGGAAGATCATGTAATCCTGAGTATTCCCCCCTATCCGGATATGCGGTGGCTTTCCGGCATAATTCGCAAGGTTGTTGAGGAGGTTTATAGTTAAGGTATTTGGTTGTGCTCCACCCGTGAATGAGAAGAGATTGGAGGACTCTATTCCAAAACCTGCGAAAGAGTGGTCTACTGGCGAGGAAATATCTGAGGGAGGGTTAGCTGAAGGCTCGAGTCTTATCATGTTCTCTGCTGCCGCGAATGCAACGCAGGACAAGGAGTAGATGACAAATGATTTGTTAGTATACTTCATCTTGACGAGTAGTAAACCGGTGAGAAAAAGAAAGGAGAGTAGGTGGCCGGGACCCGAGAACAGAATGGCCTCTAGAAGACGGCCAACACGAGTGGTGTGGGAACTGACTAGGTAAGTAGCTACTGGCACACGACTTGTGTTGTGCCTGCATTTCAAGACATCCAAAAACAAGACTTATTGGTTTGTTACTCTGTACGAGCCGAGTTTACCTAGGTCATTCATGACATGCGAGTGATGCTAAGACATGAATCCCAGTGTTTGAGATGGGGTGTAACTTTCGAGAAGGTCCGTCGGCGGCTACATACAGCTGGCTGCCTATCAGAACATTGCCAACGCAAACTTCTTCGTCGTTGCTGAGTTTGAATGATGGATAAATCCAAGATAAGTAGTGTAAGGAAACAGCTTTCGCCAGTAAGTTTGTATCAGATATGCAGTTTCCATCGATGACACCAAATTGCACAAACACTAAAACCGAGTCACCCAATAATATTAATTCTTCGTACTATTGGAATCCTCCAAATACCGGTCACTCTCCCTCCGACGAGATCATAGCTATTAGACAGCCAAGAATCCCGTGCTGAAAGACGTTGTGGGAAGCAATATAAAGAGGAAACTGATTAAGTAAGCTGTTAACCCCTATGCGCCTGAGCCCAGGCCATCCCCGCGACGCATATTGACAGCAGAGATTGAGAAGGAAGAGGACAAAAGCAATCTTTCAATTACAAACGCAAATAATGGAAATAAATAAATAAAAAAATACCAACAAGTCATAAAAACAAAACATACAACACCGGGGATTCGCTGGTCGTCACCGACCCAACTACTAATCCGGCAGTAGCCAGCTTATCTATGGGAGAGCGGACGGGATCCCGAGTATTCTAGCTCTTATGGTCGTATGTGATAATTAGAGGGATTGTTTTGGCTCATATACCAAATACAACTTACCCCGCTTCTTGCCCTAGGGGAACAGGGGAATAGAGAGGAAAATATGGAGCCGTACGTTTGCTTTACCGTTTGTTACTGGATTTGTTCAACTTCCGAATTCAAGTTTCGAAGGTTGAAGTAAAAAAGGTGTGTACCTAATATTTAAACGGCGATGCTGGAGGAAACCCCTTATGAAATATCGAAGTTATATGTGTCACCGTTAGGTTTAATGCTGGTCGCTATCGTCATATCTAGCGATTCATAAAAGGAAGGGGCAAAATATTTAAATGGTGAATAGTGGAAAAGAGGAAACATCGGCGATGAAAGAATTAAGATGCTTGTATTGCAATAATAGTTTACTTCAGGCGTCCGACTAGATCAATCGCCGACCTGTTTATGCTTCCGCCGATTACTTGGAGCACGACCAACTTATGTAAGGCCGCCGAACAGCTTAGGACCGCTGACCACCTTGACCCGAACTTCCCGCATCTTTACCTGTCTAGGTATCATTAAGGAACACCTTCGCTTCAACAATCACAATACCTCAAATAATTAGGTATATTAAGGCTCAATCAATTGAAACACCTTCACAAGAAGTACAACGACTTTCCCGTTCAAATCATAGGATTAGTATGGCGTGCGATGAAGCTAAGCCGCTACACGCTGGCCCGGAAGATGGTTGGCATGGGATCGTGGCACCCGGATCGCGTTTCGCTCCGGAGTCCGGTCGGTACCACCTCTACATTGGCTATTTCTGTCCCTTTGCGCATCGAGTCAACTTGGTGCGCGTCTTGAAGAAGCTCGACTCCGCAATCGACATATCGGTCGTAAAGGCCTATCCGAAAGGAGAAAAGGGCTGGTCATTCCCTGGAGCCAAAGGCCCTGACGATACTTACGAAGGCTCAACCCCGGATAAATTGTTTGGATCTAAGTACCTTCATGAGGTTTACTTTAGGGCAGACAAAGACTATAAGGGAAAATACAGTGTCCCTCTCCTCTGGGACACCAAGGAAGATACCGCTGTGAATAATGAGAGCCTTGAGATGTTGCGATGGCTGCAGACAGGATTCAATGAGGTATTGCCCGAAGGAAGCCCGGAGAGGAACCTCGATCTCTACCCAGAGCATCTACGAGCGAAGATCGACGAAGTCGCAAAGTGGATGACAAGAGACCTCAACAGCGGCGTCTACAAGGCAGGATTTGCAAGGGATCAAGCCGCGTATGAGAAAGGTGTGATACCTGTGTTTGCAGCTTTAAACCAGCTGGAACTATTGATCCACAAGAACAGCGGACCATATGTCCTCGGCAAAGACCTCACGGAGCTTGATATTTTGGCATACGCGACGGCTATTCGATTTGACGCTGTTTACGTGCAGCACTTCAAGTGCAATCTCGGAACCATCCGCGGTAACTACCCTGTCATACATGAGTGGCTGAAAAACCTGTACTGGAACGTGGATGGGTTTCGTGAAACGACCAACTTCAAACATATCAAAGAGAACGTGAGTGCCATCTAACAAGCGGCGAAACGTCTCGGTTTGCTAATGTTTAGCCAGTACACCAAGAGCCATCATGACATTAACCCGCTTTCCATTACGCCACTTGGCCCTTACCCGGATATCGAATCTAGCGTCAATCTCGACTTCAATCGTATCAAACCTGGCGCCATATCACACCCCGCAGTTCTTCAATACCAGCAAACCCTTTCTAACGTTTGACGATCGATCATGTTTCAGGAGCGCGAACTTAGACATTTGTCTTATGTAGAACTCCCTTAATATTGTGGTATAGGTCAGCGAGAGTAATTCCCGTGAAGGAATAATTGTGTACTTCAATGAAAACTCGCCTCGCTGTCGCTCATTTTTCGTTTCAAATCCGAGTTACAATAAACAATGCAAATACCGACCAAGTAGATATTGCAATGCAAAATGTCATGATGCGAGCCCGTTTCGGAGGGTTATGTTGAATTTATTACATATCTCGATTTATCCTACCTTCTTATCTACGGCCAGTCACCTTCGATGGAGCGCTACCTATCGTATCTATACGTCTGAGTGTGCTTAGAGCTGAACCGGGGAGGTGGTATACTAAGATAAGAATGATCGCTGCCAAGAAATCGACCAGGAACATTGCCTCTTGCAATTATCTAAGACTAGCTGAAGATCTCCATCAGGGGCAGCTCCAGACTTAAATCTAACCCCTTGGGGTCGAATATCTCTTTAATGCGAACGCGTACGCGGAGCTTATCTACCCAGACACTCCGAACCCCCGTCAGTGGCTTGAATTCTCACTGGACCTCCACGATAAGGTGAGGAGATCGGTAGAGCTCTAGTGGTAATGTCTCGCGATAACAATAATAGCTCGAGAACAATAATAAACATGGCTTATATCTTGGGAAATCTGCCCCAGGTAACCTGTAACCAGGCGTCGCTGCTATGGGAAAGCATCTCAATCATCAAATCAGTATAGACTCATAACCATGGGTTCCATAAAGGAGAAGGTTACGTCTCAAAATGGCTCGCCCGCTTCCGTGGATTACGAGAGTGGACAAACGCAGCTCGGGACAGTTCACGATGTGCAAGCTCTCACGGTACTTGGCTACAAGCCAGAGCTGCAGCGGAATCGGTCCATGTTTACATTGCTATTCCAATCTCTAGCGATCGCTGCTGTAAGTTTATATTCCTCGCGATCCTGATGAAATATTTCTAAGATGCGGATAGATACCTTATGGCTTTGGTGGCCCGCTCATCAGCGCTATTTACGGAGGTGGTGAGTTAGGCGCACATCTTTCGCACAAGTCATCATGTTAACATCTACTAGGTCAGCTGCCGATGTTCTTGGGATGGATCGTGGTCTTAATCCTAGACGAATGCATCGCTCTCTCGTTAAGTGAGCTGGCCTCGAGATATCCGACATCAGCCGGGCCGTATTACTGGTCCTTCCAACTCGCGAGTCCGAAATATCGCAGGGGTCTCTCCTTCATCACCGGTTGGACATGGCTGATCGGTAACTGGACTATCACGTTGTCCGTCAACTTCGGTTTCGCATCCATGCTCGCCGCGGCCATATCCCTCTTCGAACCAGACTTCGCTGTGGAGGCCTGGCAACTGCTGTTGATATTCTACGCACTGTGCTTCCTCACGTTCTTTTTGGTCGCGTTCGGAAATAAGATATTGCCTATGGTTGATACGATCTGCGCTATCTTCACGGCAATTAGCATCATTGTGACTTGTATATGTATATCTGTGAAGGCAGATGTCGGTAGACATTCCCCTAGCTACACTTTGGTAAGCGATATCCGTACAATGTAGTTGTCTGAACTTGGGATGGGGCGATAGCTTACCTTACTTCTAGGGCCATTACGATACGACACTTTCTGGATGGAACACCTTTTCCTTTTGGATTGGCATCCTACCTGCAGCTTATACGTGAGTTTCTGAAGGGCCTCTTGTAGCCTTGGCTTTGCGGGGTCTAACAATATCTTAGATTTTCCGCTATGGGAATGATAACCTCAATGGCCGAAGAATGCAGTGAACCAACAGTGAAACTGCCAAACGCGCTGTCCCTCTGCGTACCCGTTGGTGGCATCGCAGGACTGTTCTTCGTGAGTGCCTTCCCACACACCTCAAAGATTTCCGCCACGCCCCTAACAGCCCCTATCCATATAGATTATCCCCCTATGTGCAACATTACCGGACTTAGCAGACATCCTCGAAGCGCCCGTCGGCCAGGCTCTACCGTATATCTTCGGCGTGGTGATGGGGACTCCTGGAGGCGGCTTAGCGCTGACCGTCCTCGTCCTCATCATCACCCTATTCTGCTCCATATCCATCACGGTCGCAGCGTCGAGAACAACTTGGGCCTTTGCGCGCGATAACGCCATCCCTCTAGCCCGTCTTTGGTCTAAAGTCGACGAGCGACACGGCACGCCCATCTGGGCGCTGGTCCTTACTACCTTGATCGAGATGCTCCTCGGATTGATCAACCTCGGATCTTCATCAGCGTTCCTTGCTTTTGTGTCGGTTGGCGTTATATCCCTCGCTGTCTCGTATGGGATACCTATCGTCATATCAATGTTCCATAACCGCAAAGAAGTCAATAGCGCTAGGTGGACTATGGGAAGCTACATTGGCCCGGTGGTGAACCTACTCGCCGTGGCCTGGATTGCCTTTGAGGTCGTTTTGTTCTCTATGCCCACTGCGCTCCCTGTGACCGAGGTTAGCATGAACTACGCCATCGTGGTCTTTGTTGGATTTATGGTCCTGAGTGCCATTTGGTACGGTGTGTATGCTCGGAAGGGTAAGTTCTACAGTGATGCAACCCTGAGACACTCTGTGCTAATGATAACTGCAGTTTATCGAGGCCCACCAGAATCTGATGGACTTACGGTTGATTCTTGATTTAACACAAAATTCAGTTTGTTTGGGAGTTATATGTGCGATTGTTTTACTTGTGGCGGAGTTTTAAGAGCCAACGCTGGTGGGGTAAAATGAGGAAAAGGGGGAGGGGTTCACATTTCGCGTCGTCGGCAACTGGGAAGATATCCACGTCTATTTATAAAATGTGGTTACCAAATCAGCACGAGTTGAGTCTATGGCCCGAGCCAAGTATAATTCCTATTTATCGAGCAATTTCCTCTTATAGCTCTCACGTCATCTATATTTCTAACGTCAACGCTACGCGTCTATGTCGCCGCCAATTCCTTCCCGGGACTTGCAAGTTTCTTGTTATTTAGGTATGGGACTCCGAGTTAGGAACCATACCGCGGGCTGTTCTCACGTTTGATAATCTATTCCAATACTGACCTATAACGATTATATTTGTTTTATTATGTACTATTTTTGCCTATACCGCCAACCCTTAGGATCCTTGGAGATTCACCGGACAAGCCCCGCGTATTCTAATCCCTAGTTTTCATAATAATTACCTTCATTAAAGCATTAAACCGTCTCTTTGTCATCAAGCATACCGTTACTAGCAGCAGCCCTGGCCCTTCTCCTTTGCTGTTCCTCACGTTTTCGTTCCATCTCCCGCTTTTGCTCCTTGAGCGCGATGCAGAACTTGGACCTTTCTCGAATCGCCGCTCCCTTCCAGATGAATATGAAAGGGATCGCACACATGCATAGACTTAACCCACCCAGCAAGCTGCATGCCCCACTAATGCCAAGACGATCGAACATAGGAATTGTTGCAAACGGGAGGGCGACTGCGAACAGAGAGCGGCAGGAACTAGCAGCGGCGTTGGCGCTCGCGGCGAATATCTCATAAGCATCTGTGATATAGTTAAGCAGCGCCATGAAGATCAACACTGTGGCAGGTCAAGTTAGTAATGTCCACTTGTTGAAAGTTGGAGGCGTATGCAAGTCCGGCGTCTGTGATGCCACACCTTCGAGGCTTTGTAAAGCATCATAGTCAATGGGGGAATGATGGAACATCGAAAAATGTACTTACTGAAACCTGCACCAAATGGAATACCAGCGAGCATTGGAACAACAAATGGCACGTCCGACCTTGCCGACCAGCCAAGCCAAAATAAGGATATCACAAATAATGGACCACCAAGAGTTGCTAGTGGAACACGGCGAAACTCCTCCTTTTTGGACCATGGTGCACCACGAGCTTGGGCGTTAAGGAGAATATTATCATAAGTAAAGAAGATAGGCAGCGCAAGAACTGCACCAAACCCAATGGGAAGATAACACAAACCGGTAACTCCTGGGGATAAGCCATAGACGTCCTGGAATATAATCGGGAATGCTTGAAAACTCATGTAAAAAATTGCATAAACCAGCGAGAGATAGAGACACGTCGCAGTCACGATGAGTTCGGTCAGGATCATGCGAATGGGTCGGGTAAGAACCCTAGTGACTAACTGTTTGAAGTCGTGAGGTTCAAGCTCAAAAGCAGAGTAAACCTGGGCCTTGGGATCTGCCTTACGGATCTTTCTTGCTCGGCGAGTAAGAAGGACTGGCGCATATGTTTCGGGAAGAAATGCAACTAGTATTAACGTTGCGCCGGCAAATATCAAGCCAATCCAGAAGGTCCATCGCCACCCAATGCTTGTCGAGCAGAAACCAGAGATAATTGGAGCTAACAGTGGACCAAAGATGGTGAACTTTGGGGGAAAGCAGTCAGCTCTAGATAAAATGAGACGCGGGCTCAGAAACTTACAACCATGAACCAAGACATAGCTCGACCACGGGCAATCGAGTCATTATAAATATCAGCGAGTTGTCCAGTGACGACTGCGATGGGCGCTGAAGCGCACACTCCAACTAGATATCGGAATACAAGCATCGCTGGCCAGTTTGGGGCGAGCGCGCAGCCAAGGGTCCAAACCATGAGCATCAGAAACGCCCCTGTAGAGAGGATCCGACGTCCTATGTGTTCACTAAGCGGGCCCCCTAAAAATGAACCTTGTTAGCAACATATTTCCAACGAAGCCTACTACTCATCGAGCATGGAACCTTTCTACTAGAGTAGGTAGATACCTACTTGAAGAACCGGAAGTAACTTACAGATAATTGGACCGAAGACGTAACCCATCAAGAAAGTGGAGATCGGGAGGATAGACTGCGTCTGAGAGGTAACTCCCCATTCCTTCATCATATAGGGGATGGCCATACTTGGTAAAGAACTCCCCATAGTGCTATTGAGAACGGTCGTCATTGTCGTTACAAGAATGAGGATCTTCCGCCACTACGTGTGAGGTTAGCATCACCGTCGCAGAGCATGCCTAATTCAAGGAATGTTGTGAATACTAACTCTAGGCCAATTATAGGGGTTTTCCTTGTCGTTAGGTTCCCACGATATTATCGTCTTTCCCTCAGCACCTTGGAATTGGCTCGGTTCTGGCGAGTCATCGGTCGGTAACCTGTTGTCTGCCTCTTCAGCTTTGTATCTAGCTTCTGCATCCTGGTTGCTGATACTCTGGACCAGATCCGCAAAATGGCTTAAACCGCCATCGTGCCTATGGATTCCCCTCGAAGCTCGCGAGGCACTCGTATGTTCGCGATGTATCTGGGGTCCGAGGCCGAACTCTGAGATCTCTGTCTCCACCATGGTTACCGGCTGTAGAGGAGGGAGCTTGGTCGGGTTCGGACTGTTTTGCTACGCCAAGGTAGTATTATGAGTCCGAAAAGCAAAGGGGCGAAAGTTAGATCGGGAGCAAAAATATATTAAAAGAGACCATAACGTAGCATACGGAAATGCTTAGAAATGGACTGGGACGACATCCGCCTCCATGCGTTTACGGGATCGGTCAACCAACTTTTTGATGGGTCGCGTTCGATAATACCGACGCATAGCGACGTAGGAAGCGAAAGCCGCACCCGCGTCGATCATATTACCCATACATGGCAAACATACATACCTCCTGCAAATGGCCCGGGAATAAGACTGGAGGCTACGCCCTCACCACAACCCTCTACACCGTAACCTAGGACCTGACTGAGCACGCATGGCACCGACTACCCTGCTACCCTACTGCCCCTCTGCCGATTACCAAGACGCCGTATGAGCCCCAGTTGGAAGCGTGGGAACAGGGGATTATGGTTGTTATAGGGTTCTCATTCCCGCTTTTTACTAGCCCCCTGGGCCCCCTCATCCCAACGTCGTGGAGCCGCCTGGCCGGCCGGCGGCGCTCACAGTGGATATTTGCGAATTTTTGTGGGGCTTATTGCATGCACATAAAGGTGGTTGGCTCATAGTTCGGAAGCATACCCTCTTACCATCATGTAGTTCCCACATGCGGCAGCCATACGCAGTGCCCATTATTTCCCAAATCGGGAATCTTCCCACAGGAGGGGATCCGGATGGAAAAGGTATCGGAAATGGGTATCTGGTTCCATATAAGTGGAGACGCATATTTAAGAGCTCATGGTCGAATCATGATTACGAGAGGTGAATGAAGCATGGGAATAAAGCAAGGGCGTCACGATCTGAGCCGAAGAAGACGACCATAGGGCGGATCCAGGCGGCTCGGTTCAATAAGAATCCGGCTAGAACATTTCATAAACGACCAATCCCCTAATGCCGATGTCGGTTTTAAGCAAAAAGCGAATACTATCATTGGACTGTTAGTTGTCATGTTTTACAGACCGCCCGTCATGCTGTGCCTCATCACATTGGATGGAGGCAACTTTGAAAATTGACGCATAACTACTTAGTTTATGCGGTATGCTGATTTGAGGTCTAAAGAACGACCCATCGAGATCCGTCGCCCTCACGATTATGGTGATGGATTGTTTGGCTGCATATTGGGCATCCATACCTACAGAGTCGAAGATTTCAAAATGGAGCTCTAGGTTAAATTTCTTGCTTTAGAGGAGGGAACGAACCCTGTCGCAGCCACCCTGGTTGATATTTCATTCAAAATTCCGATAATAGAATTACGTACCAAAGATGACCACCTACTAGTATGATAAAATCCTTCGACTTCGATAGTGCGCTGAGTAATCAATATTTTTTATGAGGGCATCACTAAGCCCCAACGTCACGAGACCGCTGGTTCAAAACTATATATAATACGTATTTAAGATAGATGCAATATCGGCTTCCCGTAGTTCCTTTAGATGTCACATGTTGCATTATCTTAATAAGTGATGTGATGTCCTTTCTAAGCCTTTGGGGCAGATAGATTCCCAAGCCCTCAGGTGTCTGGTGAGACAATGTCAAGAGATGTAGGCTTAGCTAAAGGGAATAGCCAAAGCACCAAGAGTCCCCATGGAGGAAGTGGTAAACGTAGAACAATAATTGTATGAAGCTTCTAACGCAAGATTATCTCGCTACCCTCTGCCCCTCGCGAACAATTTGATCGTATGAGTCGTACTACTTACTAAGTGTGTAGACTGAAAAGAGGTAGGCGAGTATGTACCTATTGAATATACTAGGTATACTCCTATTGATGCCATCGTGTGTACAGTTACCTGATTTAGAAGGTATGCTTCGTAATGATTGGCTCTTCGTTCCGGGTTCCTGCATATAAGAATGACCGGCAGCTCCCCCCCTGCTATGCGGCGCTATGCGGCTTAGTTAGGTACAGATATAGATAAACCTCATAAGTACCTGGTCATGAGGCCTATCAAGTTAATTGTACAGGATATGTATATTTAGCATACCTTGCATACCCACCTAGTTGACTTTTGTGAGACTAGAAGCCCGTTCTCTTTCGAACGGTGCCTCAGAGGACCTGGGTCTTCTGTTCATCCTGCGCCGGACGATACTCTGCTTTCCTTGACTGACTCTCCCATTAGAAAAACATACCTACATACCCAAGGACCACGCCAGATTTCATGACCTAAGGCTGATCCACCCTAAAGTACACGGTCCTGCTTAGACCTTCTCGTCCAAGACTTCTCCCCGGGGCGCCGGAGAGCATTAGGCTCGTGTTTACTTAAGACTGTCTCTTATCCTCCGGTGGGAGATGCTTATTACTTGCCTGGGTATTCTTCTGGCGCTTTTTCATTGTTATTGTCACAGTTTTGAGAACTATCTCCTCGCTTATTTTCAACGCTCGTAGAGACGAAGACAGATGGACATTAACCTCATCCTTCTGTCTGACAATTTCTTAGTCAAGGTGCGTGTAAAATTATTCTATATTGATAAAACAGTTGGTACTGTCCTTAGCCCAGCTATGCTGACCTAGATATCGTGTCGCGATGGGTATCTGACAAGCTCGCGGTCAAGATAGGTTTAGATATATTATGGATTAGTAATCCAATGACGCGATGGTGCGCGACGCAAGACACCGATTAATAATCAAAACACACCTTTTCTATACATATCTAGTATTGGGGTAGCTCAACCGATTCGATATCAATGGAACCGATTAGGCCATTGCATGATGAGACTTATAAAGAAAAGCTTCTTGGTGCCATGTTTATAGTAATTGTGGCTTGACACAAAAGGCACATTTGCCCATATTATGTAAAAATTACTTAATCTCAACTGCAGCTTAGTAACCTTGAAATTTATGGCAGGATAGCTTAAGTAAGAAGTGACGAAGTAAGTTCAACAGTCCCGAAGTTTAACCAGTTTACCCCTTCTTAAACCACCGCCGCTTAATCATCACGATGGCGGAAGTGTTATCCTCATGCACTTATTACTTCATTTTACTTCGTTGAAGCAACGCAGGGTCAGATGTGACGAAGCACGGCCCTCTTGTAGGTACCAGATGCACAGCATTCCACCGGCGTTATTCGTATCTCGGTACCTTACACCATCGGCAGATAAGCGTTGGCTCCTACAGTCCTACGTCGGTAGCCTCTGCTCATCCTTCCGGCGGATATTATCTTACAGAGAACTCTACCTTACTCCGTCTTCAGTTACTTCATCATCTCAAGGCCTACGTAGCTATAAAGGCTATGCGGTCTATTCAACCTGGAAGGAATTGAGCTGATGCTCGATTTTGCTTACGAGGAATTCCTTAAAGCCCCGTGTCTGATTGCCAGACTGATTGCCTTTTCAGCAGCCCACAAGAACACACATCCTAACACAAATCTATGATCCCTTCTCTATACCGGATTGAACCAAATAGGCTTCAATTCCAGGCTTTGAACCGATTCAATAGCAACTACTCCGAGGTCACAGATGAGAACTGTGTAGCGCTTTTCATTTTCTCCGCTATCCTCGCGCAGCACGCCCTCTTCAAACATCCCCTTCGATGCCTGCTTAGTTGCTGTAGAAGTTGTGACGGTCCTAGATAAGCTTGCACAATGCATTGATATGCATCATGGTATCCGCGCTGCCGCCAGCCGGTCCTGACGGAAAGTGTAGACCTATTCCGAGACGAGGACTGCAAGTCAGATGGCTAAAGATAAGTGACGACCAAGCTTACGACCACTCCGACTGATTATTTCTCCTGAATCGGAACCAGCAAGAACCAATACCCCGGCCGACTCCTAGTCGTTCATGAGATAAAGCTCGTCACAGTATACTTGTTGACGAACTACGACGTTAGATACACCAAATTCAGTCCTTAGTTAACGAATATACTGGCGCTAAAGACGCCAAGATGAACACCCTAATACGGGTGCGAAGACGCTCTATTTACACGATAAATCTTCTTTGTTCGGGATTTGGTAGGTTCTAGGTTCTACTAAGACATCTCTAGTATCCATATGTTTGATGTCATATTATCGTGGCTTAACAGAATTAATAGACTATCCCACTATCTGCGTTTCCGCCCCTTTTCGCTCAGCCGGATTCTTTTACTCAGCCAGTCTACACGACGACAGAAATCTACCCCTACATATAGGTACCTAGTACATAGGTATACTATGCCTTCTCCACTATTATCTCTTGACAATCGACTACTTCGAACTTCCACCAACGCCGAGTTGGAAACACAAAATATCCCTTACATGAATCTGACAATAAGTAACCGTACTTCTATTTCCATTCCCATATTATTTAAGTAGAGCCCGCATAGAAATTTCTTAGGCATCCTCTGTCTCTCCGCGCACTTCTTGGGGTACCTTTGAATGCTGTCATGGCGTCTCTCTTTGCATTTCTACGGGTTATATCATTGTTAAAAGCTGTGTGGACTGCCTACTCAGCTTTCTATTTATTTCGCAATTACCTTGCGGCTCGTAAGATCGGTCTGCCCATCCGTATTATCCCCATTAGTCACACCAATCCCTTTTGGATGCTTGTGGATCGGCACTTTATCTCTTTTATCAGGCAACTACCATTCGGACATAATAGCTTTACCAGATACAACTATCGGGGCTGGGAATTAGCGGATAGGTACTTTTCACATCATGAGTTAGGAGATGCCTTTATTGTAGTCACTCCTGGTAGGAACTGGCTCTACATCGCCAACCCCGATACTATAGTTGAAGTTTTCCGACGCAGGACCGATTTCCCGCGTTGTCTTGAGCTCACAGGTGTGTGTACTGAGGCGGGCAGCGAAAACAATGCAACCATGCAAAACTAATTATTACTTATTACAGAGATCCTTAATGTCTTTGGCCCCAACATGTCCACAGTAAGCTAATGACACCCTCCTCCCGAGTCAAGCTATGTTGATTAGTTGCTAATAATACTTGAAAGGTGGACGGGTTACAATGGAAGAAACAGCGCAAAATGACAGCAACTTGTTTCAACGAGCAGAACAATGAGATTGTGTGGTCCGAGACTCTCGGTCTAGCAAATGACATGATTAATTATTGGTCCTCGAAAGCCTTACTCAAAACTGTTGCACACGATACTCGTACACTATCCTTACATGTACTATCTAAAGCCGGCTTCGGCAAATCGTTCAAATTTGAAGGTCATGACGAAAGAAAAGAAAGTAGTCCCTCGACAAGTTACAAGGACTCGCTGCAAACGATCCTAGAGAACTGTGTTCTTATCATGGCGCTCGGAACCAAATTTCTAGAAAATCCATGGCTTCCGCAGGGTCTTAGAAGGCTCAACGAAGCATGCAACGCCTTTCAGAAATACATGACAGACCTTTATGAAGAAGAAAAGCAAGCGTTCGCCGAGGGGCGGACTTCCGGCCGAAACCTGATGTCTTCATTAGTGCGTGCCTCTCAAGACGAAGCCAAGACAGGCGTAGGCCTTACCGAGAACGAGATCTACGGCAACATGTTCGTTTTCAATTTTGCGGGTCACGATACTACAGCGCACACTTTCACTTTTGCGCTGTATTTTCTCGCCGCTAATCCTCAGGCGCAGGACTGGATTTATGAGGAGTTATGTCAAGTGCTTGGTGACCGCCAACCAGATGAATGGAATTATGGTGTCGAATTCCCTCGACTTAAGCGCTGCTTGTCTATCATGCTTGAAACAGTGCGTCTTTACACGCCCGTTCCTGTGGCTAAGTGGACAGATACGCGGACTCAATCTTTGAATGTCGGTGCTAAGACTGTTGTGCTCCCACCGGATACCATGGTCATACCCAGCTATGCTTCAGTACAGACGGACCCCAAATATTGGGGTTCCGAAACGCTCACTTGGTCGCCTTCAAGATGGATCAAGACTAGCAACTCGACAACTGCGAACTTAGAAGATGAGGAACTCATCACTCCTCAGCATGGTACTTTTATCGGATGGTCTGAAGGGTCACGCGATTGTCCGGGAAGGAAGTTCTCGCAAGTTGAATTTGTAGGAACCATGGCAGTGTTGTTCCGCGACTGGAAAGTTGACCCTGTGACTCAAAGTGGAGAGACCATTGAGACTGCTCGCGAAAGGGTTTTACGTCTCATAAAAAGTGATTCGGCGCCAGTCTTGCTTCTGCAAATGCTTCACCCAGAGAGAGCGCCATTGGTTTGGAAGCGAAGATAGGTAAATTCAGCAGTATCGTCTTCGAGCTACTATATCTATAATAAGTAGTAACCGACGTGTTCAAGATAGTAAAACTAAGAAAGTTATCTGCAACAGTCTAGGCGAATTCAGGGGGCGGGTGATGTGCATATTTCCCTTGTACCTATCTACCTTCTTAGAAAACCTAAGCTTAAATATCTCGGTTAATAACCGAAGCAAACATCAGAGAAGTCAAAGTCACTTACATACAACTCGGCGAATGGTTTTTAAGCAGGGGTTACGTATGCTCTCGCACTTACTACCTAGCGCGTGGTGATAGCTGAGGACACTAAGCTAGAAATTATATATGATGGCATTTCCACGAAAGGCAATGCATTGTACGAGAAGAAAAAGGAGAAAATTAATAGATATCAACACTACTTCCCATTCTGGCCATTCATGTGAATTTCTTATTGATCGTAAACCCTCAAGGATTGAAGATTCCATCCCCTTTGCCGAACATTGAAATCCCCTCGTATTGATAATAACATCTATTCAGTAAGTTCGAATATCTAGCGAATACCTATCTAGCGCGCGAAGAATCAAAGCTCCCGCTAAATATGTTCAGTATCGGTTAGACAGCCAAGCCGGAGCCAAGGTGCCGTAAGGCTGTTTCCTAGATCTGAACTTGTCTTGTTGACTAGTTCCATGCCAATATATCTTCTAGGCTAGTTTTGGACGTTAGAAAACACGATCTAGGATTCCTCTTAAGCGAGTTGGGAAAATTTAGTACATCAGATGATTTGTTTAGAGAAGGAACATATAAAATCGACATACTGTAGTATATGTTTCAGGTTGAGGAGGTCCAAAATAGCTATTGAAGCGATCAAAACTCTCGAAATCAAGTTTTATCTGCTGTAACAGGATATCTTGGACCGTATTCGCTTATATGGTAGACTAGTCAAATCCTCCTAGCTTAGTAACTAACCCCCTTTTAGACTATACCCCCGCAACTTCAACCGTGCCCAAGCAGTCGGTAACGATTATTCCTTGTTCCTGAACCAACTAGTATTATCAGAATGTAGCAATTCAGGTGTATAGAATATGAAACCATGCCCTTAAGCTCAGCCACTGTTGCGATAGCTTCGGACAGACACCTTAACATAGTGACATAGGGAGGTCTAGACTGAGTGGTCAGACTTCGAAACTGAGTAATGCGTAGTAGCGGGTATGACGCTATGATGGATGGAATTTTATATCAAATAAAGACAGAAATATTATATCTGTCGCGATCATGCTCATCCATTGAGAAATCGTAGCGGCAGCGATCTCGATTCTCGACGCCAGATAGGACATCACTCAGGTCCACGACACTCGTTTAAAGACAACTTAATATCATAATATTTAATCATGCGGCCGACTATGTTCTGGTCCGCTATTACTACACTCGTTACTGTTTCACTCGTTTCTGCATCTTCAGTTCATAGGCGACATTGTCACAATAATATTGGTAAATGTAATTTCCATCCATCTAAAAGTCCCAAGTGTTGGGGCGACCACTCATTAGCCACGAACTGGTACGACGAGATACCAGATACTGGTGTCACAAGAGAATACTGGCTTCAAATTCAGAACGGTACGGCGGCGGTCGATGGAGTTGAACGCATTGTCCTGACGGTTAATGGATCGGTGCCGGGACCTACAATCACTGCGGATTGGGGAGACAATGTCATCGTACATGTACACAATGCACTACAGAATAATGGCACCAGTATCGTAAGTACAATTATTCAATTTTCATCTTAAATCACTTGTCTATCCCTTACAGCTACTGGGTAATATGTACATGAGAAGGTGGCGATCTAGTACCTAGGTACCAGTTATCGTATATGATACTGACCGGTAGACAGCATTGGCATGGTTTAAGGCAGAATTATACGACACAAAATGATGGCGTAGCTTCCGTCACCCAATGCCCGGTAGCGCCAGGAGATTCTATCACGTACAAATTCCGGGCCGAACAATATGGACACAGTTGGTACCATAGTCACTTTGCGACACAGGCCTGGAATGGAGTTTTTGGTGGCATCGTTATTCATGGGCCATGCTCAGCGCCCTATGACGAGGATAAGGGTGTCCTCTTCCTCAATGACTGGTTCCATAACACAACCGATGCCCTATGGAGCACAGCTTCGGCTGGTAACCCACCGGTGGCGCAGAACGGCCTAATAAATGGAACGAATATCTATGGCAGTGGAGGCAAGAGGTTTGAAACTATATTCACAGGTGGCAAGCGACACAGAATACGGTTGGTTAACGGTGCCATCGACACTCATTACAAGTTCATGATCGACAACCATAAGATGAAAGTTATCGCGGCGGACTTGGTTCCAATCGAACCTTACACAACAGAAGTTCTAAGCATTGGCATAGGACAGCGGTATGATATCATCGTCGAGGCAGACCAGGAGCCCGGCGACTTCTGGCTGCGCGCATACCCAGACACGGCCTGCAGCGCCGACAACGAGATGGCGGACAACATCAGGGGCATCGTACGATACGACCCTTCCTCCAACCGCACACCAACCTCCACCCCATACCCCTACACAGAGGACTGCCACGACGAGCCAATGTCCAAACTAGTCCCCTACGTACCCCTCGACGTAGCCAGCCCCACCACGCAGAAAGACTTCAACCTCAGCTACGCCATCAGCACGAGCGGGATGTTCAAATGGACGCTCGACGGCACAGACCTACTCACGAACTGGGGCATTCCCACGCTGCAGCAAAGCCTCCTCGACACCAGCGTCTTCAAAACCTCCAGCAACGTCGTGCAGCTGGGCGAGCGGAACGCCTGGGTGTATTTCGTGATCGAGAACGGGGCAGCGGCGCTCGGGCTGACGCACCCGATCCACCTGCACGGGCACGACTTCTTCGTGCTGGCGCAGCAGGCGGGCGCGACGTACGACGCGGCGACGACGCCGCTGCAACTGAAAAACCCGCCGCGGCGCGACGTCGCCATGCTGCCCGCGAACGGGTTCCTGGTGATCGGCTTCGTGACGGATAACCCGGGCGTCTGGCTCATGCACTGCCATATCGGCTGGCACGCCTCGCAGGGCTTCGGGCTCCAGATCGTGGAGCGCGAGGCGGAGATCCCGCCGCTGTGCGATGCGGGGAGTATTGACGGGACGTGTGCGAGGTGGCGGAGATATGTGGCGGCGAAGGGGGTTCTGCAGGATGATTCGGGGATATGATAGATGACCAGGGGAGGTTCTGGGGGTTGACTCTTTAGTATAAGAGGTAATGGTTACACGAAAGGAATGTGTATAATGTAATGTACTAGGTAATGATAATATAATAGGGGGAGCTATGAACGCTCTTAGTTAGAAATATGCGGAATATGTGAAAATATTGCCTTTGCCACCTGGTTTGAGAACTTCCTAGATACACGTACGTCTCTAAGATCAGTTGACGGCTATAAGTAACCGCTTTGCTTTAGTGAAACTATGAGATAATAGGACTATGACGAGGACGTGTTGACAATGGAAATTATTTAGGCATTCCAGATTAGTTCATCCACCTCAGACGAGACACGTACAACATGTTAGTACTTACTATGATAGTATGCTTGCGACCCTTAAGTCACCACCGTGCGGTGTTTTCACAAATTAATAGGTATTTTTAGAAATGAAAATCTTCGCATTATTCTTGTGCTGTTTATACTAACTATTTAATGTTACTTGGGTTTGTCCACCTAAGGACCGAAGTATCTGCTATGGAATCCCCCACTCGCTTCTCTTCATTGGTAGAATTGCTGGTTGAGCGGATTTGAGAAGTCGAATATTGTCGAGTTTGATTCTTTGGCTAGCATTCTTCTTGCTACGAAATCAGACTGTAACTCCCTTCCTCGTCTGTTGTCCTCTTCGGAGATACCTAGGGTAAGTTCTCCCCTGCTACGAGCTGATTTGCTTGCGTCCGTTTCTACAAGGTCCATGGTAGGCTTTGCGTATTGGTACGATCTATTGCCTGTATTGTTCCACATCCGTGCGGTGAAGTCCTGAGTTAGATAAGGTATGAATTGACCATGGCTGACAACGACAACGTTGATGTTACCGGCATCTGGTCGGGCTATTCTATAACCATCGATAATTTGCTGGATGATTCCTCGAGCCAAGCTAGCACGCCACTGAACGGCCTGCGCTGATTCTGACGCATCACGAGTAGGCCATACGCCCAGGCGAGAAACATCTATGATGTCCCCAAATTCCCGTATAAGGTCTCGGGATGGCGAGATGGTATTGCACGGGTAACCACCGACCTCTTGAAGCTCAGGTACTAGGTGAATTTTCTTAGTTCCTCCCTCGAGAGCCTTAGCAAAGCAAAATATAGCCGTCTGTATTGTGCGCTTCAAAGGCGACGCAATGAATATGTCTATATCTTGGGGAAATATTCTCTGTATATGGGCGCACTGAGTAAGTCCCAGTGTAGTTAAATACGGATCGGGAATATTTCCACCGTTTGCAACTACATTATGTAGCCCTTCTGCATGGCGAAATACGTGGATTGTCTCAGTCTTGGCTGATTGTAAATCAGAAATATTGGAGGGATTGGGGAGATTGGTGTGAGCAAAGAGAGGGGGGTTGGGGGCTCCAAATTCTTTAGGCGTTGGAACGGGACGGAATAAGCCAGAATTAATAACGTCAATAGGGGGAGGTGAAGCCCGATAAACCGGGCTTGACCTATAAAAGTCTTCTGGATCTACAGGTTCAGCATTTGACACAGGACTTTTAGAGACATTAGGAATTGGAATGGGATAAAATAAGCTGGAGCTACTTGTGAGATCGGGACCAGAATTACTAATAGGGGGAGCAGAAGGACCAGCATTCGAGGTTGACCCATAAAAGTTATTTAGGTCTATAGGCCCATTATTTGGCCCAGGACCTTTAGAGGTTTTAGGAGCTGGAAGGGGACAAAATAGTCCTTCATTTTGCTCAGGGTCTGGCCCAGCCGATGGGTTGGAAAAGAGGCGTAGAACAGGAGGCATTTTAGGTTTGTAGATGATGTTTGTGTGCTTGGTTTGAGGTGTGTGTAGATAGGTAGTCATTTCAAAGTATTTATACAAAAACAGAGCCGTCACAACTTCATTCATTTTACTCAAGAAGAATAGAATTGTTATCCGTAGTCATTGTTCCTCCCATATACAAAGACATGTTCAATATCTGGGTTTCTTTGTCCTACTAAGGGCAGAATTTTCTACCTAATAATTAGGCAGTTAAAGAGCACCTTCTAAGGTATGGAAAGACAATGACTGAAATTATATATTCATCCTTTATATGTAGGTTACGAACTTACGTACTATTTGATATGAAGAAACTAATAAGGCAATAGGGCGATAATATCGTTATAATTGACATAGTGCGCAAACCTTTTTCTGCTTGGCTCGGGACCTACATGGTAGGTAATACCAACAGATGCTCTAAGTCAGAGTCCCAGCTACTTTCAATAGATACCAGGAATAATAACATACTTCCCCTTAATTTTATCCTCCCCAAACTTCTCCTTATACCACTTTCCACCGGACACGGCGCGGGGCAGCATAGCCGAAAATTCATTGACTAAGAAAGACCGCGCGGGGGTGCAAGCAACACCAGCAGCAACCCAGTATCCGAACCACTCGACCCATTCCATGAAGTAGTGAGGGTAAAGCATGTACTTGAATAGTCCGTTCTGGGGTACTTCGTAGTGCTTCTCGACCGTCTTCCCCTGCTGCTTCAGTCTTGCCTGACGCCGAAGCTGGCCTCGACGTATCTCCCGCAATTCCTCGTCGGAGAAGTAATTGGCGGTAAGCCCAACGTAGAAGAGGACAAGGCCAATAGAGAATTGAAGAACAGACCAATTCTGGGCCTTCCACTCTTCCTGGGTAGTTGGCCCATAGGCTGCCAGCCAGCTGCCTATGCAGGTAGCGTTGGATAGTTGGAAAAGGACGGCGTTAGCCCAGACGAGCACATGTATAGGAGACATGGACGGCTGTATAATGGGGAAGATGACGGCGCGATAGGTATAGTGAATAACGAACAAGCCAGCCAGAACCTTGTTTTGCCAGGGCAGGTCGGTGATGCCGTGCTGGGCCGGAAGGGTGCTCATAATGTAAAGAAGACAAGTGAAGCCGGGAACTTCCATCGTCATCCAAGCGATCCTTCCGGGGATGTTGAGTTTACTTTGAACCGACGTCTTTCCCATGCCGTACCATGAACTGACCCATTGGACCGACGCGAACTGCGCAATGGGGTTAGATTGTCTATGAGAGAGAATGAATGTCCTTGATTCATACCAGCGGGTAAAACTGCCACCAGAACAATATCTTCTCATAGTTTTGTTGACTTGCAGGTAGCCAGTCTTGAATGATGGCCATGATGAGTTACTGAATGGTCGGGATTGGTAGCTTGCTTAGTATCAATGGAATTGGAGGGTTCTGAATCTGGCCTTGCAAAAAAACAAAGAACCAAAAGGAAAGCAGGATGATTTTTCGTTCTTAGGTATCAAGTGATTTCATCGATTTTCTGGATGTAACCACGGCATCGGCTGTTTATATAAACAAGTACTGAAGTACTCATCCCGGCCCTGGCTACAACCGGGACGTCGGAGGTCACCAAATTACATAATGGGACTTCGGAAAGCGAAATTAAATATCCGATAGGTGCGAGAAGTACCTACGTACAGTACTTATACCTGTATTATACTATAGGTATTAACGCAACTCTTAAAATGGCATGTTCATTTCACAGGTTTTTGGAAGTTTGAATCAAACAAAATCATGAAATCAGGCATTCAAAATATCAATTGGTTAATGTGCCTTTTGGCGTTGAAAGAATTCTGAGGCAACTACTAGATATTTACCTTAGGTAGGTCCCAGGAATGGACTGTTGGAAGTATTTGACACTTACAGTCCACATTAGGTACAACTTGTACAGATACAGTACGAATCATTGGCTAACGTCCCAGGCCATTACCTAATAGCCGCACATGCGTTAGGTATTGTGAAAGCCCAGCTAAAAGACTTCAGATGAAGATCTAAAACTGATAGTTTCAGTCTAAAAGATAAGCGAGAACTAGGCAGGATGATTGTTGCGTTGGTGTTCATTGCGTCATGAATAGATAGGTAGGGGTGGCTGAGCCTTATCATGGATGTGGCTAATTGTCGAGTTGTAGCTGACGAATTCGTTTATCCGCCACCAATAAGCTTTCGCATCTAGCTATTCCGCACCGCCACATACCACCTACATGGATACACAATTGGCTGGTTGTTTCCTGTTGTCAGCTTCCAAGGTTCAACTAAACAAGACCCTTGCTCCATCCCGCATTACCGGCTATACCAGATACCAGCGATATTCTGCTGCCTACATGGGCGTACATACTTCCTACAAACACTTCCAAGCTTCTAGCTCCTCAAAACATAATCGCTCTCTTTAACTTTCTAGACTTGAAATTGAAATACATACTTCAACTAACTACCATACTTAGACGCTGTCCATAGCATATTCATATTTATATTCCCATTCCTTCGTTTCGGGTGCCACGGCCATTCTACCTAAGCAACACGCAAACTGCAGAAACCGTGATGACGCAATTCCAAGCTTCGTGATTGTTACTCGCCTATCGTTAGCGAGATTTATACCTCGATTGAAGAACCAAAGTCCAATACTTGAGTAGTTGTTCGGCCGAATTGGCCTCGCCGAAATTTCACAATGGTCTCACGAAAACCGCTTCCCGACAGTACCTCGGTGAATACCAATACCCCTCCCCCCGCCGTTAGTATACAGGCTGTGAGACAAGAGCTTTGGTCTGCTACCGACTCCGAATCAGACTCTGAAAGAGTATGGGGAAGAGATAGCCCGGCACCGGTACAATACGGTCGCGGTGATGTCCGTGACACGAATGTTGCGGGGAGCGATAATACGTTGCAAGATGTGCCAGTTGCGCTTCGACCTGGCACAATTTCCAAGACCTCAAGCTTTCATCGGGATCAGGACGAAGAGAACCCCTGGGATGACCGTAATGGGAATAACCGCATAGAAACCGGACCTGTGACCGAACCTGAGCTTAAGTCAGACGAAATGCCCAAGTCTCTTTGGCCGGGAGGGACACGATTCGAGACGAACCCTTTCAAACGAAAGCCCGTCCAAGCAGCTTCACCAAGTCAAGGGAGTCAAGACAATCAAGAGTCCCCTGCCCCTCCTACAATACCTCCACCTCCTGTCCCAGTCGATCCATTCACCCAGTTACATATAACAGAGCCTGAAACGAGTACAAACCCATGGCAGCCTGCCCTCGGTGAATCTAGGACGTCTAATAGTCCACATCCAGCTCCACCCTTGTCCGATCAGGAAACTAGAAGTAATGTTTGGGACTCGGGTTTGCCGTCGAGAGTGCCATCAACAGGTCCAGTTTCGAATTCTCCATCCTTGCAACCTTCGCTCACAGAGGGTGAATCTCAGCCATGGGGTGATCCGCCTTCAGGGCCTTCGCTGCAGCAGCCGCCAGAAAGATCTCAAGGCGCGGATGAGATCTTTGACGATCAATCTGCCTGGGATGATATTGGATCTAATAGCAAGGGCAAGCAACCAGCTGTGCAAGCCACTCATACCCAATCTGAGACCGTTGACGGTTGGAATTTAATTGATCATGAGCCTATTCCGGAACCTGTCCCAGGAACTTTATCAAAGCAAAGCACTTGGGAGAACTTTGTGGATGCAGACGACGAGGCGCCAAAGGAAGTGACTGCGCCAACTGCGCCAACTACAACGGTAGAAGTGCCCCCAGCCTTACCGCCCCGACGACCGTCAAATGAGAATCCGCCACAGCAACCATCGCGGCCTCAACCGCCAAGTGCTACAGGCAAATCGGAAACTTACCAGATAAAGAATATCAATTGGTTTGATCCTAGGGCGGCTAGGAATCCCCGAAAATCGCCGATACTTGTGCAAAACGCCAACGGGCCTTGCCCTCTAGTCGCGCTCGTTAACGCGCTCACACTTACAACGTTGGCCAATCAACCAAATACGAATCTGGTGGAGACGTTGAGATCTCGCGAACAAATCAGTTTAAACTTCCTTCTCGAAGCTGTGGTCGATGAACTTGTGACTCATCGATATACTAACCTAAACGCATCGTTGCCGGACATGTCCGAATTATACTCTTTTCTGAAGGGTCTTCATACCGGCATGAATGTAAACCCGCTGTATATCCCAAGCCCCGAGAGTGTGGCAGCTTACAAGCAAGCGTGCCCGGCATATAACCCCTCTTCTGAAAGCCTCATTCCCGGGACTTTCGAGAATACACGAGACATGAAGCTCTATGCTACGTTTTTGATCCCCTTGATCCATGGCTGGTTACCTCCTAAGGAGGACCCAGCTTACGACTCCTTTGCCAGGCAGGCAACCTCTTACGATGATGTACAAAGCATATTATTCCGCGAAGAAGAGCTCGAGGATAAACTTAGCAACTCGGAGATGGGTCTCACTGAGCAGGAGCAGCAACTTTACCAAGACATCATCATCATTAAGTCCTTCCTCATGTCGTCCGCTACCCAGCTTACCCCATGGGGTCTCGAGGTCATCACTAAAGCCGTCCCACCGGGGCACGTGTCTATCCTGTTTCGTAACGATCATTTTTCTACCTTATATCGCCATCCTCAGACACTGAAACTCTTCAGTTTGGTTACAGATGCCGGCTACTATACGCACGACGAAGTCGTTTGGGAATCGCTCGTCGACGTTAGAGGCGAAAGGACTGAGTTTTTCTCCGGCGATTTCCGTCCAGTTGGTGGCCCGCAGCATCAGCGGTCTTCTGCGAGCAACTCGAGTCCATGGCATTCCGAGGCGGGATCAAGTAGCAATGCGCGAGAGGGCGAGTGGCAAACCGTCCAAAACCGACGATCGCAGAATAATAATCGCAGCAACGAAACAGATTCTAATTTGCCATCAGCCCCGAAACATGAACAAGAAGATCGAGATCTTGCATTAGCCTTGCAGCTCCAGGAAGAGGAAGAGGAGCGCCATCGCGCAGAGCAGGCCGCCCGTCGCCGCGAAAGCCAACTCTCGGAACAATTCATCGAACAGCAAGGTCGTCAAGGCACTCCATCTCGCGGTGGTCGCGGCGGCTCCATCAGTAGAGGTGGTGGGGGTCCTCAGCCACCGGCTAGAGGTAGTTCTGCTAACCAGTCCACGAGCACGTTGGCTAGTCGAGGAAGACCGGCGCAGCAACAACAGGTTAGGTCCTTGATCCCTCCGGCTTCGACCACGCACAGACCTACAGATGACAGCGTGGATGACGCACCGCCGAGCTACGAACAGGCCTCCAAAGCAACTCCGTACGTGCCGCCCGCGGGGCACCCCAGTCATCCAGAGAGCAGCCCGAGCAGTGCGACACCTAGGAGGAGACCCACCCTCCCTGGACAAAGTAGTGCCGGACCAAGTACGCCAGGGAGAGGGCGCCAGGGGGCGGGACAGCCAGTTCCTGCTGGCGGCCCTTCCTCACAGGCAGGTGGCGGGAGAGAAAAGGATTGCATTGTGATGTGAAACGACTAAATCATGACAGGGACCCATGTAGGTATTACGACGGAAAGAGGACTCATGCATGAGTACTCAAGATGATGTTACTTGGTTATGAGATCGGCACGGCTTCGTAGGAATTCTATGTCACGGGAATTGTATTATTAACAAGGGATGGGGATTAGCAATTAGCAGGCACGGGCAAACTATGTAGCTGGTGAGCTTTGGCCGGGAATATAAAATATCCGCGGGATTCAGTTTGTTGTTAGATGACTCTTATCGTTTGAGGGGCAAGTACTGCGTGAGAATGAGGTTATCGCAAATTATGCGGTTCAGTATGAGAAAAAGGATTGACTAACGATATTCACCGCAGCTGCGGAGCTCTGAGAAAAGGCTGGCGGCAGACGGAAGACGACATGAGATGGTCAAACCATCGGTCTATTAATCAACATCTATCTAACCGTAATCTAAGACTCAGCATTTCACGCACTTATTGCACTTTTTTCCATGACTACCGCAATCACCAGTGCCACCGCAGCAGAAACAGGGGCTTATGTCTAATCCTACTCCCGCGCTACTGCTACCCCCGTGGTCAGTAATAGTATCATCGTCGTCACTATCGTCGTCGTCGTCGTCTCCACTGCTACCGCCACGGTATCGACAACACATACCTCCGTACCCGCCCCCGAAAGCGTGGCGACATCCCCTGCCGTGACGCGGACACAGACCGTGAACGAAGCCTAATCCTAGGCCCATGCGTCGCTGGTGCACGTGTTCGGCGCAGTACACGTTGCCGCCCTCTCTTATGCCTGGCGACGGAACTGCTGCCGTCGTAGCAGCCGCCACCGCTGCTGCTGTTGGGGTGGTAGTAGTGGAAACGGTGGTAAGCCGTGGATTAACGCACTCGGACTCGACGCAGCGATGAACGTCGCAGAATAGGGACGTGCGGGGCGAAGTCGCGGTTATGGTCTGCGAGAGCATGGTCAGGCACCCGTCGGCCCGGCACACGTGGTACCGGCACGCGGCGGCGTTGCCCTCGGCATCGAGGAGGCAGGACGGGAAGGCGCATTTGGATTTTTGATCTGTGGGTTAGGTTAACGGGGGTAAAATGAAATAAGGGAGGTATTATATGAGAAAAGACTAGAGATGGGAAAAGGATGAGGTAAGTGGGAATGAACAATGGAATAGGGGAAAGGAAAAACAAATGGGAAGCAGGTAGATATGGATACATACGCTCTTCACACCTCGGCAACCTAACCCCCCTCCCCCTAACCGCACGGAAAGCAAGGCACCCAACCTCCTCGCACAACTCGTGGTCAGCGCAGTACACAGGATTCGTCGGCGTCCCCTCGCGCCTATTCGGACAATCTTCCTGGCGCGTCAACGCCGCCATACACATATGGTCCGCGCACCAAACACCTTTCCCCTCCCCTCCTATTCCTACTCCTACTCCTACTCCTACTCCCACTCCCACTCCTCGCCTCACCCCCGCGCCCAGCCCCGCCCCGACGCCGTTATACCCCGTGCTCCCCGAATCATACCGCTGCTTCGCACACCCGGGCTCAGCGCACTCGTGGCCCTCGCAGAAGAGCCCGCGCTCGACGTCGGCGCGCGCGTCGGCGCAGGTAGGGTACAGCGCACACGTGTGTTCGCGACACGCGGTCGCGGTCGCGGTCGCGCTCCCGTCGACGCGCTGTCCCGCGCAGACGGGTGACGCCGCGCAGTGGTGTGCGAAGCAGTATTTGCCCGCGCGGTGCGTGGCGTCCCGGAACGCGAGGCTGGGGCACCCGGCGGCTTGGCAGGGTTGGTGGCCTGGGCAGTAGTAGTAGTGGTGCTGCTCTGCTGGTGCGTGGTCTAGGAGGGGATTTGGCGAGGGCGAAGGAAAGGGGGTAGGGGTAGGGGTAGGGAAAGGGGATGGGGAAGTTGGGGGGAAGGGCGGATGGACGCAGTTTACGCAGCCGTGGATGCGGCATGTGTGTCTTCTGCAACAGAGCCCCGGGCCGTGGCGTGGTTGGTCGCAGGTGCGTACGTTGCAGGCGTGTTTTGCGCAGTATGATGAGTTGGGGTGTTTCTTGGAGCGCGGGGCGTGGCAGGTTGGGTGGGCGCAGGAGTCTGGGAATGGGATATTAGTGAGGTCTTAAAGGGTGGGAGTTGGGTTGAGGGAATAGGGGTTGGAGTTTCTGGAGTTTGCTGGGAGAGGTATGGATAAGGAAGGGGATGAGTTGGGGGAGAGAGGAGACCAATGTTCGGAGCAAAGCAAAACCGAGAGTTATCGAGATTGGATAGCAGGGATGGGGAAAAGGGGAAAGTCGGACAACTTACGATGACGGCATATCCTCTCTTCCCCATGACCACGCTTGAAGCCCGTCTTTTGCTGAAGACAGACAGTACACACGTGCTGTTTACAATACGGCGAGAACACCGTGTTAGTGATGATCCTCTTATTGTTGCATGTTTTAACATGGCAAGTCATGCCCGTATGAAAGCATAGTTGCCAAGGAGATAGCGCCATGCTTCCAAATTTCTGGAATTTTGGGTAGGCATGCGGGTGATGACTTGGAGCCTGGAGTCATTGGGATAAGATAGAATATAGTATAAAGTTTGAGGCTCTGCCCCAGAGCCAGCTCAAGTTAGTCGGAAATATCCGAACGCGGATCTTATTCAGAGCGAGCCGATCCCTTTTGACTCAATTCCGGGCTCCGAAGGAGGTTATGACTAGCCTGGTAACTGTCCGCCGTCCAAATACCGGTAGTAGGGAAGACATCGTGGCGGAATGGTGTCAAACACGGGATATGACGTGGACGATGGGATGGGCTGGGTAAGGCATAAGATACCTACCCGTCTAGGACAATCAAACAGTGTGTTCATTTACAGCGCCCTGGTTATCGCTCTCTTGAAGGTTCGTTACACGCCGAGAAAAGAGGCTGTAAGGCTGACGGCTACATGATAGATCGTGATGCAGCTCGCCATGTCCATAGAAAGACTAGAAGACCCTAAGCCACGGTCGGTAACACGTCAAAGAGCCTCCTGTTGCACCAGAACTACATTGTGGTACAGTCTGTCTACTCTTAGGTAGAGAACGAAGAAAGCCTTATCCGAGAAGAACCTCTTTGTAGCAGTCATAGCAACATATTAGAGATTCTAGGAACGGGATACTGAATGCAAGAATTAAAATACATCTCGAGTATCAGCATCTAGCTAACTTTCTTCGGTTTACTGATTTCTTTTATAACTCCAACAAATCAGGCATATGTAAGGACTGAAATATCAAGTAGGTACCTACCTAGTTTACGAAGCTTGAGTCAACGTCTGCCAAACGAAAGATACGGGAATAGCCCTACCGACACCAGAAGGTAGTATTATACCAACCACTACTGCTTGGAAAGAATACCACGACAAAGCAAAACGAAGTTCTAGAAGGCCCCCCGGTAACACTATTCAACGCATGCCCGCAAGCATCCGTCGCGGGGGACATTCACAATCCAATAGGGCGGGCGTAGGCGAACTTGTATCACACAATCCACTCGATATTTCTCGTCCGAATCAATGGCATGTTCCATTCGATAACGTGCCAACTCAAAGAGCAAAAGGCTGATGTTTGTCTAGCGCTATATGCCTAACCTAGGTAAACAAAAATCGACGGCAACTGTTTCTGTTACCTCCCAAAAGACCGCGACCGCCAGAACCACCCAGGGGTATCAATCATGCATGACATAAGTCTAGTCAAGTTTGACTTAAAAGGAAAAAAAAAGCAACAACGATACTACGGTTGGGGCGGACCTTCCAAAAACCCGTCATTCTCAAACCAGTAGGTCCATTCCGTCTTCTCCCAAAACTATTGAGGCGACGTGGCTGCCGGTGTAGCCGAGGTGGCGTTAGAGGGTATACGTCCTTCTTCGACATTAGGCGGGTCGGAGGCGGCCGCTGATTCCCTTTCCCTTTCCCTCTCCCTTAGTAGCGCAGCTCCCAAGTTCAGAACCGCTGCGTCAACGCTACTGAGCTCATTCTTCTCCGGCTCGATGCTTTCTACAACAGGAGCCGTTTCCGGAAAAGTCATGGACGTAGGTGCTGTAGTGGCGACAGGATTTGATGACGGGGCTATCGTCGAAGGCGTAGTAGTCGCGCTAGTAGGAAGTATCTGCTGCTCAACCTGTGTAATAGGGGATGGTGGCGTATGTTGGTGAACCGACGAGGTGAAGGTGGGGAGGCTGACTGGTTGCGGTGCAGGGATAATTGGACGTGACAGAGGGGTGGGTGTGGGTGCAGATGACTGAATGTGTTGCTGAGTAAAACTTGGTGTGTCTGGTTGTGAGTTAGGGTGAGATAGAGGCTGATTAGGTGTTGCGCTTCTAGGCACCGTGGTCGAGGGGCTCTGTCTCGATACGGCGTGGTTCTGTAAGCCTCCTGCCAACGTTAAGATTCCATTCACATGAGCTTGTTGCTCTTCCGAGTTTAGCCTCGCCTTCTCCTCGGCCTCTTTCCTTGCAGCTTGAGTAGGAGCCCTCGTCTTCAACTCGCCGGTAACGCATTGAAGGTAATATGGCATTTCCGAATTCGTCTTAAGGAAGAATAACTTCAAGTTCCGGGCTTTATCCTTTAATTGAACTTGAGTTCGGTCTGCAAGAATGTTACTGATGGACCCGTTAGGACCAAATAATGACAAGATCTGTGACCAATGTGGACCCTTGACCATATCAAGACCCATCATAAGTGCCTTTTCTTCTTCGGGGCTCCAGGGTCGACGAGTCGAATGCGAGCCTTCTCGGCGTGCATGAGTGGATGAGCGTGCCGCCGCCGCCTGCCGGGCACGTTCATAGAGCGCCGGAGTTGAGTCGCTCTGATTGGGTGGAAGGTGATCGTTGGTTGTCTGGTATGCAGGCATCCCATTATTTTGACCATGTTGTTGATAATGGTACTGTTGATGTGGTTGCGTTTGTTGTGTTTGCTGTTGATGCGCTTGCTGATGCTGTGGGTAATTGATATGACTTGTAGTCGAGTGAGACGGGGCTAAATCCAGTAAGCAATTACGATTCGTAACCAAAGCTGCATAATGTAAGACTTACTGGTGGATTGGGGAAGCGCCGTTGGTTGATATTGATTCTGCTGGATACTTTGCAGCGCCAACATAGTAGCCCTCGAGGCACTCTCAGCCGCAGATGCAATAGCCGATGGTAACTCCGTAGTGTTCCCCTTAGCCTGCTCGACTGCCTTAGAAACATTTTCTGCCAGAAATGCAGATAATTCATCTAGCTCGTGAGATTCGTTGTGGAGATCGGGTACTTCACCACCCGGCTCAAGGGCGCTCTGGGCTGCCCTTGAGGCCTCCGCGATCATAGCGTTAAGGTCAAAAGTCTCGTCTAAGCCGTGATCGGTATGACCATTCTGGATATTGTCCTCAATGGATGTCGTGGTTTCGACTTCACCAGTACCTTGAACCCTGATACTCTCTATATGGTCATTGAGGAATGTGCTGAGACTATCGAGAAAAGCTTCGTACGTAAATTGTTTGCTTAGTGCTTCTATGATGGAATTAGTATCTCCGAGGCCAATTAGACATCACGAACATACGAATGCTGTCGGCATCACCGGATTCATTTGAAAGCATAGCCTTGCGTGCTTTCGCATTTGCTATGAACTCATATTCAGAGACCGACAAGGGAAGATTTGGATGATGCTCTCGCAGGGAATTCTCGAGTCTCGTAATGAAGAGATCGTCTAGGAGCTGTTCTCTAGCCATCCCATCAGTCTCTATCACAGCGAGAAAAATCTGCGTTTTTAAGCCCAGATATAAGTCTGCGGCATCTCGTGACACTTCTTGATTCTCGGGTACGAATATGCGCAAAAAGTGGTCGTTAATCTCTTCTAAACCAAGCTCGTTGGTACCGAACACGCTCGCGCAAGCTGTCGCAAGATTTATTACCCGTATGACCTCCCGAGTCTGGCTCGCAACATTGAGTTGTTCGGGATATAGCAGTGTATGTGTATCGGACAAAAGTTTCCGCTGCGCATCGAAAGCTGCCTTTAGGACGGCATATTCCTTGGCGATGTCCGAGTCTGGGTCACCGCTAAGAGTCGCGACAGTGTCTTCCAAAGACTGCTCAGACCAAGCAGTAATGATATCAATTGCCTACTAATTCTTAGTCTCTTCAATTCTGTCAACTTCCCCATACCACACCTACCAGACTGCCCAGACCAGGTATAATATGTTTTCGGCGCGTAAAGTCTCTCGGGTTGCTCCATAGAGTCTCGGGCCGCGGCTCGGAATTTTCAACGGGACTTTGTGCTTGTTGTTCGAATGTCGCCTCCAGGCCCGGTATATCGTGAGATACATGGTTGGCGTGTTCGTTCTCGCTGGATGGCAAACCATCGACTCTATCGGGTTCTAGTTGGAATTGTTGCATAGCTTCAGCCTGGGCTTGCTGCACGAGAAGAGCAAGCTCATCCATCTCATTCGCGCTTTCACTCTCCATCTTAGCTTCTATTTTTAGTCGCTTTTCATCTGTCCGTTCACCGCCGTCATTGGGAGTTCGCGGTCGCTTGGCAGGCGACGGCGGCCGTTCGGGTGCTGGATCGAGGATCATGGCGTCGTTGTTCGGCGGTTCGGTCTTGATGTCAGGACCTTTTGACATATTGTCAGTGGAAATATATTACTCTTGTTTTTCCATATTTATTCGTATTATTAAAAATGATATTAGAGTCCATGGTATAAGATGTAGATAGCCACCTCTACGAAGCACCTAGAAGAAAGAAACCAAAGTTGAGCGACGACTTACTGGTTGGCGGCGCGGCAGCAGCCATGGCTGCCGCAATGGCTTCTGCGACGTCAGCCATAGGTCAACTTGGTTTGCGCGACAGTAAGGACATCGATATTAAGTATCAATGGTAGGTAAATGAGATGTTGTAGTTGTCGGAATGTGAAATAAGCTGTATGTCTTGATGTACCTATTCAATCCATCACTCTTAAGAGTTGATACGGCGAAAATTTAGTCAAAGCGTCTGATAAGATTAGAAGATTGCCCTCAATTCTTGCCCCAAACATTTTAGACCACACCGATACACAAAAGTCTGAACTTTAATTCCTGAACTACCTAATAATAAATCTAAACGTATTTGGACGTCCAGGACGTTCAAGCTCTTTCCCATAATTGTCATTAGTCATAAGGTTATACTTCATAGTAGCATGAATTTAAAGAGTCACTTCAACCTTGAAATGTCAACTTGTATACTGGACACATGTGCAGTAAGTACTGCTCAACTACAAGACCAATACAAAATATTCAAGTAAAATTATAGAAAGGCTATTCATGTCATCGTATGGTCCACCGTACACACTGCAATTGGCCAGAAATTGGCGAAGCTGGTCCAGACTGCAATCAGGTAAGGATATAGTCGACGTTGAAGACTTTAATAGGCCAAACACCGCACAAAATGAGGCACGAAATGAGGCACAGAAAGTTATATGATCCATCGTTATAGAGAGTTATCGGAAGATACGGCAAGCCAGTCCTCGTCGCTATACCTGTATATAAAAGCAACGGTGAGTCTTCGCAACTCACCTAGAGTCTATCTGAGCACCTAGTTATCGGAAATAACCTCGGGTTAAGCATCATCCAACATACTATTAAGTCAACTTGTTCACTTCTCTTATCAGGTTGATTTCAGCCAAGATGTCATCTTCCACAGACGATCCACGTTCCGTAATGGAGTCCACACTACTCACTTTCCTCGGGCATCAGGCAATCAATCGTGATGTTGATCCAGAAGTACCAGTGTCATTGACCACACCAGAATGTCTATGGTATATAAAACCAGACAGTTTTATAGCCAAGTACCCATTCGTCGACAGCGTCAAGACCTCTGCCGAGCAGAAAGAGCATATGGGACAAGAGAGTAAAATTATAGAAGAGTCGCGAAACAAGATCCTTGCCTGCACCATCGATGCGGTTAAGCGTAAGGGGAGCGCACACGTTGAACATTGGACAAAGTTCGTTGGTGGTGAACCATCAATCATGGAAATATGTTGGTTTGTGGACTTTACAGACGATGGAAAGAAGATCTCGAAGGTGGTCAAATTCATCGATACCGCAGAAGGGGCGAAGACAATTGACGAAATGGCTAGGGGAGGGTATAAGCTTGAAGAGGAGGCTGCTAGTAAGAAGTGAGAGTCTGGCCAAGTCTAACGCCTAACTCCTAAAACTCTTGCGATCGGAACCCCACTACCTAGTTCACTAGTCCTGCGCGCCGGGCTTGACTTCTCGGTGAATATAAACAATCCGTATGTGCGGTCTAAGACATCATTACGTAGTATTATTGGGTGAATCGCGACTTTTATTTTATACGTGTTGTCGTAATTTGTACGTATCGTAGGTAGGTTTTAAAGGACGAGTTATTACTTAACACTAAGCAAGTTGTGTTACCCAGAATCTTTTGAGCCTTCTGGTGGTTACGATTAACTGATATAAAAGGAGGCATATGAATTAGCGTCATGTCCTGTTAGACTTATGGAATCCAAACTAGAGATTCAATGCTAATGCCTTTTGCCCGTGTTCAATATTTCATGACAAGTTTGGGATTATTTCGTTTCCGGGGAAACAATGAGAACCGTGCTATCCTCGATATTTGTACTTCTGTAAAGAACCTAAAGAGACCCTCAAGATTCCATGAATGGCTTGGCTCGCTAAGTGCTAACCCGAGATAGTATTCCGTCGCATTCAACAACATACAACTCTCAATTGATTGGATCCTTGGGAAACGTATACTACCTACTAGATATTGACCCAAGACTGTATAGAAGCATCTGTCCAGATGATTTCAAATCGACTGATAATCGACACGAGAATAAGGGGTAAGTAGAAGGAAAAAAATACAAGCGAAATCAAAGCTCAACAATTATCACTCACATCCACCCAAACGCGTATTCTCATGCAGTTAAGCGCCTAGTCAAAGCCACAGTGATCTCTGAGTTTTTCCCCTCCGCCGAAAGGAGCGTGATGAAAATGGACAGAATAGTAAGGTGGGGCATAGGACGAGTGGGTTGAAGGGAAACACGCCTCTTCGAGGTTCCACCCACGTCTGCGGCGGTCATGTTTCACCAGCTTTCGTTATCGAATACAGTAAACCGTTTTTACCTTTCGTCCGTAACAAGGTCATGTTCAAACATCCACTATTCTGCTGAGTCTGGGTATGGTAATCATACGTCTCACGATAGGTGAACCAATCCCAAGCATGTCGCCACGCTATCGATGTCAGAACGTGAGAAGAGACGCATGTAAGCGGACGTTAGTAAGGGGTCCTCGAAGTCAACTTAGACGAATAATGTCCGGAACAGGCAATTCGAGCCTCGGCGTGAACACGATAACGAACTTCATGAAACATGGGTTTTGAGGCTCCTTCTTCGCTCTTCAAGGATGGATCTTCCATTTGTCCGTCTCGAGCCTCTGGCACCGCTCGTGTTGGCGTTCGCGTTGGCGCGGCTGCTTCGTTCGCGTACCTACTCACCTGCTCACCTGCGTATTCGCTTCGCATTCCGGGGTTTGCTTGGCTGTCTGTGTGCCTGGTTCATGGGTTCGTAAGCACCCCGTCCTGCCTTCCCGTCGTCCCCCATTGTCTTGCCCCAGAGTGATAAGTCGCCCGCACGAACTGAGTTCCTCCGCACTGCGGGGAACATTAGACCAGACCCCTAAACGGCTAAAGCAGTCAGTTTCGTGTGTTGCTCAACGACTGTGGCAAAAACATCATTCGATGCGATTACATTGTGGATGGCGCAATGCAAAATTTGTTGAAGTCGGTGTAAGTCTTCTCAGATTCAATTATTGGCCTATTTATTTATTTGTAGGATTTGTACTACACTTATGATTTCACAATTATTCGTGGATGAAGAGCCGGATATGACGATTGGATGTAATTGGTGTATAAATACATGCCTAATACAGCCGTATAAAACGCTTTTTTTGCTTAATAAGTGCGGGGTTGAGACTGAACACCGCCCAAGACTCTCAGGCTTTTCAAGCTCCAGTTTAAGCTGCCGAGTAGCTATCCCTAAGGGAAGAGGATAGAGCAATCGAAGTATTGGAAATAGTCAAATCTAATTGACCCCTTTGGTCACACTAAAACGGCCAAGACCACTTAATGACATAAGTTTATGACATAACCAGCAAGGTAGCTATGTGTAATATTAGTCTTCTATGCACTAGTCCGTGCTTCTTTGAGGAAGTCGCCAAAGAGGTCAGCTGGGCAATAAACCTCCCCGACTTCACCTATTCCAAGGTTGTCGCGATAGATTTGTTACTAATTGCAACCAATAATCTCAACTCCTTCCACTCCAGACTTCTCCGTAAACTAAAAGCAAGTGCCTCCCTAGTTACCCCGAAAGCCCCATACTTCCGGGAGAGTGGAAATCCTCCGTTCCACACCCGCAGCGACTAAATCATGTAGGGGGTAATGCGAAGTAATGGTGCTATGTCGTTTGGGGTAACGGCTTGGTATCTGGATATCTCAATTGCCACATAATGACACCGTCTAGCAAGTTACCCCGCCTTTTATCTCGGGGGCTTGAAGGGGAACTCCATATGCCTCCATGCCATACAAAGATGAGATTCAACCCCCCTTCGAAGAACAAGACCTACATATATACCTCCCCCAAACCGTCATTGACTCCCATTGAAACGTCTCCTCATCTCCTACACACGATTCCCCAATACCACAATACAACAGATCGACGTAGGACGCCGCATTTTCTCTGCCTTTTTGATACCCCTTGCATATAAGAAATACGACCTGTCATATACAATATGCCTCTCTTCGCCCAGCTCAAGACTCCCCTTACTGGCGAATATACCCAACCTACCGGACTGTAAGTCAGCACTAAACGTCGCCAAGATACCCCTCTTCCACCAATGGACGATGTTTCTACAACTACAAAATTCCCTCTTTGTCCATAACTGATAATCTATACTTAGGTTCATCAACAACGAGTGGGTTGAAGGTGTTGACAAGAAGACATTCGATGTTATCAACCCCGCCACAGAGGAAGTCATTACCCAAGTGTGCGAAGCCACTGAGAAGGATGTCGACATAGCAGTAGCCGCCGCCCGGAAGGCATTCAACGGCCCGTGGAGAACATCTACTACCCCTCTGCAGCGAGGTGTCTACCTAACCAAACTCGCCGACCTTCTAGAGAAGAACCTAGATTTATTAGCTGCTGTAGAATCTCTCGACAATGGAAAGTCTATTACAATGGCTAGGGGTGATGTCACGGCCGTTGCCAACTGCATCAGATACTACGGCGGCTGGGCGGACAAGATCGAGGGTAAAACTATCGACATTAACCCTGAGTCGTTCCACTACACTCGACATGAGCCCGTAAGTAAAATGCCCAACAATCCATTTAGATACGAATAGAAGTCTCACAATTCGAAGGTTGGTGTTTGCGGTCAAATTATTCCATGGAACTTCCCCTTATTGATGTTGGCGTGGAAAGTTGGACCTGCTCTTGCTACAGGAAATACTGTTGTCCTGAAGTCCGCCGAGCAGACACCCCTTTCTGCTCTTCTCTTCGCCGGTCTCGCCAAGGAGGCCGGTTTCCCTCCCGGTGTTCTTAACATCATTTCTGGTCTCGGCAGGATAGCTGGTGCTGCCATGTCTGCTCATATGGATATCGATAAGATTGCTTTCACTGGCTCTACCGCTGTCGGCCGCACCATCATGAAGGCAGCGGCAGCATCTAACCTCAAGAAGGTGACTCTAGAACTCGGTGGCAAGTCGCCTAACATTGTTTTCGATGACGCGGACATCGAGCAAGCTATCTCTTGGGTTAACTTTGGTATCTACTTCAACCACGGCCAATGCTGCTGTGCGGGTTCCCGAGTCTACGTGCAAGAAGGTATCTACGACAAGTTCATCGAGGCCTTCAAGAAGCGTGCGCTCGCGAACAATGTCGGTGATCCATTCGATGAGAATACTTTCCAGGGCCCACAGGTCAGCAAGATGCAATACGACCGTATTATGGGATACATCGAGGAGGGTAAGAAAGAGGGTGCCACAGTCGCTGTGGGCGGTGAGCGACACGGAGATAAGGGCTACTTCATCAAGCCCACTATCTTTACCGATGTTACCTCTAAGATGAAGATTATGCAAGAAGAAATCTTTGGCCCCGTCGTTGCCGTTGCCAAGTTCAAGACGGAAGAGGAGGTCATTGCGATGGGCAACGACAGCGCTTACGGATTGGCAGCCGCCGTCCACACCACTAACATCACCACCGCCATCCGCGTAAGCAACGAGCTACGCGCAGGCACCGTCTGGGTCAACAGCTACAACCTCTTATCTCACGCTTTGCCGTTCGGTGGATTCGGAGAGAGTGGTATTGGTCGCGAACTAGGAGAGGAGGCCCTTTACAACTACACCGAGACGAAGTCGGTATCGATCCGGTTAGCAGGCCCGATATTCTAAACGCGACGGTTAGAATAGGAATAAGAAGCTAGAGAAGCCGAGGTGTACTGTTGTACTGTCAAAGTGGATGGATACGGATTACTCGCCATGTATGAGGACCTACAAGATAAGGGCCGGGTCAGTGATACCAACATGGCTGAATGAGTAAGATCATGGGAGTAATAATCCCTGTATATATTCAAGATTAACTAGTCAGTTTGCTATGGCGTACCTCCACTTGGCAAAATAAGATAACAGTCATTTTTTGCTATATTTATTTCCGCTTCACCTCCTCGTTCCCGTCGGTGCCTAAGCTGTTTGTTGATTTATGGAGGGGTGGCCACGTAGTATGTCAGATACGAAAAGATCACGGAGCCGAAAGTGCTAAAAGGTGAACTGTTCTCTGAAAAGTGTAAATTTGTAACCGCACATCTGACCATCATTATCGTCCGTAGTTATCGTTCGCCTTCGGATATTTGCTCAAAAACGGATCCATGTATACCAGCGTGCGCGAAGGAGAAGAACGATGATGACTTCGAGGGGGCGAAAAGACGGGCTGACTTCGAGCGTCGCTAGCTAGTGTCGAGAGAGGGTGAGGCCTCTTATGTAACTAGTCACCACATCATAATTCTTCGAACGAAGGATCCTACACCTGGGAATTTTGAGATCATATCATGAAAATGGAAGGGGGGCTGGTGACCTTGAAATAAATCAGCCTCCCATGGCTTGACTTAGCCGTAGTAGCTGGTAAGGAGGATGGGGCTGAGCTGATCGTGGTTTCTTTCCCAGCAATTTTTGTTCAGCGGGCCTGCCATCCAACCAGCCAGATGGGTCGGATTTAGACATGGCAAGGACATGGGTCGCATCAGCTGAGAGTGTCTGTGCGCATGATAACGCAGGTACGTACCCTCCTTCTTCCTGTATCCACTCCGTTTTATTGGCTGGGCTACTTGCATATTCTTGCATTAGAGCGATGCACCTTCGCGGATGCGCGGTTATGCGCGAACGGGTGCATCGATCTGGCCCGCGTTCTGCTTTCCAAGATCATGCATCGGCATCCCAGATAGGAATCCATCTCTTTGTTTTGAAAAAAAACCCTCGTCGGCGATCTGTTTGAGTACATTTCAAGCCATGTTTCTCTCGAGGAGTATTCACTGCCCCGGATTACATGCTGGTTAAAGAACTACTGTGTCGGGATTTGTCTTCGACTTTAGTTCCTCGCCAAATAGTTCGTGACCAGCGCCTCGTCTGAGACACGACAAGGGACTTTGGAACCAAAAGTCAACTGAGGGCGTCCGGGCTTCAGGCGCCTCACGTCCGATGACGTCTTCGGCCAACCCTATGCCCATTATCTATTATACTTACAGCCCACCCCTATGAGGAAAAATAGGCTGCGATGAGTAACTCTTGCTGCCCAACACGGGCGCCATCGCTTACGCTGTGTACGTTGTCTTCGCTAGGAGCGGGTGAATCAATCCATAGACTTCACGTCCTCACCCCCCCCTTAAAGCTCCCTGTCAAATACGTGGTAGGGGGGCCATGAGGTTCACCGGCAGAGCCTCGTGATATCAACCCACCCCTAGATTTAGACTTCACCTGTTTGCCTCCTAGTCCCCACCATAGCCTCGTGGAGGAGGCCTATCAGACATGTTGAACCTGGTGCCTGCTATAGCATGTAGATGCTGCTTATAATGAAAGAGCTCCCTTGCCGACCCGGCCGGCCGTCCCTTGGCCTGGGTATCTCCTCTCATTCGTTTTTCCCGTAACATTAGCTCCAACGCTTGCATCTATACTCCACCACGCCAGCGCGCCTCTCGTCCAACCATCAGCCAAACCACATCTTCACCCTGTCGATCAACCAAGATCCAAGGCTCTAGTTAGTTACAGCTAGCCACAAGTAATTGCATACCTAAGTAGCGTACCAACCAACCCACCGACCCTCGAGCGCCGGGATAGCATGCCGACGCATATGTTCGAATACATTATCCGGACCAGCCCTTCGGGCCGGCACCACCACCACCGCAACAGTCACGACTCGCACTACCACTCGCGGACGACGACGACGACGCGCTGCTTCGACACCTGCGCCGGCGTCGCGGTCGAGAAGTGGAACGGGCTCGTAGAGCAGAACCACGAGCTAGCGAGCTCGAACGAAACGCTGACGCGCGAGAACCAGACGCTAAAAACGGAGCTGCAGAGCGCGGGCCAGGAGAACGCGCGGCTGTCGTCGTGCAACGAGCGCCTGGCGGCGGAGGTGTGCTCGCTGCGGCGGTCGCGCTCGGCGGACGGCGAGACGGCGGCGGGGTTCCGGCGGCGCATCGCGGCGCTGACGAAGGAGGTCGGGGAGCGCGAGGCGGAGGCCGACAGCCTGCGCAGGAAGAAGGGGTACCTGGCGACGCGCGTCGACGTGCTGAGCGAGACGGTGTCCAAGGACGCGCGCACGATCGCCGACCTGACGAGGGAGCTGGCCGATTTGCGGAGGCACGCTGATCGCTTCAAGGCGCTGTACGATAAGTACAGGCGCCTGTTCCAGGACCGCGAGAGGGATGTCGAGGAGAGCAATCGCCTAGTCGAGGAGCAGCGGCGCCGGCTGAGGTATCTCGAGAGCCCGCTGCCGTTTCGGAGGGGGCGGCGGTATAGCTGTGCTTAAGAGGTGCCCGAGGGAGTTTGGGGGATTCTGTCTGCTAGTACTCTGCGTTGCTACTTTGCGCGTCTACGATTTTCAGGGGTGGGTGTTTCTAGGGGGCTGCGGGTTAGGCTAGCATTGGATAGTATGAACGACTTGTAAGTTTACTTTTACGTTTTCTTTGCACTGGTATTGGAGGATTTCAAGGAGCTAACTTGAATCTTTTAGTCCCTACTACGCTACGATGTTTACAGTTTCATTTCGTTGAAGTTTACGCGTTACGCCGAATAGGGGATATGGATAGGGGTTAAGGGGTCGGAAGAGCCAACTAGTTCGGTCTCTCATTATTCTTTTTTTCGAGGTTACGATGTACGACTATGTGTGATCTTCTTACCTGTACTTAAAATTTGATACCAGAATTTCAGTTCGTTTCTTTTGTTTCCGTGGGGGATGAAAGGGGTGGGGGAGGGAATGAGAAAACTGGAAACCAGATTGAGGTAGGGGCTCCCTTGGTACCTGTGCAAAGGGGGTTCTCCAGGACTTAGGTAGTCCGCGTCCGTCGTTCTTGAACCATTATTACATGGGTAGCTAGACGCGGTTAGGAGTAAAATAATGCAGTTTGCCTAAATCCGTAGGAACCTACACCAAAACTTGCAGTATCTTCCGAATCAATGATTCACTCCTTTATCATGTCTGCGGGGTGAGCGGTCCTAGATCGATCGGTCTGATAGTTTAACGTCTCGTGAGACTTGGGCTTGAGCCGGTTGTCATGTGGGAGTTACCTCGACTGCTGCACCATTAGACTGACACATGATGCCTGAACATTTCGTAGGCCGAGGAAGCATCGCCGTCATGCCACGCACGAAAGCTTTCATACCTAAATGTGCACTTTCGTCTGTCCTACGTTTCTGTGTTCAGATGCGTAATACTGCCAGCACCCTGTGTTCAAAAGCTGTCGTCGTTAGGCCGCCACTTAGGCAGAAAACTCGGATATTTCGTGTTCCTGCGACCTACCATGAACTACCTAGTTGAAGCGAATATCTTAGAGCAGCGATATCGCTTGGCATGTCTGCCTTACGAGAGGTAGCCAACAACCTCAACCCCTTAACGAGCCCGGGTCAATCTATCCCCGCAAAGCAAACGCCGACATGTACCTATTTGGGTAGGTAGTCTTGTCCTAGAATAAGAGGAAATAATATGCTTGCTTACCTAACCTGATTAGCAATGATCCTGGATATGGCTTGGGACCTTGAAAAGGGGGGTGTCTGGAAAAGGAGAAGACTAGCATTTTCCTACTAGCCGATTCAGCAGCTACTGTTCGCTGGTTTCCCAATTTGTCAGTCAGTGCATATATGGCTGTAGCATATAATATTTCTTATATAGCTCTGTGCCTGCGATCAAATGCCAAAATGGAAGTCCAACCTCGGGGGTCCGCGTATCTAAGCAGTGCCGCGAGTTGATGGATACCATGATGTAGTTTATTGGCTCATTTGCTGTTGGCTGTTGGCTGGATACTGTTCCTGGCGGAGGACCGACGGACATCATAAGAGGAAAACCGGGTTTATGGTTGGCGGCTGCCTTAATGATAACCTAAGTAAGATTCTCAGCCGCGGACCACCCACTCCATATAGTAAGTAGGCGGAGATATTTTGGCAGCCTACTTCACCCCACGTCCTTAGGCCCGATCATTGTATCTCTACAGAGCATTTCTTATTTTTAGGTAGGCTTTGGCACATTTCTCATGAGCCGTTCGTCCCGGACGCGAATGCGTAATACCATAACGTATCCCATCATTGACAACTCAGCATCGGTACCACCGGATGCGTCCGGGGTTAACACATCTTGCCAAAGTGCAATTTTGGTTCTTCCCTTTTCCAAGATTCCGGGGATTGAAACATTTTTGGGGTCTGGAGGCGCAAATCCGGGGCATTCCGCAGTATCCCCGACGTTGTGCAGTCCAATACCAGCTGGCTGTGTCTCATCATCGAAGAGGCGATTCACATGGAAATCCGGATGGGGTGTAGCAGCAAGGGTCGCCGCTTATTTGGATAGACGCTGGTGGTGTGTAAGAGGATCCTACTAGACGTGTATTGATCTCCGTGAATTGCGGGAGAGGCCGTTGGGAGGGTTGAACAACCAAAGACGGAAACATGATCAGCTGAGTTAGGTGATGCTGGGTTTGGACCTTGAGTAGCTCGACAGTGCTTGAGGAATGCGTTCCTTGATAATAACTCGTTGGGAGAGACAGCCGCAGTGGCTGTGCCCCATTATGATGTAGCCATACATCCATTACTAAACTTAGACGCAATGACTAAGCCATTTTCTCGCTGCAGATACCTACCTGTTTCGGCTTAGTGGGAAAGATGTCATTACCACCCCGCGGTTTTTCCACATCTTTAAGGCAACCTTACGAGTTACCAAGCAGCCAAGTACCCACTTAGTGGATCAGATCATATGCTTGGAAGCTTTTCCCATTGTGCCTCTTACCTCCACCATTTTCATCAATTCCACCAATTCTAGGTGCCAATTCTAGACGCGCATTAGACGGAGAACCCCTTCTCTTCCCTTCAGCCCTGCTGGGCAGATCCATTCATCCCTAGTACCTCGCACTCGCGGAACCTCTAGAGCCATTCCTCCCAGTCGTTTCTTAATATCCACGCAGAAGATCACCAAATCGCCATACTATCAGACGTCATGTATCAAATGCATGGAGCTCTTCTGCAACCCCCGATGCAATCCATCTGTGAGTCATCATGCGCTATCCGTTATTGCATTGAATCGGTAGCTGGTAGCTCGCAGAGAATCCCCCTGATTCTTACTGGTCGGGATTGGCTAGGCGTTCTGCGGGATGCTCTGCAGGTATTCTGCACGCCAGCGCGAGTACCTATCTACTCTACGCAGTTGCGCAGAAACACCTCCAAAATCAAGATCGCACTTGAGAGGTCTTTCCCTCCTGATCCTTGCGCCATCTTGACCTACATTTCCCCCCCATTACGACCTAGACCATGCTCCTTGCGAACCGAGTTGGGGGCTGAATCGTCAGGCGGACACGACCACTGGCTCAATTTTCGGTGTAAAGCTGGCCAGTCCAGGTTCCAACCCTCTCTAAGGAGGGAAGCACAAAATGCCGTCTAACAGTGCTAGACTTTTCCGGCAATCTCTTTTTTGTTCTTTGGGTCCCACTGCCCCGATCTGTCAATTGCGCGTTACGCGTTCTGCGCCGTTCTGCGTGGTTCGCGGTGGAGCGTGGCTGCTAGTAAGGCATTCCTCTGCCTTGCTCCATTAATGGTGATCGTAAGAAACGAGTGTTTCCCGCCATGGCGTATTGCTAGGTCTAGGTACTTTTTGACTACCCGGTATTTGGATGTCTTTTTCTTCTCTAGTGAGATAACCCCAGGATCTTTTAGGTATGAGGCTCATCCGCCGGCAAGGATGCTTTAGACTAGGGGGTCCGTTGCCTAAAGTTATGACTCCATGTAAGAGGCAGCCGGCCAGCTACATTACATCAGTACAGATACCCGCATATATCTGCCGTACCGGTTCACAGCTACTGTTGTCAGTCTCGTGGTGCAAGGTTTATACATACACAAAGTACTCTTCTATCGAGATTGAAGGCAGCAACCGGCCATTCACGAATCACAAGCCATACAATATCTTTATATAAAATTTGACCTACCCCCTTCTTCACCTTCTACTTGACTCTCTTCATAAGGATTTCTCTTCCATACTCTATTTATCGTATAGTTACTCTAAAAAAAAAACTCGATCTTATATATCTATCTACTTGCCGTTGCCATATCGGCGATTCAATACTACCTCCCTACCTATAGTTGGCCCTGTCTTGTACTATCGACAACTCCCATTCGTTAACCATATCGTCAAGCCGCTGCCTCGTTGCACGAATTCACACAGGCACCTACTAGAAGTTGTTACCTTTAGTGGTAGCATTTACGACGAAATGTCGGACAGGCACGTGAGATTCCAGATTTCAACCCCTTCGAGAGGGTCGCCGAAAGGTTACCGCAGCCGCGAGCCAGCACATGACTCGGGGGTGGGTTCGTCTTCTAGTGATCAAGCTAGTGTTGGCGGAAGACCTGATCGTAGATTCACAGCTGAAGACTACGAAGACCAATTCTACAGTGTCGGTGCTCTTCAGGAGGCACTGGGCCAGGCGAATAAGAAAGTCGAACATTATCAAAAGAAGTGTATCGACTTGGACACAGAGTTAACTAAAGCCCACAGAGTCGCTCGAGACACGGACAGACTCTACCGTGAAGAATGCGAACGCAATATGAGACTAGAACGAATCAACAAAAATCTCGAGGAAGAGAGAGATGCTCAGAGAGAGCAAATCAAGGAGCTTAAGGCTGCCTTCGATGAGATGAGAGATGAGCGCGACGAATATCGACAGCTTTACCACACCGCGGTAGATCCAATCATAGACAGCAACATGAGAGGCGGTTCTGGCGAGCCTTCCTCCCCTCGACTAAGACGTTCAACAAGTAAACATGATAAGGACCGTAAAGAGTCTAAGGGCACGACCAGACGATATCCAGATCACAGAGACGAGAAAGCCGGTTCCTCGCGTCAACATCGCCGAAATTCTAGTGTCAGTGTCAATCCGGGTACAAGTATTCGTTCGAGCAGCAGGAAACCATACATCGAAAAGATGCCCAGCCCGTCTTCAAGACACTCCGGTAACTACACCACTTATGCATCGGACCCTCTTGCAGACACAGCAGTGTACTCTACCGTTCCTAGAATCTCTCATACGACGACTCAACCGGCTTATCATAGCGTCAACGATGCTCCCACAGGGAACTATTTTCCATATCCTTTACACGAACGCGGACGTCGAAGGGCTTGAGGCCATTGTTATCCAGGACCTTAGCAATTGTCCATGCAGAAAAAGCGCGAAACTTACCGGATATTTGGATGTGCAACTATCCTTTTCAGCGCGGAAGCCAGTACCCGACCCTGATAATATCGAACCCGTAATTCATAGCCACGAAACCTATTACTAGGATCTTTGGACGGCATGTAACATCATCTTGCAATACAAACCTCCTTCGCTGGGATCGCTTACGCATTTTTCACAACATCAAAACTGGCACTATGGCGAAAGTCAGATATGCCTTACTCACCCAGCCTGGACGGGCTCGCATTATCTATGGAGCCTGACTTGCCTGCATTTCCTCGATTCGTATCAATTTTCATACAATATCACCCTAATAATCTATTCATCTACTAAAGTTACGGTGGCATTCTTCGCATAACTGCCGGTAGCCCTTCAAGCGTGGACCCTATCGGAGCCATTTTTCATAACGTCGGTTCCACTTTGTTATCAACACATCAGGTGTGTCACCTAGAGGCTACCGCAGATTTTATCCACGTGGCTCAGCTTGTTCGAACTGTGAGACTTCCTCAATTGTACGATCAATTTCCGGTCAAAAGAGTTTGCGTTTCGCTTTTTCGGTTCTAACCATCGGATTATTCGTCTTTGATCACGGTTATTTTATTGAGTACGGAGGTCCAGTATTTGAGTTATTCCTACAATCGGGATCTGCTTCTGACGGTCTACCTGAATGGCGCTCTTTCCGTTCTAGTGTCCGTGAATAGTTTTGGCTTGGTGATACAATGGCTTCTTTTCATGTTGAAACACGAAAGGAAGGTATAACGGTTGATTTTTATCTTCTTACTCTTATTGATATTTGTATATGGACGGCGTTTTACCCTTCTGGTAGTTAACTATGGTAGAGGATCGGCTAGCGATAGATATCAGGTTTGTTTGGTTGGAATTGGGGTTGGAAAATACCGCTATATAGCATTTCACAATGCTATGACCTTATGTCTGGTCTTAATTAGGTACCTATTGCTATATACTTACCTAGGTATATGTCCACCTAGGCTTCAGTAAATATGATCTTAGCGCTCTTAACGCTGGGAGTGACAATTCATTCGCGCGTTTTGTGGCGTCATAGGATTGGGGTACGCATATGCTGTGCAACGCAGTCCAAATCAAATATAAAAGGTGTCGTCCCCCCTTCTCTCGTCTCCGTCTTGCTTACCTCCACTACATCAAGGCTACCTCGACTCCTCGCCTACATCCGTGAAGGGGAGGTTATTACAATGGGGGTAGTAGGTTGATCCTTTTAGAGCTGCCGTGGCGCTCTGGGAGGGTGGAATAGGACCCCTGGAGCAAATATATACCTTTAGAGCTCAGGGGGACTATAGATCTTCCTAGGGTATATACAGCCCTAGGGAGACGGTGACCTCACCAGACTCTACGAGGGTAGATCTGGGAGGGTGTGCTCCCCGGATCAGGATCAGATAGATCTAGGTTGAGCGACGCTAGGGCTAGAGATATAACATACGGGTGGCCCTGGTGGTGCTTGGAGCTGGGGGGACGAGCTCCAAGGAATTCTCTGGAGCGAGCTGTATGCTTGGGGGGATGCTGGAGACCCTGAGCGGGAGGGGTTTAGGCTATAGAGCCGAACTTTGGACGCATTTAGATCCAGGGCTTTATATATACTAGACGAGTGTTATACTAATGAGGTGTTGCTCCATTTGACTTTATACAGAAGTGGCCTATAAAGGAGGGAACGCTTGTTTTCTATCCATTCTTTGAATAGTGGGCCTATTAGATGGCTAAGAGCAGGTTAGTTAGACTAGATTAGACTAGGTTAGATTAGATTTAGGTTGGTAACCTTGACTGCGAGGCTCCTAGAAATCGCGAGGCTTTTAGTTGGAGGTTAGACAGTGAGGCTTTTTTTTTGTATATAGGTACCTGTATTTAGGTAAAGCAGTGTTAGTAGCGGTTAGGGGGTGTGTTATAGGGAAATAAGTGGATCTATAGCCCCTGCTAAGCCCTGTTCTTGCACTTATAAATATTACTCCTCCTGGGAGTATTTTGTTTCCTAGATTGTCCCGAACCTTCACTTTCATATCTTGGTTTTGGCCCGTGACAGAATACAATTCAACGCTACTACCCCCTTCGAGAGATGACTACCACGATTCCTCCGCTCGCCAACTTGTGCGAAAGATGCCGAGTCCTCGAGTTCGACGACTCGGCTTGGCCGGGCGCGCATCAGGCGGGGTCTGAGGCGGAAGGGTACTATCTCGAAGGCCCAATAGATCTGTATAAGCCCTCAACCTGGTCTTTGAAACTCGACTATTCCATGCGCGATTCATTGCCAGATTTGCCACGGCTCGAGCATACCGCAAAAGATGGGTGCGGCTTTTGTGCTGTGTTGAAAAAGAGCATTCAGAAGTATGCGAAAGCTTGCTTCGATGAAGTGCTAGTCTCTCTCGGTTATCAATGGTACCCGTATAACAAGATGAGCTGGATGGGGGGCCCCATTGGATTGAAGTCGTTGATAGCTCAGCTGCAGTGGGTGGTGCGTATTGATAATAATGGTGTGTATTTTTTAGACCCGTTTTGTGCTAGGCGCAATTTGACTAACGGTTTCTAGGCGATCACCCAAACACGTCGACGCTGCTACATTTTGGCGTTGACTCGCCTTCAAGTAAGCGATGAATTTTCATTTTATAGTCTCTATTCTTTTGTTTACTATGTGATATATGGTGGAATCCTTGACAATCATGAGCGATACTCTTGACATACATTAGGACATGATGTTGACCGTCGCATTAGGTCCCTGTGCCCAGTGGTTACGACTTGAGTCGTCCCCTCGTGATGAGACTCTATCCCCTGAAAACCTTGACATGATCTTGAATAATATTAAAAACAATGACTGCGTACGAACAACCACAGAATCCACATCCACATACCCAACACGTCTCATCGACATAGGGGATGATGAGTCTACGTCATGCCGACTTGTTGAGACAAGCTTAGATGCTACATTCGTGCAATCTCCTAACATTCCATACGCTGCCCTAAGCTACTGTTGGGGCTCTCCGGAAGATTCCACTCGGCAGTTTAAGACCAAGAAAGACTCGTTAGATGAAAGACTGAATGGCTTCGAATTAAGCGAGGTTTCGCCAATCCTTCGTGATGCTATTATCGCCACGCGAGCCCTACGGATTCAATATCTCTGGGTGGATGCTGTCTGCATCATCCAACACGATTCAAAGGACTGGGAGAAGGAATCATCTCGAATGTCCGTTGTGTTTCAAAATGCCACAGTGACAATTTGCACGCCTGTTTCAACGTCCTGTCAACAGGGGTTCCTAACTAGAGACTGGATTATGACAAGTATAAAATTCCAGTCGAAGATAAACACAACTCTATCTGGATCATACATCGTCCGGCTTCTTGGCGAAATAGATGAAGAATACCATGCGGCGTATGAATGTTTCAATTTTTCCGCTCTATTTAGCAACTGGGCTCGTCGTGGATGGGTGCTTCAAGAGATCGAATTGTCTCAGCGACTGGTTATTTTCGGTAGGACGAAAGTACATGTTGTTACCGAAAAGGGGACACATTCAGAAACAAATGAAGCAGTAAAAATACTATACAGTTCCCGCGAAGCAAGATTTTATCAACGTGGCCGTAATCACTGGGAAAAATATAGGTATTGGGCAAGGCTAGTTGAGCGATATTCGACACGAAACTTGGCCTATCGCTCCGATAAACTTCCCGCAATATCAGGTCTAGCAATCCCGTTATTGGATGGTTCTTCAAACCGTTACTTCGCTGGGCACACAATCCTGCATGTGGATTTATTCTGGTTTATGGACCATCTAAGTGGTTCATATGGACCCGACTTAACCATGGACCAGATGATCAACTCTCTATACAATCAGCAGCAATACATCGCACCGTCGTGGAGCTGGGCCAGTAGGGTGTCTCGGATTGTATTCAGCGACGAGAGATTTGGGTTGATCTCAGATAAAGAGCCCTCAGGTATCAAAAATGAATGTGGTATTAATTGCGAGATCTCATTAAGTGGCTTGAATCCATACGGAGCCGTTGATGGTGGGAGCCTGACTATCAATGGTGTAGTTGTTCCTCTTGTATTACGAGTTGAACACCCGTCTCGGATACTTCTGGAATCAGCAAACAAAAATGGCGGTTACATTGCCGATATGCGCTTTGATTGGAATTTGTTTGAAAATATAGGATCGTTTGAGGGACTTTCTTTAGTCCTAATTGGAAGTAAGAAGGTTGAGGAGGACTTCATTTGGGACGACACTCGGATAATCATTTTGGTAGGGCAGGGGGGAAACATATATGGACCCAAGGATAACTGGATTGTCGGGGGAATTCAAGGTCACAAACGCGTGAACTTTCTGGACGATAAATTGGTCCACGGAATACTTCCTATGGCCGAGAAGCTTTCAGACAGAGCTTCATCCTCTTCCGAGCCGGATCGAAATACACACCTCGGCGAAGACGAGGAAAGATGTGCTTATGGTATAATAGTCCATCCTGCTCCGGAACCGGGAAAATTTCTTCGGGTTGGCGCATTCTTTTCCGTGCCTCGGGAGTGTGGTGGCCTTGGATACTTTCGAAGCCATCCGACTCGGACGATAGAGATTATCTAGATTCGCGACGATTCCATCACCTTAGACCTCTACGGAAAAGGTGTGTTTGACAGTCATTAGAGGAATAATCAAGCTCTATGGCCTTTTCACTAACCAATATTGGAAAGACTTGCTATCGTGTAGTTTATCACATTTCCTAGTGTATTGAATTAACTGTATTGGGGATCGGCCCTTTCTGCTAGGGAGTTAAAGTGGCGATGGCGCGTTTAATGTGGTTTCTTGAGTCAAATCACCGGACATACCAACGGACTTAACGAGTGGCCGATTTGATATTTTATAAGGTTATTGCGTTTTATCTCGTCATCCAGTTGCTTTCGCAAATATAAAACTCGTCTAAATTGAAACTGATCCTGTATTCATCATGAAGTTGATCGTCGCGGGCTCGACCGGTTTTGTCGGCAATGAAATCATTCGCCAGGCATTATCTCACCCTGGCGTAACATCTATCGTTGCTCTCGGGCGTCGCGAAACCGCCATCCCTGAGAACATAGGACCTAATGCCGACGTGGCGAAGCTCAAGTCCATCGTATGCGACGACTTCGAGAACTATCCCGAAAGCGTGAAGAAGGAGTTGGCCGGAGCAGATGCGTGTATCTGGTATATAAGAATCCTTATGCTGCTCATTTCCCTACTACCCAAGGCGAAAATGCTGACTCCTAAATGAAGGGCCGTCGCTGTGACTCCGTCACAAGTAAGCACGGTGGGGTGGGAACAGACGTGCATAATCTGCCGTGATTACGCCATCACGGGCATTGAGACAATCACGCAGCTTCCTCGCGGCGACGGCGACAAGAGACCGTTTCGCTGGGTGTATATCAGCGGATCCAGCAGCGTGCGAGACCCAGCTGAGAGGCCATGGGTGCTGGGCGATTACTGTGTGATGAGGGTATGTGAGATTCCAGGTTTAGGAACCCGAGAAACTTCTCAATGCCTACCTATCGAGGACGTTCATTGAGACTAATCTAATCCTTCATAGGGCGAAGTTGAATCGAAAGTCCTCACGTACGCCCAGGACTCCAAGGGTACGGTGGACGTATGTGTAGCGAAACCTGGGTTGATAGATGCACCGGGCAAGAGTGGCCTATTGATGAATCTAGTAAAGACGGTTGGGCGGGCACTCATTGGCCTTCCGAAAGTTGACGTTAGTGAGATATCTGCTACACTATTAGATCAGGCCGTCAATGGATTTGAGAAAGATACACTTCAGAATGAGGACTTGGTCCGGATTGGACAGGAGATCCTTCAGGGGAAGCAAAAGTAAGTACGTCAGGTTCATGCTTACTGCACTATGTGGCCTGTGATCCCTTGGATTGCTTATTTAGGTGGTCAGCACGTATTTTGGGTGAAAACTAAAGCTAATTATATAATACAGGGGATAGTCGGCTATACAGGGCAACACAGTGATCGTCCAACCTGTACTAATTGCAGTGTTAACAACAATAATTGCCAGATAGAGCTGGGCGATCATCTTCGAGCCAATCAATTCGAGGTTTACCCCGCCGTCGAAGTTACCTTACGCTTCCGTTGCAGACGACCTACCAGGTACCTTAGTAGGTACCTAGACATCCATTTACAATGGGAGGATAATGGATGGCGGTGTCGTATACATGTGGCCAGTCGTATTGTCTATAACAAACAGCGAAGATATGTCAACTTCATAAGTAGTTTTCTTTTCTTGGAACGGTAAAACGAAGTATCAGTTACCTATAAATCATGCAACCTTCGGAGGACGAGATCCTCGCAGCCCTGGCGCACTATCGCGCTGCCGTGTTGGAGCATAATCGTATCGCTTTGACGCATTTCGTGCACCATGCCGACACGGAGCAGCCCCCGGCGGGAAGTCGATTGACCGCTAGCAAGATCGCCGAAATCCGTCGAAAGTACATGTATAATCTGCTCTGCGTCTCACGGCCGGAGAACCTGGACCCGTCGATGCAGATCGAAGCGCCCGCCGACGTGATGACTAAGTGGGATGCCATGGTGCGAGCTTTCGGCCTGGACGGCGTATTCGCTAGTCCCAACACGGAGCATCGGAGGGAGCTCTGCGCTACTTACAAGAGATGCACGGAGGCTGAACTGTGCAGGATAGGGGCCGACGTCGAGTTTCCCGCCGACTTTGAGTTCCTCATGAACCAGGTCGACAGCCTCCAGGGACACGGGTGGCCGCAGTATCACGAGCATGGCCAGCAGATACGCTTTTGGTACGGGCTAGACGAGAGCGAGGGCGACGTTATAGGCCCTGATGATGACTTAGGCGGGCAGACTGGTCTGGATGATGACGATTGGGAGGTTGTCGCCGGGTGGGAGTGCGGTGGAGGACCTGAGACGAGATGCTTCGTCGTCTACTGCCGGCAGGAACAAACCGGTAAGGAGTGGCGATGGCGATATGTGGCTGACATGGGTCAGTACGGGGTAGAGGTTTTCGACAACCTGGTAGAGCTGCTACAGTGGTACGAGACGCTCCATGTGCCGGACTTGGATTACTACCTCAATTTTTCTGGATGCGGCATCTTCGGCGGCTAGGCTAAGATTGCATCAGAATTGATCTGTTCCAATATTGGCCACCGTTGTCGGCGCAGGCAAGTCAACGCATAGAGAGTAATGAAAGCACATAGGAAGGACGCTCGCTCCATAACGTCGATTAAGGGCCTCCTTTCTCGATGCTCGAGTGCAAGTTGCTTCTACAACCCGATTGATCTCGCGTTGGATGGTATTATTACCGAGCTCATTCCCGTACTTAATCAATGTATGTGTGATAACTTACCTATGGTACTAAGGCAACAGCTTTGATCTGGGTTGTAGAGCCTCAATCCGGTGCCGAGAAACAGCCCAGTCGTCATATCATATAATCCAAGTTATATTGAAGCTCTGTTTCGTCTAAGTGCTGTGTTTGGTATAAGCATGATCGATTCTAGGTACAGATGATAAGAACGCACTATGAGACAAGTCCTAGATGCCAGCGCCTTCTTATACGTGAGATACAGTAACATCGACGATGACCTGTGTTACTACCTCGAGGGCGCGTGTTCGAGCTCGCCAGCCGACGAAGGGAATTGGAACAGCTCGGATCCACCACCACCATAACCCATCCCAACGACCGAAACACCTACCCCGCCTCCGTCACCTCCTCCGGCGCCCACGCCCGATGCCGACTGTATCCTTTCGGACAGTCTCGTAAGGTGGGGATTCCTAGTCTTACACGTCGAGGAAAGGGGTGGGCTTTCGAAGAGCAGGATAGCAGCCTCCACCAGCGCCCTTCTACATCCCGCTCTCCAAAGCGGAGGGATGCGTTGAGGGCGCGGTGAGGTCGGATTGGGAAGGGGGGTCGGATTTGTCTTGTCATGAGCAGGGTTGGGGGGTAAAGGAAGCAGTGAAATTATTCAATACCTACCTCACCTAGGTACCTAGGTACTACATAGTTATTTTCCAAGGAAGGAAAGACGAAGGAGGAAAGAAAGAGGAGAGGGAAGAGCTCCTTGATTTCTAAGCCTCCTACTTAATAGGTACCGTTCAAGGCAACTTCTTATTTTGGACCATCCGGTGTCGAGCGTTCGTTTAGTGAAACGGAAGAATAGGTGATAATTGTTTATCTCTACTTCTTCGAAACAATCAAACAGGAATTTACATTCTCAGTCATTTAGTCCGACCGGATAGCGCAAGAGAAACCCTAAATTTCTTTTATTATGACGCAAAACCTCGTGGAATTTGGGAACCAAGTATCAATTTTCCGTAGGAATGGTAGGATCCAGCTAGGGCTTCATCCGACTGCAGGTCACGGAAAGTTGCGTATGAGTACCGGAGCACCGGCTCTAGATCGCCGGGACGGGGCAGGAAGATGTCGTGGTCTACCAAAGACATTTCCGATGCCAAGTGGTCTCCTCGCATCACTACGATTCGGACTCGATGCAAGATGAGAATCCTAAACGCCACGATTCGTACCCCTATACGGGTCTTCGAGGACCTGGTACGCCAATCAACGATTCCGTAGTTGTCTTCGGATGGTGCGTCGGTTACGTGTCCCCATAGGATGTTAAAACAATCAGCCCGTCTTGCGGCTACTTGCAGCTGATCGGCCAAAACTGGGAAAGGAAGGCCACTGAGAAATATGGTACATTACCTGATCTCTCGGCCAAATCTTGGTTCAATCGCCCCCTAAATATTCTACCTAAAAAGGTTCCCGGCCTAAGGTGAATCGGACCGCTGAATTATCACCACTTACGAGCCTTACCGACCACTATCAATTCGCGACAGTGGCGCTGGACTACCACGATACACGAGATGCAGAGAAAGGGTAGTCTTGGTGAAGCTAGTAAATTTCTTGGGTCAAAGGAACCGACCTGATTTGTTCCAGAAAGCCGATTTCGGCTTTAAGACGTGATATAAGGTGCAGACATGACATTACATGACATGACATGAAGTGATACAGTTTTTGGGTTGCCTAAGGTATCTTGTCCCAACGACCCTTACATAGAGGTATTAATGAAACCCTGAGTTCCCGGGTAACTCAGGGTTTCATCGAATCAAGAACTAAACCAGGGGTGTAAAGCTTGCTTGGCCATACCACCAGTCCCGAGTTCTAATGGAGGCCTCGCTTGTTCAAACCAACGCCTACGATATTTGCTGCATGAAGATAGTCTACATGGAAAGAGTCGGTGAGTCCTTAGTATATAGGTAGGTATAAACCGCCTCTCGGGTAGAGTACTTTGTATATCTACCTGGTACCTATCTACATTACCACGACAAATATTTCAAGCCGCAATCTAACGTGTCTATTAGTACCTTCCTATATATCAAGTAGGTATAAAATACCGAGCTATCGACTAACATTTGTCCAATCCAAACAAGATTTCTCAGTCATCTGTACGATCAGGTACCTTACATAACATCATTCGCCGTATCCGATTTCTGAAAATGTCATCCCAATCAGCAAGCGCCACATCGAGTGCTACACTGGAAGATAGGAGGATATATGGCTTCGGTCCTGATCACCGTATGCCGTATTCATGTTCATATTGCCTTGGCACTCCCAGATTGTAAGTCTCTATGATCTTAAGTATGGCGACACAGCATGCTAATCGAAATATCTATCAGAGTCAAGGAATGTCGGTCATGTAACGGCACAGGGCTGATGTGGGACTCCAGTTCCAGCAGTATCTATGGAGGAAAAGATGAAAGACAGATAACCCCCGGCGGGTCCTCGCCTGGTAGCTCCTCGCTATCATCTTACGGCCAAAGGGGTTGAGGGTCAACCGTATTCAGAATATCTCCACGAATGCTTACCGGCTTATGCTTTCGTATCATAATTATTCTTTTTCGCATATTATAGACCTATTAATTACTTACCTACCTATACTTCATCACCGCACACATGGGTTATCCCGGATCTTTTCTTTGCTCGGTACATGGGATCGCTATGTTGGATGGGCTGCGTACTGTTATAAGTGTACATTAGCTGTCATATTGCAAGCAGTTTCTTGGAATATTGGTTGCTCTGCTAAGTCTGATGGTTTCACTACGTTTTCGTACCTTAACGCGATATTTTCTTGCCTGGCTAAGGATGATTTACCAGGCCTTCTTAATTGGGCATTCACGATGCGCAAAATATATAGGTATCAATGCTTAACTTACCTAAATAGGCTTCATACGAATCCCCCATCTGTTAACTATAGTGAAGGAGGTAACTTGTCAGGTTAGGACGTCACACCATAGTAGTGAGTACGTACCTTTATAATAGGATGAGGTCGGATACCCAATGCGGAGATCCTGGAGAAATCCCTCCGGCTTGAGTCCCACATTTTCGGACCCTTGACCTTTTCTCGGGTCACATATCCCCGGCTCTACTCCAATTGTTGACGAAACTATCCCTACCAGCACTAGCTTGTGACGCCTCCTCGTGCCTTTCGCGCTGCGCTTTAACTGGGAAAACGGCCAGCAGTTAAGTCATACCAAAGGTTAGCCGATATAATGATTTTTGGCATAGTTCTTATTATGTGGAGATCTTTCCTTTTCTCGAACTTGGTGTGCTTATTAGAGAGATACATGATAATATAAAAGACGTTTTATATAAGAGAAGTGTCATTTTAATCGCTGCCTGTTTTCTTAGTTAAAGAGCAGCGCCGAAGGCACGAGGAGGCGTCACAAGCCAGTGCTAGTAATACATCGGTCATCATACTGACAAAGGTCAATTTAATCGGGTTATAAACAAAGCATCGGGAGGGGAACTGGCTAGTTAAAGAGCAAATTAACTCGTTAATTATGGACATCTTGAATTTTATCTCGAATTTTATCTCGAAGCGATATTCACCTCGAAAATGCCGTCGTTTACTAAGAGCGCTGCCATTTTGCTGGGGTTAGTTGCCGGCCGAGTAGCATGTTCTAAAGACAGGTGCACATCGTTCGCAACGTCTATATCGATCCCGAATACCAAAATTATTGCTCATAATTATCTTCCGAATGGGACAAGTATTTTCCTCCCCGGGACCGCAGAGTCGTGCTATGGGCCGGATCCCACGGCAAACGCTACCGCCAACCTCTGCCGACTTGCGCTCGTCGTCTCTACGAGTTCATCAAGCAAAGTGCAAGTAGAAGCCTGGCTTCCGGACCCCCAGAGTTGGAATGGACGACTGTTGGCTACCGGGGACGGCGGGATTGGGGGGTGCATTGACTATGTCACGATGCAAAACGGAGCCGAACTAGGTTTCGCGGCTTTCGGGACCAATGCCGGGCATAACGGCTCAGTTGGATATGAATTCTTTCTCAATAAGCCCCAAGTGATCAACGATTTCGGTCACCGGGCGATTCATGTCGAAGCGGAGGTTGGTAAGGAATTGGTGCGTCAGTACTATCGGACCAAAGCGACGAAGAATTACTACGCGGGCTGTAGCACGGGAGGGCGCCAAGGGTTCCAGAACGCATATTTATACCCGGAAGACTTCGATGGGCTCCTCCTTGGAAGTCCTGCTATAGATTGGCTCCATGTTGTGGCGTCCAAGGGAATCATAGCCCGACGGATTGGGTGGCCCCATTTAGACTCACCAGCATATATCCGTCCGGAGCAATGGGCAGCCATCGTCGAGGCTCAGATACGGCAGCTTGACCCATTGGACGGCGTAGTAGACGGAATAATTGACGAGCCAACAAAGTTACGATTCGATCCCGAGAGTCTGGTCTGTGGCACTGGTGCCCTCAACTCTTCCATGTGTCTTAGCCCACTACAGGTTGAATCGGTGCGCAGAGCGTATGAACCGATTGCAAGCGCTTCCGGTCAAATTGTGTATCCCGCCTTCGAACTCGGCTCAAACACCGACGTATTTTCTGCGAACCAGGAGAACGGGACAGCACAGTTGGGCTACACCACCTTACAAGACTTCTGGCGCGGCGCCGTTTATAACAATAGCAACTGGACGCCAGACCACTTTCGCGTATCGGATATGGATTTTGCCCTGAGAATTAACCCTGGGCAGGTCAATGCAGATGACACAGACCTATCGCGCTTCTACCGTAGAGGCGGCAAGATCATGTCGTACCATGGAAGAAATGATGAGGTAGGCGAACTTTGAAGCACGTCTAAGCAAATATTGACGTATGAACCTAGACCGTAACCTCTGCCCTATCTGAGCAATTCTTCGCCGGAGTCCAAAGAGCACTCCACCTCTCACTAGATGAGATTCATGATTTCTACCGACTATTCTTTATCCCAGGTCTGCATCATTGCTCAGGGGGTCCTGGAGCATGGAGCATAGGGAATGTTCTGCTATATCCCTACGACAAGAGGTTACTAGACCCTGAGCATAATGCGCTCGTTGCTCTTGTTGAATGGGTCGAGAAAGGCAGGACACCAAAAACGTTAATTGGCACGAAGTATGAGAATGATGATGTCGGGGGTACCATCCTCGGACAGAGAAGTGAGTTTTCCCTATGAGACATCGATGCTGTTTTGAATGCGCACTCATCAAGTTAACTAGCGTATTGCCCCTATCCGATGGTCAGCAAATGGAACGGTGTTGGTGATACGAGACTTGCGACAAGTTGGAAATGCATCTTTCCGGGGAGGTAGATGAAAATGGCGATTGGCATAGTAATGATAGATAGAATTACCTGGAAACCTATAGAGGCCCATTTGCACATCTTTGCAAAAAAAAAAAAAAATTGCCCGGATTTTGCTTAAAGGGGTAAAGTGGTTGCAGCTAGTCTCAATTAGTCTGATATGTTAGTACTTTATTCAAAATTATCTAGCCAATATCTAAGATACATGTAGATACATAGAATATTAGGTATAAAATTATGTTCATTTGATAGTAATCTACTAAATAATTAGGTAAAAGAGCCTTGTATTGATTAAGTAAGCAATTTGACAATAGACTGGATCTTGCTACTAAAGTGTGCTATGCCCGACTTTAGGAGGGTTATTGTGTCGCGTTGATTAGAATAAAAAAAAAAAATTTGTTACCGAATTGGGAAGGTGGGTCGTGTGGCTGGGGTGTGGCTAGGTGTGGTGGTGCGCAGGTGGTGGAGGGGTTACTAAGGTAGGAAGGTAAAAAAAGGAAAGTGGGTCTTGTGTGGCTAGAGCTGTGTGGCTGGGATGTGGAGGTGCGTGTGTGGGTGGTGGGATTACTAGAGTAGGAAGTAAAAGAGGAAAGTGGGGCAGTGTGGCTAAGGTGTGGCTGGTAGGGCGGTGCGAAGGGGGGGAGACCTGTAATAGGCAAGTCAAAAGGGGAAACCTATGATGAGTCAGGAAGGCGTGAGCCAATCAGTGAGGAGCTAGTGGGTCCAGCCCGATTCAGGTGCGGATTACGTAAGTACTGATTAGTCAGTTCGAATGAGGGTTCAACTTTAGTCCTAATTGACGGATTATATAATACAACAGCCCTGACTTTTAGGTCAGGTCAGGTCCCTGACTTTTAGGTCAGGTCAGGTCCCTGACTTTTAGGTCAGGTCAGGTCCCTGACTTTTAGGTCA